AAACTTATAAACTTAAAATAAAAAAAAACACACCCACTCGCACCAATTTTTTTTTCTTATACTTTTTCTTCATGTCTTAATGTGCAGCATCCATTCAACGTTTAATTGCGCTTTTTGGCTAGCAATATCAAAAGTCTCAAAGGAATCAAAATCAAACTTGTGAATTGGTTTCTTTACAATGCTGCATAACCCAAATTCACAAGGAATTTTATAAATGACATTTGTTGGCTCTAATCTGTCTTGCGTGTCTTTGAGTTTTGTGATGAAATTTCTTACTTTCTTATGAGGTTTAAAGCTAAATGTGATGTTGTTTGCCTGAAACATTTGCAACGTAAGTCATGCTGCAGAACTTTTTCTCATGAGAATTTATTGTGTCGCGAAGACTTGTGTTGTTAGAGTTATTGATAAGTCTATTGGAACTGTTTTCAGGGAAATCATCATCCTTTATCAATTTCTTGAATTGGTATTTATAAATTTTAAAATCAGTCGACAAATATTTCATTCTCTTGAAATTCTTCAACAGTTATTGATAATTCTATTGACAATGTTTTCAGGAAAATAATTATCCCTTAATATTTAGTCATGCTGCAAAACTTGTTCTCAAAAGAATTTACTGCTTTGCGCTGACTTGTGTTGTTAGAGTTATTGATAAGTCTATTGGAACTGTTTTCGGGGAAATCATTATCCTTTATCAATTTCTTGAATTTTTATTTATAACTTTCAATTTCAGTTGACAAATATTTCATTCTTTTGAAATTCTTCAAGTCACAAAATCGTGTGCTTTTAACTGGAACGCCTTTTCAAAACAATCTTCATGAATTGTGAGTTTTGTAAAAGTTCTTATTGCTAGATGTATTAAACATTTCTGATGAATTTGATTTCTGGTTCAACACCAATAACTGTTTGGGAAACAATGAAATGGTTGAACGTTTGCATGCTGCCAAATGGTTGAAGTTGAACCTGTCTATGAATTAGAGTTGTGAGTAATCATGAATAGTACGAATCAGAATAATCAAAAGTTTTGATTAATTAAAAATTTTCTTATCATATTCGTCTGAAAATTATTTTTGGTAATTCAAACAAGATTTGGGGTGCTGTAAATTTGAAAATGTTCCGAAACATAAAAGCCTCAAGTCATGTTTATGTACTTCATGTTTTGTTATCATTCCGATGGTTCCGGGTTTGATTTATATTTGGTAAATGATCCCTACAAAAAATATTCTCATTATTTAATTTCAACAAAGAATTTAGTTGATGTTTTTTTCAGGAAGTTTAATGAATTGTGAAGTTGCTTCATTTATCATCATGAATGATAAGTGGATTCATAAAAGTTGCAGTTTTTATTGGACATTTGGGTTAAACCAGAACCCTTTGATATTTAAATTTGTTGTTGATGACATTGACAATGTATCTGAGTCAGTTTCATGTCTCCATGTATTCTCTTTGGGTAAAATTGTCACAGATGATTTGTTCTTGTCTACTTGTGTTAAAAGAATTCGTGAAACCTTGGAATTTGATATCGCGAAGTGTCAAATACTTTGTTGCAAACATCATAAATAAAATTACTTTAATGCTGGAATATCATCATTCGAATGCTTTTGATGACTTGAAAACAAAGGAAAATCTTTCCACAGATTCTCCAACTGTTAAAATTACAAACGCGAACTTCAACATTATACAAGTCAACGTTTTTTTTATTTCTTTGCATTCCGATGCATTGTGTCAGCATAAAAAGTTACTTGCATCACATTTTATTAGTTACATAGATAAAAGCTTGAATTGAATTTGATATTTAAATACGAAAAAAGGAAACAAAGTTTCTGCATAGAAAGCATTTATTTTATATCTCAGAGTTCATCTCTAAAGAGTTAAAAAATCACAATTTACTATCGAAACAATGTAAGGATACATATTTTGAAATTCTCTGCAGGTTTTCAGTAATGTTTATGTTTAGAAATGTTTAAAAACATAAACAATTATTATTTAAGCTGTAAAAAAACTCTGAACTTTTTATTTAACTTTTCTATCCTAATGAACTTTTATTTCTTCCTTTAAATTTCTCTTTTCATTGATTCTAAGTAGATATAAATTACAATATAATTTGCGTTTTAATAGATTTATTTTGGCTACTTTCATTGTTTTCCTCTAGGAGTGAACGATCTTTGAAAATCAATCTTAGATTTAAATTTGAAAATAAATTTCTTAATCTTGCGTGGGTGTGTAAGATAATTTAATCGAAATTAGTATTTATGAGCAAACAAAATCCCGTTTTTAGTATTTTTCCCATTGAGATTCAAATAAATCTCTCAAGATTCACGATAGCGATTTATTTCATCATGCTCAACTCTTCTTAATGTCAAGCAATTGAGCTTCGGATCATCTGGAATGTAAACTCAAAGCAGATTGTGATTGCAAACTTGTCATTGAGCCACGATAATTGGCAGAGCTGAGAATTTCGTAAAAGTACATTAATCGCGTCGATTGGTCGATTGCTGGCGGAATCATCCATTGAAGAATGTAACTTGCTTTCTCCATCTCAATTGAACCTTGAACTGATTCCTTCGCTCGACTGGTTATTGTCAATTCCTTCTTCTTATAATTGACGTTCTCTTTCATGTTGGTAGCATCGAAAATTGATGTATACTCGTCATCTGTCATTCAAATAAAAGCTTGAAGTTCTCCTTACACAATTTAATTTTAATTCATCTTACCATGCGTGATGTTTATCTTCGAATCAGTTTCATAGATTGTGAATAAAACTTCTGTCTTCACCGACTCGTAATCCCATGTTAAAACCGCACGATGGTCATCATTGTTAATGACAATCTCATGGAACTGTCCAGGCCGCAACTTATTACACTGATAAATATTCACTTCATTTAACTTTATCTTTGTAGCTGTTACATCGTCACCATCAGTTTCAAAATCGTCAATGTTTCCATCCGTCTCGTCAATCGATTCATTTTTATAAAGTTGCTTAGGAATAACGCCTCCATTATGAATTAATGTCTGTACGGAAAAAAGTATAAACATATTATGCAAAAAATAAAGACAGACAGAGGGAGAGAGAGATGGAAATAAATCTTCTTGGAAAGCTTCACGAGGAAATAAAACGAAATGTAAACAAAAGATTATTTTGCTTAGTTACTAATCGTCAATGAACTTTGAATACGTTTGCAAATTATGTTTGCATATTATTAATTTTTTAATCCCTTTTTTCATTAGTGTTTGCTTTCTTGAATTTTCATCTCGTGCGCTGACTTTTCAGGAAATCTTTTTTTATGTTTACAGAGGAAAAACAGCGATTGCAGATTTCCTTACGGGAGTGACTCAATTTTGTAGACAGATCTGTTATGTTTGAAATCTTTTCAACATCAAACATGTTCTTAAACATTCAGAGAGGGGATGAGAAAGGGAAATTAAGTTCCATAAATTACCACTCACATATGTATGACGTGATTTATGTTTATTCACTAATGAGACAACATGATTGATGAACACTACGAATGGTGAATTTGACGTAATATTGAAAGGTTTACACACATTTTTACAAAGTTTCTTTGACGGAAAGTTCCTTGAAACAAAAACTGCTTCATAATAATATTAAATTTTCCTACGCAAATAGATTTAATGATTTGCAAACATAAATAAATATTTTTATATTCTCAACCGGAAAAAAACTTTTCTCGAAGCTTGAACTTTCTTTTTGATCATAAAATGTTTTATAAATATAGAAAGTTTTAAAGATTATGAAAAAGTTTTAGTTTTGAAGGGTAAAAGAAATAACAAAAGTTTATCATTTATCGAAAAATTCAATTTCCTTACCTTATCAGAAGTTAAAAGAAAATCACTCGGCATTGAAGGAATGAAATGATCAAGTCCGTGTTCAATATCACCAAAGAAGAGAAATTTATTTCGAGTATTTTCATCTGTGAATAAGAAAAGTTTCAACGATTGCGGAAGAGAAATAATTGATGAAAATAATTTACCAATGAAAGTCGATACAACCGTCCACAAGATAGGAAAAACCCGTGGCGCTCGGACGATTAAAACTCGTCCCATTGTTTCAGGATAATTTTTCTCGACAACTTCAATAATTTTCAACAACAAGGCAAGTCCAGGACGCCACAAATGCCGCATTGAGAGATTCTTACAATCAACCAACAAGCACCAAGACCAAATTGGCTTTCCATGAAGATTTGTCAACTCTTCCATCTTCTTTAATCCTTGCTCGCAAATATATAAAGTCAAACGAAGAAGACCTTCTTCTCCAATTGATTTCAATAATCCTTTCACATCCATATTACCCAATTTTATTACGTAAAGCGGTCGCTGTTCGTCGTCTGTCAATCGATTATTCCACTCTCCAGGAAAATATTGATTTACGACATGTGGTTCCTTATAAGTTTTCAGTAGATTATCAACGTCATGTTCTATACGCCATTTCAATGATTCAATGAGCATTGTCGTCGCTTTGTCTATGCTAAAATCTCGTGCTCGAAGAAATCTTAAAAGTGTCGGATAATCCGGAATCTGAAAACGTTAAAATGTTTTTTTATTCAGTTTATAAGCAAATTAAAGGTTTAGCTCACCTCATCAAGATTCTGCTCTTCAAGCTTCTTTCTCATCTGAAGAAGACGCGATTCTTGTAACGGTGTCAACTCTCCAAGATAATTCTTGATGTAATCAGCATTCAAACGTTGCTGTTCTTTACAACTTTCCAATTCTTCTTTCTTTACTTCGGCTATAGAACCCTCAGGATCTTGCCACATGTCCACATGTGTTATTCCTTCGTCTTTTAGTTGATCAATAAAGAATTCAATGATTTCTTTTCCCTTTAGAGTCATTTGCGTATATTGCTTCATCCCAACTTTTTCCATTTGATGTTCGAAGCCGAAAAAGTTTGTGATTTCAAGGTTGGCACTTTGATCGAAGCACGTCCAATCAGGATTTTCTGGATGGACATAATAACGACACTTTTCAGAGATCTTAATACGCGATGAGAATGTTTCGTTTGTTGCTTCTATCGTTAGTTTCCTCTCTTTAAGATCGAGGAAGTTTTCTTGAATGAAGTAAGCAACATCAATTCCAATTATCTTCTTAAAAATATAAGGAAAATCAACACGAAGTTTGCAATGTCTTTTCGTATGACGACGTGGCCCGTCGACATTATCTTCCATCACAACACAGTCAAGCACAATTGGCATTTGCGGGCATGTTGGAAAGCGACGTTCGTAAGCCTTAAAGAAATGTATAAAATAGATAAACATGTCTTTAACTATCAATTTAAATAAAAGTATAATAAAGCTTTTTTTATGTCTGTTGAACTATGTAAATCATCAGGGATTTTTGAACCCACCCACAAAAAAAGAAAGGTTTCTGCCATTCACATCTTCTTTTAACTGGAAAGACAAATGTCATCATGTTATCATTAAATGAGATTGTTTTGAATGTAAGAAGAGTGAGACAGAATCTTTTTGCGACATTTCTTGAATTGATAATTTAAAAATTCTTTTTATTATTATTCACAGCGTCAATGATTTTTTTTTTTGCAACAAACGAACATTATTGCCATTTCCTAAAGGTTTTAAAAAGATTACTACGTAGCTACGTAGGTAGAAACTAAAATGCTTTCACACACTAATTTTCGTGTGGTATTAACATTGAAATATCCTTTAGGATTTATTGGAATATTGCGCAAAGTAATGCAAGAGCTTCATGCGACCTTGACATAGACAGTACAGAATATTCTATATCCACCCACAATTCACCCTCTCGTAATGTCGACCTTCATAAGTTTTTTGCTATTGAAATAAATATTGAATATGAAATTTAAATAGACCAAAACATTTGCCACTTATGCAATTATTTTTCAATAGAACGCAATTTTTAAAGACCATCAGATATTTGTCAGTAATTGGATCGAATTACCGAGACATCACGAATATTATATGAAAAACTGGTTTTAGGGAGCGAATATTGATTTTTTCTACTTTTTTCCCGCATTATCTATCGCGTTTTATATTGTTTTGAAATGTTTTCTTAAATATTTTATAACCCACACTGCGAGTTGTTGATGAAATTGCAAAGAAGATGCATAATAAAACTACCATAAATTAATTCCCATGATGAATTATTGAAAACATGGTTGACATACCGGAACTTTTTTTTTTCAATGTCACTGTACTCACCTTCATTATGAGCTCGAAGGGATGTTTATAAATCCTCACAGATGATTGAAATTCTTGAGGCATTTTGATTAATCCCTTCGTCTCAATTTAGAATTACAATTAAAAACAAGAAATTTTTTAAACGATAGAAAAAAGGTTTTAGATTGATTTAAAATTATTCACTTAAAATAATCACAATTCGAGTGAAACTTGAGATCATATGATTGATAGGTACTTTAACTTAAAGCTTATATCTCTTCCAGCTGTAAGAAGAGACTAATCATTGTAGAATCGAAAAATGAAAATTTTCAGCTGGATGAAAAAAGAACAAATCAGGGCTGTAGTCAGGAGATACTTAGGGCTAATCTTTTTGAAATTTTATTTTCCGTTAAAATTTTATCTCTGAAAAGGCCTGCTTTTTGATATTCTTTCAATTTTTATTAATTTTATGATTCCATATTCTTACAATTAAAAACTTAGTTAAAATGCATGTCAATTTATTCTGCTGGTTCAACTTGCATTGGCTCTGTTCCACCAAGTTCAACTTTTTTTGTAAGCGCGTCATATAATTCGCTGGCATAATCAGGTTCGATCGCTGTAATTACACATTTAAAAGTTTATTGTGAATACAATTAGATAAAATATATTCTTACCTTTCATCAAAGTATTCAATCGTGTACGATTTATTTTAGCGTGAACATACCACAAAAGCTTCATAATATGCTTGCTGACATTATCGCGATTTAAACCAGCAAAAAGAAATCCATCAAACAATCCAGTACAAAATTCTTCATTAGAAAATTCATCGGCCATTGGAATCAAATAAGCAATGAGAGAATGTAAAAATGGATCTTCATAAGCTCGATCTTCCTTACATGATGATAAAATTGTCAGAATTCGAAGCAATCCAATGCGATCTTTCTGCTTAGCAACATGCAATGCATAATACATCGCAAGAATTGATGCAACAGAACTTTCCTGAATATAAGCTTCAATTGCTTCAGGTACAGGACCTTCATGATCAATTACAATAAGAGCATTTGAACGTTCATCAGGCGGTAATCGCGAATGAAAATTACGAGCCTGATCGTCCACCATCAATGATGTTAAAGCTGGCAGGAATTTTGTTAAGATTTGAATGTCGAACTTTGATTCCTTAAAATCTTGTGTGTCAATCATCCGCCAAGCACTCAATCCCAATGACAACATACGTAATAAGAGAATCAAAATCGAGTTGCTTCTTGGCAATCCATCTACACTTACTAAATGTAGAAGAATTTTTATTGCCGATGATGCTAAAAAGTTGATTGCATAAGGATCACAAAGTGTCATGCTGAGATCTCCTAAAATTTGTTCATGTCCACGTTTAATATTATCTAAGAATCCTTGCAACTCTCTTGATCTTTTGATGTCCACCTGCTTTTCACGAATGCAAGCATCTAAACACCATGTGAACTTGTGGCATGGATCGACACTTATAATTTCTTGAATGTCCAAGTCGTGAAGTGCCATCAAAAGTTCAGCACGTAATGTACAGTAATGAACATTTCTTGTGCGCAAAAATAATGTCCGAAGAAATTGTAAAACCATATCATAGAGTTTTACAGATGATCCAATCATGTGAGCGAGTTTTTGAACAACTTCCCCTTGTCGTCGATTCTTTGGTGAAGGAGAGAAGAACAAATTGTTAAGATTTGTATGATCATAGATGATTGTATCTTTGACTCTGATATATTGTGAGAGTTCCGGCGATACTTCATCACCAAACAAGCTCTGATTATCTCTCCATATTTGTCGTTTCACTTCAACATCAGCGCCTGCATATAATTCACGATCACGAACTAACACGCGAAGATATTTGTCATCGATTTGTTTCATATTTCGGAGAATAGCCATGACTGCAGGTCGAAGTTGTTTAACACGAATTAATCCGAAACTTTTATTCAAAAGTTCTTTAAGCTTTTTGTCTCGTTCTTTAACTTCCATTTTGGTGTTCATATCATTTATTTGTTGAATGAGTTTCTCTCTCAATTCTTCCAAAATTGATGTATGAAAGTCCAACCGTGGAACACCATGAAGATCTAAAAGCGGCAGCATTGGTCTCAACGAATGCAAAACAATGCCATTTCTCAACTAAAAAATAATTTTGAAAATTTCTTATAAACAACATGAAAAATTGAGGAAAAACTTACTTGGAAAGCTTCTATGGCTTTCAATGGGTCATCACACGATGTAAGAGCGTTTCTTAAATTGTTTTGACCATTAATTATGTCTTCCATAGCCATAATTAACTATTTATTTGTTAAATTATGTTAAGAAAATTTTAATGTTTACGTTTTCTGAACAAACGGCACAACAATATTTTTGAACCGGTTCAATTACAGTATTGATGCTTTTAGCTATCAAAAGATTAATTTCATTCAGGGATGATTTTATGCTCTACCTAGCGCATAAATATTATAAAACAATTTTCATCTCCCTCACATAATACTGAAAAATGAAAATAAAATTTAAATTTCTAACAAAAGTTCTCCAAAACAAGAACTTTTAAACTTCACTTTAAAGAATTCTTACTGTAGGTCATTCTCCACGAATACTTTTTTCATTCATATCAATCGAAATGATAGAAATTAAAGCAAAATTATTAAGAAATCAGTCATCAGTATTTTTATGTGGTGAGACAGTTGAACTATTTGTTACATTTTCAAATCATTCCCTTCCTGAGCATAAAATATCACAATCGAATGTGTAAGTTAATTAAATTAAACAAGAAATTCAATATGACACACATTCATTGTTTTCAGAGATGTTTTGGAGAATTTGGCATGGGCTTCAGTCCAAATTAATGGATATTGTAAGACTCAAGAACTTAAGTCAATAATTTCGAATCAAAACCAAGTTTTACCAAGAACGAGTTTAAATATTCACGAAAATTCATTCCTGGCGACTGAACCAAAGATCTTATTTTGCGACCTAAGACTTGCGAATGGGGAATCAAGAACATGTTAGTGTTTTCTTCTTTATATGTAATATTAGAAAATATTTTCTAGTTTGAATCTTTTCAGATTATTATCGCGAACAGATCCCAACTTGCCCTCCAACCTACAGAGGTGTTGACATCAAATATTATTATAAAGTTAGCATAGCTACACAACGCGTTGGGTCAAGAGTTCAACTTCTACAAGTTCCAATAAGAGTTCTTCCACTTTTAATTGAAGAAAAACCAGAACAACTTCCAGCTCCTTGTGATGTTACAAACGACGAACTCACACCTACAAATCCATTTCTGGATAATGATCGGAAAGTTGTATCGAAAGTCGAAATTGCTTTGGAAAATCTTCAAAATATTACAGCACGTCGTCGTCCTAATTTTTACATCATAACCAATCGAAGAGGAAAAGTTGGACGTTTTTGTCTATTCAAACCTTGCTACAAACTCGGTGAAGACATTGTTGGAACTTTAGACTTTTCTTGTCGTACTATTCGATGTGTGCAATTGTCAGTGACACTTCAATGTGAAGAGATACTGGCGAATAAAGTCAGTAAATCTCCTGTCGATGTAAAAGAGAATTCAAAAGGAACTACTGGAAAAATAACAAACTTCACTAAACATCATGAGATTTGTATTGGACTTTTACAAACTCAAATGATTCTTCCAATTCCACTTCATGTGACGCCATCATTCTCAACAGATTTGGTTGATGTCAGATGGAGACTTCACTTTCAATTTGTGACTACAACAAATGAAGAGTTGATGCCCATTGATGGACCACAAAATGAGAATTGGAATGGACCGAAAAATATTGACATAGAAACGATGGTTTGGAATTTACCAATAACAATTTATGCAACAAATCCAACACAAATCTTCCATCCAAACTCAGGAGATTGCTTGATATTGAAATAGAAATAATTTTATTCAATAAAATGTTTGATTTTAATCAGAATCTGTTTCCATTTCATTTGAAACTTCATCATCACTTTCATCATCTTTATCCCATCCAATCTTCTTTCCTGTCATAAAATCATTTCTTAATGCACTCCAATTTGATTCTTTTTCATTTTCTTCCTCCTCGTCACTTGATGTTTCTTCCTTTTTCTCATTTTTAATTAGATTATCTACAAATTCCGATTTTGCTCGAGGACCTGTCATGAGATTATCCAAAAATTTCTTTTTATTGTCGGCACTTCGAATGATTTCTTCACGTTTGCTCTCTAACTTAGTGTTTTGAAGTTTTTGTGTGATTTCTGATTGTTGATTTTTAACAGCATTAAATAGTTGGACAACACCGCGTGTTGCAATCTTTTTAAATGTTCGCTCCCGATCGAGATCAATTACTGACGGTTTCAATCTTAAACTGAAAACTCTCAATTTGTTCTGAAAATATAAGAATAATGTTAATAGAAAATAAATTTATTAGACTTGATTTCTAACTTCTCGTCTTTCTCTGTGTCTTCTTTTTTCAAGAGCACGTTCCAATGCTTTCTGATCTGGCTTTTCTTCATCATCCTCTGCTTTAGTTTCGCCTTCAATCTCAAACGTGTACGATTTCTTTTCTTTCTTTTTAGCAACATCTTCAACTTTCTTTGCTTTTGAGAGTACTCCAGATTTATCTGAACTGAGTACTTTTGCCATTGAACCAGCCCATCCTTTCATTCCTCCTTCATTCATCTCTTCGTCTTCATCTGATATTGGATATTCTTCATCATCACTTAGACGGTTTGATTCATCTTCAATTAATTCTGGAGCACTATTTTCACTCTCATTATCTGATTGTTCAAGAGATTTTCCTTGAATTTCCATCATTATGACTTATTTATTAATTTTTTAGTTATTAAAACTTGCTCGAAGTTGTTTATTTTGTTTACAATTCTAAAATGTGGTTTCAAGGGGTATGAAAGGGCGCGAAATTATTTCAAAAAGGATATACAACTAAGTCACAGTTTCATATGTAAACAACAAACCGGTGTGATTTCAATAAAACTTTCAATAATTTTTGTATTCTTCCTTTAAATCTTACTGAATTTTAAAAGTATTTAAAACATAAAAATAATGCTTCGAAATAAGTTAATCTGTTTGGAACATCCAAATCCTAATGGTGTCAATGTTACTGATGAAAAACAATTTCGCAATTTGGTGTTATGGTTGGAAGATCAGAAAATAAGAAAATATAAAATAGAAGAGCGAGGAGAATTAAGAAAAATCGCTAATCCAAGTTGGTCAACAGTATTTGACAAATATAAAAATGATCTTAATTGTCCTAAAGAGTTGACATCCAAAATAGATCAATTAAATTGGATTGTTGCTTACGCAGTCAAACTTGAGTACTTGGATAATGGTAAACATTGAAAATAAAATGAAAATGAATTTATTAATTAAAGTTATTACAATTATAGTTGACGAATATCGAGGGATGACATCAGAAAAGCTAAAAGAACTTCAAGAAAGCAAAACAAGCGCTCCAAGTGTAAAATCTGTGAATCCTTTCGATAATCTTGATTGTAAGATGAACATAATTAAGTTTTTCTATATTATTAGATTAAAAAAATAATTTTATCAGTCAACAGTCCACAATTTGTTGCGGGAGTTCGAAAATTAGCTGAGAAATTTTCTATAGCTCATCACCCTGATCATTTGCAAGTTCTAGCTGCAGTTAGTCGAATTATTAAAGATAATCTAAATAAAGAAGCTCTCAAGCAACCTATCCTTGAAGGAAAACCATTTCCAATCTTTGAAGGTCAAGGAATGAATCAGAAAGATGAAGATGTTGAACAAGCTGCTAGAATCTTGAGACTTCTTCAGGTTCAAAGCGTTCGGGAAATTCAAACAATTATCAATGAAACAATCGTCGAAACTCAAAGTCTCACATCTGATACTCCAAGAACTGACACAAGACTTGGTCAAGTTGGTCGTTGAATATTTTCAATCTTGCCAATGATTATGCGATTAAACATAAATAAATATAAGAAAATGCATATTTTATCTCTGATATTTCTTTGCAAATTAAATCTAATATTTCTTTCAATTCCAGAATCAAGTTTAAAGCTTTACATATTAGTAAAACAATCGCAATAATAAATTGAAATCGCAATATTTCAAATTCAGAAATTCATTTCATTTTCCCGATAAAATCTGTAACAAGACCATTCGAATGCATTTGAGTAATTATACGTGACATGACAACAAATTTATTTCAGTAGATAGGTAATTCAATAACTTTCCCTGATTTGCATTTTTGTTTGTACACAGTTGTACAAAGCATGGTTTATAAGACGAGTAAATTGGGAAGGTAAGTTTTTGGAAACATATATTTATGAATTTGCAAATTTTATTAAGTATCTAATCGTTACAATTTGTTTGTGTTTTGGGATTTACGTGCTTATTTTAAGTACCTAGTGTGTTTGAAATATTGACGTTATCCTTCAAACATTCAACGGCATCTATTTTATCAAATGATATTTCTGAAATTGATTTTCCTGCCTTCTCTTTCTGCCCGAAACTCAAAAATCTGCAAAATGAAATTGAAACTTTGCAAAGAAATGAATATTCTAGTGAATATCAACGAAATAAGTATCTTGGTCTTCACATGGATGTTAAGTCTAAATTTGAAATATGAGGTAAAGTCTAAGAAAATTCTTTTTTTTTTTTAAATTCCTTTATTTCATTATTCCATTTCTTAATTCCTTTATTTTTAAATTCCTTTGAATCCGATGTCCCANATAAATTGAAATCACAATATTTCAAATTCAGAAATTCATTTCATTTTCCCGATAAAATCTGTAACAAGACCATTCGAATGCATTTGAGTAATTACGTGACATGACAACAAATTTATTTCAGTAGATAATTCAATAACTTTTCCTGATTTGTAAATTTGTTTGTACACAGTTGGGCAAATCATGGGCAAATATAAGACGAGTAAATTGGGAAGGCAAGTTTTTGGAAAAGTTTATTTATGAATTTGCAAATTTTTTATTAAGTAATCGTTACAATTTGTTTGTGTTTTGGGATTTGCGTGCTTATTTTAAGTAAAATATTTCTGAAATTGATTTTTTTGCCTTCTCTTTCTGTCCGAAACTCAAATATCTGCAAAATGAAATTGAAACTATACAAAGAAATAAATATTCAAGTGAATATCAACGAAATATACCTAAGTAGGTATCTTGGTCTTCACATGGATGTTAAGTCTAAATTTGAAATATGAGGTAAAGTCTAAGAAAATAATAATCAAAGAAAATTCTTTGAATCCGATGTCCCAAACCTTTTGGATTTAATATTAAATAGGTAGGTACCTAATACAATAATAAAATAAAATAAAAATTCCTTGCATATTTTGTATAGAATTAATTTTAACGGCATTTAGAATTTTTAAAATATCCGTTTGTCATTGCATCATGCAACCGCGCAGTTGTTAACCTCTGAAAAAGTTTTGAGACTCTTCATTAAAAATAAACTTTATCAAAAATAAAACAGATAATCAAACAAAAACAATAAACAACTTGCAATGTGATTGAATATAATATCTTAAATGGAATAAAATAAGGAAACTTTGGAAAACTTTGATCTTTAACTCAAGATGAATCTTTTTTGTCCCATTTGTTCTGAACCCCAATTAAAGACTGATAACATAGTATCAACACAATGTGGACACATATATCATCGAAACTGCATAGAAAATTGGTTAAAAACAAGTTCCAAAAGTTGTCCAACCTGTCGCACTGGAACAAATAGTTGTAATCTTATAAAATTATATTTCGAAGTTGACGATAGCAAGAAGGCTTTAGTTTTTGATGAGATTCTTAAAAAAAATGATGAAATATCAGAAGAATTGAAATTTCTAAAACAAGAAAAAGAAAAGCAACAACAGAAAATAATAAACTTAGAGCAAGAACTGGTAGAAAGTTCTAAGAAAAACAAGAAATATGAACTTCAAAAGCAATTAGATGACAAAGCATTGGCTGGATTCAGAAGCTTTTTAAAAGATTTGGAAGAAAGAATTGTTAATTTAACTGCAAGGTTTGATGTTGATAAAGAAAATCTAAAAATTGCTTCAAAAATAAATCTCAATAATCCATCAAAACCGTTGACAATTGGAGCAAGTTTAAAAAAGGACTAATACATCATCGTGCAATCAAATGAACAAGAAACCGACTGGAATCTCATCTAAAAGTGTTCCAACAGTAACTATTTTTACACAGCTCTAAGATGCAATTAAACATTCATAGGTTTCAAGTTTAAGTTGAAAATTTCCAAATATAATGTGAAGGATTTGAGATTTTAATGAATTTCATATCATAAAGAAAATTCTTATGAAATTCTCCCTAAAACATGAAACCTCTGGATGTTGGTTGCACCTTGGAAAAACCTTGTATTTAATGAAAATGAGTGTGTGTGTTGTTTCTGTATGATTAGTGACATAGTTTTAAGATTTTGTCTCTTTCCTTTTTCATTTTCACTTTCACGGATTTCATATTTCAGGAAAAACATGGAGGAGAAAGTGCTTGGATCAAGGTAAAAGTTTACCACTTCTTCATAGGCATTCATCTACCAAAACTCAAACCAAACCTCGAACCAATTACTGAGTTTGAAATCAAACGTCAAACACCACTCGGCCACCTTATGAAGGCTTTTTGTGATCATATGGTATAACATTAAAATATTAGGAAAATAAATGATATCATTTAAATATTTAAAGGGCGGGCAAACGCATTGGAAGAGACAACTTCAATTCAAGTTCAATGGACGTCATATCTATTTGAATGATACACCAACATCACTTAATATGGAAGAAGGAGATGCGATCTCAGTTATTATTTATATGCAATCAATTTAATCTAAATGTGATTAAATTTATAATATCAGTTTATCAACAAAGATGTGAAAAAAGACATTTTTCATTGCGTGACCGTTATTAGAAATGTTTTCAGAAATTTTCATCTAGTAAAAGAAAATTTTCAAGGATTCCAACTTATGTTTCTTTAATACATTTTTCGCAAATCGTTAGAAAAATTACCCATCAGATTTTATTCACTATAAAAAAAATAAAGAAAAAATGCAAAACAGAAATAAATTTTTTATACGGGAATCACCTATAATGAGAGTTTTAACTTTATTTGACATTTTTTGCTTTCTTTCAGTGTTTTTGATATTTAAAGTAGAAAAGAAAGCTATAATTGTGCACCTTAATGCTTTTTATTTGTTTTTTAAAAAGTTAATTCAATGTATAAAAGGCTTTTACTTAAAATGAATAATCCATGCATATGTATGAGCTGTTAATTGATAACTGACGAATACTAACATTAACTCATTTCAATTCATCCGTTATCAGCTATCTTCATCAATTTAGGAAAACATAGCAACAGACTAAGGGAAGGTCAGCGTCTAATATCAAGGAATTCCTTCCGATTCTTTTGCTTTTATTTTTATTTGTCATTCTCTAACTGAATTAAGCTTCTGTCGAAAGCTTTCACAATTTCAACAATATTTCTCTAAATATAATCAAGAAGCATAAAAAGTTTGCATTTATATCGTTAGAGTGATTCAAAAGTAAATTTTCTACACTTTGGATTGAATAATTGAATTGGTAAATAATAATCGAAAATCGATATCCGCTTTTGCTTTCAAACAGCCCTTCAAATCGATCAATAAAATATGGCGCTTTAATGACATTTCTGTTGTCACTACTCTCGTATCTAATAATAATAAATAATTATTGTGAATTATTTGTTGATCATCAATCAATCATATTATTCACGTATAAAGCCGAAATCCTAACAACTGTTAGTGGGTTGAATTGTTAATATCACAATGAACGTAAATTTCCCTTTTGTACAGAATGATTATACATCTGTTAGCGAAAATATCGGTCAGCTATTACTGACTTTCTTTGTTTCCTTTATCATTGTTCGTCAACAAAATGGACATAAGATTGAAGCAGAATATGAAGGAATTTGGGTGCAGCTACTATGATAGTTTTGATATATTTGAATAACGACTGCGAAGCGGTAGCAACAATGTTTGCTTTTAAAACAAAAGGGTTTGGCCGCAAATCGCGGGTCGTACGCGAGAAATTCGAAGACAAATCACGCTATGAACGGCTACGATTTATGAAGAGATCGTTTAATGCACATCAAGCAACTATGACTTAATTGGGTGAAGGTTGATACTAATTGATGTTACTGAGTGGCGGTCAGTTGTTGACATTATCATGCCGTGAACCCTTCAAGATATGATTTTCAAGTCATTTTCCATTTTCCATGGAAGCTTTTCCAATGAGTTTTCCTTCGAAGTTATGAAAATATGAGAATAGAAATTCAGTTTTGTTTTAGCTTTCGATGTTGTGAGAGCTTCACAATTATGTAAAGAACAGACCACAAGTATAAACTTTCGTACTTTTAACATTCAATATTTTTAATTAATTATGCTTGTAAAAAACCTAGAAATAAGTCGGTTAACAATTTAATAAAAGTAAAAAAGGAATAAAATTTTATCTCTGCAGATAATTTTTTTTATCAATATTTTGGTCTGTCGCCAGCAAGTCACAAAATTTTTGGAGATAACAGAAGGGAAAACAGAAAATAAAGAAAAAAATTACTGTTGTGAAAAGAGGCAAAAGCAGAAGATATCTAAAATAAAAAGTCTTGTGAAGTGAAAACTTAACATAAATGTTGGATACAAAAAAAGTTTCTATGTGAAAATTCTGGTAAGAAAATGCAAGTAGATGACCGTTGTTGAAATAAAATTACCATAATGCATAGTGAAAGTGCAATTTAATATCGTTGAGCATTAAAAACACATAATGAAAAACTTATTTAAAAAGTGCAAAAATATATTTTCCACACATTAACTTGAACTGTTTTAAAAGCTTAACAAATTTTGGCGAAAGTTCAGTGAAGACTTAAAATAAACTTAGAAGCAAAGGATAAGTGAAAAGTTTGAAACTGTCAGTTGAAAAGCTTTCAAGTTATTCATAAAACAGTTCACCAAGATGTCATTAAAATTGTAAAACTAATGACATTCATTTCTCATAAAAGATTCATCAAAAACTTGGACGTCCCGAATTTCTCTCAATGAATTCTCAAACTTTCTGTTTGTTCATAACAATTCCATGTATAAATATTACAGCATAATTATAATGAATGGTTTCAACTTTATTTTCGATCACAAATTCATCGTTGCCACATGCATAAATCATTTACAACTTCACAAAGCTTTAATGTTCTTCTGCGAGAAAAATTTTGCCACACTAGCGAGTACATTTGACGATGAGAGAAAACTTTTCCCTCTGCTTTAATATCAGCATGAATTATTAATTGACTCCCTTGAATAATTTATACCTAACTAGCAATGAAAATGTGTTTGCTAGCTACATTTATTCTGAACCACTTAATATGTCGATTTACTTCATAATTATTGCAATTCTTTGCCATTTCTCTTTTCTTAAAGCTTTTAAAATCCTTTCATTTAAATCCACAAACATGTTTATCATGAACAAAAGATCTCGTTGCATTGCAAATTTGCATATGATTTATTTTTATTTAAGAAAGGGTGAAAGAAGAAAATTATATTTGAAACCCTCATGACCATGACACACGAGTTATGTTTATTTTGCGTGCTTAAGTAATAATTTTATGGCCCCATAAAATTTTAATTATTTATCCAACCACGATTTTTGTTTCTTATTTTCCCTGAACAACGACAATGTGTCATCAAACTCATATTTGTTCCGTCTTTGTGGCTCGGAGAAATTTTAAACCTTTTAGCCTGGATGTGACATTTGTCGTCTGTTAGTGAGTTCAAGACTGTAAGTTTACCTAGCATGCTTTGTTTTCCGTTCAGAAACGTGAATGTAGATGACTAACAAATGATAATTACAACTTTGAATGAGATTTAGATTAATTAATGAGCGTAAATGAAATCTCACTTGTGAATATTGCATTGAAATTATCTGTAATTATTTTTTAATCTCCCTCGAGATGTTGTGACATTCTTGATAAAATAAACATCATTGTAAAAAAGAAAAGCCGTGAGGTTTAATCGTCAATAACTTTTAATAACTACGGTCATGCGATTGCATGTAACATAAGAGTAAACTTATCGATGTTATTTAATGAAATCACACACATTTCTAAATTGCAAAAAATAACAAGAAAAATAAGGTTTCGTGACTAGCTTGCAATTTAATCCCTCATGGCCTTCATCGGGCAGAAAGCTTTTCTTCGCTCGTGTATTGTTTAACAGACCTTTCACCTTTCACCTTTCTTTTCCTCTCCGTCCGTGCTTTGCAGTATTCTTTCCTGTTTGTTTTTACTTTTTAATGCTCAGCTCAAGGGCCTTGCTTTTAAATAGTGAATGATGGTGAAATTTTAAAATTTTCATCTACATAAGTGAAAGCAGCAGTGAAATTGCTTTTTATCGCTATCTCCTGTTGGACATGCGCTATCTCAATCTTTATTCCGAATATTTTAAACATAACATGTGCATTTGATTTTTTAGTTTTATAAAAAAATTCATGAGGCATTCTTTCATGCATCCTCGTACGTGCATTTATTACAATCCTATTGATATCATTTTGTGTATTAAAACTTAAAAGCAGATTTTATTATGATTTGTATTTTTTTTTCTTATCGCAGATATTCAAAAAAAACAATGCAAATATACATAAATACTGATAATCTATTTTATTTGCTATGCAAATGTATGCTTTAAATAAAGTTTAATAAAAGACAAACATACACAATAAATAATTGTTGTGCTTTAAACAAAGACGTAGCTTTTCACACGAACATGGAATGTGATATTATTGACTATTACAAACTAAAAATACGCTCAAAGCTCATTTCCCACAAGGCAATAAAAGCTCTTTTGCTAATTAATTTTGTTTTACCATTTTTTCATACATGTTTAAAATTCTGGTGTCGTTTCCCATATCTTTTGTTTACTGACACGGTACTGGAAAGGTGTCTATGGGAAAACACGGAAAATGTATAAGAGTGGGTGAAATCTACAGGTGGAACTTTCACATTCATACCGTCTCTTTGCATTCATTGTACGGCAATTTTGTGTCACGTTTCTCCCCCTGTTTATACATGTAAAGTGAAAAAGTGTTACAGAATTTTCAAGTCGTGCTAAACAAGAAAGAAAAAAGTTTTATTTCTCAACAAACTTGTAATTTTAAGTCATGTACAGATGAAATTGATCGTTGAATTTTTTTTGGTACATACAATAAAATTTCCAATGATATTTTCCAGTTATTTTTCCAATAAATATACCACCCTCAACATTAACCGTGAGAGAATAAAGAAAAAGAGAAAATATTTGGAAAATATTTCAGTTTGTTGCTTATCTTATTCATTGTAGGGCTTAAATCGAAACGTTTCTTATTTTATATAAAAGAAATTGCCATTTGATATTTATTCAATAAATATCTCAATGTAGACATTTTAAAGTGTTCCATCTTCAAATTTCTGTTTCTGAGAGTTTTCTAATAAATTAAGAAATTCCGTTGATTGAATTTGAGTTCATTTTTGTTAATTTGTTAACGAACCCCAAAACACATTTTTTCTATTTGACTTCAATCCTTTTGGATGTGCGTGAGTAAATATTTATATAATTCGAGCCCGATTAAAAGAAAATATTCATCAACATGGTGATAAATTCATGTGATATAAGCAGAGACGAGTTTAACTCGAACAAGATATTTTCAAATGACAGATAAACTATAAAACAAGTTCAGGAGAAGTTTGTTGTTAAACTTCAAAAGCATATTTTTATTGTTCAAATTACTAGGTAGAAATATCTGAGACATAAACGGATTCTGTTAACATTTGCATACATACATAACAGCTAAGCTGCTTTACTATTATTTCTTTTATGTTGTTAAACATGAACGATAAGTACCAGCATCACATTTTGAAAAGATTTATCAACTATCAAGGAAGAAAAGTTTGCAGAATAATTTCGTAAAATTTCTTGTTCATACTATCTGCTTATTTAAAAATGAAATATTATAATCAAATTGTAAATAAATTCATGCGCTATGCATGCTAACAATACTGTCGTTGATGTTAGGTGGATAACAAAAACTTTCCACCCATCTACATAAAAAAGGATAAATTAATAATGAAATATTAGAGCAAAAACGAGGCTCCAGTTGTGTAGCTTTGGTCAAATATAAACTGCTAGTCATAATTAATAATATTTGAAGATTTATGTGAAAACGTTGTCTATGCAACGAATGATATCTCAGGATTGAAACTTTATCGTCAGCACAGTCTATTGGACGCATAAAAATAGAAGAAATATCAACTTGATGTACAAATGTAGGGGAGAAATAAGATGAAGAACGTTCATCATTGATAAGCTTACAAATTAATCTTCAGTGGCTTTTCTGAAACAAAAATTTATTTACTGAGCGTATAAAGAGAATTTATCTGAGTGTGTTGATGAACTTTAACTCCATCATCCTGAAAATCATACGAGAAATGTTTAACCACGAAGCTTTAATTCATTTGAGATATTTCTCGAAATTTCAACATAAATATTTTGATTATTTAGCCTCCTGGTTGTTGATATTTCATGGTGGAAATATTCGAGTATGAAAAACTGGGAAATTTGAATGAAGAACGGTTTTGGTTTTTATATCGCGTTTTGTAGTCGGCGACATATTTATCAGCGTTATTTCTCATATGCGCTCACATAAGTACAACTGAATTATTATAGCAAATAAGTTTTTATATGTGAAATCAAAAGTGCTTTGAGATCTTTTGTTTGCTGATTTGTGCGTGCTTTTGTCATGGAATTTCAATGTTTCAATAGAACAATACCATGTGGTGGTGATGTTGATGCCATTTTTACCACGAATATTGTTCATGTTGATTTATGACTTTCTTTCAATAACTTTTCAACAAGTTATGAAAGCGTTTATTGTAATTAATAATAAAACGTTAATGTTCCAAAAGCTTTAAGCCGTGATTTGAACGATGACTTGAATCATTCATTCTTCATTGTTTTGAAGGACGATTAAACTTTGAATGGAATGATTATCAAAATCTGATGGATTGTTTATTAACAAAATCATGTATAAAATTTTAAAAAGCCTTTCTTTGTTGTCATTAAACTTTTTTTATATCATTTTTCATGTGTTGATAATTCACTTTAATTCCCATTACTCCATACTTTACTCCTAACATGTTCATGCGCAACTCCTTGAATTTCGAAGAGTTTTTCTGGGACAGGAAGAAAGAAAACTTTTACCGCATTATTCCTGTTTTCATTCCTGTAAAACAAATTGTTGAGAATAAAATGAAAATGTTTTTCATTTCCTCTGCCTTTCTTCTTAGACATTGCTTTAAAAATTCCTTTCATAAAGTATGACTTTAGTTCTTACATTCAATTGCTAAGTGGTCATATCTTGGAAAGAAGCCTTGATTTCAATAAATCAGTGCTTCTTGTTTCATTACACGAAAGTAATTTTTAAACGTTACTTATTCATGAGATATTTCACAGTGTTGGATTTCCCTCGCTGCTTGTTACATCAAACACCAACCTCTTTCATTAGGTTCGCTAGCCGAGTTATTATTTCAAGCGCGTTCATACGAAATTTTTTTGATTAAATTTTTTCTTGTTTTTATTTGTATTTTTTTTTGGTGGTTTAGGCAGCACCCCAAGCATGTTGTTTCATTAATAAATAAATATTCAGTTGTATACTCATGTTGCATTCCTTTCCACTTACAACAGTTACCTTCCAGCTACAGGTAAAAAGAAATTTTTTTTCATCCATGAATACTTCAACCACACATACATGTTTATGGCCTTTGGATAAAGAAATTTGGGATTTACTCCTACGCATTGATTGCTTAATATTTAAAGGAAATATGATTAGCTTGAAATCGAAATTCAAATCTTATTTTATCTGTTATGCCCTCGAGCCAGAACGTGCTTCAAGCGAAGCAATCTTCTTTTGGCAACAGATGATACCACATTACGATTCAATTGTTTTTAAATTCTAATCAAATCTCATTTCTGCGTCGTACGAAAATTGTTTCTTATATTTGCTTCTCTTTAACAGTATTAAGCTTCGTTTTATTAGGCAGAAATCTGTTCGTTTCACTTGTAAGTTTAAAAGCCATTTCAAGGATTAAAATATAATGGATGTCAAGAGTAAAACATCTTCTATACATACATACATCCCTTACCTTTAAATATTTGCGAAATCATTTGGCACAAACATGAATACCTGTCTTCAATGATGCCAAAACTGTATTTAAGGATGAAATATTTCCTTTTTCTCTTGTGCTTTATGAAAGATAGCTCTTCAATAAGATGATGAATGAACGTGAAATCACTCTCATTCAATCCCAATTGAGTCTATACTTGAAACTTTTCTTTATGGCTTAAGAATTTCCCTTGAAAAAGTATCAAGTTTCAGTGCTGCTTAGAGAGATTTAAAAAGTACAAATAATGTTGTGAAAGCCTGAAGAAAATTCCCATAGTGAAAATCGATGTATGGATCTGAGATCCAGACCATTAAATTGTGATTTCATTCAAACTGAAAACAGTCGCAATATCCAGCGACTTCAATGAAATATTCATGACCGGTCATCTCTCATCGTCTCAGTAATCTTCAACATTTTTTATATTGAATTATGGAAAATGAATTTTAATGGTGAGGTCATGAACAAGTTCTTCCGGCGATACGCACCGTAAATGTTGAGCAGACGACATGAATAATTCATAACAGTCATCATTTATTCCTTCACGGTATTTGTGTTTGTTTTCTTTTCAATGAAGATACTTTTTTTTCACTTGATCATTAATTCGTGACTACAAAACATGAAAAAGTTTTTCATTATTTTTCTTTTCTTTTTAGTCATCGCATTGAAATAATTTAAATAACTTCCATCATTCAGAAAAGACGTTTAAGACTTGAATTACCTTCAAGAAAACATTAAATAAAGTTGATGATCAAACGTGGGCTTTAATTTGACCTTTTCGAACGAACACAACAGAAACTTAAATCAATTTATCAAAGAAAATGTAAAGAAAATTTTCTACCTTGATCATTAATGCACATCCAGCTTGTTTTCACCAACTCACCTCGAAAGTTTTATTTGAAATTAAGTGGAAAAGAATTTATGATAATTACTTGAGTCGACTGTCGTACAATAAAACATTAAGCATTGTTTTTCTAGATGAGGAAAGGAAAGGAAAGGCAAATAAATATATCTTGTTATGTAGTGAGAATAATAGCTTAAGAACTCTATCATTATAAATATTTTATTCACACAAATCAAAATGAACACAATGTAAGCACAAAAGTGACTGTTTCCTTCCTAAATTCCTTTTCCAAAACGTGTATTTATCTTTACGGCATATCTATTCACATTAATTGTTTTCCTTAGTTATTTCGATGAAATTAGGGGCTTAATTTAGTATCGTTAACCTATAAAAGTTTGCACAAAAGTATCATTTCAGACTTTGACGACGGTTGAGTCTTGAAGACGGCAAATATAAAATATTTACGCAAACCATTGAATTAAAAATGAGAAAACGTGTTGAGGTGGATTAAAAGACTCCCTTCATGTAGGAAGTTGACGTTTTATACTATAATTTAAACCCACACAATGACATATAATAAACTCATTAATTCCATGATCGATACACGAACTTTCATCAATGTTTTTCATGTTATCATGAATTCAAATGTAAATTTCATTTCTCGAAAATTAATAATTAAAATTCAATTAGAACAAGGATTTCGTGGAGAATATGTTATGATGATTGCTAAAAAATGTTCATTTTTTTCTCTTTTTCTCGTAATTGTTTAAAGCAAAACGTTTGAGATGTTGGATGGATGAAGTGAAAGTCTCAAAGTAAATTTATATTTAATGACAGACAGAGCGTTTCATTTTGTTCAGTAACTGATAAACTGAGGCAAAAAAAGATCTTATCGCTTAAACTTATTTTGTTCTTATCACACTGAGAAAAGCAAAAAAATTCTCTAAACTTCTTATAAAACAACAAAAACATGAACAAAGTTTTTAAAGATTGATGTTGAGATGTTTGATGCTGATCATTAACTCTCTTAATTTTTCTTATGCTTTGGTTTCATCGCCTTCCCATATTCCATTTTAAAAATTCATAACAAATGCTTCTTATCATGGTGCTTGATTATACGATGCGTGAATGATTCGCTTAAATATTTATTTTCATTACTCGGAAGCTTTTTAATGATGTAACAAAAGATAAATTCCAAAGTAAGAAAGATTATTTTATTACGTTGCAAGTGGAATTCTCCCACGCTTGGATTTACTTGATTCGTGTCTCCTTCTCTCTTACTTAATAAATGTTTTCAAACTTAGAAAAGCTTTAGTCGTTAGCGAGCTTTTATACGTGATGCTGCTTCGGTTTGAAAGCTTTAGTCATCCACAACAGTTAGCTTCAATTTTCGTCATACTAAGCATACACATTTTCCCAACCTCATAACGCAAATTGTTTATCGCCAATGAAATAAAACTTCAAGTAAAAAAATTAATTTGCAACCCTTTTTTTCGGGTACTTTAATCGTAAACATTTTTATTAAGCAACCGCAGCGAAATAAAAATCTCGTTACACATTTTCCCCGCACTGTTAAATAACATTTACTCAATCTTTTTACAGAGCTCGTGTTAGTTGATGTTGAATCTCAGACAGAATATTCGAAAAATCGTTTTGGGATGCTAGCTTGTGATAAATCACCACACTATGCAGGTAAATAAAAAGTTTTTCTTTTCTTTTCTAGAAAGAAAAATAAAACAATCCAATCTGTTGCTATTTCGCTTTCGAAATGGTCTGACATCAAAACCTAAACCTACATAAATGACATTTAAAGAACAATATTGCTTTTGTGTCTTTCCATTCCCAACGCTATATCTTAAGCAATGAGAAATGAGAAAGAACAGAAATACTCTTGTAAATTAACTAATAAAAAGTATAATGTGACGGAGAGAATCAAACTTTATTCCTTCTCCCAATAGAAACCCGAAAAAAGACGCGATTCAACGTCAACGCGTCTGAAGAAAATTTGGCGTTCGCCAAAGCAACAATCAACATTCAGCTCCGATTCTGGTGGCGAAAGCTCATCAAGGCACGAATCAAAATCTTCACTGACACTTCAGCCTCCGTTACCGAACAATATTAGTAAACCAGCCTGCTCGTTGCCTTTACTACAAATATGGCCTAGTCAAGACAGTCCAAGAAGTGAACCTGACGGTCAGAGTTTCATTTTCTCGGTTGCGATTGATGATTCTGTAAGCTTCTTACTATTATTTATTATTTAATAGCATCATTAACTGTGATTCTTTACAGACGAAACAAACCGATACAACATTTATCGAACAATCATCGTCATCATCAGCAGTAATAAATCGACGGTCTTCATTAAATGTTGAGCATGGTGGAGATTCTGGAATTGATTCAGTTCAAGCTTCACCTTCACCAATCACTCAACCAACGAACCAACCAATTATTATAACAAGTTCCAGCACATTGAAGCATTCTTCCAGTAGTAGTCCAACCCCTTCCGACAAATCCAATCATCGAAGATTGCTTCATCCGGATCATGCTCGAACTATTCGGCAACCAACATCGCCTGATAATGTAAGTTGCATTAATATTAACTTAAAATGTACTTTGACAATTGAATCATAATTAAATTACGCTTGTTGTAGACATCAATCGAAGACAACAATGAATTTTTTGGTGGCAACTTATGCACAGCAAGTTCAAGTACAACTTCGTCTCTTACATCGATCGCAGCAATTGGAAACACTGCTAGTCATTTTAAGCGTCTCTCTGACCCTTGGCTACATCGACAATCAAATAATATTAGTGGTCAAGATGATGAGAACATTGATCAAGAGGCACAACGACGTCGCTCAACTGGACGATATTCACTTTTAGATGCATTAGATTTAGAATATGCTTTGTTGCGAGCTGCGGCTCGTGGATCTGTTGGACCTTACTCGCTATCCGAGTCTTTACACAAATTGACCTTTACGCAATCTTTAGCCTTTCCTGCATTAGCACGAAGCATCACAAGCAAGCGACGGAGATCAGTTGATCATCCCCAACTACGACCACTCGATCCAAACGAATCTGGATTAAATCTTCTCGCTAAATTCGTCACTGCTTGCGTCTTGGTGCTGGTTAGCTTCTTAGTATTTTTTATAGTATACAAATTCTCAACAACATGAGGTTTACTCCTTCTAAATCCTGATAAAGGAAGTGATGAGAACGAAACGACGACGATAACATCAACAACGAATCATGTGATATGGAATCATACTGAAAATTCAACGACAACGTTTTTCGACTTTCACGCTTATCAAAGGGCACTGCTAAAGCGTAATCAAACGTTAGCAGAGGGATTTAGAAGGCTCTTTAATCATACAAAGCCCTAAGCATTAATCGAAAGCTGTGATCGACTTCGGCGAATGAAATTAATTATTATTGATTAGTATAAAACCTCGTAGTTATATACATAATGATAATACTTATTAGATAAGAAGAAAGCTTCTCAAATCGAATTCAAATTTATCCTAAGATTATGCTGGTTAAAAGCAAGTTGGTTGTATTTGATAACAATCTCGTTATTTTTCATCTTCATAGCAATTTTTAATGTTAACAAATTTATTTAACTACGCTACTCAGGAATGTCAAAGTTTATTTTATGGAGGGATAAGAATAACTTTTGTTGCTTTAAGGACTTTTATGAAATGTTGCGTAAAAGTTTGTTTCAAATTTTTTTGTTTCAAACAAAAACTTTTCTTAACTGAAGTTACCTTCTTAAATTAAACAAAACGTTTCCTTAAATATCGTAAATTAATTCCATCTTTAGCCCACGTAATGGTCAACATTTTACTTTCTGATTAATTTTCTTATAGTTTTTATTGTGTTTATCATATTCAACAACGAATAATGAAGGATTTTTATTTAATTATTCAAAACATATTCTCATATTTATGTTAATAAAAATGTTGAAATTATTATCTTTAAGCAGCAGATTTCATAGACAAAACTTAATTGAGAACTAGCTGTTGTTGTTACAAACACAGCAATTGTGATTTAAGCTAAGTTAATCATAAACTTTGACATTTCAGAGTCATCAAAATAAGGTTGAACTAGTGAACGCATACTGATCGAAACAATGCACGAACTTGCTCATATGTACCAGTCAAACCCATGTCAAATTAATTCACTTATAAATAACACAAAAATTAAATCAAGTCAATTACCTATTTCGAAAAACCAATTACAAAAAATGTCATTTTATTGCAGCCATGATTTGCGAACATTTTATTGTGTCACGATTTTTGTAATAATATTTTTATCACATATCCACTTATTTATTATTGAAAACTTATTTAACGATAATGAAAATTAATACCATTGAAAATTGGAAAACTTCTCGTTCGAATGAGGCATGTTTTATAAATTGAGATAAAACAAATTGAAAGTAGAGCATGTTCAGTTGTTGATAAGAATTAATTAATACTCTATCAATGTTTTGGGGAAGGAATTCTCCCAATTTATCATTAAACTTTAAGTGAACAAATTCGTTTTTTTCCTCAAAACATTCGAAGACATCCTCGTTGAATATTTTATAAAACATCCCTTCAGTTCCTTTTAAATTGAATTCTCAATACGTGACACAAGCTTTGACTGACCTTTCAATTCTCAATACTGATTCTTCACATATCGAAAATTAAAGTTTTAAAAATTAAATTCTTTAAATGTGAACAGCAAATATTTATGCTGTAACTTTTTTACATTTGATCATTGATAATCTTGAGAATTCTTTATGCAAGAATATAACAAAAACTCTATTAATTGTAATTGTTAACTCTTTAATGCGCCTTTTCATAGATATAAACCAAAAGCATGAATACAATGAATTCAAGAATGAATCTACTCTAAACTAATTTAATAATAAGTCTCTCAATCATTCTTTTCCTTCATCTTGGCGATAATAAATTTGCAAGTAAAGATTATTTTAAGAGTTATCGGTTATCCTCCCACATATTGTAAAAGGAGAAAAAGAAAATCTAACAATAAATGACGACAATGAATCAAAAATAAATGTTTGGCTTGAGAATTTTTCTAAATATGAAAAAGATTAAACATCTGGAATGACCAAATCTTCTAAGCTGCAATTTTCATCTTCGTCAAGATCAATGCTTGAACAATCACTGCAATATTTGTGTCCTGAATCTTCACTCTTAATAGTGCTCGGTGACGATGATGTGCTTGAGTAAACCGCACCACCAATATAACTTTCACTGTCATCCATATCTGAATCTTCAAGTGAATTCAATAATTCTTTTTTCAGATCAATTGAACGAAAAACTTTATCAGGTTGAGCAAAGAAGCTGTTTGGCATTGTGAGAGCATAATTTTTGAATGAACTACAGAAAAGTAAAAACTAATTGATTTGATGGAAATGAAAAAAAATTAATTTTCTTACTTTTGAATCATATCAAAAGATATTTGTTTAAGTTGTGTATGACACTGAATACTGTTTGTAATGCGATAAATTGTTTCTGCATTCTCACCATTAATATTTTTCAGCATTTTTGATTCACAATGTTTCAATAAATCTGTGACTTGGTAACGATCAGCAATTATGATTAAATCTTCAAATGGAGTGTCATCATTGCGAAGTTCACCAGTATATAAGAAAAATAAGAATTCTTCGAATATATCAGGAGATACATCTTTAATTTCTTGAACTTTACTGGCAGATTCACGAAAATCGCCAGTAAACATTCGTTCGAAAACTGGTGAACGTGCTGCTAGGATTGCTTTATGAACTTCAAGTCTACGACCGTTGACAATGAAAGTAAAATCTGATAATGTTCCCGACGATGTTAAAGATTGAATGTCTTGTAATAATTTTGCATGTCGCATTTCAGGGAAATAGACAATATCGTTTGCTTCGGTCCAATTTGCATCCTTCACAGTTACCGAACCAGTGATGACAAGCGATCCATCATCTTCAAGAAAACTTCTTCTAAAAGCAACATTTGCAAATTGGTCGTTTGTTCGTTTTATGAATGCTGATTTAAACCAAAATCCATCAACCCAAATGTAATTGCCACATGATGTTTTTAAATCCAGTGTAACTTGGCATGGATCTGTCGGTATTCGAGTATCCATGCCGAAAACAAGTTTTATATCATTTTTAGTGATAACTTTCAAATAACTAAAATTACCAATAATTAATAAGCATTTAACTACTAGGCAATTAATTTCTACATGAACTCACCAGGATGTAAGACCAGGTATATCAAATTCCATGACATCAGATCTTGTTCTTTCTTTCATAAAATCTTTTATTGTGAAGGAAAACTTTGAAGTGTAGACTTTTGTTACTTCAGAAGATATTTGATGACTAACTTCGGCCATATCTGTTTAGTTTTAATGCACAATAGAATTATAAAATGCAATCATTTATTAAATATGTTTAATTGTAAAGAAAAAATGTAAGTGGCTCGAATTACCTAAGTAGACATTTGGTAGATATTATCTTATTGAACTCAGCAGAGCGTTTTGAACTCAGTTTCAGGTTTGAATTTGAAAATAACGTTAAAATTTAAATATTTGATAATTTTGCTGATTTTTTTATTTATTTAATATAAGATATCTAGAATATTAATTTAACAACAATATTTGATTAATTTAGATATACTGACTATGACATTTATCAACGACAATTAAATAAATTTACAAATCTAGATACATCACTTGAGTAGCACTTATTGCACCACAGAAACTTAAAAATGCTGCAGTACTGACGACTGCTGTAGTTGTTTGCGTTATCGACACAATTTGACCCATTGCACATGAAAGAATAAACTGCGCTAAAAATACCATTGAACTAACAATCGCTACATCAGTTCCAATGCCTCGAGTTTCACCGGAATATTTCGATTCTCCAGTTTCAGAAAGTTCAAACTATTAAAATTAATTATTTAGGAAATTAAATTGAAAATATTGACAGTAACTTACAACTCCTTGTGCATGATAATGTGCCACTAACAAATATGGCATTGTGAATAATGTTGAATACATCACACCTTTGAATTAGAATATAAATTTTGAAGTACAATATAAATTTTCGATTGATTTTTAATTAAATTATTTCTCTCACCTGCACCCCAACTGAAGAAGATAACTCCAATCTTATGCTTTGTCAAAGCCATTAAAGTCATAGATGCACAATAAAATAGTAGACCTCCAATATAAACTCTCTTTGCTCTATATCTTGCTATCAATTTCTCAATACACAATGAATAGCAAGCACATGATAAAGAATACATTGCCATCCCAAAACATCCAAATCTTACGCCTTCTTCATACAAAATATATTTCTCTGATCCATAAATTGCCTGAAGAATGAAAGAATTTTCTCAGAAAATAAATAAAATTTATCGCTCAGATACTTTACTTTTGGATCGCCATTGAAAACAGCTTCACCCACGAAATCAGTGAAATACAAAGAATAACAAACATGTGCCATCCAACAGAAAAGATTTGTCAAACATACCATTCGAAGAGAGAATGGCATGAAGATGATTGATTTCAAATAGTATGAAAGTGATTGAACACCTTCTTCATTTTGTGATAATATTGGTGGTTTGTTTTCTTCCGATGAAAATGAAGTTTCAGCAACATTTTCACCTGGCAGTGATGAATAACCGGCATTTTCAACACCCATTTCCAAAGTAATTTCCTTCTTTTTCTGATGCGATGAAAAATTTTGATCGTCTTCACCTTGATCCATTGCACCATAAGAGTTACTCGCTTGTTCTTTTTCGCTACCAAGATTTGAAAATGACTCAAGAAGAGCCAACGGAATTTCATGAAAACTGGTCACAGTGATAGATACGCAGATAACAAATGTGATTGTAATGAGAGTAAAAACAGATCGAACATTTCCACCCAATAATACACCAATTTGAGTAGCATCCCAGTTGATTCCACCAAGAGAATATCCAAAAGCACCACCTAAACCAGCCATTATTGTGAATGTCGATAAACCCCTTGCATGATCTTCCGGCAATGTAACATCTAACAAATATGCTCTCGATGGACTTTGACAAGCGTCAGCATCAAAATCTAATAAGACCGTCCCTAAGATGGTGAAAAATATTCCCCATGTATGAGATGAACTTGTCGTTGTCAACATTTCAGTGAATTCTTGATCGGAATCAATAGCAGATGTTCGATGTGGGAGCAATTTAGTCTGATTGAATGCTATTGTTTCATTTGGCATAGAATAAAAGTCTCCCAATGAATAGCCAATGTCTTCACCATTTGGAACCAATAAAAGACCCAAAAGTACACCAATTGATAGAAGAATAATAAAAGGACGACGACGTCCCATCGGGTGATGACAACGGTCACTTAATGATCCCAACAGTGGCGTAAGAAAAAATCCTATGACGGGACTCAACGCCCACACAAGTGTCATGTGTTGATGTTGAACCCCAATCTTGAGAAGAGTTGGAGACACAAATGCTAAATATAAAAAGGGAAGAAGACATTTACATAAAATCAAATATTGCTTCTTTTTATGACAACTTACCAGTTTCACTAGCATAAGCTAATTCAATTCCACATACACTGAGACTCAGTTTTATCAATTCGTAACGCGATTTTCGCCTAAATTAATATCATAAAACATGTATTAGAATCAGATTTAAAAGTGATAAAGAAAATGAAATTGATTGAAATTCATGACACCGAAATTCACATGAAATGTAAACATAAATGTAAAACGGATTGGAAATAAAATTCAATAAGCATTAGCACCATGTTGAGCAATGCTTATTGATTTTTGATTCTTGTAATCTGACACGTTATTAAAATCGATGATAATATGAAGGGATGCATGCTTGACCTGTATATATGTGAATAATCATCCTTGTTTTCGCTGCTGCCTTGAACATTAGCTGATCCCCTACTCGCATAATTTTTTGTTAAATCCACTAAACTTTCGCCTTCATGATCTTCACGCCAATTAGCAAACTTAGCTTTTAAATCGTCGCGCCATTCGTGAAACCTTCCTGAGAAACCTTGATAAGAATGCAACTTATCCATGTTACTAATTATTCAATGCACTTTTCTATGGTATTGTTTATAGATGAGATTATGAATTATTATTCCACTGTTCAATGTTGTAACCTTCGATTTGTTTGACACACTCCTAAGGTTTCTTCACTAAATGTCGTTGGGATATAATAATTGTTAGAGGTACAAAACACTGAACTCAAACGACTCGTTCTTCCATTGACATTTAATTTTTTTTAAACGCGTTATCATAAATATTGGTTTTTAAAGTTTATTTACTCTCAGAAATAATCACTCTTTTATACATTCTTCTATTTTCATTGATGTGATTGTATTGTATTAATGTTAATCTTTTATTAAAGAGGTCAATCAAAAGATCATCGCTATCAGTTTCTTATCTAACATTTAATATTGTTATAACGATTTCTTGTAACTTCCGTAAAATGTTAATATTCACACTTATTTTCCTTATCTTAAGATTTTTAATAATCTTCTGAGCGATCGAAAATGTTATAATTAATCACCTTCAAATATTTTTCTATCTGTTTCCGGTTAAGTTCGTTTTGCTTAACAGTTTAATCGTTATAACTTTTTTTTTATCAATTTTCTATTTTTTCCTCAAATGACTTTATGAAACATCTTAACTAAGCCAATTGAAATGTACAACTGACTACAAAAACTTTTATTGAAACAATGAAGAAACATTTCTTAAGAAGGAAACTAAACAAACTTTGTCACAATACAAAACAACAGTACAGAAGTTCAATGTAAACATGCTTTGTTCTTCCTTCAACAGCAACTTCTTAATTAGCCCTACATTATTCCTCTGCGACTGCGTATAAATTGCATTACATAAAATGAAGCCTTTTCCTAAACGAATGTAATAATGAAGAGAAATTTAAATCACTTCTGTCTCTACTGAGATCATTAACAAGCAGAAAGAAAGTTTTAAGATGATTGAAGCAACAGATGAGATTTCCCCTAGGGGTAGATGGGGAAATATTTTCATACTTCATTCTATTTAAGCAATAAGCTGACAATAAAAGAAAACTTTGTGGAAATTCCAAAGAATGATGAGAGAAATAAAGAAAATTAATTTTCTGAACAAAGTTAAGGATACTTAAGTTACGTTGAGGTAGTTAACATTACGTAGCTTTCCTACGTAACATTTTTGCTTTGATTTGTGGAAGTGTTAGTGTTGATGTTGGTAAATAGAAATAAACTCACATCAGCACATGATGAATAAGATTTCTATTTACCTACCTTCCTAGACTTTCAAATAAATAGATAGATGAAAAACAATGCAAATAAGTAACTACAAACTACCCAATTGTTACACGTGTTGCTCTATTATTATTTATCTTGTTATTTATAATATCTTGTCAAGATGTACCTAATCGAACTAGAATTTCGAAATAATGATCAGTTGCTATTAATTGTTTATCGTTTAAGGAACTAAATAATCGCGTGATAAAAATCAGCGACAATTAAAATAAATCAGCATATAACGAAACATGATGTTTTGATATAAGTGAATTGAAAATAGAAAGAAAGTTCGCTATTAGTTTATGCGTTCAATTAGATTATGTTGCAACAAATCTGAACTGGAAAAATCATACGCAGCAGTTGTGACAAATAAACTTTATTGTAAAAAAATGTTTAAGAAAAATAAGTGCAGACAAAAGTCTTGAAGGATATTAACAGAAAAATTATAATCAATAACAAAGTAAGAAAAAATTGCAGCAATCAAAAAAGTAATTGAATTTATTAAAAATTTTAGGAATTTTTTAAATCAACTTTTTCCTTCCTTTTAACGAAGTTTGATTCGAGCTTCTTATTTTTATATCGTAAGTTTGTTCAAACTCGTCTCACTTTTTTTGGCTCAAATCGAATGATTAATTATAGAACAACAACAATTGCAATTTTGTTTGTTTTCTTTCGTGTGTAAATAAAGAAATGCAAATTCAATATAAGAAATTCTAAACGCTAAATGAGATAAATAAAGTTTCCGTATTTCTTGTAAAATCAGCTGATGATTCATGTGCGTTCAGTGAATAATTGTTGACAGTTTAAGAATTAATATTTAAATAAACAATTCTTGATATTTGCACTGCAATCTTTTTGTTTATTTTTTAGGTTTAATCTTTCGATCTTTTTTTGAACATTCACTGAAACTTCAATTAAATACAAAAACGAAAACATAATCAAGATAAATCAAATAAACCATCAAGTGAAATTACATTTGGTAATCCACCTTCAGTGATCAACTCTATTTTCATTTCAATTTACCTTCCACAAATTACTTTCTCGTCATCCTGGAACTGACAAATAGCATCAAAATAGCTCGAACAAAGCGACCAAGTCAGGATATGACTTTAGATTTCCTCGACGACACGCAAGTCGATTATGAAGATGCATTACAACAAGCGGGATTTGGAAAGTTTCATTTTTTTCTGTTAGCCATATGTGGGTTGATTTACCTAAACACAGCCGTTGGGATTACAATCCTATCATTTGTCTTACCTTCAGCAACGTGCGGTAAGTTGTCACAAAAGAAATATTTAAAAGTTTTTGATTAATGACTTTCAGTCCATTCGTTTATCAGATTTTCAAATGACATCGGCTGATAAAGGATGGCTGACAGCAACTCCCATGCTTGGAATGGTACTTGGGTCTTACTTTTGGGGATGTTTAGCTGACATAAAAGGAAGAAAAATGGTTTTAATTGGTGCACTATTGTTAGATGGCTTTTGTGGAGTTTTTTCATCAATATCTCAATATTATTGGCTTTTTCTGTGCTTTCGATTTTTCAATGGTTTCGGGTGAGTTTGAAAAAAATGTTTTCTAGCTTAGAAGAGAAGAAAGAATGAAAGGTCATGAACATTTTCAGAATAACTGGGGCAATGGGAATTTGTTTTCCTTATCTCGGTGAATTTCAACCGACAAAGTACAGAGAAAAAATTCTCTGTTGGATGGAAATCTTCTGGACTTTGGGCGTCATCGCTCTACCTCTCATAGCTTGGGCAATCATTCCTTTAGAGTTGAGCATCGATACACAATATTTTACATTTCACAGTTGGAATCTCTTTGTGGCATTGTGTGCAGTTCCGAGTTTACTCATCGGAACTTTGTTATTTTTCTTTCCTGAAAGTCCAAAGTTTCTTATTGAAGTTGGAGAGCATGAAGAAGCGCTCGAGGTTCTCAAAGACATGTACCATAGTAACACAGGAAATGAACGAAGCGAATATCCAATAAAAGCTTTGAAATCAAAAGATCCAAAGAATGCAACAGACGCTCCATCGCTGAGAAATTTAAGTATGAAGAAACCGAGACATGTTAAACTTCTCTTAGTTGAAGTATGGGAACAGACCAAAGCATTGTGTAGACCACCGCATCTGAAAAACACAATTTTAACTTGTGCTATTCAGTTTGGACTGACAGCCTCGTATTATACTCTCATGATTTGGTTTCCTGAAGTCTTCTATCGTTTCCGAGAATACGAGGATTTAAATCCCGGCAAAGAAGCTTCATTATGTGATGTCAGCTTCATTATGTTGGACAAGCAGAACCATCCACAAATAGCTGAGAATTATTGTGGTAATCCTATAGAGCCAGAAGTTTACTTCCACACAGTCATTCTTGGTTTGGCTTGCATTCCGACAAGTCTTCTACTTCCTGCTTGCATTCATCGTTTGGGTGCGAAATTCTTCATCATCTTTAGTATGTTTATTGCTGGTTTAGTTACTATTGGACTTTACTTTGTTGAGAATTCTCAACAGAATCTTTTGCTGTCATGCATTTTTGAGGCTTTGACATCACTTGGAATAAGCACAGTTTATTGTGTGATGGTTGATCTTTTCCCAACAAACTTACGTGTAATGGCAGCAGCACTTTCCTTAACATTTGGCCGAGGTAAAGTTTAAACGATTTCAGTAATTTAATTTTTCTTTTATTGTAAATTTGATTTAATTTGCTAAGTAAATAATTGATGTTTTCCATTTAAGGTGGTGCTTTGCTCGGCAATTTAGTATTTGGTTTCTTAATAGACTTAAATTGCATTATTCCGATAGTGCTTTTCAGTGCCTTACTATTCAGTAAGTTTATAACTAATTTATAGCTTAATTACATTAAATAACTTTTTATGTTACAGTCAGTGGCATTCTTTGTTTCTTCCTTCCATCAACGGGACGAGAAGCTTTGGAATAAATAATGAAGACATCATCAAACTAATTTACATTTTATGTCACTGATGCTTACGAAATTATCTCAAAATTAACGCAACAATTTATGAGAAGTAAATAAGTTTATTTTTAAAGAGAATCTGAAAATTGTCACCATGTTGATTCATTAAATTAAATTAAATAATAAAAGTTTTCTTTCAAATATGATTTCTTAAGAAAAGATTAACAAAATTATCATTAAGGGATGGCGGGGGTGGATAAGCAAAATCTTTTGATGTTTCTTCCTTTTAAATTAAAATGTTTATTCTAAATTAAGTTTAAAAATAATTAATTGCAATGGTTTGGGATTTAAATGGAGAATCAAGAAACAGAAGAAATCCAGTCCAATACATCTTCAACAATAATTAACATTTTTATCATTATTGAAATATTTGGTAAAGTTTCAAACAAAAACTTTCACATTTAACATTTTCAACTGAGATTTGGTGTTAAAAATTGCTGTTGAGAAAAGCTTTGATGAATGTAGTAATTGTGCAAAAGATTTGTTGGTAGATTCGTATGTGGCTGATGATTACTGTATAGACCTTGTCGTTGTGCAATTTTTAAACGTGATGTTAACTGTTTCTTCCACTTGGTTCGTCTATTTTGGAACCAAGTTTTTATTTGCACTTCCGTCAAGTTGAGACATTTCGAAAGCTCAAGTCGTTTGCTTACACTCAAATATTTATCTTGTTTAAATTCATTTTCAAGCCTTTCCAGTTGCGTTTGTGAGTAAGCTTGTCGTGGCTTCCGATCAACTCCTGATTTTCTTAATCGAAGTTTTCCCATCATCACTCTTTGAGCTGCAAACAGCAATCGACCAGAAAAAGAAAGGAAAAAAAGAAATCGATTCAGTAAGTTTTAACTACGACGAGTCGTATTTGTATAAGCTTCATGAACAGTAAATTGTTAACTTTGATGCTAAAGGCTTTAAAAATAAATTTTCTGTTTGCTGTTAAAGTTATCACAAATCTTTATCGACTGTTACATCTTCATTACATTTAAAGAAGCTGCTACAGACGTGTATTAAGATACAAGAATCTTGGACTATCCATCATCCTTCATTCATCCTGTGATGCTTTTTGACACATTTAAACGAATATGAGAAAATCAAACATGATATGTTGACATAAACAATATCACAGTCAATGGGCCACAAACTAATACTCGATAAATTTGACAGATCGATGAAGAATCTTTTTTACTCTCCATTTGTAGCAGTTGATGATGTTTATTTTGACAATTATCACATCAATCTGTGCTATGAAGCTATTAATTATCAAACATTTTTACTCAATGATACCTTGAAGACCGAAATTGGCGTTCAATTCCATCCAATTGCGGCAGAAAATACTCGGTGTTTGCGGGTGAGAAGGAAGCTCATGGTTGATAAAATTCGAATCATACACTCGAACAGGATTCAGTGACGATGGATCTAAAAAGAAAAGGTGAAAGAAAAAGGAATAAATAAAAGAGAGAAAATTTATGACTCCACTTTCAGATATCCAGATAATCGAAATTTGGGTCGTTTTACCTTTCTGACAATATTCAAACCGATTAACCTTCACATCATCATTTAATCCTAAGATGTTTTCGATAGAAAATTTATTGCACAATTTCGCTTTAATTGACTCATCTTTACGATCACTTATCGTTTCACTTTTAATTTCTTTTCCATCTGTTTCACTCATTTTACGCTCCCGTAAAATTCAATCAAATTTATCTAGCTAAAGCACTTCTAATCCTATCAGCGTCCGTTCATGAAGTGCTTGAAAAAGGAGAGAGAAATGTTCATAATTTTTGATGATGCACGCCTTCTCTTAACACCTTTTTTTAACGCCGCAAACATTAGTAAGTACGTATATATATAATATGTACATATTTCCATCTTTCTTCATCACTAACCGGTAAATCTCTGAGAAAACAACACATGGCGTGCTGTATTTCTTGCTTCTTCTCGACGCCGTCCGCTTTTAAAAGCTTTTATTACTATAAAAAATTATGAATGAATCTCGTGTCGGCACGTAACAATGGGAGAAGCAAAAGGAGAAGGGAAACGATAATAAAAGTAAACCACTTAAAGGGATGCTGAATGAATGGCAAACATGACAGGTTTATTTCAGATGTAGAGTGAGAAATAATTAAGTTGTGCACTTAAATGATTAATTGATGAGCTTGCGATAGCAATAAATCACGATAAAAAAGAAAGAATAAGAAGGAAAGATTCAGATCAGATCGAATGATAAGTGATAAAGGAAGTAATTTAATTACTTCAACAAAATGGCAATATCCTTTTATTTCAATTCAATTTAATGAGTTTTTTCTTAGGCATGGGTACGAGACTCGTACAATGAAGTGAAAACATAAAAACAATTAAAACAACTGATAAATATTTAGGCGAAGATGTGAAAATGGGGTGATATTGAAGCAATTATCTTTTGAGTTTTTCACCATCACATTCTCTCTCTTTCTCTGTTGTTTTCATCTTCTATAGGCACGCGATTCTGTTAGCAGAGTTCTCGAAGGATGAGTTCATGAGATAAGAATCATCAATTTTTCTCCAACCGAGACAGACAATTATGGGTAAAGCACGTTGAAGAAAGATGAAGAAGAAAATTTTTCATGGGAAATTCTTATGTGAGAGAAAAGAGAATTCTGAATATTTACCGCCAACGATTCATATTTCTTTTATGATAAATGATTGCATGATTGCTTTTAACAGTGTTTAAGAAGCGAATCGTCTTACAACGTAAGATTGGAGCGAAAATAAAATCTTAGCGCTCAATTTGATTGATATTAATGCTACTTAGTATATATCATCATTTATAAGAAAAGATGAAGTCGATATGATGATGGGTGGTTGGTTTTATTTGTTATTTTATAGGTGAACACACAGATGAGTTAAGCACAAACACACCGACAAAGTTCATTGAATTTCAATTGTCAATTATTTGATAAATTTTCCCTCCCATGAACATCGCATGCAGGCAACAATTTTGTGTTATAATTAAACCATTAACACTTTATATGTTGGCTTGCATGGTACAAATAAACGATGACAACGATGGTGATGATGATGGGAACTTAACATCTGATATGCTGTTTCATGTGTGTACATAACAAGGGGAAACTAATTCAATTTATCACAGTAATTCAATCTTTATTAGTTTTAATATTTTCCAACATCTAAATCAAAAATTTATAGCTAAATATTAAATTGATACCTTCAGGATGATGTTTATGTTTATGTTTATGACGAAGCGTTTAAATTTTAAATTCATCAAGGGAATAGATAAATTTTTCAACCGAATTTATGTTTTTCTTCCATGAATGAAAGAGCGGAAGCATAAAAAGAAATTCTTTTCATACTCCCACGATCATCGTTGCATATCACAAAGTGAGTTATGAAAATGTGACAAAAAGTTGACGACGTGGAAAATCTGGGTTAAATTTTCTCCGTTGAATAATTCTTGAGATTCTTTCATCTTTTGTCTCTTCTTTCACGACAGTCTCGTTGCTGTTGTTGAAGTGAATAAACATAGAAAAAAGAAATTAAGAATTAAAACGAGAAATATGTTGCTAAGAAGCATTATTTTCACCTCTTTATTATGTAGACTAATAAGTGCGAGAATGCAAGAATTCACTTTGGATGTTAATGACATTCTCGATGAAAATCTCATGCCAGTGTCTTTAATGCTGCTCGACAATGAAAGTGCTAAACGTGAAGTGAAAAATTCTTCTTTAAATACCCTCGACGAAGAGTTCCAATGTGTAACAAAAGAGAAAATTAATGCAGAAGATGGAACATTAAGCAATGCATTCAACTCAATGGGCTTTCATAGGAGAATGATAAATAATTTTCTATGCAGTAAGTTTGTAGCCGAGAAAATCCTCGATGAAGTTCAACCATTGAGAATGAGAAATCGTTTGGGAGTTGCGGCAAATCGTTTGCCGGAAATGAAATTCATGAAGAATAATTCGGTGCCATTGAACGGTGGCGTCGAGAAGTCTCGCATGCTTTTCGATGAAGGATCTTATGAATATAAAAACTGGCTTGCAAAGTAAAATATTTCTGAATGATTGATGAATCAGAACCACTTCCATAATCTTTTCTCTTCTCGCTTAGAACTGTAACGTTGGAAGATATAAACAAAAATATAGAAGCAAGGAAATTGAGACGTCAAGATCAATTCGTTGATAATGGAAATCAATATAACGAAGAGAATTATGAAGAAGGCGACGTCACTGGATTTATGGTGCAGAACCCTCTACCAAATGGCGGAATTAATTCACTTAATGTGAGTTCCAGTTTTCTTCTTCTCTTTTAAAAAACGTTTTTATATGTAAATGGAAACAAAGTTAGAATGTGTGTTTGTTTATGATACTTTCAGCACTTTTCATCGCCACAAGCAACTGCGGGAGCAAAAACAGGTAAAAATATTTATCAAGCACATTAAAAATTTCAATTTTCTTTTAAACTGTCACTTTAACATTTTTGGAATTCTTTCTACTTTAAAACAAATTTCATTTTTGGACATTCTCGTACAAAATTCAGGGAAGATTTTTACTGAAGCTGCTCCGGTTCATGAAAACTTTCAAGAACCTCAAAGCCTTTCAAATGGTTAAGTTTAATTATCATCATTTCAATCTTGCCACCATAAAATTTAAACGAATAAAGTTTCTCTAATCCATTTAGGTTACTCATATGGACCGACAATGCAACAAGATTATTCATTTCACATGCCACCACCAATTTATCATCCGGCACTAACTCAAACAAAAGCAATTGGAATCAAAGATCTTTTCGACATTGCTTTAACAGCTTTGGCTTATCTTTCCTTTGGACTTTTCATGATTCAAGTGGTTTTATGTATATTTATGAGTAAGCAAAGTGAGACCTCAGTGATGTTGCCGATAGAAATGACAGCTGACGGAGCAGAAGTCGATCCGGCGGATGCTGAAGTTCGTGTTAAAAGAGCGATTGAAAAGCATACGCCAGAAGTCATTAAACAAGCGAATATCATCTCAAAGCGAACGTTACAAACAATGGAAGCATTTTTAATGGCGAAAGAAGACCGAGGGCGATGTTTGAAAAAGTTCATCTGCGAGAATAACAAATTTTCGAAAGAAACTTTTGGCATTCAAAAGTTTACGATTCCAATTTTTGGAATCTCACTCAGCTACATCTCAACTAAACTCAACAATTTCCCCGTTACAGCAACACTTGACGGTTTACAGGCATCGTTAGTCGGTCTCGGAAGTGGTGATTGTTCTTACTTCAAGTGCAATTCAAAAACTCTTAACAGAAGACGAAAATAATTCGCGATTTTCTTCACTTTTGTTTTTATTTAAAAACTTTTCATTTTATTCATTGTCAAGTATAAAAATGTTCTACATCTTAAGTAGTTGAATTTAATTGTTGTGCAATGTTAGGAATTGAAACAAAATTAAGATAAGTAGACGATGATTGCAGGCATCTGACAATCAAAGGAAAATAATTTAAGTCTTTCTGTTTTTATGATTAATTAAATTTGATGTACTTTTGGAATATTTTAATTAAAATATGTTTTATTACTTTCTCTTACTATACGTACTTAAATTAAAATTAAGACTTCATCGTCATCAGAGTGTTTAAGAAATTTCTTTCTGTTTTAAACATTTTGTAATTGGAAATTTTCTTTTCATTTCTACTTTCTTTTTATTTAGATAAATGGAAAATTTTATGTTTGATAGTCAATAAATATGAAAATTATCTTAAAAACAAAAGAAACATTTTTTAAATTATTACAGAATAAAAATCGAGATTAATAAAACTTAATTTTGAATGTCAAAAGCCTGACGCATTTTGTTGCTTCGTTTTTCCTTCTAACATTAAATTTGTTTGTCCGAGATGAAGTTTAAGTAAATAGTGTCGTTGTTGTTGACTTTGCAAAAAATTTATGAACGAAAACAGGTTTTTAATAACTTAATGAACATACAAAATTCTCTACCGCACTAACAAGGAATTTTTAAGAAAGAAATAAACGAAACGAAATGTGCATTTAAAGCTGCTAACATACGACGATGATATTTTGTAGAAAGTTCTTTATAATTATTAAATATTTTAAATTCAAATGTTTTAAGCGAGAAGAAGCGTTCCAATTGCGCCAAAGTATCCCTCATGCTCAAGGAAGAGCGCTTTGAGTGAATTCTTGGACCAGTAATCCATTGCGAAGGCTAACAACTTCATTGATATCGGATTAACTCGTAAAAAGTTACCAACGAAGACGACCTTTAATGACAATAAATTCATTCATAATAATAAGCTAATTATTTAATGCAATTAACGAATCAATTTATTACCTTATCAATTTTCTCATTGAGCGCACACATTCTCGCTATCAGGCCGATGTTGTTTGTGATTGTAACTAATGTGGCGTTTGCTGAAATAAACAAAACAAATAAATAACAGTTAAACGAGTTGATTTCAATGTAAAGGTCAAATCTCCTACCTAAATCTTCCCTCGATACGCTTTGACGACGGTCACTTAAATTCATTTGACCGAAACTTGAAGCAACTAAACTTCCTGGAAGACCGAAACGTTCGTAATCGCCGCCATAAATATCACGAACTAATTTATCGACCTTTGTGTGGTCACCTTTTGTTGCAAGTTGAATGGCTGCAAATTAATTTATTTATTTTCAGTTATCAAAAGATTTTAAATTCATCCTTCATTTGCTTTTACCTTCTTCAAATGTATTGCAACCCGTGAGAAGACAACAAAGACCAAGGAATGTTCCACCACCAAGACTTGTTCCAGATATGCGCTTATAGTCTGTTGGTCCACGAACTGCCAATACGCTTACACCCGAACCAACATTAACCAAAATAAATGGATAAGGTTGGGAGAAATCAAAACGAGCTTTTTTACTTAAACTAAAAAAATATTTTAATTAAGAGAGGAATTTTTATATCCTGTTAATTAACTTACTTAATATCACTTGCATTTTCATAATAATAACATTCGGTACGATTATGTGTTTCAGCGTAAAGAATTCCTTTAATAAGAGCGTCAAGTTCATCGAATTTTTGAAGCTGCATGTTAACTTCCTGTTGTCGACAGAAATAAGAAAAGAAAATCAAAAAAACTTTATTTATGAAAGCTTATTAGATATTCGAAGCCACTTACTGTGCGGAATTCTTCTTCAAACTTGAAAGCACCTCCACCTGTTGCGCAGACAGTTGTTAGAAGCTTTGCCACTGAGAAGGGTAAAACAAGAATGCAAAAACAAATAAAATAAAAGTTTCTCTAACATTTACATAAAGTTTTTGCCTTTTCTTGTGCTTCAAGGATACTCACTTCCTTTTGACCGCGCCAGTTGCAAAAAGCTTCCCATTTCGGCGGTTGGAAAGCGAATGAAATGTAGTGAACCCTTTTTGTCCCTAATCTCGACATTGTCCAACTGAAAATGAGGGAAATATTCATTAATTACGTCAAAATTGTTAAAATTCTTCTTGTCTTAATAAGAAATTTTGTGACGCTTCTTCATCCGCTTATGAGATTTTAATTAAATCCTAATCTTATACAAATGACTAGCAACCTCACTTATAAATGTTTTTAAGTAGTAAATTGGTTTGTTTGTGATTTAAGTTGTAAAGATTCCAAAAGGTTTCTACACTCCTAACCCAAACAATTCTTGTCAACATGCGACAGCATCTGCGTCAACATAAACCTAAATATTTTCTCTTGGTTTGTTTTATTATATCACCGATAATTCTTGGAGTTGCGACAAAATAGTCAAAATAGTTAAATAAACATAAGGATCTGTTAACAAGTGGATTCTTATTCACGCGACTTAGTAGGTGTCATTAGCATCATTAAAATGAATTTAATAAACAAACAGTAGAAGTTATTTGTTAAATATAGCAACAGATAACATTTTAAATTGACATGAGATAAAATTTATCTTCAATTTGTTCCTCGTAAAGACGTTAAAAACATTATCAAATTTCATGAAATCTAATCTTATTAGGAAATTTCATTTCATTTCATTTCATTTCCAATTTCCAGAAATTTCAATCTATTTTTAACATTTAATTGAACTTTGTTTATGAGGTAAAACTTTTAATTAAAAGTGATGCTGTAGCGGAGTGATTCTTCCTTCGTTACAAATTATTTACTTATTGACAAATTTAATTGAAATGTAAGATAACAAAAACATATTTGAAGTAAAGATGGAGACAGAGAGGGAGAGTTGCAAATTTGGAAAGTAAAGAATGCTTTAAAACCTTTCAATTTGTAAGGAATTTTAGTAGGAACAAATTTCACGTCTTTCAATTTGTCTCACGTTTTCTAGAATATCAAAAACACTTCGAGTTCAAATGAGTTTACACGATTTTCTATATACTTGAAATAAACTTCTTGAGTTCCAAAAAATAAAAATGAATATTGCTTACTCTTCACTTCTCCGTTGTAGCATCTTATAAACCTTTATTCGCTTTGCCAAAACAAGATATTTATTCCTTAACTCATTCTGTCAAGAACTTAAAAGCTTTGATGTCAAGTCATTCAATAAGTACATGTTAATCCCTTTTTATCCCAAAATTTCTTTACTTATCGATATTGAAAACGTCAAAAGCAAAAATCTCAAGTGAAAAAGTAACTTGAACTTCAAGAAAGGCAAGTCGAGGCAAGTCATTGATTGAGGTTTTTAGATGTTGATTTATAAAGTTTTATTGTCTGGTCAAGTTGTTTATATTTTACACTTTGAATTCGCAATCTACGTAATTCAAAGTTTAAAGTCGACGACGTCAACAATAAGCGCTAACTTCAAATGTTTGTATGACGAACACACGAGAATCTTCTTTTTTATTTTATCGAGTTGCTTCTTTCATTCATTTTTTTTCCAATGTTAAAAGTTCATAAAACAAAGTGAAAAAAAAAAATAATCTCAATAAGCTTCGAATACACTCAATCACTTCTTAAGAGAGCAAAGTTCATCGAGGGGGATTTTATGATAAGCATTTAATGATGATTTATGATCGATTAGATAAAGTTTATCACTAAATCAACACTCAGCTGGTGGTACTCACTTGTAAATGGCTATCACGATGTCCAGTTTTACCATACGCTGCGTTTTTCGTCAAATAATGTCGAATCTTTCTCAACACCTTGGCCTCTTTATCATCTTCTGGCTCATCATCGTTGGGTTCGAAGTACACAAGTTTTGTCAATGTGCCGCCAATGTCCATTCCAAACCAGGGCATCGCTGTTATCAAAGAGTGAAAATAATTTTAAAGTTTAGACGTTATCATCATTTTCGACGTAGTGATCAGTAACATTTATGTTTCTGTCTAGTAAAAGCGACTTTTGGACGGCTGGAAAACATATTCACGTGGCCTCGTCACGTGCACACATGGTCAATAATTAACAAACATAAATTGCCAGAAATTAAAAGAATTGAAATCTTACATGAAGAATACAATGAGTTTCGGTTAATTTCATCTGTCGAATTGTTGTTCTTTAGTTGGATATTTTCGCAGTCATCACTACTTGTCATTACAGACGAACATTTCTTCGTCTTCAACTTTTTACGTCTCGGGATGACAGCCAATGTCGAATGTGTCTTGTATCGAATTGTATTTCTTTTTGGATGCTGCTTATGTTCACTGTTACCACTTGACAATGAACCTGATGATGACGAAAGCGACGAATCAGGTGGTGTTAAAAGTGTGGCAGCACTCGGTTTCTTATTGCGGCAGGTTTTTGGATATTTTATATATAACGCCATATTTATTTCACTGCTTTTTTATGTTTATCTTTATATACTTTTTGTCTTTTTTTGAAGATCTTGTCAAGCTTTCTTTGTGTGTTGGCAACTTATCTTTTAAAGCGCGTTAAGCTGTTGATTGGATAAAGAATTTTATTCTTATCAGCTTAGTTTTGTTTCAAACAAATTCCTTGTTTTTTTTTTATTTTATTTCGTTTCAACCTTTTCAATAAATTTATGGAAATTTTATCCGGCAAGTGTGAGGATTCTTATTTAATAATTTCATTTTTTTATGTGCTTTGAATTATGGTCAAAATATGATAATCAAGTGAAGCTGGTGATAATCTTCAAATAACAAATGTTCATTAGGAAATCTGATTTCAATTAACTTCCTGATATTGTTTGCACAATGTTTCACCATGTGGACAGTTTAATTAATATTTTTGCATCTTAATTTATTCAATTTAAATAATTCCACTTGATTGATTAAGTATTCCAATTTATACTCGATTTTCCAACTGTTTCTTTTTTTTGTGAATTTTTAAATGATTTTTAAACCGAATTGTAAAGCAATAACAGAAAATCCAAAGCTTTGACCCTCATTTGCATTTGCCCTACGCAAAGGGAAGCTTATCGTACTTATAACACGTAGTAAATGTTACAGTACACTGATATAACATTTAAGTCAACATTTTATGATTAAAGAAATCGCACGATGACAAAGGCAAGGTTTAAAATAAACATAATATTGTTGGACTTATATAACAAAATCAAAAAGATGTTTCAGTCAAAGTTACAACACGATTCACAATGTGCACATGAATGAGTGAAACAGATATTTAAATATTTCGATAGATAATGGGTAAGAACACTAAGCAACAAATAAAAGCAAAACCAGTACAACACGAAAATAAAGTAAAAAGAAAATTTAAGTATTTAGAATTCTTCGAGGTCGGCTTGAGATGCTAACTCACAATCACGTTTTTGTTTGTCGCACTTTTAATTACGACATAAACAGCAAATTATCACCAACAAAACAAAACTTTTTAGCAGGCTAATTGAAGAAATTCTCGCGAGATATTTCAAATTTAATAAACATCTTTGTAATTTCACTTTTTTTTTAGATATCTCCGAAAGTCGAGGCTGAGTCAATATTGAGAAACTTCTGTATAGTTCCGTCTTTAAAACTTTACTGACTGGAAATAAAATATCTTTCGATGTTCAGCAATACATGCAAAAGCAATTATTAAGTATGTGTTTAAGCACATCGCTAAGAAGCTAACTTAATCACTTAATACAAATGTAAAAATATTACGTGCTGATTGACGCGAGTGTGTGTAGACCCAAATTATAAACTTATCAGGTGTAAGCGTTTGAGACTTCTGACTTATTAGTTGATAAGTAATTTCAAATCAGTTAGGCAATGTGCATTCATTTAACACATGCAAGATCATTTTAAAATTATAAACACTTTACATTTGCAACACAATTGTTTAATAGTAGTGAGACAAAGAGGAGAATAACAAAAAAACAAGTATCGTATGATCTCGCCAATGTTTTCCCTAAGTGAAACTTCAATGAGTTGTTCAACATCATCTTAAAATTTCTGTTGAGGCTACGAAATTCCAACCTTGAAATGTGATAAGAAGCCAAACACACATTAACGATTTATTTTCACATAAATGAGCGAAGCGAAAGCTGATGAATTGTGAAATCTTGTTATCAAGGCGACATTACGGTGTATTTCATAAACTATTAGTCATACTTTCCTATGATTGAGTTGCAATAGAATCAAAACAGTGAAACAATAATAAAACATCTAATTGATAAGAGACACGTTTTGATAAAGAACATGAAGCCTTAGACAGCGGTGTCATCAGTCGCTTGTAAACAAGATTCATGTTATGTCATAAACTCACCCTTTTGAAGTATCAAATCATTGCATTGAGCTGACTTTCCATCTTTTTCTTCTTCATTTTTTGGATTCATGTCGCAATTCACTTTGTCCATTGCAAATATTTTGGTAGTATGTTTAAAAGCAGAAGGCAATTTCAAAATATGTATTTATGAACTGTCTAATTTATGATTCATAGTGTTTTTCTCGGGAATTTACAAGAAATTTTCCGTAGAAAATGTATTGAAAATAAATTTTACTGAACACACTCCAAGAGTTTCGTGAAAAAAGACAAAATCAAACAAAATTCATAAAATTGTATTTTCTTTAATTTATGATACTGAAACGTTGTGAAAATTTTCAGAGTTAAGATATAAATATTATTTATGCTTATTTCATTTCAAAATGATTATTCAAGGATGAGATAAGGGTTAATTGTAGAATTAAATGTGTATTTTATACAAAATTGTCTTAATTTTTTCTGATGTTTTATTCAGCAAAGCGCTGACTAACTTTTCTTGAAGAGGCAATTTCACCACAAGGACGTATGAAATATTGCACACATAAGCGGATTTTTATCTAAAGAGATCTTCAATATTACACATAATTATGACTTTACTATTTTGAGAGGATATTGAAATATTAATTAGTTGTTCAGGAAATATTTTTATGGCTAAATTCACCATACTTCACACTGCCTTCGTATATTTTAATTCGTATTCAAATATTTGTACAAATCTTAAATGAGATAATTATGTTCACAGAATTATACCAGCTATTAATGTATTCTTAATTAAATAGCACGACAAAAATATTTTCATAATTTAAGTTTTAAGATGACTAAGTTTCGAATCAACGTTGTTGTTTAAATATAAGTTTCAATGTTAATTATCATGATCGTATTGAATTTCGACAAAACGTATGACTGGCGCTTTTTTTTCGGTCCAAATATAAATGAAATCACAAACAAATTATGAATATTTTTCACATTGTGATAAACAATTTATTTGCTTTAATAAAATGTCCTAACATTTATAAATAATATAAAATAGATTTAAACAGACAGATACAACTGAAGTTGAGAAGTTAATGTGCGGTAAAAATATTGACATGACCTGCAAACTTATTGTTCATCATCATCATCATAATTGTTCACTTTCAATCTCCCACCAGCTCTCGATCATTTAATTTCTCTCCTGTAAATGAAATGAAAGGTATTGATTAAGCTTCTCATTGCGATTTCTTTTATAAAAAAAAAAATTAATTGTCAAAATACTATCATTCGTTTTGAGCGGGATTCTTCTTTGCTTCGTCTTTGCGGTACAAGTGTGATAAAAATTGATCATAATTTTCATTCGTTCCTAATGGCGGTTTAACGGGGATGTCGAACTCATTTGGAGATTCAACCGTTAGCTTATTAAATGCCGGGTCATCCTCCGCATTTCGTTTTGCTTTTGGAATTTTAGCCTTCTTTAAATCATGACGATATAATTCATCCAAGAATTGTTGATAAGCTGGACCCATACTTGTAGGTTTCTTAATGATAAATTCATCGTCCGTATCTTCAACATTTATTACATCACTCGATGAAGAGTTTTCGGGTCGGCAATTTACGTTGAATGCCATTAAACATATAACCATTAATATCTGTAGGCGAAGGAAAGTTGATTTCAACAAAAGCCTTTAAATGGTCTTTGATTAAACAAGGGCTTTGCAAAAATCACCCACAATTAAAAAACTTTTCACCATCATGTTGCTGCTGCTACCGCTGCTTTTCATATGTTTGCACAATTTTTAACAAAAAATCAACTCGTTTGTTTAATTTCTTTTTCTTTTTTTATTTCTTTTTTTTCGGTGCAGTATCGCTTCGGTCGCGAGGCACAACTTTTACGTTTATATTTCAGATTAAGACTAAAAAAAGCTGCGAGCATTTATCGTGAAATAAGTCGCAACTCAACAGCGATGAGATACTCGTGGTGAATTTACGAAGGAAGTGGAGGAAAAGAACGTTAATACAACCACATTGCAGTAATGATGATGTTAATTGACTTTTTCATTTATCACTAAAATACTTAACAACCAAGTGAACAAAAAAAAAAGTATAAGTAATAAGAAGAAGCGTTAACATTTTTCACAGACATCGAAACAGCTGAGTACTGTTCCAAAATTGAGAAGAGATTGAGTTCAGCGAATTAACGAGAGGGAAAAAAGCTTCATTTCTGTATCCGCGTCTCTGATTTCACGTTCCAAGATTTCAAATAAAACTTTAAAAGCTTTCTTCAAAGTTTTTCGTAATTGTTTGATAATAGCTGAAAATTTAAATTCATTATTTGTTGATTGGAATAAATAGTTTTAATTGATCATTTAAGTGCTGAAATTTTCATTGAAAATTCATGACATAAAAAGAGCTTGAAATTTATAAAATATTGAATGATTTTTCTCATTTTTATTAATGTTTAAAAAACAGAAAAAAAGAAGAAGTTATGAAGTTTTATATCTACTACAATACAGAATTTGTTGATGCTTTTTAAAACATAATATTTTACAGTTCACATGTGTGGCTTATAATGTTAAATGCTTTTCATTATTTAAAGTTTCACAAATGTTTTTTGACTTACTAATTAACTTATTTCTTTGATAATATATTTATATTAACATTTTCTACACAACTTTACTCTCATCTACTTAAAGTGTTCATTATTTATAACTCTTTATTTCTTTTCACATTTGATTTAGAATAAATTATTCTTGTTGCAATTAAAATCTAACCGTGGTGGCTCTAAGCGTAAAAAGGAAATATTATAAATGAGAGATGAAGAAAAACTTATATCGCGTTAATATTAATAATAATAATAATTCCACAAAAAGTTTTCCTTGCTTTTGATTAATAGTTTTTGGACTAAAAACTGGATACAACTGGGAAATGAGTTGAGGAAAACTAAAAGACGAAGCAAGGTATGAGATGTTCGGTTTTATGTATTTTGCGACGTAAATGAAATAAGGAAAAATGAAAATTCTCATCTCTACTTCGTTCCCTTCATGATGAATTTGAATTTAAAATCTTTTTGAATTTTATTCGCTGAGTTCGTGCAAGATGCTTCGTCTATGTTACCTTCAAAGTTGCTGGCAAAAGTTGCAACATAATTTTAAAACTTTTACTTCCTTTTTTCATTCTTTTTCATTCCGATTTTCTTCTTTTCTTTTTCATTTGCACCAAGAAATTTAATTCTCATCGTAGATCTCTCGCGGTCTTAGACTTTCATTTCCCTTTGTAACCATCGTAATATTTATTTTTTTTCCTCCCATTACTTCCATAGATGCGAATTAAAAAAATATCTTTCATGATGATAAGTAAGAAATTAAAGTAGGTAACATTCGCTAGGGGGTCGTGAGGTGGAGGTGAGATTATGAAACGTGCGATAAGAAAGTGTGGAAAATATCAAATTCGCTAAGGAAAACAAACATCGGAACATAAAAAAGAAAAGTTTGAAGCTTCATCGCGTCTTCATTGCTGTCACATTTTTCCTTATTAAAGAGTTCATCATAATTGTAAGCTTAGATTTCTTTTCTTCGACAGAGAAGGAAGAAGTTCAAATATATGAAGTATATAAAATTATAATAGATATATTACATTCAAATTGTTTCAGGCACTTTTCGCAAAAATTTCTCTTGCTTGCTTTTTGTTTACTTAAAAAAGGAAATAAATTTAGTTTGGAGACAAAGTGAAACATTTGAAGAATAAATTGAAGGAAATTGGATGAAAACGACCTCATTTCACATTGTAAGAAAGCGAATGTAAGAAGATAGATGACAATGATGAATGCAATAAAGCGTGAAGCCGTTGCACATTTGTCAATTGTATCGCTTTCTTTTGTCTTGAACAAGTTTTTGTTTCTTTAAGTTTTTCAGGAGTTTGAAAGGAAGAATTCAAATGTTATGTCACGAACTATGTTAAAATTTCATTTGTACAAAATTCCAAATTTTGATTAAAAATTTATAATACTTAAGCTTCCGAGAAGCTTTTAAAAGCTTTCCTTACTTTCAATCCCATCATAATGGTTTGAACATGTGCATTTCAATTTCAAACGCCATTAATGTAACATAACATTTGAATCTAAATTGTTTATAGTTATTTGCTTGTGAGTTGAATTTGTTAACAAGATGATAAAATTAAATATTAACAGCTGCTCTCGGAATGATGCAATCAGGTTTCTCTTTATTTTTTATCAACTCAACAGTAGTGTATATGTAAGTAGGTAGTTAGTGACTAAAGATGAAAATTAATATCTAGAAATTATTTATCTTCTTCAAATGCGAATTCAGCAGCACCTTGTTCACTTAAATTTATGGACATTTTCTCCTCCTTATTTTTTTTTGCAGTTAATTAATTAAATTAAATTTTTTTTCTTCTTCTTTCAAACTTCTAACATTTTCAGCTCGAAGATAGAATGAAATTGAAGATAAATTGAATTAAAATGATTCATGCTTTCATGTTTCATGTTAGGATAAAAAAAGCTTTCATAGTTGTTTAGCAAAAAAAGAAATCAATTGGAGAATCGCGCGACAGGAATCGTCTGGATTTTATTGTACTGCATCAGGGAAAAAACAGAGAGAAGAATGAAAATTCGTGAAATTTATTGTTTTCATATATCGAAACACTAAAACAACGATCATATGACTAAATGGCAAAATCCTGTGCGATTTCCTGCCGCTTTTACTTCAACTAATACATCACGAATCAGTATGCAAAATTTTCATTATAAATAGATGTCATTTCGAGTTGATTTGAAATAGAGAATGTTAGAAAAGGTTCAAATAAAGTAAAATTTGTTAAATTCTCTTCTGCTTTCAATGTTTGTTTACAGAATGTTCCTTATACCGAATCCTTTTTATATTTCTCTCGCTTATCTTGCCCAACAGCTAACAAAGATGAAGAAAAAATAAAAGTGAATTCAAGATATGCTCTAGTTTTTCGTTTTGCGATATGACTTTAGATTTGACTTCTCCTCCTTCATTTCAAACAGACATGGATATGAAGGAGGAAAATAAATATCATTTTTCGTTCGTTTTTTAAATATTATTACATAACTGAGTTTTGTTTAGCAAAAGAACATTCATTTATTCGACTCTACTGCTTAACATGAAGGAGTGTTTTGTGTATATGTGAAGATTCACGAAAGGAAAGCAATTTCTGCTTTCCCAATTAAAATCTAAATGTGACGTGGATGAAGTGGTCCTAGCTCATAGATAATTACCGTTTTAATTGTTAAATATTTATGTGAAAATTTAATGAATCGTCAATGATTATTGGGACGTTTTAAACGTCTGTGTGGGTGTTTGTTTTGGTCCAATTATTCTTGTTTGTATTTATCGATTTTAGATAGTTATTACTGCTGTTTAACTCATCAGTTTCGCTGTCATCAATCTCACAGAGTTTCACTGATAAGTCACTTTGTGATTGATCGGTGTGCATACGATGTAAACTGTTGTGTGCTAGCAATGAGCTGCCTTCACCTGAACGAAGAAGCAATGAATAGAAATATCAATAAATCACTGGACTTCACATGAAAAATCATTCAACAACTCACCACCTTTGCTTAGTTCTAATTCTAAATCACTTTGCTGTACACGATTTCGTCGCTTTTTCTGACTAGGAAAGCCATAAGATGGAACTTCATCGTCCTCTTCATCTGATTGAATTATTTGATGTGGTCCGATGTCAATGCCACTTTTCAGCATCCTTTTGTTCGCAATTATTTCATTTGATTGAGTCAATGGGATGCTTTCACCGTCTGTTTCACTTTGAATGTTATACTTTGGCAGGTAACTGTTTGGATGTCTCACATACGTTTCAGCTGAATTTTTTCATAAAGTAAAAGAGTAAAGAAAAATGATTTTAATTAATTACTTCATCAAATCAGCCCCAAAGGGATCGTTGGGAATGTTCAACGCCGAAAGGGGCACCTGAGGGAAAAAGGTCTCATTTCACTAGATACGTACGTGTATTGTTTATTTTCAAAGGCACTAATCAAGTGTTGGCATGAATGAAAGGGATATGTTAGTGTTTCGAATCAATTTCGGTATTAAATAAGAAGACAGAAAGGGAAAGGGGAGAAAAAGGATTTTTTCTGATAAAAACTTTCAGTTCAATTTTAAGGGGTCTGTACGAGTGTAATGAGTCGCAGTTTATTCTCATAAAATGAGCACAAATTGAGATAATTAAGTTTGAAAGTAGCAGCATGGAATCTTATTTTAATTATAGTTTAAACTTTATGATAGTTTTTGTGTGTGTGTGTTAAAGTTTTTTCAAATCATATCAGCATGAAAATAAATCTTTTAGTGAAACATCTGCGATTTAAATAAAACTTTCCCGCTAAATATTTCCTTCTACTTAAACTGATGTTGAAAATTTCATGACGAAAGTCATAAAAGAAAATGTTCAGCTTCAGTTTTGAGAAAAGCAAATAATTAAAAGCTTTTAAATAACACAGAAAGCTTTTAGATCAGCTTTCAAACTTTCCATGCAATGATATGAAAGTTGAAAAAGGTTTTTTTTTCGTCTGGTAGCTACTTAAGCATAAGAGGGAATGTTTCGAAACTTTAATCAATTTTAATTTCAATTAATTGGGTTTTCAAAAAAGAAGAAAAATTGAAGGAAAAAAAAGTTAATCAGTTGAGAAACAGGAACATTCGATATAAAAGGTCAAAAAATTAAGCAATAAAACTTTTGACACAGTTTTCTCATTCATTTTTATCGCTGATATTTAATTGCTTGCTCCACATAAAAATTTAAAAAGTTTTTTTAATGTTATCGAATTTATGAAAGAGAATGGAATTTTGTGGCGAAATAACCGCATTGACCCAATAACTCCCCTCCTTTCAATTGCCTAAAATCAACCTTTTATATTCCACGCTTTATCTTTAATTCTTTTTTTCATTCCTTCTTTTGGGGTAAGTTTTTCATTTTCAATTTGAAAGTATTGAAAGTAAAGCTACCTAGCATGGTTCAAGCTGCTCCATTCAATGAAACGATATTGTCTAAATAAATCATGTCGATTTCTATATAAGCTCACCTGTATTGAATCTGTAGTCAACATCACTGCCGCTGTCTAAAGGATTCAAATAGGTCAGTGAAGGGTCAAAGTTTATCGATAAGGGTTGTTCACTTCGGTCACATTCAGAGTCATCGGGAAAGTCAAGTTCAATATTTTCATTTAATGTCTCAATATCACGTGACGGATCCATGATTGTGCCAATACTTTCCATCATTACATTTGGCGGTTGTTGATGATTTTTGTTGCCATTCGATTCATTACTTTCATTGCTATGAAAGCTCGATGAATCAATCACTTCACTTCCTGGTACTTCGGTGATATTTGAAAGTACATTAAGAGATCGTGGCTTCCAATCTGAAATGTCCCAATCGTAAGCACCCGACTCGGTTGTACCAGCATATGTTGCTGCCGGTGATGGTAATAAACGACCTGGTAAGACTCCCTGCTTAAACTGATTGGTAGCGTGATGATGGGGACTTAATCTCTTATCATTATTTATTTTCGTCTTATCGCTAAACGTTTGTAGATGAATCTGATCCCATTTGTTTTGTTTGTGCGATGATGTGTCTGTATCACTGGAATTGCCCGTCGTATTGTTAATGTACACCATTTGCTGGTTCATTGGATTACGATTTAATTTCCTGTACTCAGGGGGTAAATTCTCCAATTCATCTCCCGCTGAACCGTAATTCCTTAAGGTGTCAAGATTGTTGTATTGCAATATTTGATTATATGGCGCTGTATGATGATCTGATGTGGCAGCATATGAAGCTGGTCTTTGAATAAGTTGTTGTTGTTGTTGTTGATGCTGCTGTTGTTGTTGTTGCTGTTGTTGAACGACTTCTAAATTACTCATTTTTGATACAAGCTTATAGTCCGAATTGATTGGCGAAGCGACGTTATTTTTGACGCTTCTTTCATCACGAGATTTTCTTCTTGATTTACAGCAGCAACATAAGCACAAGCATATCAGTAGAAGCATCAATCCCACGATACCCACAATGATGATGATTTTTTGCCAAAAGCTTGTATTATTTATGAGGTTTGAGATAATAGAGTTGGAATATAATGGATCGCCACAGCTCTTAAGGTCAGGCGGGCATATGCATCGAAAGCTTCCAGCTTCATTAACGCATGTTGCCCCATTTAAGCATGGATTGTTAGCGCATTCATCAACGTCGATCTCGCAGGTTTTGCCTGTGTAACCGCGACACATACAAATCGGCCCATCGTCCCCTTCTTCGCAAACGCCTGAATTACGACATGGATTAGGTAAACAAAATCTACCAAAATCACATCGTCGTCCCGACATTCTTGCTGGACATTCACATGTGTAGTTACCGTTGGAACCTTCGTAGCGACATTTCCCACCAAACAAGCATGGACTTGACGAACATGGGTCTCGATCTTCTTGACAGTTTGCACCAGCAAATCTATCGTGACATAAACATTCGTATTCGTTTCCATTATTTGATTCCTTACAAGTGCCACCATTGAAGCAAAGATTTTGTGCTTTACAAATTCCTAATGGAATTAAAGCATTTGCAGCTTCACAATTAAAGTCAACATTTGCAAATCTTTTCAAAACAGCAACAGAACTGCTTGCAGCTGCATTCATTTGAAGTGGCAATGTGGCTCTTGAGAGTTTTAAATCATCCAAACAACCGATGAAACCGCGTTGAATATCCTCGATACCAATCACTGTGGGATGAGCTCGAACTTCAGCTCCGAAATATAAATCATGAGATTGTATGTTCAATATTCCATTCACTCCCGGACTGACGCCCTTTCGTGTATGTTTTCCATCAATTATTAATCTTGCACTGTTACCTTCACGTTCCAAACGTATCTCATGCCACAAACCATCAGATACAAAGATACTTGCAACACTAACCAAACCTTCTCCCGATCCCAAGTCAAAGCGAAATTGTACAACACCATTTTGTATTTCGAGAATCATGTAGTCAATCTTACCCGAAGCGTACATCAAATTTCCGGTCAACTGTACCGTCCGGATTCTCATTTGTAGTTGAATTTGTTCTTCAAGGGTTTTCCTCGAGAGATTCTTATCGATTTTGTAATGAGCGTAGCTTTTCCCACTGAAGGTGACGGGATTTCTTGGATTATAACAATTTTCTTCATTACATTTGCTCGTCTCTTTATCACAATTCACACCAAAGTAACCATCATCGCATGCACAATGATAGCCTCGTTCAGTCTTATCCGGAACACATTTTTTCGGTAACTTACAAGGTTCTTTAGCGCACTCATTAACAACAAATTGACAATAGTCACCACCAAAGCCAGTCTTACAATTACACTCGGCTTTATGTTCATGATACGCTGAAGCGAAACTAAACATTTCTGTTGCGATGGGATGGGAAAGTTTGCCATTAACATTCACTTTATCCTCACATTCACCGTGTATACAATGATGTTGTAAGCATTTTGGCTTTATGATTTCTATAATCTTTAAATGTGCCATGTCTTCTATTTCCTCTAAATTCTCTTCAATTATCTTTCTAATGTCATTGGGCGGATAAAAGCTTGACATTGATGATGAACTTGATTTTCTAACAGCAAAAAGAATATCAAGATTCTTTACTGCTTGTCGTTTACTTTTGTGACCCTCATTGTTGTTGTTACTGTTGAATTCGGAAGATGATGTTTCTTTTTGTACGCTTATTAGAATGATATCTTTAAGACGACAATGAATGACGTCTTTCAAAGCACGAGTAAATGTCTTACGTTTACTTAAAATGAACTCTTCGGGACTAATGTTTCGCGCCCTAATTGAAATAGCATTTTGTAGCATCGCTTCGGTCACGATCTCAACTGACACTTTAATTATGGTTGATGATACAAATTTATTATCAGAGACAGTAACGTTGATACGATATTCGCCGGCATCGAGTCGTGGATACGCATAAAGCAATCCATCTTCCCTTGAGATATTAAACAAAGCGGTGGGCTTGTAAGAAACTCCATTAACTGGCGCCAAATCAAATGTGAGAGTGTCGTAAGAGTCTTGGTCAGTCGCGAACATTTTTCCTATTTGACCACCAGGATATTCATCATTAAATGAATTGATATGAATTTCAAGTGGCGTTATGTAAGGTGGATATTGACTTTCTTCAATGATTTTAACTGTCACTTCAGTGTCACTGTATAGAACAGGTGAACCATTGTCAAAGACACGTATTTTCAATCGATAAACATCTTTAATCTTATGATTAAACTTTGTTGCTGTCTTGAGAATGCCATCTTGTTCATCGATACGAAATGCTCCGTTTTCATTGCCACTAATAAATTCGAATGTGAATGGTTCAGCATTTGGTGAAGCATCATTGTCAATGACTTCGAATTTTATCAATGGATGTCCAATACCTTTATTTTCTTGAACAACAGCTGTGTAGTTATGTTCAGAGAATGTTGGATAATTATCATTTGCATCGGAAATTTCGAGATTCACCAGGACATACGACGAAAGTTCGGGAAATCCACTGTCACGAGCGACAACTTCAAGCACATAATTCGACATCGTTTCACGATCCAACTCATTTGCGACCGAAATGTAGCCTGTATCGGCTTCAATATTGAACTGATTCATACGGTCACCCTTTTCAATTGAATAACGAACCTTTCCATTCTCATCGGAATCTAAATCATTGGCACGTACTTGAAGAATTTTATCGCCGATTTCTGCATCTTCTCTGATTCTTGCTTGATATGAACCTTGAGAGAATGTTGGTGGATTGTCATTGAAGTCAACGATTGAAATGTTCAATGTTGACAATGATGAGAGTGGTGGCGTACCACCGTCAGTGGCTTGAACAGTTAAGAAATAATCTTTCGATCTTTCATAATCAACCAAGTCAGCCAATGACACTAAACCACTTTCTTTATCAATTGTGAATTTTTTATGATCATTTCCACCAATAATTGCATAAGAAATTTCAGCATTTATGCCAATATCATTTGATGTTGCCAATAATTTAATAATTGATGTTCCAATCGACTCTGATTCCGAGACTTTTGCTGCATAATGATTTAATGTGAAGACAGGCGGTGAATCATTAATATCCTGAACATTAACAATGAGTGACGTTATCGATGAGAGACTTGGTTCGCCTTGATCTGATGCTTTAAGTGTGAGATTATATAAAGCTTTTTGTTCACGATCCAAAGGCTTGTTTAACGTCACAATTCCACTCTCGAAATCGATTTTGAAGTGGTCCTTGTAGGAATCAATGAATGAATATCGAATCTTTCGATTGATTCCTTTGTCGTTGTCCGTCGCTAAGACTTTCGTTACCAAACTACCAACATCAGCATTTTCCGGTATGAAAACGTTGTAAGAATCCATCGTGAATATTGGCTTCTCATCATTCACATCTGTCAGTGATATCTCGATGATACTTGAACATTCCCATCCAAAGTGATCTCTGTCTTGTACAAATGCTGTCAATTTGTATTTCGATTGACTTTCACGATCCAAATGTCGAGCAGTACGAAGAACACCAGAATGTTCATCGAGGTGGAAGTCTTCTGAACCATTTCCCGTAAGATAAAAACGAAGATGAGTGTTTTCAGGTTCGTCGGCATCACTATATTGAATTGTTAGTACTTGATAGTTGACCTCAACACTTTCACTTAACGTCTCTCGATAACGATATTTGAGGCAAATCATGGGATTGTCATTCGAGTCTTGAACGATTACTGTCACATTTGTTGTGTCAATGAATTTTCCATCTGTCACTAAAATGGTCAACAGATAACGATCGATGGATTCTCGGTCCAATTGCTTTGCCACATATAATTCTCCACTTTCCCTTATTTCAAATTGCGAGAATAAATCACCGGAAATGATATAAAAATCTACGCTTGTTTCAACATCGCCATCCTTATCGTTAATCTCAAGTTGTAAAAGAACAGTTCCGGGTAAAGAATTTTCGTTGATGCTTGCTTCATATTTTCGTTTCTTAAACTTCATGGGATTGTCATTATATCCGACGAGTTTTATTGTGACCGATGCTTTTGTCGAGTGCTTAATATCGGGACCATTGTCAGATGCTATGACATTAAATTTATATTCATCTTGATTCTCTTTATCTAGCGTCACAAGCGTCGTCAACCATCCTGTATATGAGTCAATGTCGAAAATGTTTAAGACATCACCAGCATTTTTATCTAACGAATATCTGATGTTCCCATTGGATCCGCTGTCTGTAAAGAGAAGCCCATCAAAGAATAAACACACAAATTTTGTTAGATATTTTGTTTTTCTTCCTTACCAGATGGTAATGTAAAGATATCCCAAAAAATAATAAAGGAAGGCAAAAAGCTTTCTTCTTTTTTTCCTTTATTTTATTTTTTGAGGTGAATGAATGAGAAATGTTGTTGAATAAAACATTTCAAAAAGGAAAAGTTTTCTACTTAGAAATGACAGAACACGTTATAAAGTTAACTTAATGAAAGTTGTTAACGTAGCTCGTAGGAGTGAAATTAATAGTCTAGTTACGTTACGTTAAGGTATATGACGTAAAGTTACATGAAGAGATTTCCCAAAGCATTTCTTTGTTTTCTTTTCTCTGTTCTTAACTTGTAAATATTTGTTTGAAAAAATTTATTTTTATGCTTTCAGTGAATAGCGTGGGAGAAAACAGAAAAGAGAAATAAAAGATTTGGGATGCCGAAAGAAAAATTCAAACAAATTACAAAGTAATCAAAATTAAATTACGAAGATTCTTACAAAATAATTTTAAACATTTTCTTTCTTTTTTTTTTCTTACCGGAGTCATGAGCATGAACTTTGAAGATGGAAGATCCTTTTTCAATGTTTTCAGCAACTGCTAATGAGTATGAATTGCTTTCAAACTTTGGTGGATTGTCGTTGACATCTAATATGCGAAGCTCAATTTCAGCGACAGCGGTTAGCGGCGGAGAAGAATCTGTTTCGGCAAGAATATTTATGAAATATAAATCTTTTGCCTCTCGGTCCAAAGTCTTCCCAAGCTTCAATTCCCCTTCTCCATTGATGGTAAATTGCGGATCATCTGGGTCATCGACCGAAATTATTCTAAAATTCGCGCTCACATTTCCAGTCAATGAAACTCGACTGATTAAAGTTCCCGGCTCGGAATTTTCCGAAACAAATAAATTTTTCTCTTTCTTTTCAAAAACTGGAGGAATTTCGCTAGATGCCATGACGTAAACATCGACAGGCACGTCGGAATGAAGCGATGGAATTCCAGTGTCGTGTGCACGCACGAAAAATTGAAACATTTGATTTTCAAACTTTTCTGCGTTAAATTTCAGATACACGCCACCATTATGTTCATTAATTCCAAACACATCCTTTACACCTTTGTTCTCTGAATCATAGATTGAGTATTTGATGGCAGCATTTTGATTCTCATCCAAATCAATGGCTTTTATCCACATAAACACAATATTTCGTGTAAGATTCGAATGAACGACTGTTTTGTATTCAGTGTTTACGAATTGAGGCGGAAATTCGTTTTCATCTGTTACATAAACACGAATTGTTGTAAATCCTGAACGACCGCCCTCATCAGTTGCCATTATGAGGATTTCATAGCTTTTTCTCTCCTCCCGATCTAATTTTACTTTCGTGACAATGTCACCAGTATCAGTGTCAATATCAAATATGTCACGCATCTCATCGGAAACAATCGTGTATGTGACTTTTCCATATTTACCAAAATCTTTATCTTTTGCGGCTACAGTCGTCACCAATCTGCCAGCTAATTGATTCTCTTTAACCTTCACTTCATACACCAGTTGATCGAAATAAGGATTATGAAGATTCGCAGGGAGAATTGATATTTTGACACGAGTATAACTTGTGTAGACGCCGTCTGTTACCGAGACATTTAGCACCGCTACATGAGTCTCTCCAAAGTTTTGCATATTCATTAAAGTGATGATTCCACTGAATGGATCCATGTGATAAGTTTGTTGTTCATTTCCCTCAACGATTGTATAAATAAGTTTTGTCGAGTCAATATAGTCAGGATCGTTGGCTGATAAAACTGTTACAAACTGCCCACGAGTTGCTTCTTGTGACAGCACACATTCATATGATAATTGTTCGAAGAATGGTGGATTGTCGCTCGAATCACTGACATGAACGGAAACATGTGCGGCTAGACAAATAAATAGAAAGGGAGACAATATGAGAAAACAAGAAGAAATAAAAGATTATTGTGTCAGATGAATCGTTAAGATTCATACGGTTTGATATAAAAAAAGGGAAGAAAAAGTTGTTAGAATGTTCCCCTTGACTTTTTATAACTTTTCATTTCAAAAAAGCAGACAAATAGAAGGAAAAGAGGGAGAAGGACTTGCTTACTGATATATTTTTATGTAGGTTTTCCGGCTGTTTACATTTATAGAAAGCTTATGCAGAAAAAGGTTTTGTCATCCTTTCGGCGCTGAATTTCTGACAAAGCTTAAACGATTAAATTTCTGATCCATAAAAGCTTCAAAAGCTCATTTAAAAAAAGGAAAAACAAAATCAATAATTTTATTTATTTCGCTCTGAGCTGTTGCGAAAAATTATAAAATAATTTAATTCAATAACTCGAAATTGCTTGTTAATAAAAGCTTCAAGGAAATAATTTTTAATTCTTTTCTTCTGAACGAATATGATTTGTGGGATAATAACAGCTGCTCATGTATCTTTATCAGGGATGAAAATTGGGGAATATTTTTGGTTAGCAAATTTTTAATCTCTTTTTTAATTTCAAACTCAAATTGCCTGCCCTGACTTATTTACAAAGAAAATTTCTTAAACTCAATGATTATTATTAAATCATTGGAACAAGTGAATATTTTAGATAAGTTTAATAGAATTTTCATTACAAATAATCTTAAACTGAAGCTCATCACTTTATATAATATATGGTTTTGTTTAAAGAGGCTTTTTAAAGTCAGATTCAGATGTGCCTTTAACGTTTTATGAAGATTTTAAATGGCCTCAAAAACCTACATTCATTCGCTTTCAACTGAAAAGCATCAAAAATTTAATCAAAAACATGTTGAATGATATTCTTACTTGAGCTTAGCACAGGGCTCCCTTTGTCAGACGCCCGAATTGTGAAATGATGATGTTGAAGAGTTTCATGATCCAAAGACTTTTTCAAATACACCGTTCCTTCATTTTCATCAATATGGAAAAACTCGGAAGAATTTTTGTTGTTATCCGTTTGTATGCTGTATGTTATCTCTGAGTTTATACCTGGATTGGCGCATAGGAAAATATAAAGAATGAATGTATAAAAAAATAACAAAAAAAAAGCAAATATTTGTATAAAAAACGCGGAAGACACAGACATGAAAAAAAAGAAAAGGAAAAAGGAAAATAGGAAATGAGAATTTGTTTCCACATCGATATCATCAATGATGATAACGAAAATAATTCTATGTAAGTATTAAAAGCATATTTTTATGTTACCTGGACCGTCATTATCCTGAGCTGTAACCTTCAATACAACAGATCCAAAAGGAGCTGATTCTGACACGGTTATGTCGTAATTATCTTGCGGAAGCATCGGCGGACAATCATTAACATCTGATAGGATTTTTGTGAGAGAAAACAGATAGATAACGAATGTTATGAATTATAAATCTTCACGAACAATGGGTATTGTTCGTTCACGCTTGATTGCTTACCTGAGACCGCAACGGATAATGGAACTTCAGCATAAATACCAGAGACGCTATCTGTTGCTCTAATGATTAAATCATAGTTCTGTTTTGTCTCAAAATCCAATTCATCAACAACATAGATCGCACCTGTGCAGATTTATACAATTTTTTTTCCATAATGGCAGAACATGAGGATGAAGAAGTCAAAAGAAAACGGAAATAATTAATTTTGAATTACCGTCATTTTGTTTGCAAAAAGCAAACATCAGAGAAAGTTTGAGTATTATAGCATGTATCTAGACCTTTCATATCATAACAAAATCATATCCTCATGCAAACAGAACAATTCAGGAGGAAAAAAAAGTTGCTTAAATTAAAAAAGGAGTCGGTGAATTTTGAATGGAGAAAGAGTGTAATAGTAGTAAGCAGAATGAGAAAATAATGATTCAGAGAATTGAATAAAAAATGATTTTTCTAGTTTTACGTTATTCCATTTCATACACAGTTAAAATCAGAATGGTTGTAGGGTGAAAATGAGGAATAAAAAAGAAGCTTGTGCCTTTTTTTTTTATTTAACATTCACTTGATTGTGCAATGAGAATGAACGGTCGACATTTTGGCTTTCACAGACAGCGATGGTATTTGTATAAAAAGGGAAAGATAAAAGGCAAAACATTTTCAACTAACGAAAAAGCTTAATTAAAAGAATAACTCTATGCTTTCTTCTGAAATGTAAATGATTAAATCAGAGCTGCTTGTCAGAAATGATAGAGAATGGAGGAAAAATTATGTAAAACGTTTGATGATAAAAGTGATTCAACAAATTTCACGTTTAGTACATAATTTAAAAGCCATTTTCGCATTTCTCTCATCTCTTAGATCTTTTATTTCTTTTCTGTGATGATAAAAGTTTCTTAATCCATTTCTGCTGTTAAAGCCAAAGTGAAAAACAACCAAGTAAAGCTGTGCAATGTTAAAATGCTAAAGAGCTTTATGAAGAATTTTCCGCTCAAGTTTTTTTTCCTCTCCTCAATTCTTTGAGATTTTTTATTTTCTTTTTCTCATCTTTGTTTCGATATAGAAGTGAAGTAACAAAATAAAAAATAAAAAATACAACAATGAGTCGAAGGATTTTTCAGATTTTCATTTAAGAGTGATTCTCAAAGTGCCACTAAAGCTTGCTAGCCATTAATGTTAATCGTATTTTTGAATAATGCAGTGCCATAAAAAATGAATGAAATGATATTTTTGTGAATGAAACAACCTCATCATAAACATAGCATTGTTTGTGTATTTAGGAACTAGGCCTATATTAAAAATTATGTTGATGATGATAAACATAAAACCGTAAATAATCTGCAACATAAAGGACACAAAACATATTTATCTGAAAAAGCCGTCAAATTCAAACCGGAAAAGCAAAATATTGTTAATCGTAAACTGAAACCACATTTACATTTTTGATAACATTTCTGATATTAAAATTTTGTCTGTGATTCTTCTTCTCTTTTTTTGGATGTTTGTTAACCTTTTTAAACGATTTCTATGAATAATCCGCACGAACCTCGTGTAATATTAATTTTATTAAAAAAGCATTTCCTCGCGTATAATTTTGAAATTTTTGTTTTTATATAAATTACATTTTTAATCTCCAAAAATAAAAAGAAAATTTTGTGTTATGTGAAATGTGAAATTCATGAATAATCTAGAAGCGCGTGAATGTATTTGCTCGTGGATGTTTAAATATTTCACCCTTTTGCTGTTTTCAAAGTATTTAACTTCCAAACACGATGACGATACTTTGCAGCATCATTAAAGCGTTTATTCAATGCCAGGTTTTTTAATTATGACTTTAAGTACATGTCAAGGTTGAATTATTGTTATGGATGGAAGAAAAAAGTCAAAGTTTTAAACTTTCCGCTTCGTTTCATCAAAAGACAACGCCAAATTCTTTATCTCCCTGAATCCATGCGGCTTATTTTAATATTTTTTATTTTTCTTCTTCTTTATATTTTTTTCCTCCAACACCACCGCGAAAAAAGTGATTACAAGCAGCGAGTGTAAGAAAATTTGAGCCCGAAAGCGAAAAGAAATGAATGTGTGATGGCACAAAATCTTAACGAGCTGCTTTGACTCCTATGAGAGATTTACTTCTTTTCATTAAATCCACCCCCACCCATTCATTCAGTCATCGTTCTGTCAGAAGGCAACAACAGAAAAGAAAGCAGGAAACAGGAAAAAAATGAAATTATGACTTTGTGATGAAACATATCATGGGAGTTTGCCTCAAATTCCGTCACGTATTTTACAGAGATTTTTCAGTCTTTTCATCCCATTTTTTATTTAAAAATTTACACACAGCGCAGATTTGTCACTTATTCTAATGGACGATGAAGGCTTTTAAGAAACATCAAAAATATTTATGCGCCACTCAAAACGTGACCAAATTTATGAATCATTTGGCTGACAAGAGATAAAATATAAATTCAGTAATATCAAGGACGACAAAAAAACAAAAATAAAACACACGGATAGCTCCTGGCAAGCAGGAAAACAAAACCAAAAATCGGCACGAATCAAATCAATTGTTTTCTTCTTTCTGTTCTCTGTAACATCCCTTTGTCGATTGTTAAATATGTGCTTTTTACATCCTAAATATCATAAAGACCTTTAAAAAAATAATAAATCGCTAGTTCGGCTCTACACACAATGCAAGCATGCACCATAAAAATGCAATAAAAGTGTCATATCAGAACGAAAATCCTATTAAATGTATTATATACACATCATAAAACTATATATTTCTTGTATTATGAACAACATTCATTCACCCACAACGGCCATCGTACTTACATTGGTAGTTCGAATTGGAAGCTGCAAACACAGAAAACAATTTTTATATCATGAAAATGAGTTCATGAGTAAGCAGAAAATATATTTCTTCATTTATGAATATGTACACAATTTTCTTCTTTCGGGTGGGTCGCCCGAAAAAAGAAAAAAAAAACTTTTTTTTTCGTACACAATAAAAAAATAATAAAATTTCAATATCATGAAAATGAATGGAAAAAAATGGTTCTCGGTCGAACGGTGGGAAGGAAACTACCAAACTCGTTCCTTTATACTTATGTTGGGTCGGGTAATATAATTTTTTTTTCTTTTATTTCGTTAGAGGATATTAACAACATCATCGTCATCATCTATTTCCTCAACTGCAAAAATTACAGCTTTATGATTCGGAAAATTAAATCGCTTTTAATTTATGATGTTGAATGAGGGGGCGAATAAGCATTCAACAAATATTTAATACACGAGATTTATGATTTTCGAGTGTCGTGCTATTCAACTGGTTGGAATTAGTGGGCCACGATAATCATAGACAAATGAACCCGCATTATAAGCGAACTGTGGTAATAAAGACGAGCAGATACGAACACCAGACACGAGACAAAAGATGAAAGTGTCAGTTAAAAAAGGAATGTTGAGAATAAAAGACAATGAAAGATATAATATTTAAATATTTCATTTATTTCCGTCATTTCTCTCTGTCGCTTTTCTGCCCTCTTCCTTGATCCCATTTCCATCCATCAGCTTAAAACCAGAGGGCTTTTCAGAATAATTCTTTCTTTCTTTCTTTCTTTTTATTTATCATTTATGTTTCTAAACAAATAAATTCACGCATACTCATTCTGAAGTGAAACCACCACCAGCCAGCAATACCAGCGAACCAACCTGACAACTTAAATCATGAAAATCCCACACAGATTCACCAACATCTGGTAATTTGTTACTACAAATTATTAAAGTTAAATGAAAGTCAGAAGATGAACAAGTGAGTTGTTATTCTCAGCAAAACAGCAAAGCAAAAAAAAAGTTTTGACCACGTGAAATCCATTCTAATCCTTTTGTGTTAATATAGGTCAGGATTTGTTGTTTCCTGACTTTGTTGCTGAGGCTTGTCGTCATTAAAAATGAGAAGTAAAAAAAACGAACAAGTGTTTAGTTCAACTAAATGTTTACAATAGTCGTGAAGCTTTAGCTCAACAGTTCCGACCTTGCTCCATAACTGAAATTGCCATAGCAATTTCTTTCATATCAAAAGTTTTTTCGATACTTTCACTTTTCAAAACTCGTCAAATAGAAGCAGAGTGAGACGGTAAGAGAAAGATAAAGCTAAGGAAAAGTCGTCATAAAAATTTTCGTCTTCGTAAATATTTTGTTTGTTTGCTCGTTAGTTTTTGCAAGAAATAAAGATGTAAGATGTGAATGTTTTGCCTCTGTCTTTATTTCAACTTGAAATCACGAAACGGACGATAGTGAAAAGAAAAAAAGTAAGAAAGAGAGAAAAAAAGCTTGAAGGAAGCGAGCGAACACAAAAAGAATTTCATTATCCATTCGCATTCAAGGAGCGCTTGGTAAAACATCCGTAAAACTTTTCCCCAGCTTCCTGACACCAAATAATAGCGAAAGAAGAAAAAGAAGAACAGGAGTGAGAAGTGAAAAGTGAAAATCAACCAGATAAAGAAAGAAAATTGAGTGAATGCGTGCGTGTGCGTGAATTATAAATATGAGCTCAAACATCTGTAAGTGGTTTCCCAAGGCAGCTTCTCAAAAGAACAGCGACAAAGTTTTCGGCAAAACGAAGTGTGTCGAACGTGAGCTGATGATTCTGGCCAACAAGTTTACAACGAATATTAATTTTAATCTTCTTGATTATTATGTGAGTAGCACGGGAGACATTCAAAAAGCGGACTGTTAAAGTTGAAGTGAAAACTGAAAAGTGGAGAAGGGTGAGGGGGATTGCTCGTCTCCACAATCCCTATCATCATCATCATTCCGTCCCTCACTTTTCGCACATAATTTTGAGGCGAAAAACTTCTTTTCTCTCATTTTTTTTCCTTTTTTTAATTAGTTTCTTCCACGCTCGGTAGGATCGTGGATGATACGGTTCATGTTGCTAATGAGTTCATTCCCTACAGGCATTTCAAATGCTTTTAGAGCAGGGAAATATTTATTTTCAGGAAAGCTGTTTGAGTCAGTTCAAGCTGCACAAGATTGGCATCGCGTCAACGGACAAAAATGTGGAAAGGTCAATGTGGAAAGTTATTTTAAACCGAAAGGTTCTCTTGATGAGGAAGAATCTTAAAAGAAGACATTTTCAATTGCTGTTTATCATCTCGAAGATAATTAAGCAAATGCTTTTCAATGGCATCTTCGAGGCTGCTTTTCATCTTTCGTCGCTTTTTAATAATATTCTGATGCTTACGTCGCAATATACAAAAACGTCAAGTGGGTCTTTGGTGGTGTCGAATACATTCCCTTCACTTCTCTCAAACCCAAAGCGAATGGATATCACGAGTATCCTTCAACTTGTCACAAAGTATCGTACAGAAAGCTGTTGCGCCAGCTTAATATCATGTTTGTTAGTTAATTGTCGTGCAGATTTGCAATACGAGGATAACGAATCTGATACATCAAGCCTTCAAATATTTCATGCGTTAACGAGAGAAATGAGTCAATCGGAAGAATTCATACAGCATCAAATCATGAATGAAACAAAAGAAATAAAAAGTCATTCGAATGTTAAAAAGCCAGTAACAGTCGATGCGACTCATATCGATGATTCAACGATAGATTTTTTCGACAAATTGACCAACGAAGGAAATGAAAGGAATGTCAAAAACAAATTTATTCGAAGCATTTCAGAGGGAAATGATGAGAACGAATTGTTGGGTGAGTTAATTCGTGCGGAAGAAATTTTCATTGCCCACATCATCGCTAAATGTTTGAAATTTTGTCCGAGCGCTTTCGATGGCGAAATCACGAAAAGCGAAGTCATGATGTTGATAGAAAAGGCTTCACGATTTTTATGGACGCATGTATCGAGTACACTTGAACATTTTGTGCTTTGGTGGAATGCAGCGCCGCTTGCATGTCGTCCAATTGGATGTACAAAATATCTTCGTGAATGGCTATTGATGCAGTCTAACGAAGCACCAGAACCGATACTTTCAACACTCAAAAGTTTAGGCGAAATTCTCACAATTCATGTTATTGGGTGCTTGTGGGATAAACAGTTCCGCAACTGCTTAGTTTTTTCACAGGGAAAGCCTGATCAAAAGTTCAACCGCAATTCGGAATTTTATTCGCCGCCTGAAGAGAAAGTAACTTTAAGTTTTAATCTCGATAAATTCCAGCACTTAAATAATAAATTTCGCTTCATGTTTGTGTTGGAAAAAAAATTCATTCTAGGGAACAACTTGTGGATATTTCTGGAATGAACTTTTACAGTCTCTTGTAACCATAACAAATTCATGTGATCGAGCTGGGACAATAGCAAACGAGCTACCTTTAACAGAACAAATTCCTGTAAGTTTGTTTTTCTGCTTTTAGATTGCAGTGATTCTCAACCAATTTATTTTCACTCGTGTGGATGATGAAATTAGCATGAGAGTCGTTAAAACTTTCATATCATGTCAAGACTTGAATCTGTGAAAAAATAAGTCAACTCTCCAAAAAGTATTTAATTCATATCTATGATATTTCAAAAGTATTGTTGAAGTGAAGACTTTTCCCCTCAAATACATAAACCTTCATCTTAACAAGTTTTCAAATGAGTTTTAATGTTCAAGGGACTGGAAGAAGAAAAAAGGAAAGGAAAATATTTTATGAAATATTAGATTCGAAAACTTTTTCACAAGACGATGTTTTAATAATAACTTTCGATAGCTGTAAATTTTAATTATATTTCATCATTAATAAATAATTCTTTTTCCTTATTCTCAAATTGTTGGGAATTACTGCTAACTGAATTTTACATTTTACATTTTACATGTTTAAGATGTAAAAACACAACAATGAAGTAAGCAAACAATAAATGTTTTTGTAGGTGCTTCATCGTTTGGATCATTCGATTCATACAATGCGCTTATGGACGGTAACTAAAGCAAAAGAACTTTGCTGTGACTGGAACATGAAAATCTTTTTTAAAGTTGTGAACTACGATATGGAAAGGTGTTTGGAGCATCTCAATGACTTGCGATTGCCAGGTGAATAAAAGCACAAAAGCATGAAAACAACTTTTTTTGCGGATGAACTTAACCACTCTGCAAAAAGCTTGTTCTCATTCTTACAAGAACATAAATCTCCGCTAGAAAATTGAAAACCATTTATTTCTCTCATCCCACTTTCCATATCACTTTAACATTCATTCATGCCATGCCATAACATTCTATACTCCATCCTTCGACCGCTTTCTTATGTTATTATTATGTATATATTTATTTTTATCCATCGTGGTTTTCAGCTTTGGTTTGCACAAATCCGCTACTTGAAGTTCATATTAATGTGAATGTAGCGTTACGGGAAAAGCTTGTTTCGGAAGTGAAGACAAATCGAGATAAGGCTAAGAAGACAACTTGTGAATGCATTAACAATATTTTTGCCCACATTTGCGATCAGACATCGCTCGCAACACTTAAAATCTATTTTCCACCAGTGAAAATATGGCGTGTGAATCATTTGAAGACAACACACAATCAATACATTGAAGTATATTTGGATTTAATTTATCTTCCCATCATTGAAGCTACGGAGGATTTGGAAATATTAAGTTTAGCTTTGAAAATTATCTGCGAAGCTCTGCTTGAACATATTTATGCAAAGCGAATTAAATTTTCAATCTGTGGAGCGATTAATCTAATGAAAGACTTTGAAGGTATTGCCAATTGGATTGAATCTTGCAAGGAACTTCCGTTGAATTATCGCGACAAATTATCACGCCATGAAGTTCTAAAAGTTTGTGAAGGCGTGGGAAAGGTGACAAGCATAAGTTAAGTTAATGAAAATTTAACAGCTTCGACTCCCTTTTTTCTCCTTTCTCAATGTTCTCTATAATAGATTCTACTTCGCCAGCCAGATGAGATTATTTGCCTTGAACCGCCAAAGGCAAAAGGTGAAAAGGGTTCCGCAACAGATGATGGTAAATTTATGAAACATTTTATTGGCATTGTTTGCAATAAAATTCTGGTGATAACAATTTTTTGTCTCTACTTTTTTTCTTGCTTTGTTTTTACATTTCTTTTTCCCTTTTTTTTGTTTGTGCTTATTCTTGAATACTAACATTGTGCAGATGATGAACGGGCTCCGCTCCCGCCTGAAATGTACATCAATCAACAAAAATGGCTTGAACTACGTGCGACTCGAAAATCCTTAATAAGTTGTTTATGCAATAACGTTAGCATCATCTCTTAAACATTCAATTTACGCAACGTTTTCAACAAAAGCTTTTTATCAGCTTCACAGTCACTTTACCCACGCCCTTCTCTTTAGGATATTTACTTTCTCTTGTTTCTGTTTTATTTTATTTTGTATTTCATTTATTCGTTTCGTTATCTCTTTTGCAAACGTTAAAAAGAAAAAACAATCAAATATCAATCAATTTGGGGGGGAAATTCGTTATCAAGATGTGAGACGATGGGTTGTTGTTAGCAGTTAAATTCACTTTTCCATCTCGAACAATTTCCTTAGCAAAATCTCTTAATAGCTTTGAAGACTTCATCCGCCCTTCACTTCAACGACGATACGTTCCTACACTCGTATGTTATATTAAACATTTAGAAGAAGTGAGAACGAACATGAGATAATCGTAGAATATTATTAAAATAATCGCATTTTATTGAATGTGATAGAGTTATACATTTTATCAAATAAAGTTGTCATCGTTATCGCTTCTATTTCATTCGTTATTCTTGCTTTACAAACGCTTCAATTAGAATAAGATGTAGGAGTATTTTTCTTAACAAAATTGTTTTCATCAGAAGCACTTACAACCATTTGCTCCCCTTTTCTGCCATCATCTTTCCACCCCCACTTTCAACGTCTTTCAAATAAAATAAAAATCTTAACAACGCTTAAATAAGAAAATTTAAAAATAATTTATAAAGTTTGCTTCATCATGTATGAATATTTTGTTGTAATCAAATAAAGTTTAAAAATTAAAATTTAATCTTGATTTTAAATTATTCCATATAAACATTCATAGTTTCATTTTAAAAGTTGGGGGTTGAAGGAAAAGTTTCAAATCGTAATATGAGTTTGCTTCTTATGAGTAAAACGAGTAAGGAAAAGAAATTTTCATGTTCATGTTTTAAAATATTTCAGAGATGTTAAGAATATTTCGATTTTTTTCTTGACTTCTGTGTGGAACTTTTTTTTTATTCTTATTGGTTGGTAAGGAAAAAAAGGCAAGAAAATGGAATAATGACTTGCTATCTTCAACAATGATATTTCAAAGCTTAACTGAATTCAATTTATTGGAAAGAAAATAGAATCAATTCAATGCAAATGGATTGCTTAATATTCTTTTTATGACAGCACTTTCTGAATCGTTTTACTGTTTTGAAATAATCATAATAATTTAAATAATTTTCTCAAGAATGAGAAAAGAAAATCGAATCGAAAAATTTTATTTCATGCTCGTTTCGTTTGATAAGTCAAAGCAACAATATTTCCATGTTCGTGTCATACAAATTTACTGACATCGTTTGAAGTTTTTTTGCTTAACTGGGAAATTAAATTATGTGCCTAACTGTAACTATGAGCACGAAGCATTTATTAATAGAACGTTTATTAAGACTTCATTGTGACTTGAAATTTAATTTCCCTGATTTCTAATTGAAAATCCTTTAACATGCCTGCGGCTTGTTTTCTTTTTTTTCGTCTTTAAACTTTTGCTCAACAAACTTTGGAGTAAAGCAATTTCATACTCATTATCTCGTCAGACATGAACATGAGAATTTAAATTCAACTTTAATCGGCACAATTTTTATCAACAAGCAGTGTGCGTACTTGGGCTCAATCAGATAAAAATTGCGCTGCTATCATTGAATGAGCTTTTGTCCCTATTTGCAATTTTCATCCGTTCGAGTAACTTTGAATCTATAGAGAACTAGAGTGAGTGAATGAAAGAGAGGGAAAAAAGGTTCATTTGTCTATTTAAAAAGATCATCTCGTGATATTGCATTGAGTAAAAGTTTCCTTCGTCATTTAAATTTCTCAATCATTTCAATTCCCCAAAGAGTTCCAATTTTCCTTTTCCTCCCTTCTCGTAATAAATACAAAAATTCATTTTTGAGAAAATCTTTTCGTGTTCATCGTTCGTGGTTTATTATTTTTCATTTGGGAAAATTCTTCTTCCTTTTCGTTTTTCCACATCACCGTTGTTGTGGTTGATTTCCTTTACCTCTCGTTCAAAAAGTCGAAATCTATCAAGTTTGTTATGTACAATCAAACATTTACGAGAGCAAAGCACAAGACAGAAAAAAAAGAAACGGAAAATGGAAAAAGATTGAAGAGAATCGAGAAGTCGACAGAAGGTGAAATCAATGTAACAATCAACGTAGTGATAGGAGTTTGAGAGAAAGTGGATTTCAACTCTCGGTACGACGAATAAATTCAATATGGAAAAAAGGTTCCCAAGAAAACGGAAAAACTTGTGGGAGCGAATGAATACTTTGGAGGATCATATAAACAGGGCTTGAAATTCAAAGTGGAATTGTAACCTCAAAAACATTACTCGGAAAATTCAGCGACCAAGCACTGTGGAAAGCTCATCCAAATGAATTGAATGACAAGCTTATCCAGGTAAATTCAGAGATTAAATATTCCTCCCGACTAAAAAGGAAGTTTTTCGAGAACCAACTGTTACCATTTCCACCACCAACGCCTAGTCGGCCATCCGTCAAACGACAGGAGCATGACAAATACAAAAAAAAATGTAACATCTTAGCATACCTGTATTAAAATCAACGGCAAATTCTTCCAGCTCATTTCCTTTCACAATGCTATAAATCAGTTTACGACTCATGGGACTTGTCGCTTGTATCTGTACTGACAGTGGTGAATGTAACTCGATATTCTCGGGAACAGTATCCGAGTACCAATTTTTGCCTAAGTTAGCAAACGTCGGCATGTTCTTGTCTTGTGTCTAAAGAGAAGGAAATAAAAGTAGAAAAGTGAAGAAAGAAAAGAAAGAAAAATTGTAATATCAGATCTCAACATGTTTTCCGTTGTTGAATACTTTTTTCTTTGTTTTTGTTTTTATGTCGGGGAGCGTGATCTAGTAAATGGAAAGAAACAAAAGCTCCGGTAAAACGGCTAGAATAATAGATGAAACAATTGAATGACAAAAAAAGGATTCCGGATAATAGCTTAAGGCTTTTCTCTTCTCTTTTACTCTTTTCAACTACATAACAGCCCTTTTGCTTCTTTCTTCCCACCCACACCCCTCGACACTGTCTTGTCTTAATGTTTGACAGTAACAGTTTGTGATTTATTTTATTATATTCTTAGAGAAGCTATGCTGATGTGTATTTGTGTCAAACTAAATATTTACCTTAACGTTGACAATAACATCTGTGGAGCATGGAATAATCCCACCATCAAATGCTGAAATCAAAAGTTGATATTCCTTGTTGTGACCTTCAAGTGTTTGCTTTAAGATGACTTCACCAGTCTTTCGATCGACTTTAAAAAGTTCTCCATGACCCTTCTTCATTTCATAACGAACTTCGCCATTCTCGTTAGCATCTAAATCGATTGCCTGAACTTTTATTATAACAGATCCTTTAGGATCATCGACCGATACAACAGCGTAGTACGGCAGATTAACGAAAATTGGGCAATTGTCGTTTTCGTCGGATATTGAAACTTTTACAACAACATGCGCTATGCGAGGTGGCTGATTTTCGCCAATTTGTGATTTTGCTTCGACAATCAACTCATAATTGTCCTTTTCTTCACGATCGAAACGATTGCGCGTCGTTTCTATAACGCCAGATGTGATGCCGATTTTAAACATCTCAGTTGGATTTAGAATACGAAACTCAACATGTTCATTGAGCGCCGTTCCTAAAACATTTACAATACAAACAGTCTGAATCTTTGTTGTATTCTCAAACACTGAACTTTCATAGATTTTCTTTTGAAATACCAATCCGGAATTTTCTGATTTTACGACATTGACATAAACATATGCAATCGTAGATAATTTTCCATCGGACACACGAACATGAAGCTTGTAAAATGATTTAATTTTATCAACATTGCGAGTTGTTACGATTGTCCCATCAGTAGGATTTATGATGAAAATTTTATCACTGTTGCCATCAATTATATCGTATCGTAGTATTGAATCATCCAACCTATCTTCATCAGTTGCATTTACTCGAATGACGGCAACGTTTTCATATGTTGGTAAAAGCAATGTAACGTTATATTCCTTCTGCTTAAACTTTGGTGCACAGTCATTCACATTAATTATCGTAATTTCAACTCGTGCAGTCGTTAAGGATGTTAATCTTGGCTTTCCCAAATCGCTAACTTTAACTGTGAAGCTGTAGAATGGAATTTTCTCATAATCCAACATGAAAATGTTTTTAATAGCGCCAGATGATGAATCGATATGAAAATATCTGCGTGGTAAATATTCAATAATGTCGAAATGAAGTAAAGCATTCTGTCCTGAATCGTTATCTTTCGCTTTGATCACAAGTGGAATTGTTTCGTTCAACGATGATGATGACGACGACGACGTTCCATTTTCAGATAAAGTCACAAGAGAACCGATTGGTGATGATTCAGATATTTCACCGCGATAAATTGAATGTTCAAAGTAAGGATTATTGTCATTCTTATCGAGAACTTGAATAATTAAATTACATGTCGTCTCCTTTCCCGCCATATTTGTAGCACGAATTGTTAAGTTGAAGAAGTTATTGCGCTCGTAATCAACTTCATCTTTCGTCGTGATGATTCCGGTCGATGGATTAATAAAGAAAACGTCGTTTTCATTTCCATTTATAATCTCAAACAATACCGATGACGTACTACGAACTTCTAGATGTTTAACAAACGACCCGACGGGTAAATTCTCATAAATTTCAGCTGCACGGTCTTTCTTATCGGTAGTGAAGCGTGGCGGAGCATTATCAGCCATTTGAACCATGATATGAACGGGAATTTGTGATGATAATGAAGACTTTCCATTGTCTGATGCTTTCACTTGCAACATATACTCGGGTAGTGCTTGAATATCCAATTCCTTAACAACGCTTATAATTCCCATACTCTCATCAATTTCAAATGCATTGCCAATGTTTCCACTGACAATTGAATATGTAATTTTTGCATTGTCACCGACATCACGATCTATTGCATACACTTGCACAACTCTCGTTCCAACTGATGCCGTTTCATAAACTTTACCCTGAATAAGTTTCGATGTAAATTCCGGAATATGATTATTAAAATCATGAACTTTGATAATGACTTTGGCAAAGTTTCTCTTGGCCGGTGTTCCTTGGTCTTTTACACTAACAACAAGCAAATGTTCGGCAATTAATTCTCGATCCAACTTTTGTATCAAGCTTATGACGCCGCTTACTGAATCAACTCGGAACAAGTTAAGAGACGATGGATTCTTAGCTGTATGAAGACTGTAAAAAAGCTTTTTGTCATCATCAGCATCAGTTGCATGTAATTGCAAAATTTCAGCGTCTTTTTCAGTATTTTCAGATATTTCAACGCGATATTCTGGCTTTGTAAACTCCGGTCGATGGTCGTTACTATTTATAACAGAGACAAAGAGATGACTCTTGACGATATGTGTACCATCTGTGACCGCAATTGTGAGATTATATTCCTTTTTAATCTCACAATCAAGACGCTTTGCAAGTAAAACGTTGCCACTTTCTCCGATATAAAAATCATTATTGTCATCGCCATTTATTATGTCATACCATAATCGATCACCATCTTCGTCTTCAGCTTGAAAGTCTGTGATTAAATAGCCGGGCTGATCGCTTTCAGTCACATCAACTGTCTGATCGGATGATATAATTTTCGGTGGGTTGAGTGAATTCTCATTAACTTGTACCACTTCAATCCGTACAGCTGTTGTTTTGACCTTTTTAGGATTTCCATTATCCTCAGCCTTAATCGTTAAATCATAAGCATCTTGGTCTAAACTTTTTGCAACGTACACGTTTCCATTGTCGGGATGAATCCGAAATTTTGCCTTTCCTTTCCCCGACTTAATCGAATACTTCACTTTTCCATTGTCTCCTTCGTCTTTATCGAATGCTAAGACCTGCGGAAAGAGTAAAGCAAATATGCCATTTTAATAATGAGGGATAGAAAAAAAGAAAAATAAAATAAAAACTTTAGTAATTTGCTTTCGGTCGAGAAGAAAAGAGAGTGAGAAGGAAATAAGGAAATTGTAAAGAGTGAGGAAGAACTTTTCTTTCATTTTTTGTTGTGTTTAAAGAAAGCTAAGCGTTTTTTATTTGAGTTTGTTACTGAAGCAGATCTAGAACGCAAGATTTTCATTGCGGAAAATTTTCTTCATCTTATGACTCGGCTGAAAAAATATTTTTATTTTCTTTCTTCTCGAGCAGAAGCAGCAACAAAAAAAATGAAACTTTAAGCGGCATAAAAAGCAGAGACAGAGAAAGAGAGAGAAAACTAAGAATATGATGTTGAAATTGTAAAGTAAACAAAGGTAGTTTTACAGAACAAACAGCAGGAAGTCGATAGAACTGTGAGGATGGAAGAAAAAGAAAGAAAATACGAAATAAAAACAAAAAAAACTTTGAGCGCAAATTAAAAGTAAAGAGAAAGTTGTAAAAAGTTGCAATCAGAGAAAAAAATGTTTTGAGTTTTATTACCATTTGATTTGATTAAATTAGTTTGATACTAAACTTTGTTAGGCTTAATGCTAAATTAGATTTTTTTTTTGTAAATGACTTTGTCAGAAATTGATGTTAAAAGATTTATCATTGAATGTCATCGCGCGATGATGAGAAGTGGAAACCTCAAGTAAGACTTCGATTAAACTTAAAGCTCTTTGAGAGCCTTTTTATGTTTTGCTTATTTTTTGTAATATTTTTACATTATGAAACATTTTTATTACATCATTCATAAATCTAGATTTAATGAGGTGATACGTAAAAAAAAGTTTTGAAGTATAAAAAAGTGTTGCAAATTGTCAAAAGCATAACACACGCGAATATTTACAACTTCGTCTTTGTTGCTGCCACGGAAATCTTTCAAAATTGCTTTCACAATGACAAAGTGCACAGACTTTATTGACAAAAGAAGTTTGAAAACTTTTCTTTTTTCTTTTTAAAAAGTAAAAAGAAAGGAAGAATAAAAGCTAGTAAAAATGAATCGTTGTTGAAAAAGAAATAAGAAATCAAGTATGTAGCAACATTTTAGCGACATTGAAACGAAATGAAGACGAAATTCAAGAGCTTGAAAATTTATGAAAACTACACAAGTGCTTTCAAAAGCAACATGAGTAAAAGTTTAAATTAAAATCATTAAAGGAGAAGAAGCTCATGAAACATAAAAGCCTGTGTAAAAGAAGTCTGTCACCTGAGAAAGTAAGGACAGAATGGCAGAGATAAAAAACAACATAAATTCCCAAAAGGAGGTAAACTTGTTCATGTTTTCTCATTTTCCATCATCGCTTTGTTTTACTATTGTTTCGTGTTTGCTCTTTTCTAGTCTCTTAAAAACTTCAAATTAAAAAAAGAGAAGGAAAGAAAATAATTTTAAACTTTTTTTTTTCAAATGGAACAGAAACTTGAACGAGCAGCAAAAGTTTTGAAACTAGTAAAAAATAAAATTGATTTCAATGAACATTGTGAACCAGAAATGGCTAGCATATGCCAAAAGTTATGTTGCCATCATTTATGTGTCACTAAAACTAATAGGGAAAATTTGTTTGCAAACGGAGAATTGGAAAAAAAGGAAGATGCGACAACAAAGTGAACGGCGGCAAGTCGTACATTTTGGCAGAAGCTACCTTGTCCGTTTAATGTTATTAAAAGCGAGCAAATAAATATTCAACATGCACGTTAATATTAAATATATATTTATGATGTTAGTTTGCTTCACTCTCATCCCTTTTCGTTCTTTTTTTTTATTCATTTTCATATCAACAGAGAGATAAAAATATGTTTTTACCCTAAAAAGACCATGCGATATGTCATGTGCGTTTGAGAATTCCCACGTTGATGTGTCTAAGTGAGAATCCGAATTCTCTTTCACAGACCCGAATTGATCAATTTCGTCCTGTGGAAAATACGATTTTCATTCTTTCAATTTAATTCTCGATTTTCATTCTACTCTTATTTTTTTTTATTAAATAAAGTTGTTGGTCATGTGAATGATGCTGGTTGTATAAGTGGATAAAGTATTTAAAGAGATATCTGCTTGTTCGCTTTCCTTCTTGTCCCCTTAATCAGTTTTTCTTTCATTCCTTTCGGTATTGCGGTCAACGATTAATGTCATAAATTATAGATTTTCTTCTCCTTCTATCGCCGCACCATCTTTTGAATCATTTAATAATAAAAAAATTATGTGTCATGTCTTTTCTGTGTTCTATGTATGTATGAGAAGCTTCTTCATCGTCCTTTTATGTTTTATACATAATATTGGGGTCATAAATTTTAAAACTAATGATGGTAGGCCGAAAAACATACACAAACTGAGAGAGAGGAGCAAGGAAAAGTTGGAAGGAAAATAATTTTGAACATAAACACTCATATATGTTATGATATTCACATAATGTAGTTGCTGGCTACAATTTATTGAACTTGCCCACTTGCTGCCAACCGAGAGTTTCGCTTTTCAATAACTTTAAATCAGAAGGTTTTATATTTATTTTTTTGTGTCTAGAGTGTTACTTAAATTTCAAGAAAACACGTTTCGAATGAAATCGAAACTGAGAAACAGTAGAAACTTTTCCAGCTGGTAATATGAAGCGCCCCCGCATTGCGGGGTTTGTAGGAAACATAAAACATACGAAAGAAAGAAAGAGAATCGCTTGTAAAGTGTGTAGATAAATACGGAAACGTAGGAAATGTAACTACGAGGAAAAAGTGGAATTAGGGAGATTCTTCCACAACCGCAAACATCGGCATTAAATTTTGTGGCGTGAAGCGTTCGCTTCTCTTAACGAGAAAGAAAAACTTTTTTAAATATTGTTCATTATCAATGAAATCATATGGTTTCAGCACTTTTCTGTTCTTTTCACCGTTGGAAATTCGATAACACAGCGAAAGAGTCAAAAAAGAGACTGCTGATGATTTTCTTCCGGGGTTGAATTTTGAATTAACCTTTTTCTCAATTCTTAATTAACCGAAACATTAACTCATTTAATTCTAAAAATTGCTTCGATCTATTTACCTACTTTATTAAATTTCCATTCCATTACAAACATGAAGTGAGCTGTTATTTATTGAAGGCTTTAATATGAATTATAGCCTTCATTTGTATAAATTTAAAATAAATTTCAACTTATGGGCTTTAAGAGAAGTTCAGCAAATCAAATTTCACATTACTTAAATCGATAAGTAATTACAAATAAGAAGAAAAGTTTAATGATTTGCTTTTAATAGAAGAAGAAAATCAACTCCTAGGATATGAAATGAAAATGAAATTCTTTTATATTCAATATCTAACGATGTGGGCGTTTAGACTCGAATTCCCTTAGAAATTTTCTTCTAATTTTTCTTCTGTGCGTGTCGTAACATATTTTTTTTTCAATGTTTTTAGGGAGTGCGAAAGCAACCGTATAAATTATTTCATTTTTTAAAAAACGACGAAGTGAAAAACAGACGAACAAAATGAGAGAAAGAATTTCTATTTAGTCACACACAGTGAGTGGTGAATATAAAAAAAAAAGCTCAAAACCCTATGAAAAAAATAATAATAATAACTTCAGAAGTGAACAGAGAAAAGGACGAAGCCGAAGCCTCTTTGGGGGTGACAAAAACACATGCACACTTTACACAAAAGTTAGCACAACAACAGAATAAAAAAATATTCAAACTCTCAGTTGTTGTTCGTTTAAGGCTAAAAAATTTTAATTTTTTCTGCGTTTTGTTTTGTTTCAGTTAAGGATAGACCCCCAAGCGTCCCAGAACGTACAGAAGTATATCGCACACAACTAATCATGCAATGATTTTACGTACACAAAATTATTACAGTACATGAGTTGAATACAAATGAGTGAATGTTAACTTCTTTTTATTCTTTCGTTTCCGTGTGATAAGTCTTTTGGTGATTGTGTGTTGTGCAATTATGTGCGTAAATATAAATCAAAAAATTAGATAGTTTGGTTTTCTTCTCGTCGTAATAAACCGTATTGAACAATTAGTTGCGAAAAAGAGCGAATAGCTTGTAAAGAATGAAAGTCAATCATTGGAAAATTTTATTTTTTTTGTTTTATTTTTTTTCGTGTCACGTTTCTATGTGCAGGAAGTGAAAAGATTGTCGAGAACAATTGATGTTAAGCATCACTTCAATGTGCACACAGCTGTTGGTTAAAGGATTTACCATCGTAAATCGATTCTAGATAGCCAATTATGAATAGATTACAAATCATTATATTTGATCGTTCTCAAAAAAAGGGATAGAAAAATGTGATTGATTTATAGTCAAAGTGAGATGTAATTTGATACATTTTTGAAACATAAAAAGCTTACCTGGAAGAGCTTTTGATTATGAACTGCATTTGACGGTATTTCAACATTATACGACTTCTGATCAAATTCAGGTGCGTTGTCATTAACATCAAGCACTTTAATAACCACTCGTGTCGTTGACGACAATTGCGTTGGTTCACCATCATCCATTATCATGACCTGATAATTAAAGGGAAGACGAGAAAAAAAAAGGTTTTTACAAATTACTTTCTTTTCTTCCATTTGGGGTTGTTTTTGTTTGTTGTGCAATCTCTAACATTTTAGTGCTTTAGACCTTGTAATTAATCTTTCATCATGATCTCACCTCTAAAATGTGCTCGTGCTGATTTTCTCTATCCAGTCTACGAGATGTTGTTGTTATGAGGCCTTTATAACATGAAATATGGAGGAAGATAAAATGGAAGAGAAGAGTTATTAATGCCACTTACACGTAGGCAAGGAAATGATATTGTGCAATATGAAATTCTAGGAATATTTTTAATAACATCTTATGGATGTAAGTAAGTAAGTGTGTACCTGTTGTTGTGTTTATGTTGAAGAATCCTTCAGGGTTTCCTGAAATAAGACGATAAGAGAGTGTCTGTTCGTTATCTATGTCATCATCTGTAGCCTCCAATTGAATGATTTTTGTGCCAGGCGGACTATTTTCCGGAACTGATGGATAGTAAACTGGTTGTGCAGTTAAAGGTACGTTATCGTTCTCGTTCTCGATTTGTATGAAGACCTGTGTATAGTCAACAAATTTATTACACATATTAAATGAATATGTTAAAAAAAGCACACCCACACACACACACACATATGTCTGGAGTGTGTTGTTGTGCATGACCCGTCTCATGATGTGAACAACATGAGAGCGAGTAAAACAAATCGCAAAATAAATAGAAATTAATTGAACAAATTTATGAATTATGTTAATTCAATTAATTTGAATTCGTGAACTTCTGTGAACTCTTTGAAACTGACGTATGCGGTCGTGAATGAATGATGAAGAGGGCAATTCAATGGAATACATTTTCTCTTTATTTATTGAGGTTTATTTTCTTTCCTACCACGAATTTATGTCTTTAAAATTTATTTAAATAAAAAAAAATTGGCTCAAAGAAATTGAAAATATGGAAAATAAATTCTTATAGGAAATCGAGTCGTTGAAAAAAGATGCAATGACTGTGAATAATTTAATTTTCTTTAATGTTGTCAATTGCTCGTCTCTTCCTTTATTTTTATGACAGGGACGTTCATAAAATTTGTCGATTCAATGAAAAATTTCAAGGGTTATTGAATTAATTTTAAAAGCAAATTATTTTTATTGGCAAGAGAGTTGAACACGAAGCTTATGCTTATTGGAATAGGATTAAAGTGAGTGAGAGAGAGAAATGAATTTTCCCATTGATTATTGAGACAAAGAATGGAAAATGAAGGAAAATTCTTCTTTCTTTGTCTTTTTCTCAAAGCTACTCAAATCATCCATGAACGATGAAGAAATTCATTTCAAAAAAAAGCTCATACCTCAATGCAGGAATGTAAGGGAACAATTCCATGATCCTGAGCGCAAACTGTTAGCCAATAATGTGATTTCGTTTCAGCGTCAAACTTAACCATGCTACGAATATTTCCTGTTGAAAGGCAATGACGAAGGAAAGACGAAAGAAAGAAACAAAACGAAATGAAATTAAATTTAACATCAATAGCAGTAAAAAATATTTGTCGGGTCATAAAATAAATTTAATAGCTAGTTTTAGCAAATGAATTTAGCGTTTAACGAGTAAATTACCTTCGTTATCGATTGCAAATAAACCTAAGCCATCGCCTCCGTTTGTTGTGTAAGAAATTCGCGAATCGGGACCAGGAGTGTCGTAATCTTTTGCAACAATCTTCATAACATGAGCGCCAGGATTTTGATTTTCTTTCACCATTCCCATCATAACAAAGTCATCAAATATGGGTGGAAAGCGATTCTCATTGACATCAATCACCTCAACAATGAGGGTCGCACTTGAACTTAGTGTTGGTATTCCTTTATCGATTGCGTTTATAATAACGCTGTGAATCTGTCGCTCTTCAAAATCTAATTGTTTTGCTGTGCGAATTGTGCCTGTTTGTTTATCGATCTTAAAGTAACCCACATCGTCGTTTTTCCCCACTTCAGCAAACGAATACAAAATCTCTCCGTTATTTCCGATGTCTAAATCATTTGCCGTGACTGTGACAACAACTGTTCCGATGGGAACATCTTCCCTTATTCGAGTATTGTAATCTACAAGATGAAATTGTGGAGCGTTATCATTAAAGTCGTCGATTTTAATTTGTAGAAGTGCTTCGGAAGATAGCGAACGAAATTCGGGGTCTGATAAAGCTTTTTCGCCTCCATCTGTCGCTTTTATTCGCAGTTCATACAAGTCTTGCTTTTCACGATCCAGTGGAGCTGAAATTGAAAGCACACCCGTTTCGCGGTCGATTGAGAAGTCTTTTGTGTCCGTCACTAAGCTGTAGAGAACTTTTCCATTCAAACCTTTGTCTCGATCTGTTGCATTGAAACGAAAGATTGTCGTTCCATTACGTGCTGATTCTGAAACGTGTAGGCTCGCAATTGACTTCTCAAATATTGGGTAGCAGTCGTTTTCATCAAGAACGGAAATTGGAAGAAGCCTCGAAATGCTTTTTTGATTCGGAAATCCAAGATCATAAACTGTCACATTTAATAAATATTCATCTTCTTTCTCTCGGTCAAGATATCCGATGACTTTCAATTCACCCGTTTCGAGATCGAGTCGAAATAATGAATCATTGTCGCCATCAGAAATGCCAAACACTAACTTCCCGTTATAGCCTGAGGATGATTTTTTATACGGAAAGAGAGAAAATAAAATTAGGATAAGATTTCATTCTTTCATTTCTGGATTCTATTCGGAAGTTATGTCGTTCGCTTATGAATAAATGTTTGACAACTTGATTAATGTTGATGCTTCAATGCAACTCTTTTATAAATAATCATTAGAATGCTGAATATTTAACTTAATAAGTTTCTAGAAGCGGAAAACATTTCCACAATTTTCATCAACTCTCAAAGCTTATGACGGAAAGGAAAAATTCTGTTTATTCACGGTAATAAGTTATGAAATCTGTTGAGAATGCTTTAATGTCACAACAATATGCTTGTTGATCAAAAAAGTGTTATTGAAGCCATAAAAATTTATTGCTTTAATTTTGCCAATAAACTTTTCTCTTATTTCCTCTACGAAAAATTTACTATCACGACAACATAAATAAAGTTTTTCATTTAACGTCAAACATAAAAAAAATTTCTTATTGAATGTTGAAATCATAAATGTAATAAAAGGATAATGTGACATAACTTGCGAATTATCCAAACAGCAGTCAGCTCTTTAAATATTAAAAGGAAAACCAAAACAACAAAAGAATAAGAAAAATAACTTAAAAGGTTCTTAAGAGACTAGAAAGCTTTGTTAGTGGAAAAGTAACTAACTTGTCACCATACCTAAGTCTCGGTCGCGTGCCTTTATCCACCCAATTGTCGTTCCCAACGGCACAGTTTCGTTGACTTTAATTTCGGTTGGAAAGTTGACGAACTCAGGTGTATGAATGTTTTCACCATAACGACTTGGCATAAGAGCGAAATCCTCGCTCAAGTCACGACCAGGTGCGTTGTTTTTCTCAGCAAGTGCTTGTGTTTCCGCCCACTTTCTGCCAACATCCGTTGTTCTACATTCGAAGTTTCCATTGTTTTCATTTCTTCGACTGTTCGCTATCAAATTTATTTGAATTCTAGTATTGTCAGCGAAATGCGTTCCGTCTGTTGCCGTTACATTCACTTCCCTTTTATCAACGCCAAGATCTTGCAAATCACATCCGAGTGATATTAAACCACTCGCTGAATCTAAATTAAAACATCCATCTTCATTTCCCGACACGATTCGATAACTTATGACATCACCGGCGTCAAAATCAATTGCTGATAACGTTATCAGTTCTGAACCGATAGGAAGATGTCGCGGAATCTGTCCTAAGCAATCAATACGCTCGAATTGCGGACGATGATCATTGACATTGCGTAATTTTATAAACAATTTCATCTCAGTTTGTCTTCGATAAGGTTGGCCCCAATCGGACGCTCTAATATGAAGTACGTATTCACGTCGCATTGTTTCATAGTCGAGAAGCTTTGACGTTCGTACAGAGCCCGAGAAATGGTCAATGTCAAATGGCACTTCGTTTAAATTGGCTGTTGGTTTTCGTCGTGGGTATAAAAATGTGAACATATAGAATTTTAATATTCATCTTACGCACATAATAAATGAGAATCAAGAAATGTATAAAAAAAAGAGATAAAATCATGGGAACCGAATCGTTTAAAGATTCATAAAATGGAAAAGGGAGATGGAGAGACTTTTCCAGCATGTAAATACGTGTAAATACATATAAAGTGACTAGTCCCAAATCAAACAAACAGAGAAGAAGGAAAAAAAAGGAAACTTACCGATACTGTAGGAAACATAAGCATTTTCAGATGAATCAGCATCAGTCGCTTTCACCTTTGTCACGATACTGCCCGCTGGCTCATTTTCATCGACCCATATTGTCATGTTTGCCTTTTCAAACACTGGATTCTCATCATTTCGGTCTTCGATATTTATTTTCACCTTGGCTGATGATTGCTTTCTAGTACCAGTGTTACCTTGATCGATTGCTGACACAGTTAACGTATAGAAATGCTTTGTCTCAGCATCTAAAATTGCATTTGTATAAAGCATACCAGTTTCAGGGTTTATTTTAAATTCTCCATTCTCATTTCCACCAACAATTTGCAAATACACTTGTGCATTCTTTCCATCATCTCGATCAGATACTTTAAGTCTGATAACTGGCGTATTTATTGGGGCTATTTCAGGCACTGATATTTCATATATTTCACGATTGAAAATCGGTTTGTTATCATTAAAATCGATTAAGCGTACTGGAATTCTTTTATAGCTATCTTTTGACGGCACACCTTTGTCGACCGCCCTCAATGTGAGATTGTAACCGTTTGGGGTTGCTTCACGGTCCAAAAGTTTGTGAATTTCAATGACATATTCGCCGGGACGTGACGAGGGTTTGATCCGGAAATGTCCATCGGGATCGCCATCAACGATGTCGAGTGACTTTATTTCACCATGAATCCCCTGATCGCCATCCGTTACCCGCACAATTCCGTAAATATTCGCATTGGAATTTTCTACAATCTCATTCAATGCTTGCAAATGAATTTCAGGTGAATGAAGGTTTGTTTGTTGTACGAAAATTTCGACAAAAGCTTTGCTCGCGGCATGATGATTTGTCTTAAAATTACTATTACTATTTACATTATTTAATAGCAGCGATGCTCTGTCTGTTGCTAAAACTGTTAGCTGAAAATATGTGTTGCCATTTGATTCCAATGATCGTGTCAATGTCAACACACCACTGCTAGGATGCACCGCAAACTGTTCAGTCTCATTCAATAAACTATAATAAATTTCTGAAAGAAGACACGAACACAATTTGATATTGTTGTATAATTAATCACACTTCATTATTATTGTTATTATTATTGTTAAGAAGAAAGCATATGAGATGTACGTGAATCTATGCGAGAAAGAGATTTGATCAAGCTGTTGACATTTAAGAAGAATAATAAACATTTTGTTATGTTAAATATATCGCTACAATTTCTTCTCAGAAATGAGACTTTTCATAAATATTTGTCTCAAATTCATCGCTACTCACTTACTGTTGATTTCTCATTAGACTTTCATATTTTCTGAATTCATTTACATTATCAAAAATGCAATTTAAGTAAAATTAGATTAAAGGAAGCTTTTCTTCCTTAAAGTTTAAAATTAAATATTCTTTAAGGTAAATCAAATCTCTGCTCGACATTGCACGAACAGCAATTCTGACGAGCGAGGGGAAAAAGTAAAGCAGAAGGAAAATAAAGAAAGAAATCCTTCTCTCAAATTCTTTTTCTTGAATGTGTATTTAAAAGTCAAATGAGTTACGTCAAAGCTTATGAAAAAATGAAATTTCATTTTTAATTTAAAACATAAAATTCGAGGATTAAATGTCAAAAGCCTAGAACAACTTCTGTGCATAAATCAACGATAAAAAATATGAAATAAAACGAAAAATCAATTCACCTCCGTTTATGCCTATGTCTGCATCTTCGGCAGTCACCCGTACGATGCTTTGATGAAGTGGGGTGTCGTCAGTTACTGTGACGGAATATTTCGTGGGATAGAATAATGGAGAGAGATCATTTTTATCGAGAACTTTCACATCAACAATTGTTTCTGCTTCATCTAAAATCCTTTTCTTTGTTCCTATTCTATTCCGTGAAATTGTCGCCCTCACTCGAAGTCGATAACTATCACCTTTCTCACGATTTAAAATGATATTGTTCGTACGAGTTCTGATTGTTAGAAATGCAAAATCTCCAACGATTCTTTCCTCAGCTTTGAAAACTTTGTTCTTGTCGCCGCCAACAATTTGATATTTTATGTCGACTTGATGTATTCCATCATCGATTAACTTTATCCCCATACGAGACTTATCGGTGTAGGGTTGAATAGCATAAGTTTTCTGAACACTATTCTCAGGTATCGTAACATTATAAACGGAATGGGAAAATTCAAATCGATATGAAGATATTCCTTCAGAAGCATCAACATTCTCATTATGCTTTTGACGTTGAGACGACTGATATTGATGCTCAAAAGAAATCGATGATAACGTCGTTTCGGTCGCTGTTTGATCGACCAGAGGTATTATTTCACGCGATGACGACGTAAAGGATGGGAAGGTGATTGATTGTTGAAGATATGACGACAATGTTGTTGATGCGACATCTTCATCAATATCATCAATATTTATGTGATTTGAATAGCTTTGAGCTCGATGGTGACTCGTGATGGTTGTTAAAAAGAACAAAACCGATAAGAGCCCTTGCCATTTCAAGCAAAAGCCCTCGTTCTGGGCCATTTGTTTATGGGAAGGGAAGCGGGTTGTGGCTATCTCATATTATTTCCATGAAAACAATCTAAAATGTGATCCAAATCGACGTTTTGTAGAAAAGGAAAAACAAGCGAAAAGAGAAAATCGAGTCAATAAATAAATAAAACAGTCGTCCGATGGTATTTCGTCAAACAAAAATAAAATAAAATAAAGAAAAACAAAAGACGACAGATATTGTCTTCCTTCTGTGAGACTTTAACAAGAGTGGAGAAGGAAGGAAAATTCAATGGAAAATACTTAATGGTGAGAGCGTCATGTCATTTTTAGGAAATTATTGCATGTGACATGATATTTTTCCATCGTATTTTAGGTCTTCTTTTAATCTTTTTGATGTTGTTTTAATTTGAATTTGGAATTCAATTAAAAACGTATTCATTAAGCAGTCGCTGGTTTCATTTGTCTGTGCATATTTCTTGTTTTTCTCGAGAGTCGTACGCTCGCTTTGCGTCTAATTAAATTAAAAATCTCGAGCCTCGTAGTGGGATGTGAATCATGAATAAATGGTTCTTGTTTCTTCATTTCTTTTCTTTTTTCTTTTAAGAAAAAGAAGAGAATAAAACATTTCGAAAGCAAATGAACATACCAAATTCCAAACGCTTACTCAAGTGTGTTTAAATAAGGCCAAACGTTTATGTATGGAAAACAATACACAAAGTTGTTGTGCATTATGAATGAAAAAAGAAACATAAATGTAGAAATGTAGTGTACACTTCTCAGTTTACAATTTACACTGTACACACTCATGTGGAGTTTTCCCCAGCCTGTTACCGGTAGTCACTTGAATTTCTTATCCCTGTAGTTTTCACCGAAATCCATTTACAAACTACACAATCTTCGCTTTTCCATTCATTCGCCCCCGCTATCCGATAATGTATTTCAAGCAATTAGACTTTGTGCAACACCAGACGTGCTCGCTTCACTTTATTTTACTCTTTTTCTTTCTTCTTCCTCTATGAATAAATAAACACTAATAAAACCAAAAAAAAAGTTATTTATAAATATCTACTCTGCTGTTACAACCAGCAATGGTGATGTAAATATAACGTTTAACTTCCAATGAAAAATTCTCTTCAATTTCTGGAAATGCATGTAACCTTTCAAACTTTAAAACAGAATAAATTTCTTTTCCCTTCTCGTATTTTATGTTTTTTCTTCTTCTCATTTTTCCTCGCTTCAAAAAGTCAAATCATCAATAAAAATAAGTTTTGAACACACTTTTTAGATATGTGGTTGGTAAGCCTGCACTTAATACTTTATTTACTGAAGTGTTTCATAAGTTTGAGTTTTCCTTTTTTCTATTTCCTCGTTTTTTTCAAAGGAAATTTATATTGAAAAGTTTATTGAAAAGAGAGCTGAAGTATGAGATTAAGACACCGAACGAGATTGTCGATGGAATGATGAGAAATTGAAACTTCTTATGGGACTCACAGAAGGAGAAGAAAGTTTATGAAGAAAATTTATGTGTTACATTGAAGTTAGATTATAAATTCTACTTTTAATTACTTTTTTATCATTCCCTTGATATTTAAACCACATCATAAGATATTAAGAATAGTTTCATATGCTTGATACTAAACTAGATTCTCATTATAATAAAACTTGTTGGTTCTTTTCTTCTCCTTCCTGTTGTTTCATAATTTTGGTGGAAGGAAATCTATAACTTGCGTTTAAAAGTTGGGTGGTCTGGATTTTAAAATCAATTATGGGGAAAATTGCATTGTAATCAAAGACTTTTCATGAACATGCTGTAACACTTTGTAAACTCAACCGAACCCCATCGTTGTCTTCACTTAATCCCGCAAATCATTTCAAATCATCTCTTTTTCTAAAACATTAATTTTCTCGTCTTCGCAATCAGTTTTCTTTTCAACTGGCTCACATGATATAAGCGAGATACAAAACTAATTTCATATCAGAAACCCTCAATCAGCAGCTTCATAAAAGCAAGAAGAGAAAAGCACAAAAGCCTTAACGGTATTTAAATCTTATGAAGTCTTGGATATTCTCTGATAGTAGTTGATGATGGTTCTTTTGCTTCCATCTTTAATTTTTTCGTTCCCTTTACTCTTAAAGGTAGATAATCCAATTTCTTGAAAAAATAAACAGATGGGTGAGACGAAGGCAAGATGATGTCGATGAGAATGATGCGATGTGAGAACAAAAAGGATGCCGAACAGAATTTTATAGTGAAGCAAGAGGCACAAAGTACATTTAAACAAAATGAATGTTTCTTTAAAATAAACCCTGAAATATCTACCACCAAGAGCAAAAATTAATAATCTCATACAGGTAAAGCTCCCGCACTAACTTGAGTTAAAAAAAAAACAATCTCTTCACCTTTCTTTTTATATTTTTCTTTCTTTTTTACTTCATTTACTTTATGAATTCTCTCATTGCTTCATCGCATACACTGAATTATTATTATTATGTTTTTTTTTTTCTTTCTTTCTTTCCTTCGTCATATATTCTTAGACTCTTCTGTTGTATGTTCACACTTTTGTCTGTATGTCGTCGTTCACATAAATACGGATAATATTCCTGACTGTTTCTCTCTGTTTCTTTCCTCTTGTACTTTCACTCACTCACTCATTTGAAAGAAGGTATGTTGAATGCTTTAACTAATAATATTAAAAATACAATCAGAGGGTAATCCTAAATCTCTTATAAAGCCATAAAAAACAAGACTTTCACTACATAGATTTAACTTTTTTATATTAAGCTGCCCATTTCAATCCTATTCCTTCTTGTAATTCTCTTTATCCAACATGTACAACAACAATCCATTCTCGTGAAGTCTGGTGAGCGTGTAATTTCTTCGGAAAAATATTTAGTGTTGTTTTAGACTTTTTTTTTACTTCATTGAAGTTTCGCACACTCATATACACTTCAATTTACTTTTTATGGCTCACAACATGTTCTCTTTCATTTTTATTTTTGCCTTTTTTCTCGCAGAACTATAAAGCAAATTGCAAAATTTTTTTTTTCTTCTCCCTTGATTTTATTTCTTAACTTTTCTCGACTCTTGGTTTTGTTGTTATTTTTTTTCTTTTCTTTGGTTTGTATATATGTAACTTGTGAATAAATCAATTATTCAACTTCATAAACATCATTTTCATCATGATTGCACAGCGAGGCGAGCCGCCGAGATTCACATTTCAAGATCACATTAATATGGAACATTAGGAAAACATAAAGAAAATTCTTCTTTTTTTACTTTCTGGCGTTTTCTTTTCAGTTGCCACAATTTCCACTCAACTAATAGGATTTCACAACATTGATTCAAACCGCCCTTTCGACAACAGTAAACATCACAAAAGAAAATTTATGGAAAAAATGAGGAAGAAAGGAAAATTTGTGTGCCGAACCCTCGAATCTAACTTATAATTATTTCATCATAAATCGAAGTAAGATGGAAAAAGCTTTTTCACCATTTATTCACTAGACATATATTCCATTCCGTATTCAGCATTTCTCGCCTTCCTTCCTTTTGTTGTGTTCACTTTTCTTAACAACACAAATAAAATATTATTTATAAGTAGATACGAAGCAAGCAAAACTTTTTAAATCTCTCTTAAAAACTCTCTTTTTCATTCACTTAATTTTTTTACACCGCTGCTGCTGCTACTTTGGATAACACCAAGCAATTTATGCTTGTATATGGAAATGAATATTTATCCGTTTTTGCTTTCACGTCTTCACTGATCGAGAGCATTTACCAAACTGACTCACCGAGAGTAAAATCTCTGAGAATATTTCAGTTTCAATTTTTATTCCTTTCATGTCTTCGCAAGTCGCAACGTGCTTACTTGTTTTTGTGGGAGAAGTGAAACTGGTATAACGTGAAATTGAGAATGATGTTTTGTTGATGTTATGAACATCGTGTTGTTGAGGCGTATGGTGTTAATGGGGGCATGGGGAGCAAGTAACGTCAAAGCAGAAAAAAATCGTGGAAATTATTGTAAATAATAATGAGGTGCTTGCTTGCTTTGAACAATATTCACTCAAATACATAATGTTTAACTATTATTATCATTTTTGTTACTTGTCTTATCACGCCAAAGTGATGTTTTCAAACTCCTTTAATTTTCATTTGCATCTGCTCAAGATTGTCGTCTTGGAACATTCTAATTTCCTTTTATGTTGATGTTATACTCGGTTAAATTTTAACAATCATTTTCTTTTTCATTCAGATGTTGTTGGGATAAAAGTTTTCCTTAATAAATTTTTCATGAAGTGGTTTAATGTGTAATGAATTAAATTTTGAAAAAAAACCGTACGTTCTCTGGAGCGGAAGGATGAAAAAGTGCTCGGGTAGATTTTAAACAATTGTGCGATTCTTTTTATGATTAAATAGATAAATATGCACAAGCTATGCAAAGTTTGAAGCACTCTTGATGTGAAAAGTGTCGGAATGGGATTAACAAAGATTCACCAACATTCAACCAAATCGAAAAAATTCATTTGTTTGACGATGGCAATTGTCACCGGAAATTTGAAGTTTGTCATTGCAGATTTTTATTTTATTTTACTTTTTTCTATGACACATATTTGCATAATGAATTTTTTCGATTGCAGCACACAGTTCCGAGTTTTTTCTCTTCTCGACCCTCACCATGCATGGAGTTTTGTCGTTTTCAAACATTCAATCTCCCACTTTTTGTTCATGCTTTGCAATGCACTTTTAATGTGTGCACCCGCATAGAAGCTTTTCGTGCTGCCTCTCAACTTGCTTTTACTAGCTTTTCTAGAGAAATTCTGTAAACATTGCAAAAATTTGTCGTTTTTCTTTTTTGGAAATTTTCACAAAAGGACTTTTCCGTACGTACATGAAAATGTTTCTCAAAGTTCTTTTAACACAATAGAAAAGTGACCACAGATAGCAACAGCAGTCAGTACAAGTGAATTGCATTAAATTGTCTACTTCTGTGAGCATTTGCTTCATCTGCTAAATAGTGCATTAAAAATGCTTTTAATGATATTATAAATTTTACTTTTAATAACAATAATAAGAAATACTTTATGCTGATCTTGTTAAATACTTAAAAGTGCTGAGATTTTTATTTTCATCTGGTGCCACTAAACTGAACAATCCTCAGACGAAATAAGAAGCCGAGGAATGAAAATTAAATTAAAACAATTTTATCGACTTCTACAGAAGATGCACAAATATTCAACCTTCACAAATATTAAAGAAAGAAGAAAGAAAGAAATCTAATTAAAATATCCCTGCAGGTATTTTTTAAAACGACATTTATCCCACTTTCTTATTTTCTCCCCACCCGATGCCTACTCTTAAAGTCACTGCTTATTCAAGTTAACTAGATAAATGCGAGACTTCGAGACACTAGAGTTTAACTGTGATTTAAATGGCACTTGAATTCAATTGAATTTCGTCATCTGGTTTTTTAATTCGATATAATTTATAATAATCTCCATCGTTGACCATAAAAAAATAAAAGCGAGACTTTAGCGATTTTTTTTTCTTCTCAACTTCGTCGTCATTGATTTACTGAGTGAGTAAAACAAAAATGTTGAAATTAAAGAGCTTGCTAATGACTTCCGCCTTATTTGTTTCCGTTCCTTTTTCTCCAACGCGAAGAAAAATAATTTGTCAATTTATCTTCATAGAGAGAGTTGGGGTTGATATTGGGGAGGGGGAGCTTTGTTAATTTGGATTATTCTCTGACGGCGGTGAGTTGCACAAATCACTAAATCACTAAATCCATATATACATCATTCAATTACCATGTAAATGTTCATTCTCCGCCTGTTTCTTTTTATTCCTCTTTTTTTTCACTTTCAATTTACTTTTGGACTTGACACAAATATATTCCAACTTTGAGTAGCTTTTGCTTGCGCTTCTTTTCTTATTACCAAACAAATAATTTATATTCCTTAGCGTATACTGTTTCTTCCAATTCGTTCATAAATACATAAATAGATTCATTAAATCAGAAACATGGAATGTTGAAGCCAAATCACTTAATTTGTATCACCTTATCTTTTATTTATTCTCCTTATTTTTCAACTGATAACGATCGAATTACGTTCACAGATTGGAAACATTTTTCATGTATCGTTGTATGGGCAATTATTTTTTTCTTTATTTATTCTCTTTCTAATGAAATTCTTGATTTGATTCATCCACATACAACAATAAACGACCATTTATAGACACATTTAAGCACAATCTTGGTGTTTATTTTTCCAATTTTCAATACACTTGGCTCGCCTTATGATATTTGCGAAGCATATCTTCAATTATTTACACGTTTATTTTCAACGTTTTGAACACATAATGCATGGAAAAGCCGGAAAAACTATGAAAATACCGTCTCGAAATGAAAATTTAAAACGCTGCTGCTTCACAAGCGTTCTGACTCTCACTGATTTCGATATATGCGACGCTCTCGAAATGAATGTTGAACAGCTGTTATAACAGATGCAAAATATTACAACACTCGTTACTTTATAAAGCGTGAAAATAATGAAATGAAGTGAACAAGAAAAATTGAGAGGAAAATATTCAATGTTGCATAAGTTAAATATTTTCATGTAAAGCATTTTAAATTATTTACTAGTTTAACACAAAATCCTTGTTTATGCAATCAACAACAATGTCAGACATTCGGACATTCCGACAAAATTCAGCTGCTCTCACATTTCTATAAACATATTTAGCATTATAACAAAATTTCCTTACAGTGAAGTCATGAAAAATTCTCTCGTTTTCTTGTGAACCTATCTTCGTAAAATACCTATCTTCGTAAAATTTCTGTGTGCAGTGACCACAAATATCTTATCTTAAAACTTTTTTTGTTGAAAATAATAAAGAAAATTACATAAATCGTGACATGCTGAATTTTTAAGTGCTTTAGACAGCAGGAAAATACTCAACTTATTTTGTTTAGCAGTGATTGAAAATGCAATTCCGATGGCAGCTTCTGAGACGTGAATTTCATTGTGCAAAATTTTTACGAAATCAACAAATTATTCCAAAGTCGTTATTTGACGTGAGTGGTTGAAAGAAAGAGAAATTAAAAGCATTCTTCAAACATTAGAAACAATATCGCTAATTATGCCCTTTCACTACTGCACGGTGTTTTCAGGTCAATTGCATTTTATCAGCCAACGAATTCACAAAAGAGTTCTCGGAGGAGAATCGTGGTCACGCATGCATTGCTTACGATTCAAATCAACTTCCGTCAAACTCGCCATGCGAGGATTCGAGAACTGAAGGTAGTTTGATTCATACATCAGGTTTGCTCGTTGGTGTTTTCGATGGTCACGCCGGTAATTCATGTTCACAGGTCATCAGCAAACGACTCCTGCGCTACATAGGAGCAAGTTTAGTGCCCCCACAAGTACTGCGACAATGTTTACAAGACGAAGCCAAAAGTCATTCATTTGTGAAGTGTCATAACGACAAACATGATTTTATTGAAGAATTACGAGATTTATATGAGCAGAGCTTTCAAAAGTTTACACAAGAACTCTTAAACAGACGTTCAGAGAACTTTCAAATGGAAGAAGTCTTGGAAAATGCTTTTCTTAGACTCGACGAAGATATAACAAATGAGGCGATGGACTCAGGAATTAGTCAGACATTGAGTGTTGCACTTTCAGGATCTGTTGCTATTGTTGCTCACATCGACAAAAATCATTTACATGTTGCATCCACAGGTGATTGCCAAGCTGTTCTAGGTTCAATTAACGAAAATGGAGACTGGAGTGCAAAGAAAATGAGTGAGGAGCACAACGCAGAAAACATGGCAGAAGTTAGAAGAATTCTCGCTGAACATCCAAACTCAGAACGAGACACAGTCATAAGAGGTGATCGATTACTAAGTCAATTAGCGCCACTACGAGCCTTTGGAGATGTTAGATATAAATGGTCACGTGATCAACTTCAAAAGCTTGTCGTGCCACATTTTGGTGAGCAAGTGATACCGCCAAATTACCACACACCCCCATATTTATCAGTTAAACCATCAATTCAGCATCATATTTTAACTCCCAAAGATAAATTTTTAGTGATGGCTTCGGATGGTCTATGGGATGTTTTAAGGTAAATAGAAAACACCACAAGATTTGCATAAAACAACTTTCAATTACATTCATCTGCATACCTGCATAAATGTTTCTTTTTTCCCAGCCCTCTTGAAGTTGTGCAATTAGTTGGTGAACATGGAATTGGAAAAGCATCGTTGCAACCTTTTAAATTACCGAAGAAGAAAAATATTACGCTTGGAGAGCTTGATAGCATGTTACAAGCACGAAAGTGAGTTTAATTAACTTTTCTTTCTATTTATTATTCATTTTTCTTGTTGTAAATTAGGGCGAATCAACTATCTAAGCCGATTGATAAAAATGCATCAACGCATCTTATTCGTAATGCACTTGGTGGAACTGACTACGGAATTGACAATGCACGACTTTTTCATCTTTTATCTTTACCACCTGATATCGTTCGATTGTTTCGAGATGACATAACAATTACCATACTTTACTTTGACACCGAATACCTACGGAATATTCCGGCTTAGTTAACAAAAAGACTTCTTACAACGATGTACAAACTTTTCAAATGTCGTCGTCGTCAATGTCGTCAATAACTTTAGTAGAATGTTTTTATTTTATTTCCCTTTTTCTGTTTTAAATGAATATTTTTCCTTCTCCCGTCTCATCCACATATGATTGTATTACAAGTTATTAATGTTGTTCCCGACACGTCAAGTTCAAGACGATAAAATGACTTTTCTTTGTGCGATAATAATAAAAATAATAAAAAGATTATGTGATGATGAAAACAAAACAAAAACAAAATAATTCAATACAAATATCTGCAAATTGAAAGAGATTAGTAATGAAATGTACAAATGGGATTTATTTCAATTGAAAAATGTTTTTGATTTTCAGAGGAAATTTTATTTGATTATTGTTTGTTTTTCTTTTTTATTGGAATCTTAATGATTTCCCCTTTTATCGACAACAACAATATGGCAATAATTTAGAGGGTATAACGAATACAATTATTATTAATATTTACGTGTTTGTGTTCACATAATTTAATTAAATATTTTTATTGCAAACTTTTATTTATTTCTTTCTTAGATTTTTCATTTTTGTTAGGTATTTATACGATCTGCTCGTAAAATTGCTTTATGATTCAATTCTGTTTGCTTTATCATTCTCTTTGTTCGTATTGATTTAAAAATGGATTAACTTTTAATTGGAATTCCTTTCACTTTGTTTACCATTAAAATACGCTTGCTAGGTGTAGCTAGGTATGTTATTATCTTTCTTTTTCGTAATTTAAACTTTTATTTATGGTATTGATTCGTTTCAGTATCTTTTTGTCTTTTTTATTCGCATGCACATACATATTATGTTGCTGTGCTGTTTACTAAGCATCAGCGATATCACATTTTACATAGAATAGATTTTTAGAAGAAGCAAGAAGTAAAGAAAGGAAAGAAATATTACCAGAAATGGCGGTGGAATGTTTAATTTTTTTAATAGCTTTCAATTTTAAGTTTCACCAGCATATTCATACATAAAGCCAGTGTGACCAGACCATAATCAAAATTTAATATTCAACACTAGAGTTTTTAGGTACTTTTAATGGAGCAGACTTTTAAACTCCCCCTTAAGCTTCTAATTTTATCTTAATATTTTCCTTTGAGATTATAATTTCATCCTCGTCGGGTTAATCATTGGATTGGCACATTTGAGACGAAAACTTTTCCTTCCGAAACATATGGGAATAAATATAGAAAAGTTTCATGAATAATAACGAGATGACAGAAAAGTTTAATGCGGGATTCGTTTAGATGGAAAGGAGGATGAGAAGGTGGTGACTGTTTTGATAGACATCTCAATGAATACCATAGAAAATATGTGTTCCTTCATTCATAATGAAAGAGAAGATTTTAATAGCGAGAGGAGGAAACATGGAAATAATAATAATAAAGCTTTATCGACTGATTTTTACTACGAGCAAACATTCACTTGTAAGGAAGCTATTACGATAGCTTGTCGCATTAAATCAATCTTTCATTCATTCAATAAAGTAAAAAGTATGTCTCTTATCAAACTGTTACAAGGCATCTGAATAACTCCCTTGAATAAGTTAGTTTTATTCATAGAAGATAAAATAGAAAAGAGAGAAAAAAGAAATAATAAATAAATTCTTCGACATAGTAAACAAGCGCAAAGTTATTCATCAACAGCAACCTTGCTTTCAAGAGATTAAACAAAAAAAAGTGTTTTGACGCCAATTGAAACGTTTTCTCCTTCATTAAAGCTATTAAAAATAATTTAAAATGTAAATATATTCAATCTACTAATGGCTTACAGCAGAAGCAGCAGATTTCCTTTTTTCTTTTGTCCTAACATTAAAAGCTTATCAAATTTCTATGTTTCTTGATTAAACTTTTTATAGTTTTTAATTATATCAATTCTATAATAAGATGCACTTTTCATTATTTATATATTATTATCATTTTGAGATTTCTTGCCTTCTTCGTCGTTAAATTTAATTAAAATCATAAATATACGTGTATAAAATGAGACTCTCATTATAAAATCATTCATTTTCTTCTTGCACAATATTTAAGCATAAAAAGAAGAAGAACGAAAGCTTTCATTAAAGCTGTGGGTTAAATTTCGATTTAATTAAATTGCGAAATAATAAATTGGAGATCATCAACTTTGTAAAATAAAATATCAATCAAAATAATTTTTTTTTTTTGAAAGCCTAAGGATAAAAAAATAAGCCATTAATTAAATTAATTAACTTTTAGGATCCTGGGCAAACAAAACACGATGGAAGTAAATAAATGAATTAATTTGCTGTCGTATTTTTGAAAAGAATTGAGTGAATTTTACGTAAGAGAGGGAAACCTCTTTTACCACCCACGCCACGATTTGATTTGTAATTGTCGTCGCAAGTGTATTGATAATCATCGGTATTTAATGAAAATACCATTATACCACCGAAATGATTATCTTTTGCGTAGTTTACTTTACACTCGAGACTTCTCTCATCTTCATATGATATCCACTCGAGCCCGGCTGATAGGAAAGGCGAACATGTTTCGATATCGTATTCAATTTTCACATTAAAATTGCTGATTTGAAACCAACACACCTCAGAATAACTCACAAATCCTAACACTCCCACACTTCCGTAATCTTCACTGGGCGCACCAATACGTGTATTGAATGGATTGACGAGTCGAAAGGAGTGACCGTAAGTCGGCAATCCAATAATAATTTTTGAACGATCGAGACCTTTTGACATCCAATAATTGACTGTATAATTAATATTTAATGTTGCGAAAATTCCAAATTCCCTTGAGGTTGCATAAAGTGGCGCGTTGAGGCCTGTAAATAAAACAAAGTCATCGTCAATATCATTTATTACAATCAAAAGATAATCTCAGATAAAGAAGGTAATAAAACTCACCAACATACGGCGTTGCTTTCGAATAAAAATGATAGTCATAAGTCATCACATTAACGAAATCAACATTGTCGTTTATCATTGGAACGTCATAGCACATATCGATGAATGTGCTTGGTGCTGCAGCTGCAAGCGATAACAAATATGTGCTATGCTCCCTTTGATATTCTCTTCGTATCTCATGAAGCAATTGCATAAAATGTATTCGTTGAGGATTCGATCCATTTGGAAATTCCCAATCAAGATCTGAAATTGATAGCAAAGGTAATAAATTTATATATTTTCTTTCCATAACGGTGAAAGAAGGATTGTAAATATTTTATCATTCATCTTATAAATAAATAAATAAACTTACCAACTCCGTCTAAAGAATATCTCTTCAAAGTTTCTTTTAAAGATTGAATGAATCTTTTCCGATTTGTATGATTTGCGACCATCTCTGTGAAACCTGTTGACTCGTCTGCTCCACCAACCCATAGAAGAATTTTCAGATCTTGATTTTGTTTTTTTAAGAGATTTCCGTCTTTGAAAGCATTGATTAAATCATCATCCAATAGAAGCGTGCAGTTGGAGATTTCGATGATTCCGATATTCAAATGAGTACAAAGATGTGGATTTATATCTTTAATCTTAAGTGGTGAGTCGTTTTTAATATAGTTTCGTTTGGATACATAGCGAGCTGTTGTATAGTAACATATGAGCTTCTTTTTATGCTGCTTTGAATGCTTTTCATGATCACTCGAATAAACATAATTTCCAAACTTTGACTGTTGTGTATAAACATCTTCATCTTTATCACTAATATTATTTTTATGGCTTGAAGCGTTACTTTGATTCTTGGTGTAAAAGTTGATTCTTGAATGCCAAAGAGCTGGAATGTCTGAAGGGAATCAATATAATTAATTTACATAATTCAAACGAAGTATTTTGCTTATCGGCTACACGAGTCATTTTGTTTACATGCTAATGTGACCTTTGACTTCGATAAACTAAATTGTCATATGCAAACAATGCTAAATTATGTTTTCTAAAACATCAAAAACTTCCCGTCATCAAATTAAATTGTTGCCTTCGGGGAAAAATAAAAATTTTCTTCACCCAAGTAAACAAACTTCTGGATGTATAATTATAGTCAACTAAAGCTTGTACCTTTTGTTTTCTTTGGTATCAATAATCGTTTGTAACTATATATTTCGCTCCATGTAGCAAATACAGCGAGGAAAACAATGATGCAAAGTACTGAAATTGTAGGGAAAAATTATTTCAAGGTTTCTAAATAATTAATAAAGTCGTAAACAAGACTCACATGATAACAAGCCGATTGCTAATATGTTTCTATTATTGCTATTATTGTTATTATTTATTCTGAAAATAAGAAAGAAAAACAAATGAGTTTTGCTAAATGTTTTCTTGATTTAACTAAATATTTGCGTATGTCAGCTGTGCGTAGAAAATTTCGTAGTAAATTTACATTTTCTCATTTACGATCAATGTTATCAGCCTTTCATTTCATACCTTTGATTATTTATGAGTTCGTACTTTGGTTTCGTCATTATCACTAGCACATTAATCTAAAGCACTTAAAATTGATGGTTTATCCGATATAATTTATCGTATTTTATATAATTTTTAATTTTCAGATTCTTCTTCTTACGAGATTTTTGAAAACAATGAAATGTATTCAGTGAAATTATTTTGTTCAGTCAAAAAAGTGACAGTCGGATAAAATTCGTTTACCTTTACACTTTTCTGTAAACATTACAAAAGAAAAATCGATTTTTGCTTCTGTGAAAACATCTCAAAAGAAAACTCTATTTAAACCATTTTAAATGCTGTTTTAGTTATTAAAATCATCATAAACTTTTCATTAACATTATTTTGATTTAAGTTAATGTGCAATAATGTCGGCCGATCGAGAAATACCAGCTGAAGATTCGATAAAAGTTGTGTGTCGTTTTCGTCCCTTAAATGATTCAGAAGAAAAAGCTGGATCGAAGTTTGTCGTTAAATTTCCACAGGGACAAGAAGAAAACTGCATCTCTATTGGCGTAAGTTCAAAATAAGATTCCTGAAAGAACATGTTTTAAGGATTTTTCATGAAGAAAAAAAAGTTTTGCAGTGTCAAATGCTCCAAGCCACGTTTCGTGTTATCTAAGAAAAAGTTTTAAAACTTAAGAAATAAGAAACAATCTTCAAAAGTTTTATCAATAAGTGATAAATACCTTATTCCTTTAATCAAATTTACTTCTTTTCTTATCATAACTTTTAATAAGTGATCGGAAATACGGTAAACAGAGTGACTCTGCTTAGATGACTCATGCATAACGTTTTATTTTGGATCCATCTTGGAATTTTGTCTGCAAAAAATCATCTTGTAACTCAATTTACCAAAACATGCACTAACTTTATAATGCTTTACCTGTTCAATTAAAACAAGTGCATCAGCACCTTCTGTAAAATTTGATTTAAATAAATTTGGCATCATCATTTGCGATGTCTTCATGACTCATTCAACATTTTGTCAATCGATATTCCAACAATCTGACGTCATTTTTTCATTTCATCTTGTATGAGAAACACAAAAATAACAAAAAAAAGTCTTGAATAAGAAGAGAGAAAACTTTCATGTGCTTGAAGATTTACATATTTCTTTCCTTTTGAAGCAAATCAAATAATCATTGAGCACGCGTCTCAACCTTGTAACTATCATGCCATTTAACCAAATGGGATGAGTCTACCTCAAAAAATGAAGAGAAACGACCTTCATTTCTGAATGTATGTTGGAGGGTGAAAAGAGGGAATATTTTTTATTTTCGCGTTCAGTGGAATAATTTCGAGTTTGTCATAAAAAAAATTGGAAAAAGAAGCCCACACGAATCTGCTTTTGTCATTTAGTTTACCACATGCAAAGTTTATTTAGTTTTATGAATGTTTTCTCTAAATTGGAACTTTGTTTTGTAGGGAAAAATTTATCTATTTGATAAAGTTTTCAAACCAAATGCGACACAAGAAAAAGTTTACAGCGAAGCCGCCAAATCAATTGTTGCTGATGTTCTTGCTGGCTACAATGGAACGATTTTCGCTTACGGTCAAACATCGTCTGGTAAGACGCACACCATGGAAGGTGTCATTGGTGATCCAACCAAACAAGGGATAATTCCACGAATTGTGAACGACATCTTCAATCACATTTATAGCATGGAAGTGAATTTAGAATTTCACATTAAAGTCTCGTACTACGAGATTTACATGGATAAGATCAGAGATCTACTGGACGTTTCAAAAATTAATTTGAGTGTACACGAAGATAAAAATCGCGTTCCTTATGTGAAAGGTGCTACAGAACGATTCGTGTCAAGTCCAGAAGAAGTTTTTGAGGTGATTGAAGAAGGAAAATCGAATCGTCACATTGCTGTAACAAGTAAGAAAACTTTTATTCAACTCAAATTTCAGTTTTAGTAACAAAATTTCTTTTCAGACATGAATGAACATTCGTCACGCTCACATTCAGTTTTCCTTATTAATGTGAAGCAAGAAAATCTTGAGAATCAAAAGAAGTTGTCGGGTAAACTTTATCTTGTGGATTTAGCTGGTAGTGAGAAAGTTTCAAAGACAGGAGCAGAAGGAACTGTTTTGGATGAAGCAAAGAATATTAACAAGTCATTGTCAGCTCTTGGTAATGTAATTTCAGCACTTGCTGATGGGAATAAGAGTCACATTCCTTATCGTGACTCAAAATTGACGAGAATTCTGCAAGAATCACTTGGTGGTAATGCAAGAACGACAATTGTTATTTGTTGTTCACCTGCAAGCTTCAACGAGTCAGAAACCAAATCGACATTAGATTTTGGTAAACGTGCTAAGACAGTGAAGAACGTTGTATGTGTGAATGAAGAGTTAACTGCTGAAGAGTGGAAACGACGATACGAACGTGAAAAGGAGAAGAATGGAAGACTCAAAGGGAAGTTGGAGAAGCTCGAAGCTGAACTTGCAAGATGGAGGGCAGGAGAGAAAGTTGATTTAGATGAGCAGTTCAACATGCAAGATCCAATGGAAGCAAGCACCCCAAATGTCGATGTGATCGAAGCAGTTCCAGTGGTTGAAGGTCCAGTTCCTGCTACTCCAAGTGGCTTAGCGCTCATTGGATCAATTTCTGGTGATGAACGTACACGTCTTGAACAAGAACGTGAAAGATTGTATCAACAACTCGATGATAAAGACGAAGAAATTAATCAACAATCTCAATACGTCGAAAAGCTTAAGGAACAGATTATGGATCAGGAAGAGCTCATTGCAAATTCACGTCGTGACTATGAGAATCTTCAGACAGAAATGACTCGCATTCAACAAGAGAATGAGAGTGCAAAAGAAGAAGTAAAAGAAGTGCTTCAAGCTCTCGAAGAGTTGGCTGTCAATTATGACCAAAAATCTCAAGAAATTGATAACAAGAATAAGGAGATGGACGCCATCAATGAAGAGCTACAACAGAAACAGCAGAATCTTAATTCAACAACAACTGAACTTCAACAACTCAAGGATATGTCGAACCATCAAAAGAAACGTATCATTGATTTGTTGGGAAATTTACTTCGTGAACTTTGTGAAGTTGGACAAGCACTTAACACTGAAACGTCTTCCGAGTTGAAAATTAATGCTGATGCGAACATCAATAAGATTGAAGAGGAATTCACTGTTGCTCGTCTTTATATCAGTAAGATGAAGTCAGAAGCGAAGAATATCACGCAACGTTGTAGTAACTTGGAAGTTCAACAACAGACAACATCAAAGAAGGTTGGAGATTATGAACGTGAGTTGAGTGAGTGTCGTTTGTTGATATCTCAACACGAAGCACGAATGAAATCACTACAAGAGTCGATGCGTGAATCTGAGAATAAGAAACGTTCTCTTGAAGAAAGTGTCGATGCTTTACGTGAAGAATGTGCTAAATTGAAAACAGCTGAGAAGTTGACAACAGTAAATGCTGAAGAGAAGCAGAAAGCTGAACAATTGCGTGTTGAGTTTGTCGATCAAATGGATCAGTTGCGTGACGTTCACACCAAACAAGTTGCAAATCTTCGTGATGAGATCAGCGAGAAGCAAGAGCAAATCAATGAACTTAAAGAGTATGTTCATCCATCAATTTATATTCATTTTAAATTATAAATTTTAATTTTAACTTATTTATTTACAGCGTTAATCAAAAGCTCACTTTGGCACACCAGCAAACATCAAACGATTACGAGAAACTGAAGCAAGAAGAGGCTGGCAAATCAGCACGTTTACAGGAACTCATGTATGTTAAAAACTCACCTAAAGTAACAAAACTAACAAACGACATGATTAATACAAAAATTGCGACACCTAAAAAATCTAATAATAAATTAAATAGCAATAAAAATAGCTTCAAGTCGACAAGCTGGAACGATGAACGTCGTATCGAGCATATTTGTGACTATTATGATGAATTACAATATAATTACGATTACTTCTATAACAAGTCGCAATCTGATCATGTGATTGACAATAAACCGTCAAAAAATGTTTACCAATACTCACAATTAACAAAATTACGAAAAAATATTCTCAATCGTCGTTTAATTGATCATCGTCAAAGACTCAAGAATGAAAAATTGTTAAAAGAAAATAGTGATAAGAGTTTAGTGTCGTCACTTTCATCAATGGTTGAGTCAATGGCAATTCCATCACTTCATTTTCATTTGATTTTATCTTTGACAATGGTTCTTTTAACTCATCAATGTCCACATTATTTAGTTGTTCTCTAAATGTTCTCATTGAAGATTTCTTTTTAAAAAGACTCAATTTCTGATGTGATAAAATTATCTCGATGATGTTTTGATTAGAGGTTCTTGTTAAAAACATGAAAAGCATTTCATGCTTATAAAATGTTAATTATAAGCATAAGTAATGCACATTGTCATAGAATTCTGATCATAAAAATATTCACATCGATTGTAATCTTTATGAAGTTTCGTACTATTTCTTTCCTTCTTGATTATTCTTATAAAGATCTTAATCATGATGATGAATTTTGTTGATATTATTAGCATATTTAATTGCTTTAATTGCGAATTTAACTTTAGGAATGATTAATTATAACATAACATGAAATGTTAAGCTGATTATTAGCTAATGACTTTAAGTACCTGCGCATTTAAATATTAAACTTCCTGCTTTTATTCAAGTATTGTATAGCAACACAAAAAGTATTTATTGGCAAAAAGAATCAAAACAAGAACATTGAAAATTGATTTTCTGTGATATAACCGAATAAGATAAAGAAAACAGCACGCAATCAAGCAAAAATTGTATTAAATTAATAAAAAATGCTTGTTAATTAATTAATTTTAATGATTAAAATCATTTAAGTGACACATGAATTTACATTTCATTTCATTATTGTTGATAATTTTCTTATAATTTCTTTTTAATCATCTCTCAAGTTGAGAGTAAGAAAAGCAAGAATGATCGCCATTCAGTTTGGATCGGGCGGAAAAAAAATTTCTTAATGACTTTAAATGAATTTAGAAAAAAAATTAATTAAATGACTTCACGATATAAAGAGAGAACATGGAAATGAACTGATTTGTTATTCGGGTTAAATTTTTGTTATGTGCCAGGAAGGAATCGCGATCATTGTTCGAAACGCTTTAATTCATAATTTTTTCCTTCAGTTTTCCACTAACTTATCCTTTTTCCTGGCTAAACATTTTATAATTTCTCATCCTTGAAAACAAAACTTTAAACTTGAAAAAAAGCTTCTAAACTAAACAAACACACAAAAAACATTCTAGCAAAAAAAGTGAAATTAAAAGTTGTAAATTAATGTGTTTAAAAGTGTAAATAATCAAAACAGAGGAAAAATATATTTGAAGAGAAATAATGCTAAGAAAAAAAAAATTAATGAAACATGTTCTCTTTTTTAATTAAGCTAACAATTGATTTGAATGGAATTGCATTAATTGTTCTTTTTTGAGCTCTTTTTTCTCCTTCTTTTATCTTTCTTTAAATGCATTCATTTACATACGAGCCAAACTGATTATAAAGCATTCAAATTGAATGGTAATCATTACTAACTTTATTAAGATTAATTAGATGCATAATTATTATAAGAATTTCATGAAGAAATCTCTATTAATTAATTTAATTTCTCTTTGACAGGGTAAACAACGAACGACGCGAACAAGCTCGAAAAGACCTCAAAGGATTGGAAGATACTGTGTCAAAGGAACTTCAAACTTTACATAACTTGAGAAAATTGTTTGTTCAAGATTTACAAGCGAGAATCAAGAAGTCAATCAACTCAGAAGATAATGAAGACGATGGTGGCTCGTTGGCACAGAAACAAAAGATTTCATTCTTGGAAAATAATTTGGAGCAATTGACAAAAGTTCACAAGCAACTTGTTCGTGACAATGCGGATCTGCGTTGTGAATTACCGAAGTTAGAGAAGAGATTACGAACGACAATGGAGCGAGTGAAAGCACTTGAAACTGCATTGAAAGAAGCTAAAGAAGGTGCAATGCGTGATCGTAAACGATATCAATATGAAGTTGATCGCATTAAAGAAGCTGTTCGTCAGAAGAACTTGGCAAGACGTGGACCTCAAGCACAAATTGGTGAGTTATATAAATAAAGATTCTTAACGAGACAGGAAATTTAATTTATGTTTATTCATAGCTAAACCAATTCGTGCTGGTCATGCACCAGTTCCACAAGGAATCAGAGGTGGTCAAGGAGTTCCGCAAAAGATTATTAGCGATGACAGGAGGAAATCAATGAAAGGTAAACAACAATAAAAATTAAGAAACATCCAATAATGTTAACAAAAACATTTTCTTTCAACAGATTTCGAACAAAGTTGAATCAACAATTAATTCAATGGAGTGCATAAATTAGGAAGCTGAAGCAAAGCATGGTTTTTATTTTATTTTTACGACAACAATTCTTAAGCATCTTCATGTTGGTTCATACCACTTCTTTAAAGAAGAAAACAAAACTAATAATAAAATGATTTCCTCACACAACGTCGTCTTTAAAGTTCTCGCCGCTGCTGATTGTAATGCAAAGCAAACATAAATTTTCTTGGCTGCTTCATACTTTAGACGCAAAAGTTTTATGAAGTAAGAGAAATAATATTTGAAGAGAAAAAGTTAATGATCCGAAGAAAGCTTATTCGTCTCAAGAAGTTTCTTAAACTTTTCTCATGTTTTTTTAATGTTTTCCTCTTTTTTTATGGTTTTAATTCAATGTCAAATTTTTGTTCTTTGCTTTTAATTCAATGTTAGGTATTTTTCATTCTCAGTCGTGCATTAACAAATAATTTCAACATTTACAGAGAATAAGAAAAGTTACTTAACAATTTTAATGTTTCCTTTTTCTACGTAATAAAATTTTAAAACTTTTATAGGTCATTTTTGTTGAAATTCGTTGAAAAAAATTTTCCCCTCAACTTTTATGTAAAGAAAACATTGAGAATCGCAAAAAAGAAATAAAATTATGCTTTATTTGTGATAAAGAAAAGTGAAAAGAATAATAATGATAAATGTAGAATTTTGCTACTGCAAAAAGAGAAGTGAAAACAATTTAATTACATTGCTTAAGGTGAACGAAAAAGTTCCCAGGAATCACAAATATTTGAGCTTGCCAAGCAGAAAACCCAAAAAAAAAAGGATAATTCAAGATAAATTATAAAATCACGCGAAGCTTCGAAATTCCTTGGATGATAAAAAATAAGAGCAAAGTTTGATTTTTCTTTTTGTTACTGAAAATTTGATGGCGCTAATTGACGAACCAGTAATTTGTTCTACACATTCATTGTGAAACATTAATTTATATCCCAAATTTAGTAGATTTATACTCATTTAGATCATTCATAAATAATTATTTTGTAAGTTTCATTTTTTTGTAGTTTAATTGACTTTATTTGCACCCCCAATCATCCTGAAAACCTTTTTTATAATTAATTATTTAAAATAGTTTGTTCAGCACAATCCAGTTAAAGTGTAAACCACCTGACGATAACTTATCTCTGATTGAGCATAAAGCCCGAATAATGAAAGCGAATAAATAAAAAAATAATTTTGATTTAAAAGCATAAAATTTGTTTTTAGTATTTTTTCCAGAGATGGGCAAATGTTCCGTTCAACTCGATTGACTGACTGACTGACAAGTCAATGTCTGTCAGTCAGTCAGTCAAATCCCAACTCTGCTTTTTTCTGAATGCTTGGACTTGAAGCCAAGGAAGATGGTAAGAAATTGTTTGTTTCAGACGTTCATTTGTGGAGTGAAGAAATTTATGGTTGGTTGAGTCATTTCAAGTCCTACAGATTTTTAAGATTGTTTTTTATCTCCCATGTAAGTCATGGCTTGAACAGTTCTACCTGGACCAATCCACAAAACATGCAATAAAATCAACAAATATTTAAAAGAATTAATTCATTTTTCAAAAGACAAACTTATTAATGTTTACACAATTAATTAAATTGTAGAAAATTGTGAGAAATCTTAGAAATTTTCAAAGAATCCACTGCATAAATATTTCACTCTAAGCTTTGCTAAATCTTTGTCATTGTATAATGTCAGAAAACAAAGTGAAATTAATTTACAAGCTGTGAATTGTCATAATTCTTTTGTTGCATTAATATTCTCCTTTAATTAACCAAAAGCAGCTTTTGAAGAAACAAAATATAAAAGAATAGACAAACTGCTTTTAAAATGAAGAAATTTGCTCAAATTTAGCATCTGTGATTGTTTCCTTCTTCTTTCACCAGATTTGATTTTATTTTTATCTGCGTTGCCTCATAAAATATATTTTTGATTACATTTCATTGTAAATATTATGATTTTCAGTGAAAATTTTAGTCATTTTAGATTCCCATTTTTCAGATGTAAGTTGAAAATAGTTGAACTAAGTCAGGGTTTCATATTTCTACGAATATTAAGCCAGATCGTTTATTAAATTAATGTAAGTAATGACAAGAAATATTTCTGCATGCTAATAAATATTGTTCAAGTTTTCTTACTCTTTGATATTTCATGATTCAGATAATTCAAGGAAAAAATTATTTACAGCATTTAAAGATGGGAAAGTTTTTAATTAAATTAGTTACGGCAATGCTTGTTTGCACAATCGCTGTTGCTGCTTCTGAATGTAACGAAGGATTCTACGGAAATCATTGTGAATGTTCACTTGAAGATTCTGAATTGAATTTATTGAATAAAAACTCGAAATGTCGTCCAGATAAACAATCACTCGAATGCAATGGACGAGGAAAATGTGTTTGTGGCGGCTGTCATTGCGAACATCGCCCCAATCCTGATGAAGTAGTCAGCGGACAGTTCTGTGAATGTGACAACTTCTCTTGCGATCGTCATAATGGCATACTCTGTTCTAGTCATGGAATTTGTGAATGTGGACTATGTCGATGCCACGATGGATGGACTGGAGATGCTTGCGAATGCAGCACATCAGTTGAAGATTGCACAGCACCAAATGGAGAGATTTGTTCTGGATATGGATACTGCAAATGTGGCGTATGTGACTGTAAAATCAATAAGTTGGAAAACTATGCCTACACTGGAAAATATTGTGAACACTAAACGCGGAAAACTGTCGGTAAATTATTATTTAGCAATATAATGAAAATGGAAAATTTAATTTTGGTTTGCTTTTAATAAATTTTGAAAGACTTGATGTGAAACGTGGAGTATTGTCATAAAACAAGGCCAGATCTTGCCAGTTTGATGACTTTAATCGAAGCAGCTTTTTTCTCGTTTTGTCGAATTATTGAAAAATATTTGATTACAAAGTGACACTTGTAGTTCATTAACAAAGTAAACTTTAATTTAACGTTCAACGACTTTTGATAATGATGTTATTGTCAACTTGGAACAAATGTTCAATAATCAATACAATAAACGATTATAACATTCTCAACTATCAAGGAAATTTTTGATTTAAATGAGTTGAATCTGTAAGAATTTTAAAAAAACTCAACAGTTGATTGATTGATTGATTGATCTTTATTATTTACCAATTTGCTATTTCTTTTCTTTTCCATTATAATGGTTAGTAATATGTGAGATATACTCGTCTCAGTCTCGAGATTAGTGTTTTAATAATTTTCTTTTACAAATGACATCATTTCTTTTCTTACTATTACTATGAATTTAGAACAAGATGATATTTCTTTTTTATGTGTTTTCCTAAAATTATTTTTAAAATCATTGTAAATAAATATTCAGTCCTTTATAGAAAAGAGAATTTTGTCCAATATCAGATTTGTATTGTGGTAGCAGGTAATTTTTCTGGCTTCGAAGATTAAGTCTGACAGCTTCTTCTTTCATCTTCATTCTGTTATTCAAATATTCAGGAGATTCCCCAGATTCAATTCTGCAAATAAACTTAAGAGTATTAAAATATATTCTCTGTTTAATTGACATCCACTTTAACATGTCCATCATTGTTTTAATTGAAGTTCTTTGACTGACTTTTAATATTAATCTCATGCATCGATTTTGTATTTTTTGAAGCATTAAACAAAAATAGGACTGTTGAACAATAGAATAATCTATATGTATGTGGCGATATCAGTGATTTGTAAATAAGAATTTTGCTGTAACAATTTAATTTCTTATCGCACCTTTTTAAAAGATAAAACTTTTTAACCATTCAAAGACTGAGTTCATTTTATTCTCAAAATCTTCGAAAAAGAAAAAGCTTTCGAATGATAATAAAATGGTCTTAAAAAATAAATCCATCGATTGGGCTAACTCAGTTGAATATTTAGGAGTCTGGTTAGACACTAAATTAACTTTCAAAGACAACATCAACAAGAAAACTATTAAAGCAAGAAAAGCTATAAAAATTTTTTATCCACTATTGAAAAAATTCAGTTTTGTATTAACCAGTTATCTTCATGAGATAACCAGATAATTTCTACAACAAAAGCACGGAGTCCGAAGATTGTCTGATCAAAAAGCTGGGTAGTTACAACCCAGATACATATCACACCCATAAATTACTTAAACCTCCTGGATTTGTAACCCTATCTTGAATTATAAATTTTTGTAAAAAATTTTAACTCCCTTTCTAAATATCAGTTTATATAATTTTTCTGATTCTCTAATACAACACTAGCTATATCTTTAATTCTCTTAACATACTAAATTAATTAATTAAAAATTAAATGAAATTTTAAGATTAAAGCTTTAGAAAAAAGGCTGGTACTTAAATCCATTTACATTTGAAACTTTAATAAGTTATAAGTAATTACAAGATTAAAAACAAATATTTCTCAATTGTTGTAAGAATTTAACGGTATAATAGTATACTTTTTTCTGGTCATGGAATCTGAAAATGTGGGCACTGTCGATGTCATCAAGGTTGTACTGGAGATGCTTTCGAAAGCAGCACGTCAGTTGAAGATAGCACCAAATGGTGAGATTTGTTCTCGATATGGATATTTTAAATGTGGCATATTCGACTGTAAAATCAATAAGTTTGAAACTATACCCGCACTGGAAACTGTTGTAAACACTTAACACGGAAAATTTCCAGTAACTTTTTATTTAGCAATCTAATGAAAATGGAAAATATAATTTTGGTATGCTTACAAAATATTTAAATTAAAAATTTTATAAATGTTGAAAGATTTTATGTGAAACGTGGAGTACACATGAAATAAATAGCGAGTAGAAAGCAAGCTCTTGCTAGTTTGATGACTAATCCATTCAGTTGTTTTCTTGTTTTGATACATTTGGAATTATATTTATATTTGCTTACAAAATACGCACTTTCGGTTCATTAAGAAAGTAAACTTTAATTTAACGTTCGATAATTTTTGATGATTATGTTGATGTCAACTTGGAACAAATGTTCCTTAACCAATTGAATAAACGATTATAATATTTTCAACTATCAAGAAATTTTTTGATTTTCAATAAGTATAATAATGAATTATTTTAATAATATTCATTATAAGACTGATGAAACATACCTTTAAATCACAACCTCAATTCGAACCAAAAATGAACGGAAATTATATCTATAAGAATTCGAAATTTTCTCAACATTTTCCAGATTATGTTTCAAACGTTCTTCAAAATCAAGCTTCACATAAGATTCATCTTTTTTTAAATCTTTCAATCAATTCAAAATGGTTGATTGCTTAATCATTATTGGATATCATATAAATATCATATAATAAGTTTGTATCAGGCTAAAGTTACGTAATAATTTTTTTCTGAAGAGTGGGGGGATTCTTATAATTGATATCGTTCAATTTCTTAATTCGGCACATCTACATGTAAAGAAAAATGGTATAAATTTCTCATTTCAATCCACTTTGCCTTAATTGTAGTTCAGGTTCTGGAGAAGTTAAGTCTTGTTTCATTGCCAAGAATGAAGATAATATTCCAGATATCTATATTTGCTTTCCTTTTTGCAAGTAAGATATTTCTAAAATGATGTAAGAATTATTTTCTTATTTAAATTATATCCTTTTCTCAACAGTTTGCAATGCAAGTCACAACATAAAATGTGAACCAGTGACAGGTAATTTAAGCTTGAATATATTATATTTAAAATAATTTTTCTCAAATTTTTTCTCTTCTAATTAACAAGAACCCGGAGATAGTAGCTCTGATCAAGAAACACCAGATGATAGATCCGAAGAAACGCCTGATGAATCATCCGAAGACACGCCTGATGAATCTAGATGCCCAGATAAGTGTTACGAACGAGATTCAAAGATTAAGGAAAAAATTGAAGAAATAATAAGGTGTATCAGGGAATTGTGGAGACTCTGGAAGGAATATTTGGGAGCTAGTATATATGAAAGATTCCGTGATTGGTGGAGTAATTTGAAACTTCCTCTCGGAGATGATGTATTTGTACCTGATGATGATGAATTAGATCCTCAAGACGAAAAACTTGAAAGAATTTTGGAGATAATTGAGAAAATTAAAAAGTGCATACAAGAAATATGGAAATACATAGAAGATTCTGGCTGGCTAGATGGAAACTGCCACCCTTGTCCACCCTTCGCCCCTGAACCTTTTGAAGGCGATGACTCTCATGATATTTGGTTCATATTTTTGCAGATTGCCGCAGGCCCGTTGAGATGGTTTATTCCCATACTTCCTTTCCCCCTGCCTCCCATTCTTCCCTTCCCATGGCCAAGGATTGGCCATTAAGTACTGAAACAGTACTTGAAACTTTCTAAGAAATACATTTCCTTTATACTTATGCTGACGTGCGACAATAAAGTCATTAAAATCAAAATAACAATTTTTTTTTAATTTTTAATATCTATCTGAACAGTTGTTGATGATGAACACCTTGTTTTCTTTAATCATTTTTGATCATGAAGATGGTATTGATAACTTGATAATGACTTTTGCAGTTGTATCCAACCCAAATTAATCAACGTATTTTTTTATCCGATTCGAGAAAAAAATGACTTTAGCGTGAAAGTTTTCTTTACATATGCATCTGCATTATGATATTTATGACATGTGAAACTGTATCATTGTATGTCGAATGTATTGGACGAGGAAAATGTTTTTGTGGTTACTATCGTTGCATACGTCCAAATCCTGATGAAGTAATTAGCGGACAGTTCTGAGAATGTGACAACTTCTCTTGCGATCGTGATAGTGGCATACTTTGTTCTAAATAGTCATGGAATCTGTGAATGTCAGGACTATGTCGATGCCACGATGGTTGGACTGGTGATGCTTGTGAATGCAGCACATCGGTTTATGATTGCATATAAGTTGGTAAAGTATGCCCGCACTGGAAAATATTGTGAACACTAATCGCGGACCGCGTTGGGCGATCCGGATCGCCGATCCAAAATTTACACTGCTGCGATCTAGATCGGATCGGCGATCCATACAAAAAATTTTGGATCGCCCAACTCTGATTCGCGGAAAGTTGTCAGTAAATTTTTAATTAGCAATCTAATGAAAATGGAAAATATAATTTTGTTTTGCCAACAAAATTTGGAACAGCATAAAAGCTGATATTAGAATGGCGAACTCAGTTGGTGAATTCAAGATGAAGTGTCTGGCGTACTTTAGCAATTAGGTGTGACAGAAAGAAAGATTAACCCTTCCAATCTCCTTCCCCAAACTCCCCAGATCATTATTTGCTTCGGATGAACAGGTGTTATTGTGCTGGGGCAAGAAGTGATAATATTACGCTTCATTGAGATTGTGTGATTTTTATCAATTATGTTTTAGTTTTTGTTTTCTCTACAGTCAAATGTTTTAAAACAATGTATTCATGAGAAGATTTTCTCTGAAAATCTTAAAAAGAGCGTAGCTCTTAAATGAATCACCCGAAATAAAGAATAATACTAATAATAATAATAATAATAATAAAATATTGAATGAAAAATTTAATAAATTTTGAAAGACTTGATGTGAAACGGGAGGTTTGATTGTCATTAAACAAGGCCAGATCTTGCCAGTTCGGTGACTTTAATCGATGCAGTTGTTTTGATAAATTGTTGAAAAATGTTTGATTGCAAAGTGACACTTCTGTTCATTAAGAAAGTAAACTTTAATTTTACGTTCGACAATTTTTCATGATGATATTGATGTCAACTTCCTTAACCAATACAATAAACGATTATGATATTTTTAACTATTAAATTAATTTTTAATTTTCAATAAGCTGAAGTATGAATGATGAAGCATGCTATAAATCACAACTTCAACTCGAACCAAAAATGAGCGAAAATTTTTAAATTAGAATTCAACATTTTCTAGCTTATGTCACAATCATAGATCAAAATCAAGCTTCACTTAAGATTCATCTTATCAAAAACTTTATCAATTCAAAATGTTTGATTGTTTAATCTTTATTGGATATCATGTAGGAAATTTGTGTATAAGGCTAAAGTCACGTAATAAAATTTTGCTGAAGAGTGGGGGGATTCTTAAAATTGATATCTTTCAATTTCTTAATCTACGTATATGTAGAAAAATGCTATAAACTTCACACTTCGCTCTGACTTAATCGCTGTTCTGGTTTTGGAGAGTTAAGTCTTGTTTCATTACAAGGAATGAAGATAATTTTCGGGATATCTTTATTTGCTATCCTTTTTGCATGTAAGATATTTTTAAATAGATTAAGAATTATTTTCTTATTTAAATTAAAACCTTTTTTCAACAGTATGCAATGCAAGTCACAACTTGAAATGTGAGCCGGTCACGGGTCATCAAATTACAGGTTATCCTCTTGATCATCCCACAGGTAATTTTAGCTTGAATATATTATATTTAAAATTTCTTTTCATGAATTGTTCTTTCCTCGAAAAAACCAGAATCACCAGAGATTAGCACAGAAACACCCTTTGTTGATCCATCGTGTTGGATAGATGAATGTGACGAACGTGAATGGACGATTGAGGATTCATTGAAAGCAGTAGACGAGTGTATCAACATTATAATGAAACTTCTTGAAGAACTTATAGGAGAGGAGAAGTTTAAGAAATTCCGTGAATGGTGGGATAATCCATTTGGTGGACCTCTATATGGAGAACTTTTTGAAGGATTAAGTCGACAAGATGAAAGATCTAAAGAACTTCTAAAGAAAATTATAAGAACTTTCGAGCTTATGGATGGAATAGTAAGATTACTAAAAGACGAAAATTTGAGAGACTCATATTGCACACCTTGTCCTCCTCACAAATTAAACCAATCTTTCTTCAGTGAAATATATTTCAAGCTTAATAACATGATGTCCAAATTATTTTCGGTCCCAGATCATTTTCATCCTGATCATCCACGTACAGGTAATTTTAGCTTGAATATAATATATTTAAAATTTCTTTTCGTGAAATTTTCTTTCCTCGAAATAACCAGAAACACCTGAAGAATCATCCGGATGTGCTGATCAGTGTGGATATCGAGAAGGATGGCCTAAGACAAGGTTTGAGGAAATACTAAAGTATGTCGAGGAAATTTGGAAACTCCTCCAGGAATTATCCGGAGATAAACTATTTGGAAAATTCCGTGGTTGGTTGAGTAATTTGAAACCTCCTTACAAAGATGAATTTGTACCTGATGATGATGAATTAGATCCAGAAGACGAAAGATTTAAAAGACTTTTGGAAATAACTGAGAAAATTAAAGTTACTTTCAAGCAAATACATGATTTCATGGATATCATGGAATCCTCTGAAGTGGTGAATGGAAACTGCAACCCGTGTCCACCCTACGACTATGAATTTTATGTTCAGTACTTGGTTCAATTATTTGATGAAATCTCTCCATGTTATGATGAGTGTTACGATCGAGATGAAAGGATTAAGGAAAAATATGAAGAAATACGAAAGTGTATCGAGGAGTTGTGGAAACTCATCAAGGAACTTTTGGGAGACAATCTATTTGGAAAATTTCGTGATTGGTGGGATCAATTGAGACCTCCTTTCGGAAATGAATTTGAACCTGATCCAGAATTTAATCCAAAATTCGACTTACTAAGAAAAATTTTGGATATGATTGAGAAAATTATAAAGTGTGTAAGAGAAATAGAGAATGAAAAGGACAATCCTTTCTTGTTGGATGTAAACTGCTACCCTTGTCCACCCTACAATTCTAAAGACGAACCTTCTGAAGACGAAAATTCTCATGATATTTGGTTCAAATATTTAATATTTCGCACCGATCCGTTTAAAATTTATATTCCCACACTTCCCTGGCCCTTGCCTCCCTTGCCTCTTATTTATCAAGTGCCTTTCGTTTTCGAGGACTAATGAGTACTGAAACAGTACTTGAAACTTTATTAGAAACACATTTGTATTCTCATGCTGATGTGTAACAATAAAGTCATTAAAATTGAAATAACAAATTTATCATTAACTTTTAATATTCATTAAAAATAGGATATTAAGTATTTAATGTTTCACTGTTAGTCAAGAACTAGGGTGATTGCCCACCTTGTGACAAAATTAGGGCTTAACAAGAGGCTGCTCAACAAAAATTAAAAAAGCACAGGCAACTGTTGCCCTAAAAGTCTGAAACTAATACAGCAGATGCTTTATTTATTATTGAAACTTTCTATTTTTAAAGGTTTCAAAAATTTTGTTTAATTAAGCTTTAATTTGTTTTCCCCCGAAACCCAATTTTAGCTAGGTAGGTAGTGTGTGACAAGCTTTGCGTTCCATTACAATTAGAAAAGTGAAAGCTGAAACATTAAGCTTTCACCCAGACATTTTTTCAATGTAATGTTAATAAGAAAATTGAAAAAATATTGACTTTATGAAAAATTGTCACAAGGTGGCTACGATTTTAAGCTTGTCACAGGTGGGCAATTACCCTATCTGAATAATTGCCGATGATAAACATCTTGCTTTCTTTATTGTTCAATTATCTTTGATCATGGAGATATTGATAACTTGATTATGATTTTTGTATTTGTGTTCCACTCAAATTATTAAATTTTTTTCTTATTCCAATTCAAGAATAAAATTTGCCTTTAAAGTGCAGGTTTTTTTTATGTGCATTTATATTTTCTCATGTGAGCCGAGAAGATTAACATAACAAACGAAATGTAAACTCGAGTATGAAGAATAATCAATCCATGTCGTTAATGAAAAATTTTCTATTTTATATCCAATTACTGTCATGCAATTACTGTCATGTTATCAATCTTTTCTTTATATTTTATGATTTAATTTTAATTTGGTGACTGTACCACTATTTTATTGAAGAAAGCAAAGAAAGAAACAATTTTTGTTTACATGTTTATAACAGTTTTCGGAAGAGTGTTAAAAATTATTTTATAACAATTATAACATAGTGCTGAAGTCGTCAAGCTGAATGCAGGTAAAGGCATTTCAGCGAGTTTAATTTAATATTTAAGAAGTATTCGTCTTTTATCATAGCTGGTTTCTCGTGATAAATACTCTTAACCGTGCATGTTATCGGAATTGTGTAAAAGTTGACGTAAAAAAGTGAAATTGTGAGTTTAAATTTAAGTTCAAAAGTTGGGTGTAGTAAAACTATAGCGGAGTGTGAATTTTGTTCTTTATAAGGAAGAAATTGTACATCAGTGATAAATTTTTGAAATATTTGCCGACTTATCAGCGTTATCGATATCAAAGTTGCAACAAAAGATAATTTGATGTGCAAATATCATTTTAAATGTAATCTCTCTGTTAAAATTTCTTCAGAAAACTTAAATTTTAACAATTTTAAAAACCATTCAAGCAGAAGCATAAAAAAAATTGGAATCATTATGATTCATTGAATTGAAGAATCTTAAAAATAGATTCAGAATGAGAAGAAGACGGCTGTCTGACAGTAGTCGTTGAATGAATGAAATCAAGTCAATTAATTGAGAAAGGTTTTCATTTGTCTTCTAATCGATTAAAGATTTAAATGTGTGTGCTGTGAATAGAGTTAGGAAAAAAAGTAATTCAAGTCATTTTGTGGGCGACATGAAAATAAAATATTTTCTTCGCACCACTAGTTAATCCCACGCAATACGCTCTCAGTTTGTTTCATTATTATTATTATTTCTTAAGCCAGTGATTCTCTCACTTATGTTTATTATTATCATACATCAGTCAATCTATAACTGCATTTCCTTCTGTAGCCTTTCTGTCTTAGCACATCATAAAAATAATATTCATGACATCATCTTTGTTGCAAGTGTTTGTCTTACGCGACCGGATTAAAGCGAAACTCATTGATGTTTCAGCGTTAAACAAGTCTGAGTCACTCGCTGCAGCGCGCTGTTGAAAAATAAATTTTGACAAAACGTAGAAGAAGTAACTTCGTCGTGATTTATGATTTTGGCTTGCGTGACTTTCCCTACTAAGATGGGGAAATCCCTTTCTAATGATAAAGGATATGCCAATCCTAGTTCCATTGATTTTCCATCGCAAATGTTTATCTGTTAATTCATTTTCAGTTGAGTTGTTGGTGTTGTTTATCATGCTTTTTGCCAGTGTCATTATTTGCGCAACATGAACAATGTCAGCCTACATTTCTTCCTCCTTTAACTTCATTTTCTGACATTTTATGTCACACTGAAAACTATTTTCTTGATATTTATTTTGAGGTAGGGAATAGAATAGAAGACAAGAAAAAAGTTTAATTTTATTAAATCCTATCACGGAAATTGAAGCAAAAAATGCTTAAGCGTGTAGATCGCAAATAGTTGGCTAATTAAACCGGTTTAATTTCGTTTTATCGCTGATGATGCTTTTGTTGATTTTATATATTTTGTTTCTTTCCTCTGATGAATGAGTTTTTACTACGAAAATTGTCGTAGTGTGTGAAAAGACCGACATGCATCATGCTTCGTTATGCAAATATTTAATTTTTTACTTTTTATTTCTAGAAGATAAAAGAAACCTGTGCCACAAAAAACAGTGCGAAATGAACAAGAATTCAATATACTTCATTGCCTTTGTGCTTTTAAGCACCATTGCTTCCATTCGATCTCAATCTAGCACCGAAAAAATTTCTTCTGTTCCAAATCAATGCGTTAGTAAAACGAAGTGCGGTCCATGTATACAAACACCAAATTGTGCTTGGTGTATGCAGCCAGACTTTGGTGAAAGACCACGATGCTTTCAACCGGAACTTACACCAACCAATCCATGTCCTGAAGAATTTGTCATTGATCCAAGAAACGAAATGATAATGATAAAAGAAGCAGCTTTGAGTCGAGGTGGTCAACTGTTGTCTGGTGGAGGAATGGCAAGTGGTGGAACTTATGAAGAACAATCAAGTGGACAAAGTTCAATGTCAGGAAGCTCTTCAGCATCTGGTGGTTCTTCAGCATCAGGCGGTTCAAGTGGATCAGCAGGCGGTAGTGTTGTTCAAATCAGCCCACAAATGGTTAATCTTAGGATGAGAGTCAGTGAGTATTTTTACCTCTTTTAGACACATAAAGAATGTCATGATTAATGTAAATCATTTAAAGATGAAAAACATACAATGATGGTGAATTACGCACAAGCTGAAGATTATCCAGTTGATCTTTACTACCTCATGGACTTGTCAAAATCGATGGAAGACGACAAAGAAAAGCTTTCACATCTCGGTGATTTATTATCAGACACAATGAGAAATATTACATCAAACTTCCGTTTGGGTTTTGGTTCTTTTGTTGACAAAGTTCTTATGCCATACGTGTCTACTGTTCCGAAGAAGTGAGTATCGATTGTTATTAATATTAAGATTTGATGAGAAAAAATTTTCAGCTCAGCTCAGGGAATTTCTTGTCTTTGAGTATTATCTGGTTTTTTTCATTTGTATGTTTGTTGACAATGTTTAGAAACATTTCTGAATCAATTTCTAGATTGCAACATCCTTGCGATGGATGTGAAGCGCCTTATGGTTACAAAAATCATATGAAACTTGACATGGATACGCGACAGTTTGCTGTAAGTGTTGAAACGAAGAAATCGATGAAATGTCTTCTCTTTTTTTTATCAGTATTTATGTTTATGTTGGAAAGATAGTTTATGTACACATGATTATGTTATTTATTTAAACATTTGATGGGCCCCATGTGTACTCAATCGGAAATTATTATTGTTGATGTTGTTGTTGTTGATGTTATTATTTATGGATCGGAAAGAAAAGAATCTTGTGTTGTGCATCATATTTATTTATTATTATTATTTTATGTTAAATATTCTCCAGATATCGAAACATAAGTTTATATATTATTGCGATGTTTCGATGTCACGAGAATGTTTAAAATATTTATTGAAAGTAGAAAAGAAAACAAATTCCTACGATATGATTTGAATGGTGCAAAAATTTATTGTGCACAAATATTTACTTTGGATGGATGATTCTGAAGGACATTGCATGGTTCTTTGATGTTTAATTAATCAGATATTGTTGAATGGGCATGTGAAAGCGTCGTTGATGAAAACTTTTTACCCTCTTTCATTTTATTTCATTCTCCCAACAAAATCAATCGAAAAATTCATCTCGCTGAGCTTTAATAAATTTTCTTCATTAAGCAATCCACAACATAGAAAGAAAAGCTCGTAGTTACACATTTTACTTTTATTTTCATTTCTCCTATTGCAAATGAACTGAAATTCATGAAAATAAAGTTTGAGAGAACCGTGTGTGGGATGCGAAGCTCCATATGGCTACACTAATGTTATGGCTCTCAATACCGACACACGTCGTTTTGCTGTAAGTTATTAAAATTGAATTGAAATTGATCTTGAACACAATTTCGCAAAAACAAAAAAATTGATTTACATCCCATGCTCGTTGGTTGGTCTCCCACGCCATTTTTAACTCAAAAAACAAAAACAAATATTGCATAAATTAAAAGGAATCGTTTAAAAACTTTAATCACAGCTCGATAGCCAATCATGCCTTTACTTAATCATAAAACTTCTTCACCGAAGATGTTTTCTTAACTCACTAAGTTTTTTCTTCCGCCTCTTTCCGCAAACTTTTCTCATATAAACTTCTTTCTTCTTTATTTTTTTGCTCATTAATGTTGTTGGTGTTGGTTTTGTGACATGTTGTGCTTTTAACATTTTGGTGTTTGATTTGAAAGTTAAATATTTGAGTTTTATAAGTTTTGTGATTAACTCCGTGCATGCCTTTAAGTTTGTAGAAAAGTTTAAAATGTTTGTTGTAATAAAAAACTAACTTTGTCATCTCTCATACTTATAAAAAGATGAAAAATCATTTGCATGCTCTTATCATCATTAAGTTTGTGACATATTTGACAGAATTATAATTTAAAATTATTATAACAGGAAAATGTGAAGAATGCTCATGTGTCAGGAAACTTGGACGCTCCCGAAGGTGGTTTCGATGCAATTATGCAAGCCGTCGTTTGTGAAAGAGAAATTGGATGGAGAGAACGTGCAAGACACTTGCTTGTCTTCTCGACAGATGCTGGCTTCCATTACGCTGGAGATGGTAAATTAGGTGGAGTCATAACGCCAAATGACGGCGCTTGTCATATGGAACGAAATATGTACACACATTCATCAATTCAAGATTATCCGAGCATTTCTCAAATTAATCTTAAAGTGAAGCAACACTCAATTAACATCATTTTTGCTATCACTGCACAACAGCATGAAGTTTATAAGAAACTTTCTGAACATATCGAAGGATCGTCTAGTGCTGTTTTATCAGATGATTCATCGAACGTTGTTGATTTAGTTCGTGAAGAATACAAAAAAATCAGATCATCAGTTGAAATGAAGGACAGCGCATCAGGATCTGTTAAAGTTACTTACTTCTCGAAATGTCTTGGAAATGAACGAAAACAAACAAATAAATGCGACGGATTAAGCGTTGGTGATGTTGTTACATTCGAGACAGAGATTGTCGTCACTTCATGTCCAGAAAATGAAAAGGATCGAATGCAAACCTTCCAAATTTATCCAGTCGCTGTTGGTGAAGCATTGACAGTAAATCTCGAGATGTTGTGTTCATGTGGATGTGAAAACAGTGGACCAACATTCGAACTTAACTCTCCGAAATGTTCTGGCGATGGAACACTTTCTTGTGGTATTTGTGAATGTAACGATGGATTCTTCGGTGGAAAATGCGAGTGTTCGAAGAAGGATCTTGACTCGAAGTTTGGAATTGACAACTTAAAATGTCGTGCGAATGCAACATCACTCGAATGCAGTGGACAAGGAAATTGTGTTTGTGGTCAATGTCATTGCACACCTCGCCCAAATCCTGATGAGAAAATCAGCGGAAAGTTCTGCGAATGTGACAACTTCTCTTGCGATCGTCGCAATGGCTTGCTTTGTTCTGGACCAGATCATGGAGTGTGTGAATGTAAAACTTGTAAATGTCTTCAAGGATGGACTGGCGATGCTTGCGATTGCAGCACATCGGTTGACACTTGCATGGCACCAAATGGAAAGGAATGTTCAGGAAATGGAAAATGTGTTTGTGGTCAATGCGAATGCAGCAGCGAAAAAGGCGTTCGATACACTGGAAAGTATTGTGAAAAATGTCCAACATGTCCTGACAAATGCGATGATCTTAAGTCATGTGTTGAATGTCAGTTGTATGGAAAAGGACCACTGAAGGATGCGAATGAATGTGCTAAGAATTGCACACTTTTCACACCAATTCCTCTTGAGACAATCAATTGTAAGATTTTTTATTAATTAGATAAACGAAATATTTCATAACTTTTTCTTTTCTACAGATGAAGAAGAAAGAGATGAACACATTTGCACACGATACGATGAAGATGAGTGTCGTTATCAATTTATTTATAGTGAAACAGTTGAGAAGAATGGAACAATAACGACGAATGTTCGTGCACAAAAAACGCCCGATTGCCCACCAAAAGTTTTCCTTCTCGGTATTGTTCTTGGTGTCATTGCAGCAATTGTTCTTGTTGGATTAGCAATGTTGTTGCTTTGGAAGCTTTTGACGACAATTCATGATCGTCGTGAGTTTGCAAGATTCGAAAAGGAACGAATGATGGCAAAATGGGACACGGTAAGACATCATTCTAAATATTTCATCTGAATTCTTTACTAATTAGAATTTTCCTTTCTAAAGGGTGAGAATCCAATTTACAAGCAAGCTACATCAACATTCAAGAATCCAACATATGCAGGCAAATAATTATTTGATTGATTTGATGCCAAAACTGCCATAGAAACGTTTTATTTCATTTTAAACCACTTTCAAATGTTGTGTGGTTACTCAAATCATCATTTTACTCAACTGATGTAGTAAAGTGATAACAAGAAAAGCTTTTTGTCTGATCAAAGAAATTTCTTGATCAATTTTATTGGAGGAAAACAAAAGAAAAAATAATTATAATTGCAAAAGCAATAAATTGTGTAAAAAAGTCATTAATTTTTGCGACAAAAGTGTCTTAACAGTTTAACTCGTAGGGCCTTGACGACTTGTGTCTTGTACTCTTCTATTTGTTTAGAAATAATTTTAGAGTGTTTAGGATTAATTTTTACAAATGAAAAATTGAGAAATTCACGCGAATGAATAATCTTTTTAAACTAAAACAAAAACTTTAATAATTCGAATGATGCTGTTAACTTTCAGTATCATATTTAATTACATTACACACAGATTTAAACGATTTTCTGTCGAACTCTTCCTTTTCACAAAGAAAGCTGTGGTCGATTCACAGTTGTTCGTGTTTAAAACAAGTATTCTTGAATGTACTTAGAAACGGAAGCGCAAAAACAATCTAATTATTTAACCAGATTAATCATAGTTTATTCTCTCATCGACAATTTCTGACACGCTACAAAATAAAACATAAAAGCAATGAAAATGTTGTTTTGATGGTAAAATAAATAATCGAAGCGATGTAGATGCCAAATTTGTGTAAAACGAAACGCATAAAGAAGATTTATTGTAAAATTAACTTAACTCCATTTCATCATTTTTTGTTTCTTAATTCGTGTCGTTTTGTGTTGTAAAATAGGTTTATACTATGAATAACTGAGAACACTAGTTAATTTTTTTATTATTTTATTTTTATTAATAATGGAGAGAATTTTTGTGCCTTTAATTATACATGAAAATAAAAAAAATCTAATAGGAAAAACTTAAAAAAACTTTTTTTCTTGCTTTAAATTGAATTTTCAGGAATTCTTTTCGACCAATTATCAAAATGGAAATGTTCTCGTTTGACATAAATTTTTTAAACATTAATTACATTTATTTATTCTTTAATGAGGGGAAAAAACAAAGACAAGACAACAGCGACAAATGAATCAAATTAGTCACAGTTAAAGACAATCAAAATATAAAAGTTAATAAATTATAAAATAAACAATTAGCACATCAGATCAATTGTCTTCAATTTGGTTGTAAATGAAGGTTCACATGATTCTCAAGTTTATGTTTGAAGAAGAATTCTTTTCCACACTTGTCACATCTAAAGAAGTTTCGTGAGCTTTCGTTGAATGTGCAAACATCTTCATGATGATTTCTAGAAGTTTCGCCTTGGAAGCACAAAGAATTTGGACAGTAACTACAGCAAAACTTTCCATATTGAACAAGTGACGTTCGTCTTCTTTTCGGATACTTTCTACGAATTATTTTCTTGTCCCGAATAGTTGAGGATTTTTTCTTGTTAATCTTAATACAAATTGGCAATATTCGAGTTGCTTCAGTTTCAAAGCCAGTATCGTGAAATGAGTCTTCGAAATTCTCGTTCACTGTTGATGAAAGTCGCGGATCAAACGATGAAACATCCGCTTGCAGATTTTCTACATTCAATTCCAACTTTTTGCTGATGCTTAGAAAAGTGTCAACTTCTTGATCCTCCACGTCAACCGGTAACGAGTAGATTAATTGTAGAATCTTTTCAATAATTCTATATGGAAAATCCATCTTAAGAGCGTCATTTGTTGCCAAAACTTCCTGTAATTTATAATTTTGTTCAATGATGCCAATCAATTTTATATATTAAATAAAAAAAAAAACTTTTTTACCCTTAATTTGCTGCAATTGTTGTACAGAATTATTTTGTGAACTTTGAAGATTCCTCGTTTACAATGAATCTCGAAATCAGTAAATATATCATTTTTTGCCATTTCCCAATTCGCGAAAGGAAAATTAATTGCATTTTTCAGTTGAAATACCATTTTAATTAAAATATTTAAGGAATAAAATTGAAAACTTGTTTTTGAACTTGATTCTTTAATCTCTTTTGAACAACTGAATCTGCCAGATTAAGCCCAAGGTTAGAGAAAGGAGAATGTAAAAAAAGGGTCAGCTGATAATGTCACAGGAGGTTTAGAGCAGGACCTTATGGCTTATTTACACAAAGATAAATTAGAAAAGGAAAAAAAAAGGAAATGCCCAACCTTTTAATGTGAGTAGTCATCGTGTGGAACATTAGCCATTGCATTAGACAAATACACATTCTTTTGTTTCAAGCCAAGATTAACGAAGATGTCGTCTAATTTTCTTTTTCCTATTTTCTTCATCTAATTAAGAAAAATAGCATCTTGCGAAATCAAGATTTCCTGTAAAAATTTCCCGCATCATTTTTTCTTGTTTCATCATATTAAAGCCAAAACATAACTTTTTATGTGTGCAATTCAGAAAGGTGAATTTCACGCAACGTAAATAAACATGATCATAAAATTATAATTCATATCCATTCCCCAATTAATGTCAAAACAGATAACAATATTTTTGAAGATTGTTGATCATTAAACGGACAAAGGCAGACACAATGTTTCCTATTTTATAGTAAAACATTGATGAAACATTGAAAACATTCAAAAACATTCTCTCACGAAACATTGAAACATATTTTTTTGAGGCAAGAGAAACCGAACGTATTGTGTTGCAAACCCTTGAGAACGTCGGTCAGATTTTGACGAATTTGTTGAAAAAAAAATAAAAAAAAGTAAATAAGTAAAATTATGTTCAACTAACACAATAAAACATTATTATTCAGTAAATTCCGAGTTAAAAAGACAAAAAGTAATAAATTCTAAGTTATAAGCTTGGTTACCGAGTGAAAAAATAAGTTTTATTTAGAAATAAATTAAAAAAAGAACGCAACAAAAAAAAAATCAATGGAAGTTTGTGAAAAGGAGAAAAAAATGTAAATGTGTGTCAGTTTTGAAAAAATCATCTTTCTTTGGATTGCTCTCATCATAAATAAAAAGTAATGAGATTTTCCATCGTAATTGTGTAAGAAAAAATTATGTGCCGATAAATTTTGTTTGATACACAAATATCTTTGTGATAATACGCAAAATATATTTCTTGAAAATTGAATTTTTCTTCTCTTCTCTTCCACCTTGGTTTGGAGGTGTTTTACATAATAATAATAATTCTATGAACATCCTAAAATATTTCTTTCTTCGACATCAATATAAATAAATTGGTTTTATGTGCTTTCTTCAATTATTCTTAATCTCATCGTTAAGTTGTAGGCAAACAATGATATGAAAACAAAAATAATGATATATTAACACAAGCGCATGATGATCGAAGAAGAAAGTAGAAAATTAATATATGAAGATAGCATAAATTTTTTTTTAATATGGCGATCACATTTGAAGGAGAAAGAATGAATCTCTTTCATTCCCTTAATAAAGAGTTTCTTTCATTTCGTGTAGTCTGTGATGATAAATTATTAATTATCCATACAAGTTTGATTGAATGGAAAAAACCGTGATTGAACTTGTTGTGCTGTTCCCATAATTTCTGCTTGCCCATTAAAAGTAATAAATTTTTTAGTGTTGCACAATAAAAATTTGATTAAAATTGAAGAAAAAAAAATTTTTGTAAATATAATCAAAAGAAACAATGTTCAAGTTCATGAAGAAAATATTCGTTCTTTCATAAAATCTTCGTTCATTGCAAAATTTCTTGTGAATGAATTAAAACTAAAAATATCATGGCGTAGAATAAACTCCGAACAGCATAAGATGGTAAACGAAAATGTATCAAAAATATTATACTCAACATGGAGTGTGTTCAGTTAATTTTTTTCTCTCTCTCGTTTTAAAACTCTACTCAGATATATGCTGCGAAACATTGATATAAATATAAAAAGAATATCCTTCTGGCTTCTGAGTAAGAAGTAAAAGAAATCACAAAGTTAGCTGTGTTTTTCCAATCTTTTCAATTACATAAATAAACTTTTACTTATAAATTATAAAGTTAAAAACACATCATCAGCACAGCACGAAGAGATATTTTGTATTCAGGTTACTTCAGCAACATGAATTATTTCTAATGCTCTCAGCTTTTCAATCTCTTATTATTCAGCAATGAGTTTCGCAAGCAGTAAAAACATCGAAAATAAGCGAACTTAATTTGAAGAGACTTGTAAAGCGACTCAAATTTATTTAAATTTCATTCAATTATGTTAAAAGGGTCGTTTTTTAGAATTATTTGAAGAGAAAAAAAATTCCGAAATTTTTCATATAATTTTACCCACATAAGAAGAACATATTTAGAAATGTACGAAGTAAAGAAGAAAGTAAATGTTACCTTAATTTTCAATTTTAGGTGTTGAATATTATTGCGAACGTCTTTTCCTGCCACACAATAATGTGAAATGAAATCAACAAAAAAAAAGTCCCAAAAAGTAAATAATTTGTGTGAAATAACAATGTGAAAAAACGTCAAGTAAAATGACATCAAATCTGAACTCAAATATTTGAAGTTTTTAACAAAAATAGCTCTATGAATATTTAAAAAAAGTTAAACATAAATTAATCATGAATAATTAAACTTAATAAAGTGTATGCATACAATGTGTAGTGTTTATCAAGTTTTAATAATCGAATATATTATTCGCATAATCGAGCGATTATATTTTAATCTCGATCAGTTTTAATGAAAAAATAATAACGAATGAAGGTACATTCAAAATAGGAAATTGTCGATTAAACGACAGGAAATAAAGAACACTAAATAATTCAGATAAAAAGTGATAGAAATTTTATGCAATAAAACTTGCACAAACCTTATTTTAAAGGGAATAAATATCATCGATTTGCGATGACGATGAAATCAACGAAGTATCAAGAATGTGACACAATCATGGACAATTGCAGTCCAGTTCCACCTCCATTACCACGCCGTGTGGTACCAAACAGGAATATTTATGCAGAACCTTTTGAAACAAGCTCGTCACGGTAAGTGAAAAATTTATGATTCATGAGCTATATTTTAAATCATTCATTCATTCAATGAAAAAAGAAAAGCAAAAACGAAAAAAGACATCCCTCAAGTGAGAATTGTTTAGAACAAATCACTATAGCAATTGAGTCAACAACTGGGAGATAGAAACCTCACTCGAATCTTTTCTTTTTACTTCATATTATTTTCATTTTCAACCACAAATTACGTATCTCAGTTCTACGAATTCTTCAATTTTTTTCTTGACGAACCCTCAAAAATGCAACAGTTGTTAGGCGTCTTTTCCGTTCCTTCACAGTACACGTATAAGTTGTTAACAAAACATTTTAGTTTTCGCTTCGATTCATCAAATAAAAGGAGAGGTCAAAAGAATGAAGAAAAAAAAACTTTTTTTCATCGCTAGCTAAGTAACGTAAGAGCTAAGGTAAAAAATGTGTTTTTTTTTCTTCTTTCTTCAATGTTGTCTCCATACTTACGTGTGGATATATAATATTGAAGCAGAAACCGGTTTTAAAATTTTATGATCATGGATCACTGATTATGTGTTTTTGATAACTTTTCTGCTCTTTTTTTTCTGTCGTTTTGGGGATAGAAAGGAAGAAGAAAAAAGAATATAAAATAAAATAAACAAGAATAATTTGATTGCTTGTGATTTCTTTTTCTTTATCCTTCGTTATCACACGTAAATTTCATGCCATTGAGTTGGAACATATGGACAATGACACATAAGCAATAAAGTTAAATAAAATCCTATTTTAACCCAAGAAAAACAGGAAAAGATAGAAAGAAAAATAAAAATCGCTGATTTAGCTGAATCCCTTTGCTAGAAAGATGAGATCCCATTATAAGCAGTCATAGTATGAAACACAACCCAACTCTAAAAAAAGAACTTTAGTCAGCTACCTGGAAAGATTTCTTGAACGAGTTTTTCAAGAAAACGAATAAATTTTCTTGACTTATCCATGCATATCAAATCAAAACATTATCAAACTGATGGATTTGCAAGAAGAAATTTTCTCTCTTTTATTTCAATGATGACTAATATTCCTTCAAGAGAAAGCTAGCGAGCTTATTAAAACCCATTGATGCAGCAGCAGCAGTCGATTCTATTTATGCAACATTGATTTTTATTTTTTTATTATCATGTCTTTTGAAAAATGATGAAATGCTGACGTTCTGTAATTGAACTACAAACAGCGTTGCAAATGATGTTCTCGTTTTCTCTTTTTCATTTCTTTCTTTCTTTTTCATTTTTTTGATTTTTAATTTGTAGCCTGGGGACATTACAAAGCTTCAATAGTTCACATCAATCGTCATCCTCCCAGGGCATGTCATGCACAAATAATCCACATTTAGGCGGTAACTTTCCTTTAGTCATGCCAGACTTTCCTGTGACAACATCACAATTTAATCAAGGGTCTCATCATTCACCTTACACAGCTCCAAGGTTTGTTGAAGTTTCAACTTTTAACTTTCATAAAGAAAATTTAATTTAACTTGACAGTTTAAAGTTTACAAGCTTTCTTTGAAATGTTCTTTTCCTTTTCTACATTTCCACTTCAACATAAGTTTTCATTTTCTTTCTTCTTTCCTTGATTTTTTCTGATTCTTAAAGATTACAAGTAGAGAATAGTAGTTGTCAACAAAGGTGCTCATGGAAGTGTCTTAGCATTGCCTTAATAATATTAAGCATCGTCCTCGCAACATTGGTAGCCTATTTCGCAAGTAAGTTGAAGTTTAAACTTTGAAATTTATCAGTCAGTAATTCGATTCATTCAGCAGTGAGCTCAATAAAACCAAATATGGATCCATCAAGTTGTATTCTAGTCCAAGATGTCAAAGCATCGCAATCTTTAGTTAATCCTATCTTAAAGTTATTTCCCACCGAAGATTCACTACAAATAAGTAATGTCGATCATACGACTTCTTATCAGAATCATCATCAGACTTATCAGGATCAGCAGCAAATTCAAACACCGCTCGTTCAATCATCGATAATGGAGTTAAAAGACTTCAACATCCTTCATCAATCAACAACACCGCCATATCAATTCTGGAATATTGATTTTCGCAACAAACATCCAGCTTTTGTTAATATTTATCTGAATATACCATGGGGTGCCAATTTTGCTGTTTATGGACGACGAAATGTCTTGCCAAGTATCACACAATACGATTTCTTCGAATTCGTTAAAGGTGGACGATTGGATCAAGGCAGAATACGTAATGAACGTGACGTTGCTAATGATGAAGACGTTAAAGCGATTCAAAACTTTCATCATCATTTCGTTTCAAAGCGATCGTCATCTGACGCAGCTTCGAAGTTTAACATGGACACAATGATGGTTAACGTGACGATAAGTCAATATCTCGATGGTGGACGTTGGTATTTAGCGATATTTAATGATGATTTAGTGTCACATCAAGTGCAGCTGATTCTGTCAGAAGCTGAAACTGTCAGCAGTACATGTATGAATGATTGTTCTGGTCATGGTTCATGTTATCTTGGAAAATGTGATTGCATTGATGGATATGAAGGTGTTGACTGTTCCAAAAGTGTTTGCCCTGTTCTATGTTCAGCACATGGACATTATGGTGGTGGAATATGTCACTGCGAAGAAGGATGGAAAGGTTCAGAATGTGATATTCCAGTAACAGAATGTGAGATGCCAACATGCTCAAGTCATGGTCGATGTATTGAAGGCGAATGTCATTGCAATCGTGGATGGAAAGGAAGATTTTGTGATCAAGGTAAGATGAAGAAATGAATTAAAGCATGAAATTAATAAACTTTCTCTTCAGTTGATTGTCAGGATCCAACATGTTCGGAGCATGGCAGTTGTGTGTCTGGTCAGTGCTTCTGCAAAGCTGGTTGGCAAGGTGAAAACTGTGAGACACGCGATCAACAAGTCTATCAATGCTTACCTGGCTGCTCCGATCACGGACATTACGATCTCGAGACTGGTTCATGTAATTGCGATCATCATTGGACAGGTCACGATTGTTCTCAAGCAATTTGTAGTTTGGATTGCGGACCAAATGGAATTTGCGAATCGTCGAGGTGCCGTTGCAATCCGGGATGGACGGGAGTCTTGTGTGATCAATTAACATGCGATGTTCGATGTTCGACTCATGGACAATGTAAAAACGGAACTTGCGTGTGTTCTCAAGGATGGAATGGAAAATATTGCACATTACGTAAGTGATTGATGAATTTAAATTTCATTCTGATGTTTAACATTTTTAACTGTTTTAATATTCACAGCTGGTTGCGAAAATGGATGCTCACGTCATGGACATTGTACATTAGACAACAGTGAATATCGTTGCGAGTGTGTTGAAGGATGGGCGGGCACGGACTGCTCGATTCCATTAGAGACAAACTGCAACGATAACATTGATAATGACAAAGGTATGAGAAACTTTTCTTCATTTCATTTTCTAAAAGAAAAGAATTTCTGACTTCATGACAGAAGAGTTCATATTTTTTTTTGTTGTTTTTCATGATATCTTTCAGATGGCATGACAGATTGCTCCGACAGTGAATGTTGTTCTCATCCCGTATGTTCTGAACATATTATGTGCTTGTCATCAAACGATCCAGTTGAAGTTTTACTTAGAAAACAACCGCCATCTGTAACTGCTTCGTTTTATCAGCGTGTAAAGTTTTTAATTGAAGACAACAGTGTTCAGTCGTACGCTCATAAAGAAGAGTATAGTGAAAGGTGATTAATTAATGTTGTTGGAAGTAATAGAAGAGTTTTGATTTTTCTAATCTTGATAATTTTAATAACAGTCGAGTGTCAGTGATACGAGGACAAGTAATAACACCGCAAGGTCTTGGAATTGTTGGCATTCGTGTTTCAGTCGATAGAGACGCTCGATTCGGATTTACATTGACAAGAAATGGTGGATGGTGAGTGCTGAAAGATATATTTCGTTCGATGGGGGGTCAAATTAAATAATTATGAAATATTCGGGGATTATTTGATGTTCTCTTTAACTCTTTTAATTAAATTTTTAATAATCCAAACAGGTTCGACATCTTAGTGAATGGCGGTGGTGCAATCACATTACAATTCCAACGGTCACCTTTTCATCCTTTAACACGAACAGTTTTTGTTCCATGGAATCAAATCATTGTTTTACCACCCGTCCAAATGATCTTAGTTGATGAATCAGAATCAGAAATGGCAAAAGTTGGAATGACAATGTCACATCGCTTCCTAAATTCATTAAGGAATAAGTTTTACGATAGAAACTTTAATGATTCATCTGTTAATTGTCCGAATAGTGACATGCTTCGTCCAATATTAACAAGCACATGGATGCCAAATGCGATTGGCTCGAAAGCAGGTCAATCTTTGATATTTGCTGAGAATCAGGTAAATAAATCATTTTTTTATGTGCAAATGAATTTTATATGAGATAAATATTTCCTTTCATCACATGTAAACAGATCGTTCAAGAGTCACTACAAGTGCCGGGTTCTGGCATTTATCTTACATATCACTCAATGAAAATGTCTGGATATTTAAGTATCGTTCACATGCAATTAACAGGCAGTGAAATACCAAAAACATTGACACATGTTCATGTTGGTGTTGAAATCGAAGGCTCATTGCATGTCAAGACATACGAAGCAGATCCGAATCTTCAATACATTTTCGCATGGAATAAGAGAAATGTTTATAAGCAAAAAGTTTATGGAGCAGCGACAGCAAAGATTTCTATCGGATATCAACAATCAACATGTAATGACATAATTTGGGAGACACAAACAGCGAAGCTACAAGGCTTTGATGTTGACATTTCTGACATTGGTGGTTGGGGTTTGAACATTCATCATCATTACAATTTTCACGAAGGAATTCTTCAGAAAGGAGATGGAGCGACGTTACATTTTAAAGAATATCCGAGAGTTGTGACAGCTGTAATGGGAAATGGACAACAAAGGCCATTAAAATGTAAGGATAAATGCAATGGAGTTGCAAAAACAAACAAGTTGCTTACGCCGATTGCTTTAGCATCGGGTCCTGATGGAAGTTTATATGTCGGTGATTTCAATTTAGTTCGAAGAATTTTCCCCAATCAAACAGTTGTGACAGTAGCGCAATTAAGTGCAACTCAAGTGTCATATCAATATTACCTGACAGTATCACCAGCCGACGGTCATCTTTACATTTCTGATCCCGAGAAATATCAAGTTTTGAAAGTGACAGAACTGGCAAACAATTCCATGGAAGCTGTGGTTGGAAGTGGTCATCGATGCATTCCTGGTGATGAAGAGAAGTGTGGTGATGGCGGGTTAGCAAAAAATGCTCGACTTTCCCATCCAAAAGGTATTGCAATTGCTGCTGATAAGACTATTTACATTGCTGATGGTACAAGCATTCGTGCTGTTGATAATAAAGGAATTATTCACACTTTGATTGGTCATCATGGGCATCATAATCATTGGAGTCCAATACCATGTAAAGGGACATTATTTGTGAATCAAGTTCAGCTTCAATGGCCGACGGGACTTTCATTAAATCCTATTGACGGTTCATTACACTTTATCGATGACCGATTAGTACTTAAGCTGACAGTTGACATGAAAATCAAGGTCGTTGCTGGTCAACCGTTACATTGTGCCAATAATAATATGAAGAATGAAACAAACGATGACTTAGTTTTGGGGACGGTCTTAGCGATGGCATTTTCGCCATTAGGAGATTTGTTCGTTGCTGATAGTGATTCGAGACGAGTCAATTCTATAAGAGTTGTTGACACTGCTGGCAACATGAAAACATTTGCTGGTCAAAAAGATGGAGGGTGAGTTCAACTTTCCTCTTCTTATTATTCATCTATGTTTTTAAAGGGAGACATTCGGAATTAATGTTTTGTTCTGAGGATAAAAATAAATCTTTTTCTTCTTTCCATCCTCCCTTGCTTTAGTTAGCATTTTTTCCCTTCAAAAATTCTTTTTTTAATGAGATTTAAAATGTCCGACTGTCGATATAAATATTTTACAATTCAAATCCACATTGATTTCCTATTCAAATTAAATGCTGCTCCCTTGTCTGACTTCTGTATAATTAGTTAACCACAACATGCAAACAGTTCCCAGTAATAAGATTGAGAAATTATCTAAAATATGATTTTTCATCTTCTCTTTTCTTTTTCTTTTCTTTATACACTCAATTTTTATTTATAGATTCCAAGCATGCGATTGCAGAGGAAACACAACGAAGATTGAAAGTAAACGGGTGACGAGTTCAACCTCCGCGCCTGTCCTAATGATGACACCAATGACCGGCTGCGTGTGTCCATCGACGAAAATCAACATTGATGAGACAGTGTCGTCAACAAATATGAGATTTTCAGCGATCTCTGCTCTCGCTGTCACTCAAGACAACGTTTTAAATGTTGCAGATCAAGGGTTGCTTCAGATTCTTGCACTTCAACATTACCTTCCGAAACAGGATAAGAATATTGAATATCAAATTCCCTACCCACCCACAAATGAAATTTATATTTTCAATCGTTACGGTCAACACGTTGCAACAAAAGACATGTCAACTGGTAAAACAATTTACTCCTTCTTATACTCAAAGAACACAAGTTTTGGTAAATTATCGGCTGTGACTGACATCACTGGGAATAAGATTCAATTCCTTCGAGATTATAGCAGTTTAGTGAGTTCGATTGAGAATACACAAGATCACAAATTGGAATTGAAATTCTCAACAAATGGTTTCTTAACAAGACTCAGTGATAAGGGAAAATCGGAAACTGTCTTTGACTATGATGAAAATGGGTTGATCCTGAGTCGTTCGACTGACAGTGAAACTTTCATTTATCAATACAATAAATATGGCAGAGTTATCAATGTTATTGTTCCAACTGGTGAAACTCTCAAAGTTTCATCACATCTAAACGCCGACTACGGATTACAAGTCGATGTTCAATCAACAATTCCTTCGAGTTTCTCATCAAAGACATTAAACATTGCGTCACTTAAATTCAACGGTGGAATTGAAAGTTTTATCATGGAACGTGACAAGGAAATATTGAAAGCTACAATTGACACAAACAACACTTTATCGATTTTCCAAGCAAACAAAATTCTTCTACAATCTTCTGCTATTATTCGTCATCCATCACTTGAGAAGTCATCACTTAAAGTCGAAGCTGAAATGTTGCCTATGTGGTCACATGAAACAATCCAAATGGGTGATACACTTCTCAATAGCATGTACACAACTTATACATTAATTGGCGCCGATCCACGAAATCCCCATCAGACGTTGAAGAAAGAAATTTGGGTGAATAATACGAGAACACTTGGAGTACGATTCGAACAGCTTATGAACAGTGAAACGTTTTATGACAGAGATCATCAAGATATTCTTTCAGTGACTTATGACAGCAATGGCCTTCCGTTGTCATATAAACCAGCAAATGGTTTTCCACTCAATATTTCTTACGATAGATTTAATCGCGTGGAAAGCTTGTCATGGGGACCATCAGAACTTAAATATTCATATGAACGTCATGGTCTTCTCTCCGAAATTACATCACAACAAGATGGAATCGTTTCATATACTTACAATGATTTTAATCTTCTTTCGGAAATTGGTCTTGCAAGTCAAAGAAAGATTCAAATCACTTATGATTCGAATGGTGGAGTTCGTTCAGTTTTATTGCCAACGGGATCGAAACATTTGTTTGATCTGCAAAGATCTTTTGGATTCGTTAGATTCACTTATACACCGCCCGGAAGTTCAAAGTCTTACCTTCAGCACTTTTCATATTCTGGTGCTTTGTTGCAAACAATTTATCCAGGAAATAGTGCACGAATCGTTTACCGATATAACGAGCAAGGAAAGCTTTTGGAAATCGTTCATGGTGAAGGTAAAAGTGAATTTAATTACAATAAGGAAACTGGAATGTTATCGACAGTAGCACATGCTGAAAGAGAGCTTGAATATCGATGGGATTATGAATATAACGGCGCTTTGTTGACAGAAGAAAGAATTGATTTCATTGCCAAAACGGGCTTAAGCAATGCTAAGTTCACATACGAATATGACTCAAATTTCCGTCTGATATCGAGCCAAGGAAGAATTGGCGGAAAGAATCTTCCTGGTGTGACATTTGCTTATAGTTCAAAGACTGGAAATTTAGAGCAAATATCACAATTTAAAGTTTCACATCCGAAGGCGAACATGACTAATATTTACGATGGCACAGCAACATTTACACGAACTGTCGATGGAAGATTCTTAGAGACTGAGACAACACTTTACATTCATCGAATGCAAGTTTTTAAAATGGAATTTTCTCATGACATGCATGGTAGAATAAAGCAAACAAAGATGTACACGAGAAATGTTGCTGTGACAAATTTCTCGAATATTAAAAACTATACTTGGGATTGTGATGGTCAGTTGGTTGGTGTTGAAGCGCAAGAGCCTTGGGGATTTAGATATGATGATAATGGTAACATGCTTGCTTTATCATATCGTGGTAACGACATTCCAATGGAATACAATTCAATGGATCGAATTATAAAATTTGCTGAAGGTCATTACAAATATGATTCACGTGGTCACACGATACAAAATGCAAGAGAAGAAAAATTCCATTACAGCACGCAAGGATTATTAGTTAGGGCATTTAAAAAAGGTCGCTTTGATGTGAGATATTTCTATGATCATCTTGATCGATTGTCTGTGAGAAAGGATAACTTTGGAAATGTCACGCAATTCTTTTACAACAATCAAGATCGTACGAATGAAGTGTCACAAATTTACTCACCACGTGATGGCAAACTTCTTTCATTAGTTTATGATGATCGTGGTCATTTAATTTTTGTACAAGTTTTTCGTAATAAATATTACGTTGCAACAGATCAATCAGGAACTCCAATAATGATCTTTAATCAATATGGAGAAGGAATTCGTGAGATGATGCGATCACCATTTGGTCATATTGTTTATGATTCAAATCCATATCTTTATCTTCCGATTGACTTTTGTGGTGGAATTCTTGACCCGGTAAGTTAAAAATAATTAAAATATTATTTTGAATTGTTTACCGTTAAAATTTATGTAACGGCTTAAAATTCAAAACCGTTTTCGTTAAGTTTCGTTAACAATTGAAAAATGTAAACAAATTTAAAGAATAATTTTTAATCTCATGTCTTATGTCCATTATATTAGGTGACATCGTTGGTTCATATGCCTGATGGTAAAATTTACGATCCATTAATTGGATTGTACATGACACCAAACTGGAAGAATACAATTGAGCGAATCAAAACACCAACAAAACTTCATCAGTATCGATTTAATGGAAATGATCCCGTGAATGTTAATCGAGATCGTTCACATCCGAAAGATTTTGAGTCATGGTTTAATTTGATTGGATTTAATTTAAAGAATATGTTCCCACAATTTAATAAGAGACTTTGGAAGTCGTCATCGCCGTTGGGAGTTTCTGTTGCTAAACAGCAAAATCCTCTTATCATTACTTCTGGTTTCTTATCGCATTTGATTGAACGTCAATTGCCAAATAACTTGCCATCACCAAAGAAATCTTCTCTCAAATTAGACGAATTAAATCTTCCATCGCTTAAAGCGGGAGCATCAAGTGAACCACCATTTGGAAAGGGAATCATTGTTGTAAGAACTTTTGAAGGGCAAGCAATTGTTTCGAGTGTTCCAGCTGCAAATGCCATTTATCGTGATGTTTACACTTCGGTATTTAATCGCACAAAACTTTTGCCATTCACATTTGTTGCTCACAACTCGCAGCAAGATTCTTTCTATTTTGTGAAGGAAGATTCGTGGCGTTCAAGCGAAGACCGTCAACAATTGAAGCGCTTACAAGGTCAAGTCAATACAACATTCCATGAGAATAATAAAGAGAATTCAAGTGGAAATAACAACTATTTAGATGTAAAGATTCACGGAATTCAAGCTGTCATCAATTTACGATATGGAACGACACTTGAAAAAGAAAAACAAAGATTGATGCATCATGCTAAACTACAAGTGATGAGAAAAGCATGGAGCCGAGAAAAAGAATTGATTAGAGCTGGTTTGACAACATCTGTTGAATGGGTTCAATCAGAAATTGAAGAAATAATCAAACAGGGATATTCGAATTTATACGATTGTGAATATTTTCATGATGTCAATATTTATCCAGAGTTGGCTGAAGATCCTTCCAACATTCGTTTTACCAAAAAGAAAGTAAGGTCTAAAAGTCGTCGATAAAATGTTGATTGGAAAAACAAAACAAATATTTAACAAATAAATCTTGGCATGACATTAAATTAAAATAACTTAAGACATGACATGACAACAACAAAATAAAAGGAGTTAAGAAAAGCTTTAAAATAGAAAATTAAAATAATGAAACAGTAATTGTTAGATGTAGATGCATAACAAGTATAAACACATAAATACGCGGCCACTCACAGTTGATTGGCTTTAAAATTGATAAATTGATTAAAGAAAAAAATATATTTATAACATATTATTAGGAATGTAAACATTAAAGTGAAGCCGGTGATGTTTTCGATTATCATTGACAAGTAGAAATCCTTAAAAGAAAAAATATTTACGCGCGAAAATAAGAAATTAATTAATCTTCACTAAGATTTTTCATAAACAGAACCAATTAAATAAAAAATTTATCGAGGAAAAACCCTAAAAATATTTATCATGCGAAGATTAATATTGTTGTGTAGTTGATGATTGAATGAATAATTAAATTGATGCCAAACGTAGAGTCGTTTAAATAACAATTTAATAAGAGTGCGACGAAATATTTCCTTGTTCTTTTTTCTTAAATAGATTAAATTCTCTCTCTAATGAATAAATATTTTGTCGTCAACGAGACGTTTAGATAAGACATCTCGTGAGATTTTCCTTTCCTACATTTTATCGGATCGGAAGATGTTTGAAAAGAGAAAAGAAGAAGAAAAAAAGGGAAAAAACTTTGAAAAAAGAAAAATCAGATTAAAAGTATTTTCTGATAATGTAAGACAATGCATTTCTATTCTTATTCTTTCGATGTAAGCTTGTTTGTTTGTTTGTTTGATATTTTATTTAACCATAATTGATGATTGTAACAAGAGTTTTATTGAAACTTAATGTGTGCTTTGATGCTCAAAAAAGAAAGAAAGAAAGCTATAATATTTGAATTAATTTAAAAGAAATAAATAAATAAATAATAAAATTGTAACTAGTGCCATTCTGATTAATTTTCCCAATGAAAGATATCTTTTCCTTTCATGTGGAAAACTAAACAACAACAATATTACGCCTACATTCAATGAATTGACTTTCAAATAAGAAGCTTCACAAGTGAAAAGTGAAAATTATTTTAAGCATAGAAATCTCATTCTTTAAACGAACCCTCATTTTACTCTTTCATTTTAGCATTTGACAGCATAAGTTATGTTTATATTTTTTATGTACAGTGACACATCAGAAGTATTTTAAGCATCTTATAATTAGATATACTTTATTATGCTATATGTGAGTAAATATTTAAAGCGACAAGAAATATTTAGATTTATTCACTAACACTTCAAACGACGAAGAAAAAACAAAAATAAAAAAAAATGATGAAACACTCGCTGAATGAGTGGAAAAAACTAGAAAAAACGTCCAGAATTATTATTATTATTTTTTTCTCATTTATTTAAGTATCAGAGATGATAATTTTTTTGTTTATAAGTTTACCGAACTTTATTAAAGAATTTCATTATCGTTAGAATGCTGTAAAAATATTTAACACACAATATATATCGCATAGCAAGAAATTGACAATTTTTATACATAAAAATGCGACATAATGTAACATAATGCAAGAAGGAACTATAAAGAATTGATTTCTAATAAAAAAATATTATTGTAATGAAAAATGATGTTTATGTTTATTCATTTGATTACAGCTTTTTCGCCAAATGAAGCTTGCCGAATGTGATCCCTTTCACTTTTCCTTTTTCTCGTGGTTTAAACATAAGCTTTAGTTATATGATGCAATAATTTATGAGCCATTTCATGACACAACCGACTGACTTCACTTATAAAAGATTTTCTCTTCTTCTCTGCTCTCCTCACAACTTTGACGAAACATCAACAAAATAAGAATAACAAGAAAAAAGAGTTTAAAGTTTATCGTAATGTCTGCAGTGCTTTTATTTATGTTAGGTGTTTTAGAGTTTTCATAGCATCTAACGTTGGCGCACATTGTAATATCGAACTTTTATGTTTTTTATTCAACATGTTGTGGGTGGTTAAATGGCCAGAATTTAAAGCTTGCGATATAAGAATTGGAGCAATTGTTTACTTACGTTCCTTGCTTGTACATAGTCGACATGAGCCAAGGTTATCGTTGCCAAAATTGTTGCAATAAATTCGAATATTAAAAGCTTTAAATTGCAAATAAAAAAGACATTTTATTTATTCAATATTTTATGAATAAGAACATTATATTTAAATATGTATAAAAACCCTTGAGTATGTAATTAAAACTTCATAGCAATTAAAAGATAAAATTTCACAAACTTTAAAATGAATCCACAAGAAATTCTGAACTTACTTTAAAAAAAAAACATAATTAATTCACAGTTTAAAAGTGAAAAAGTTTTCCACACAAATTACATATTAAAAATACTTCAAACTTTTCATCAGTTTCATCTACAAGAAGTATAATTGATTTTCGAATGAACTGCTAGGTGTTTGATGAAGATGTTCACCTGCTAACAAGGCCAGCTTGTGGGCATATTGGACAACGCAAGGAACACGAACGCATCCACTCCAGTTATAATAAAGATGACACATTTTGTAAGTGAATCTTTGAATCTTTTCAGGTGAGAAGCCGCTTGTATCGTAGATAATGTTATAACTTGTTGGTGCGACAGTTCCTTGACGAACTGATTGACTGACCAAATAGAAATCATAACTAAAAAAGGAAATAAATTCTAAATTTACTACTAAAATAAGGAAAGAGAAACTTACCGTTCTGGTAAAGTGACAGTTGAATCAACAATCGTTCCAGATTCGACATTGTCATCGCTTCTGGCGTGGAAGAATCTCGTGTTAATACGTTTGTTAACAATGATGAAACAGAATCTCAATTTTGTATCATCGCCATACTTGTTATAAAACTCAACTAATGTCTTCTCAATCTGCTTGACTTCTCCTGAATGAACTTGTTCAATCTGACCATCACCGACACCGTCACGATAATAAAAGATCTGCGATGGTAAAGAATTGTGAGTCTCTTTGAATTGTGTCAATGCTGAAATCATATTCGAGCCAATTATTGGTGATATTTCCGCTCCAGTGGCATGTGAATTGACAGTACTGAAGAACTTTACACTTTTATTCAGATCCATTGAAGCGACAAAAGCTCCGTAACTCATGTTTCGGTTATTCGTGTCATGAGTTACATCAAAGCCGACGGTCATAATTCCATCGAGTGGAATTTTTATCATCCATGGCGCTCCACCAAGTTTACAATTCATTTGAATCACAATTTTCGTTGCTATTGACAAACCTCCTTTCCTTGGTGATAAATTCTTACTTAAAACAACTTGTGATGGAATCGATTTTTCAATGCAACACAATTTTTTTATAGCCGCGTAACGATCAGCAGCTGCAGATGGAACAACAACCATGACAAGTTTTGGATCCTTTTGCAAATATTCTCTCAATTCTTGAACATAACTATTCGTACGATCATCAGAAAGTTCAACAAGTTTCGGTGACGACATTTCATACATTATTGAAGTTGCAACTTCTTTTAATGTTTCAAGGAATTTCATTACGTCTTCTGAACACTTGCAAGGATAAACTAAAAGCCAACGCTTTAAAGGAACAGATTTGTACATTCTGAAACTTCTAAATGCATTCGTCCAATCAACTTTACTCGTGTTTTGAAATCTGAAAATATATTTTAATTGGTGGAAAAAAAATTAAAAATTCTCTGCTTAACTTGTTTGGGATTTGCTTCAAGTCAAGTCACAAGAGTAAGTCAAGTCAAAGAAGTTTTTCATGTCAAGTCAAAGAAGTTTTTCTTGTCAAGTTAAAACAATAAGTAAAAAAAAATGAATTCAAGTTCTGATTCTCAGTTAATTAACTTACTTGCCATCACCTTCAAACAAAACAACTTCTTGATTAACTTGACGAGCTTGAAATGTTAACAAATTTTGATCGATTTCAACACCAAAATTCTGAAGTAATTTTCCACTTTTTCCTGATTTTTCCAAACTTTTAACAAGTTGAAGAATTCTTTCCTTTCGACTTCGTGGACCGATTTGTGTGTGTTCAGCCATAGCTCTCATCATAGTGAAATTGCTGCGCATACTGTCAGTTAAACCTGTAGCTCGACACAATTCCGGAATTAAATAAACAAGCTTTTCATCTAACTTTCCACTTCGAATATCTTTCGACTTGACAAGCGAATGCAACAATGGCTGATTTTTATCGGTGATGTTTTTATTATAACGACTATAATAGTCAAGATAAGTGACTTGTTCATTCTTCCTTTGAAACGTACTTCGAGGCGATAAATTAAAATCGACATCCGTGATTTTATACGTTTTGTTGTTGTAATCTGTAAGGACTGTTGATCCAACAATGTCCTTTCTGAAAGAATCTTGCCAATTTCTTGAATCCTTTTGCATATAATCCCTCATGATATCGAGAATTGTTTCTTTTCTCATAACTTTGTGAGAAACCTCACAACATATTAAAACTTCTTGTTCATGTTGACGAATTGACGTAATGTAGCCAGGCCAAAGTTCAACTTTAAAGTTCTCTAACTTTACCTAAATTTATAAAATAAACATACATAAATATAAAATATTTATAAATATATTTAAAAGCAATGTTTAATTAATAATATTTACTCTGTTCTTAGGATCAAAATAATTTCTACCAACAAGCTGCAAATCCAAGGCATCCATTGCACGTCGTAAAATTATATTTAAAATTTGAGTGCTTTGAACATCATCCATTTCAATTTTTAAGCCAGTTTTCTTGATATTAAGTCGATATGTTTTCTTATCATTGCTTAAAACAGTAAATTTCTGTTCATCAAGTGCTAAGCGCTTTGTAACATAAATTTGACTTTGACCGTCAAATAAATATCCGCCAAGGTCATTGGAAATTTGTGCTACGAGAAATTTTCTCAGACCAACTAAATCAACACTGGGCTCGAATTCAATATGATATAAATTAAATTCAAATTGCTTTGAAAGCAGAAATCTAAAGTAATTTGCACAAAGTGTTATTGGTGTCCCACTTACTCCTTGCTTTGAATTTCTAGCAGAATCCGGAATTGTAGAATAAATTTTCTTTGATTGTTTTGTTGTTTCTACAGTTGGTTGAGATTCAGTTTGTCTTCGAGATGATGATGCGCGACTCTCGAAAATACTTCTTGCTCCCCGGCCTCTTCCACGGCCTATTACAGCAATCAATGGAGCTGATTCAGCTTCATCAGGTTGGTTCCAATCAGACATGACGTTTTAAAAGTAACAACAGAATTTCTACTTCACAAACTAATTATACCAATAAAACGTTTATTTCAGATTTATTTCTACAACTTTTTAAATTAAATGAACTTATTTACAAAGAAATAAAATTGAGTAAAAGGAAAAATTAATTTCTGGCGTTTCGTTAAAAACTGTTTAAATTGAAAGGTTTTAAATTTAACGAATATTTTACGCTCAGCCGATGAACAGTTACGTTCGATTTGAAGTTACAAAAGCTTCGCATCGATTTTAAAGTTAAACAATTCAATAGAAATGAATTTTAAAATGGGAACAAAAGTCAATCCTGAACGCTTACTTAAAAACCCTTTACCAATAGAGTTTAATCTGAAGCCTTCGAATGGCTTGTCATTTTCACCTTGTAATGAATCTTTGCCAATGTCACAAGGAGAAGAAAAGGTAAATTTTTTCTTAACATTCTACTTAGTTTTACTTCTTTATTGTTTCATTCCTTTTGAAAGGAAGCTCATTTGATAGAAGCTTTACAAATTCCTGTTGTTGCTGAAAGAAAAAATTCAATTCCTATTCCTGAAGTAACAGACATTGATGATGAAAGCTACAATAGAATGTATCCTGAAAACTTCATTGTCCCAAAGAAAAGAATCATAACTTTTCGTAAGTACTCAAATAAAAGTATTAATAATTGTTGTAATAATATGTGTCTAGCTGATGACGATGTTGTCGATTACGATATGGATTCGGATGATCAACAGTGGTTGCAGAAACAGCAGCAAGTGCACTTAAAAATTAATCCAATTAATTTCGAAAAAGTTATTGAATATCTCGAAAATAATAGCATCAGCGATGTGCCAACATTAGATAGTGTCATAAAAGAACTCGCTCCTATTTATGGTTTTGAAGCTCTCGAAGAAATTTACGATTATTGGTTGGACAAACGTACAAAACATAAACAAAAATTGATATTTCGCGTTAAACATCATGAAAAATACAAATTTAATTCTTCAAAAACAGTCGTTGAAGATCCTTATGTTGCTTTTCGTGAATGTGTAGACAAAATGCATACAAGGTTTGATTTATTTAAATTAAAAGCATTAGAAATGTTTAATAATTCTTTTTTTCCTTTCGTTTAGAAAAAATCGTCTTAATGATCAAGCCAATTACATGAAAATGTTGGAAATAAAAAGAGGCCTAGAGAAAGACGCCAGAATGTTGAAATCAGTGCTCATAACCGAACAGACTAAACATGATTTACTTTATTTGAAATCAAAAATATTTGAAGCACAATATTACAACAAAACTTTTAATGAACGATTCCTGGAAAATTCTGCTATCGTGAATATCCAAATGGTTTTCTCCAAAAATTACAAAATTGATGATAACAAGAAAGATAATTATCAATTTCAAGAATTAGAAAAGGAGAAAGAAGAATTTGATTTCAAACGTCTTGCGAATTGCGACTATCATAAGGTGATAAAATATTTTCTTACTTTTACTTTTTTTAACTAAATGAATACTTTTTAAACTATTTCAAAGCCAATTGATTTCCAAGTTAATTCTTTTGTTAACAAGACAAAGTGTTCCAGAAAATCAACTTCATCGATTTCAAGCCGTTTAGGCAGAGGGGGCCGTATTATTTATGATCGCAATACTCGAGCACGCAAAAGTGACGATGAAGAAGAAGCTGAAGTATACAATTCTATTAAACTCATTCAGCCAAAAATTGTTTTAAATCTAACAGATTCAGAACAATCAGAGATCGAGTCTCAAAATGAAAATTTTTCAAGATCTTCATTTACCTTAAAAAATGCAACACAAGATGTTAAAAAGGAAGACAACATTTTTGAATTTGTCTTTATTTAAAGTTGTGTCAAAAGTTTAAAAACATGAAAATCTCAAAATATAAATTAACAGCAAAAATAAATTTAAATTTTCTCAGCGCCACCAAGTGTCTATAACAGTAAGCTTTTAGAAAAATGAATTCGGTCCGCGGAAAAACTACAAATTTTTTTTTTTTCAGGAGGATAATATCCGCGAAATCACTGGCGAGAATTGTTTGTGAACAAAGTTGAATCTAATCTATGACAGTGTACGTAAATTTTAGTCGAATTAAAACTTTTAACAAATTTATCGTGTTAAAGTGCTTATTTAAACTCATTGGAATGTTATTCTTTTTCGCTATTTCATAATATATCTTAATCAAATGGAATATAAGGAATTTCTAATCGTTAACATAAAATTTTTGCGATTTTAAGATTTCCATGCTCGTGATTCACATAATTCCGAAGAGAAAAGAAAAATTATTAACTACACCTGTAAAAGACAAGCCTCGACAAGCCGTGTCGTTTGTATCTGTGTTCAAATCTTCATTTTGCAATTGCCACAACATCGACCAAAGCAAAGCGGGTTTTTCTTTAATCATCGTCATCTTTCTCTCTCTCTCTTCTGAGTCTTTGTCCAGATCGTGTGCTCGTGTCGTGGTCGACTTTCACTATATTTTCTGCATTTTAGATAAACTCGTGAGTCTTGATCGACGTGTTTGTAGTCTTCTGTTGCTATACACAATTCAAACAAAGCAAAAGTAAATAATCCAACTAAACAACTTTCATCTAGAAACTTAGAACATTAAAAATATATTAAAAAAAAAATGAAACCGTGGCAAGTGTTCGCTCTGTTGTGCTTGTGGTAAAGTTCTTCTCCACATCGACACGAGAAATCCGCTCAAGAAAAATAATATGTGAAAAGCAAATAAAACACCAAAAGAAATTCCGATGCATTTGAAATAGGCGAAAAAGAAGAATTTTCATTTATTTAATTTGAGTTGACGATTTTTGAAAAAGAAAAAAAAATTATTAAATTCAGAAAAGAAAAAGAAAAGTATTAAAATATAAAATTCCGCCTCTTTGCAGATATTGAGTTTGATATTTTTTTCCATCGTTTAATTACATTCACTCACACTCGAAGAAGGAAAGAAAACATCGTGAAGTTTATTTAAAAATTTGACGAGTGCGATTTGTGAACATTAAGAAGAGTTAAAGTGTTGAAATATTTAAAGAAACGGGAGCTGAATATACAGAATAAGTCATCATGCCGAAATCGGTAAGTATTGGATTTGCTTATGTGTCAGATCGCAATAATGAACATTAAACTTACATTTGACCGAACCATAAAACAAAACGAAGAGAAAAAAATATTAATTGCAATAAAATTTGCATATGCGATGACAATTTACAGCAGTTATGTACAATTCATTCGTTTTATTCATATATTTATTTAAATATGGTTTTGCCTTAATAACTTAAACCTAAAATTGTACATGAGCTCAATTCTTTAATTACAATTTGGTGTACATGAGTGGAATCAGAACATGTACACAAAAAAGATTGTTGCGAAAACAAAAATAAACTAACGGCCCTCTTTATCAACTGTCGTTATTTACATTTATTTAATGTTTCGTCGATGACGTCTAAATATTTATGTAATGAGAAGGGAAGTATTCAAGGTTTTCCCATTCATTATCATTACTCCAAACTCATCATGCAATTATAATTCCTCAAAATCAATTGTTTTGGGATGAGATTTTTATTTTAATTCTTTTTTTTATCTCATCAAGTCACTTTGAATTCAAAAACGTTTTCTTTTATGCAGTCATCGCCTTGCTATTTCTTGTCTTATCTAATCAGTTTGACAGCAAGGGCATAAATTAATAGACATTACATTTATTCTGTTAAAACAAAAAAAAGTTTCGTTGTGACACGGAGAGAAGAAAAAGAAGAAGAGTTAACAGCGGAATCCACCAAGCGACTTGATTATATTGTAAAAGCAAAAGTTAGATAATGACTGAAAATGAAGGCAACAATTGTGATAATTTCCAAATAATTAGGTCTTGTCAAAGTGCGGGTTTACATGAGTATCATGACATAAAACTAAATTCTTTCGTTATTTTGTCATCCAGCACGTCTCATGACCTCATCTATGTTATCATTTTAGAAGTTGGAATTTATATTCCACATTGCATGATATTCAGATGACTTTTCTTGTTTCTTTTTTCTCTCTTTTTGTAAAACTGGTTCTGAGACGAGAAATTATTACCAACACACGCAGTTTCTTGTCGGCCTTTTCATGATACTTCATTTCGAAATCTTTTTCTTTCTTTCTTTCTTTTCCTTGGACAATACTTTTTGTGAGTGAAGAAGAAATATTCATTTGTGAGTCTCCAAAGTGTGTTAAAGTCTAAGAATGAAAGTCTCCATATTTTAATGAATAAATAACAAACAACTCGTGAAGTTTTTGTTAAGCTCACTTTATTTATCTCTTTATTACGCAATCTATCAGTTTGATTTTCGAATCATATATTCCAATTATATGAATGACAACATTAAAGTTGGACAACAAACACAACAACAGACAAAAATGTGTGAATGAATGAGAATAAAACTTTCCACAATCACGATATCAGCAAAACACAAAATTCTACAAAATATAAGTTGACGTGTTAGTTCGTTTGCGATCTTAAAGCTTGTCTTTTTATTTTGCTTACAAATGGCAAAGTTTTCTAACGACCGTTTAGCGAAGGTCTGCGAAACAACTAGCAAGGTTTCATGTCACTTCTTGATTTTATTTTTTGTTTGTTCAATATTAAACACACACCGCACAAGTGACTTCTTATCACAAACGTTAGTCGGTCTCATGCCGATTGAATTTTTATCGATCTTTCAATAAATTGTGTGCTTAATGTATTGTCGACGGATGCCTTGCGAAAATATTTATGACTATTTGTTATCAAGAAAATCAATTGGTTCGTTACAAAGACAATTAATTATAGACAATTCCTTTGACTATTTCTATTCGCAATCACTTCACGTGACTTCTTTTTGGTGATGTAATAAAAAATTCTAATTAATTAAGATGATTAATCTGCAATGCGTTTCACGTTGTAAATATTTCCTCAGTGTTTAAGTGACGTAACTCTTTTTGCTGAGATTATTTATTTAAACGATGGAAAAGTCATCACAATAAAAAATTGAATTTGCTTAAATGCCTTCAACACATTCATGAAATTCTCACAACAGCGTGTTGTTCATTTTTCAATTGTTTCGTTCATAAATTTAATTTTTTTTTGGACATCAAATACACATTCATAGATTGCTTTTTACTCTTCTTACTTTAAAATGAGCATGTGTGATGTTGTTGAGGTCGCAGACGGTAAAAACGAGATATGAAAAAAGAAAAAATAAGCCTCAAGCATCAATAAAGAAAAATGAAAATGATGAGAAAAAGTAACACTGCAAGTTTCTTTTCAAACTCAATTAAAAAGCTGAAAGAAAGTAAAAGCCTTTATTTTATCTCTCGAATGAAGCATTTGCGTTGAATTTTCTTTTCATAAGAAAATGAGACAATAGAAATGAAGTGAACAGACCACAACAGGAACAACCCGTCATTCTCACTTTCTACACTGACGTACCTTGAGAAAAATTGACGACATGAGGAAGTAGGATTGGGAAAAAGCTTCCGATATTTGTTTATTGAAATGAAATATTAGAAAAGAAAAAGACTTTGGAATTAATTGGATGAATAGATATTTAATTACACAACCCAAGGAAAATCAATGAAGACTTTTCAAATTGCGATCAAGTTTCTAGAGGTTTTGGCCACCTGTTGAATGCCAATCGCTGTTTGACAACTTTTGCTTTTTAATCTTATGCATATTAAATCATCGTTTAAAAGCGATGTTTTGGAGGGTTTTGCAAGTCATTTGAGCCTTCAAACGTTAATTTTTATTATAGATAAACTTAATTTTAAAGTCAGGCAGAACCTGCAATAATAATTTTAAGCACTAAAACGTTAACGTTATGTCAGATTCGTGACGTTAATAAAACGTAAGCGTGAACTTTACGTAAAGTTCTATCGCAGGTAGCCGAATTTTAATGTGTTTTGCGATGATTCAACACTAACACATGTCAATTCTCAACACATATGGAACATTTTCAAATGGAACCCTTACATGCCTTTTTTGCTGTTTTGTTATTTCATATTCTTCATTTTAAAGCGAATTACAGAACAGTCAAAACGAACTTCTTTCGTTCCCGCGTTTCGTTGGTGAATAAATAGTATTCCATAGAAATATTTGTCTATTAACTCACTATTCAGAGAATATCGTCCTCTGCAGAGGTTCATTCATAAAGTGATTAAGATTATTGCTCTATATTCGGCTATCGTCACATAAGTGAAAAAAGTCGTTAAAAAGTTCGTTAAAGACGCTTGAGAGTCGGAAAAAATTAAAATTGCTAAAGAATAAGAATACTTGGTGCTGAGAAAACACCACGAGAGAGCAAACGAAAGAGAATTGTGGAATCGAAACAATAAGAAGAAAAAAAAACGATCATTTTCGGGTGATTTTTGCTTTCTGAGGGTTCAGTTTAGTTGTGCATTGAAAGTTGTTTGGAAAGCGACCAAAAAATGGTGTCTGGAAATAAAATGGTTAGTAAACTAAGTAGGAATATAATCAACCTGACTGATGCCGTTTTTCTTGTTTTGTGCTGTGATTTATGGTGTCAAATAATAAAAAAGAAAATTTTAGTGATGGAAACATCCCATTCAAAGTTTTTTGCCATTTTTTCACAATTAAGCCGTTAATGGCCGCAAATGACGTAAACTTTTAAAACTGCGAATCAAAAATAAAAAAAATTGACAATAATTATTGTAAAGTTGTTATTAACAATGTTTATTTTCTGAAAACAATCGTTGGATATTTTTGAGAATCTCCTTGGAAATCCCAATGAGTTGAAAAAGTTTCCTGTCAATTGGACAATCGATATCAATAAACATCCTAATTGGATTTGTTGCAATTGTTTGAAGGCGCCTTAAAACAGGTTCCAAGGCAACTTTTTTTTTTCATTTGGACTCAGCGTCAAGTCATAGAAGATTTTTTTTTAATAAATATGAAACTTCTAGATGATCCAACAAAAGGAAATAAAATTTCTTGGTCAAGTGAATCTCATTTGGAAGCACAAAACATGTGACATCCAACGAAATTTCGATTTATATCCTGTTTGATTGATTTTTAGTTTGTAAATTTTTAAATGTCAGATTTATGCATTCTATCAAACATTATCTAATCGTGATGACATCCATACTTGCTTTTCTGGAATTAAAATATTAATGAATGGTTTAATGTGAAAAATCAGTTTAATGTTTCACGCTATTGATAAATTTTAATTTATTTTACTTCTTTTTTTTACAGCTTAATGTTCGTGTCACGACGATGGACGCTGAGCTGGAATTTGCCATCCAGCAAAGCACCACCGGCAAACAACTCTTTGACCAAGTCGTCAAGACGATTGGATTACGTGAAGTTTGGTTCTTCGGCTTGCAGTATACAGACCCGAAAGGTGACCTCACGTGGATTAAACTCTACAAAAAGGTGAGTCAAACTTCTTCTTTCCCTTCTTATTGTTGATTGTTTGATTGCTAGTTCAAGGCGATGACGCTTGTTTAGTAGTCTTTTGTAAGAGTTCAAAGTTTTTTCACTGTAACATTTTCCTATTTTTATTTGATTGGCTCAACGCTGATGTTGTTTCATGACTTCTCGCTAAATACTTTCGAGTCTTGTTTGTGTCTTTCTCACTCCAACATCCGGTTATGAGCTGCACGAGAAAACAATTTTTTCTTCTCTTCCTTTTTTTCTTCAATAGATTCACGTTTTTAACGAGGCGAGAAATTTATTTCGTTCGGAAACACTCGCGCCAGATCTTACTGATTATTTTTCAATAGCTCGCAAAATTTGCTTTAACGGTGGTGAAATTGCTTCTGTTATTTTTTAGCTTTTAAAAACTTCCACGATACATGATGTCATATTTACATTGAAGCGTTAAATTGAGCTTGTTGACATTGAATGAAAATTTCTGAATTATTCATGAATGAAAGAATTTTACTGTGTTTGAAGGATGATTGATCAACAACGATTGTCTTACATTCGTTTTCTCTCACATGATCATCATCAACATTTAATAGCACAACTTTATTCGTTATGGAAAATTATTATTCACCCTTATTTGCCTTATTTGATGATATACTCGACTCACATTCAAAAAGTGTAAATATTTGCAATGAAAACACGAAAAAGCTGATAAGAATGCGCACTGTTACAATTCTTTAGCAAGAAGCAGAATGAGAATTGTTTGTTCTCGCGCCATGTAAAGATTAATGACTCAACTTTAAGTCACTTTTTTTGAGAATCATCTCATCATTCAATGACGTCATTATATAAGCAACTGCTGCTTGGTAATGGCAGTTATAGAATTAACTCACAAACACATGTGGTCATCACATTACGATAAATATTTATTTTTTTCTGCCATCTAGAATTGCTTCTAATTAAAAGATCGACAAAGACGTCAATTAACTTCTGACGGTTATTTACAAAAGAGAAAAAAAAGTTTACTCGTGCGTGTTATGCAACAAATTTACTCGTGACTTGATCTTTACAAATAACGTTGTCTATTTGACAAACCTGATCTCAGATTGTGAAATTAAAGAAGAGAGGAAAAAAAGATTACAAATTGACCATGTTTGTGGTGAAAGATCCTCAAAATATCATCAACTAAGGCTATTCACGTGAATGTGCAATTTTTTTATGTCAAGTTTCAAGTTTATATAAAAAAAGTCAGAACTTGGAAGTCAACAATGCTCCTTACATTATTCATCGCGATTTTTCAAGTCCAAATAATTCCATTCAACAAGCATTTTAAAAACTCAAATTTACTGATGATGATGATGTGCAATTGAAATGTTTCGATGGAGTTACAGCTCATTGTTGAACGGCGACTGAAAGAAATAATAAAAATAAAAAAGAAGATAAAAAACGATTTGTTTAGTTGGATGGATGAATTGAAGGTCGTGCGAAGTAGTTTCATGTTTGATTGTTGAGCTTCTCGCCAAGCGGTTTATCGAAAACAGCAATTTTGGGCTAAAAAAAACTTCTATCTGTTTATAAATAGCGGTTTCTGCCATTCCCCTCCCTCGTCTCCCTCTCTCGGTTTAACAACAATAGAAACTATTCATGATAAAGCAAATAAGAAAACATGCGAGAAATTCCAAAATTTGCTTCTTTCGACGTCGCGGATGATTGATGTTTACACTGATCAAATGTAATGAGTGTTGATTTCAGTAAAGACACGATGATGAGAAGCTGAGAAACTTATTTGTAATGGAAGCAAGTCAATGAAGGAAATTAGTGAAGTTCCGAAACATTTTAGCGGTTTTTAGATTGCGTAATGTTAACTGAATTATACTAAATGCGGGTACACATAAATTGACCTCATCTCATGTCATGTCTTTAATGAAAATTGCCGATTTTCCTTAACTATTTCCTTTCCATTAATAATTTCTTTAACAATCTTTCCATCCGTCCCAAAACATTTAAATGAATCCAACAGAAAAAGTGTAATTAACCAACGAGAAAACTACAACATCAGAGTTGACACTCGCGTTTGTTGTTCAAATGAGAATTATCGTGAGAAATTGTAATTCGTTACAATTTATGCACAAATGATTCCGACAATAATTCACAAATTTGACTTCCTGGGAATCACTACGAGATCAATCGATCTAACGAACAGTTACTACAGCTTTCTAATTAAAAAGAAAGAAAAACTTCTTCTTTAAAACAAACTTAAATGCACTTATTTTGAAGAAGACAAATTACCGATCGTCTGGAATCGATTATATTTGTGATGAAACATTAACTTCCACTTGAGCCATCGCACATGATTGAGTAACATTAAATCTCAAGTTGCTTTGGTGTGGGAGTGAAAAAGAGATGGAAATAGAAAGGGAGGAAGAGAGTTGGATGTGCACTCATGAAGAAATGAAATAACAAAACAAAAATCAGTTGGATACTATTAATAGAACTTTGTTGAGATAATAGATGAGTGCAGTTAAAATGAAATTTAATAACAGAGGAGAAAATCTTGGAAATGATTTGATGCGGTTGTTTGGTATGAAATGAGGTTCAAAAGGCCAATCTCTTGTGGGGGAAGAGAAAATTGAAGAAAAATTTTATCGCACGATAAATAAAACAAGAAAATAAGAAGAAAATGAAATATGACAACGAAATGATGTAATTGAAATATTTAAATATAATTTTTGAATAACAAATTCATATATTCTTAAGTTTTCCTCCTTTCCTTACGATGATTTCTTGTTTTATTTTTGTCTTCGATGATTCCATTGAACGACGTCCAAGCCTTGTTGTCAAATTTTTATTTATATGAACCAAATCAATCACTCAGATGATAATAAATTTATTAATTCCACAATTGTTTATAAATGAAGCACGATAAAGAAGTTGTGTGTAAGTTCGAACATTGAAATAATTCTGAAAACCTTCATCGTAAATTTTATCGGAACAGAAATATTTTTGTCTTATCAACAGCGACGAGTGTGAAGGCATTTTATGTCGCTTAATAGAGCGGTTGTAAAATAAATATTTTAACCGCTGCTGCGGGAAAACTAAAGGTGCTTAATACAGCTCTCAAGTGCGCACGAGAAACTATTAAAATGCTTCAACATTCGTGTGACATGTAATTTCCTCCCCCCATCCATAACTACCTCTGAAAAGCAAACGACCAACTATGCAATTATTTTGCTTATCTCATCGCTTTCGTTTGTAACATTGTTGTTGCTACCAGGAGATCACTTAAAACTAATTGATGCTAGAGGAAGATTTTAGATAAGGTAGAAAGGATAAACTCGTAACTATTTAGTTCAATGTTGGTAACATGTGAGTTAATTTGATCGAAAAGTGTTAAACACGAGTCGTTATTTGTAGTTTCCAATCTTTATGCTAATTAAATTCTTTTATTGTTATGCTAATATTATTTAAATATGTTGACGTTTCTAAACAATTTCAATAGTTTAAATTTTAGATTCAATCTTGTGTTGATTTCTTTTCGAATGAAATTCAAAAATATTTGCAATCAAAACAGAAATCAAATGAATTTTTATTATTTATTATTGTTACATGTCTTTCGATTCTAACTAATTGGGGGAAATCATACGAACATTTAACTACTCACGCATACACACACACAAACAATAACAAAAGCCTGACAATGTAGTGTGCATTCATCTGAAAAAATTACGGAAATTGATTAAAAACAAATCAATGGAGTTGGATGAATACGATCAGGGTGAAGATTTGGTAAGCGTGAGACAAGTGAAAGGAAATAACTTTTTAGAGCTTTTATCGCTAGTCAAGAATCAAGAAAAACTTTTCCTTTTAGGACATGAAGTGCTGCTTTTCGATCAACGGAAATGAATGAGAATTCTATTTTTATTTTCGCCAACGAAAAGCACTTTGCATAGTTGAAAAGATAATTTGACGCGCTTTTAATCGATGACACAACATAATTTGTGTTGCGAGCTCAATGAAATTAAGCTTCGAAATTGGTTCCTTTCACAAACAACTGTTTGAAGCTGCCGCTTGTTTAAAACTCAACAAACAGGAAATCGAAACCACATCAGCATCGCCTTGCTGATCTTTTTATATCAACTGAGATGATCTTAAGGTCGACAATGGCAAAAGTCGCATAAGAAAGAGAAAAGGAAATAAATTCTTTAATTAGGTACTCTGAAATTTATCACATCAATTGATGGCATGAGAAAAAGAAATCACATCAGACTCAACTGCAACTCATTAACTATTTATAAATCTTATTTTTTCTTCTTTTAAACGCTTATTGTGCATTAACATTTCACATGGAAAACAACAAAATAATCTGCTTTTCTCGCTTTTATTTATTTCATTGATTTGCATTTTTCTTTCCTCTCTGTTCGCCTTCAAAAAATTTTAAATGTTTGGAAAATTATTCAGCCAGGTCATTTTCCTCTGTCGAAATGGGTACGTGAACCAGCAAAATTTTTTCCTACTTGGTGATGATTTTTGTCTTTTTTTGTTGTTTGAATGATTTATTTTTGGTGTTTTCTTCTTGAACAAATGACTTACTTATAGAAATTTGCTGAAATTCTTTTTTTATCTTGTGAAATGTTCTTTAGGTAATGAGCCAAGATATCCAAAAGACGGATCCATTGCAGTTTAAGTTTCGTGCCAAGTTCTATCCAGAAGACGTCGCCGAGGAATTGATTCAGGACATAACTCTTCGCTTGTTCTATTTGCAAGTCAAGAATTCCATTTTATCGGATGAAATTTATTGTCCCCCTGAGACTTCCGTTCTGCTTGCTTCGTATGCTGTTCAAGCACGTCATGGAGACTTCCAAAAGGTGACGCATGGTCCTGGATTTTTAACAAACGACAGATTACTTCCACAACGTGTCATTGATCAACATAAAATGTCGAAAGATGAATGGGAGACTTCCATCACCACATGGTGGCAAGAACATCGCGGCATGTTGCGTGAAGACGCAATGATGGAATATTTGAAAATTGCTCAGGATCTGGAGATGTATGGCGTGAACTATTTCGAAATTCGTAACAAGAAAGGCACTGAATTGTGGCTTGGAGTTGACGCACTCGGATTGAATATTTACGAGAAAGATGATAAATTGACACCGAAAATTGGTTTTCCATGGTCAGAAATTCGTAACATTTCGTTTAACGACAAGAAATTTATTATCAAGCCAATTGATAAGAAAGCTCCCGACTTTGTGTTCTTCGCACCACGCGTTCGCATCAATAAACGTATTTTAGCTTTGTGCATGGGCAATCATGAACTTTATATGCGTCGTCGTAAACCAGACACTATTGACGTTCAACAAATGAAAGCTCAAGCTCGTGAAGAGAAGAATGCTAAACAGCAAGAACGTGAAAAGCTTCAAATGGCACTTGCTGCACGTGAACGTGCAGAGAAGAAGCAACAAGAGTATGAAGATCGTTTACGAACCATGCAAGAAGAAATCAATCGTTCACAAGCGAACTTAATGGAAGCTCAAGACATTATTCGTCGATTGGAAGAGCAATTAAAGCAGTTGCAGCTATCAAAGGAAGAACTCGAACAGCGTCAAAACGAACTTCAAGATATGCTTCGTCGATTGGAAGAAAGCAAGAATATGGAAGCAGTCGAACGTATAAAGCTCGAAGAAGAAATTGCCGCCAAGCAGGTTGAAGTTGCTCATATTCAAGAGGAAGTTGCCGCCAAAGATTCCGAGACGAAGCGCTTGCAAGATGAGGTTGAAGAGGCTCGACGCAAACAGGTAAATTACAAAATTATTTTTGACCTTTTCATAAAGTTTTATTTTATATGTCATTGATAAAAACAACTAATTTAAATGTCATATCAACAACACCATAATACTTCACCATAATCTGATGAGCATTTTGATACAATAATGAAGCAAAATGTAAAAGTAAGAGAAACATCACATCTTTCACAATTCACATGAGAATAAATAATAATCGAAACAATTAACAAACAAATTTGTTACGTAAATTCGTTTAATCGTGTCGTGTCTCTAAACACAAATCAAAGACTTACTAAAACATTTCATGTAGGTATCTCGGAATCGGGATGAAGTCGTAAATATGTTAACTTGTAGAAAAGCTGCACTACTGTGATGTCAAATTTGTTTTTCAATAAGAAATCTTAAGAGATTTAAAAGAAATTTTCTGGACATTTTTATAGATTTTTACGACACGAAATTTTGATCAACTTTTTGCCCCGATTTCGTCGCCATTCAGTATTTCATCAACGAATAATGCTCATCAGAAGAACGTATGTAATGAGAAGTTTAGGGTGGAAAATTAAAATTGTATTCGCTGAGATCTGAGCGGGGCCTTAACTTGACTTTGCTCGATTCAACTTGACTTGACTTATTGACTCGTTTCGATTCAAGCCCGTAAAGCAAACACAAAAAACATTTCAAAATCCCGAAAATCTCAGCCTCTGCATTAATTTACAATTTTCCATAGTTCTCGGTGAACAACATGTTGTGTTCAGATATAATTCATTCAAACGTTTTCATATTTCATCGGAATAATTTCATTCACAGCAAGAAGCTGCTGCTGCTTTATTGCTTGCAACACAAACGCCTCAACATCATCATTTGGCTGAAGAGGGCGATGAGAATGGTGATGATGATGATATGACTAATGGCGATAACGGTTCAGGTGGTGGCGATGTGTCACGCGATTTGGACACTGATGAACATATCAAGGACCCTGTTGAAGACAGACGCACCTTGGCTGAGCGTAACGAACGTTTGCACGATCAACTTAAGGTGAGTTTGACCTTTTAATTGTTAGCCTACGTTGAGATTTTAATAAATGAATTTTAATTTTAGGCTTTGAAGCAAGATTTAGCTCAGTCTCGTGATGAAACGAAGGAAACAGCCAACGATAAGCTTCATCGGGAGAATGTACGTCAGGGACGTGATAAATATAAGACATTACGTGAAATCAGAAAAGGAAACACGAAACGTCGTGTGGATCAATTCGAGAATATGTAAAATGATTGTTTGAATGGATGGGGAGGGAACGATGTAAATATCAAGCAACAACTGCACTTAAACTTTATCTGATGATGCTGAGCTACCAACAAATTCATTCAACAACACACAAAAGTTATAACAACTACATTTCGATAAATAAGATATTTAGACGGATTTTTCTTTTTGATTTCTTAGTAAGAACTTCTATTTTTTTCCAATTTATATAAAAAAATATTCAGGATGAAACAAACAATTCTAATTCATAAATTAAGTAAGAATTGACATTTTGGATGTTTTATGAAATTCCACATAAGCATGTAAATGATGAGCTTAATACGTTGCATGATTATGATGATCGTTTCTTAAGATCACAAATATTTTTATACGCAATATAATAGGGAAAAAGCTTCAAAATTACTCGTTAACAAAAGTAGTTGCTTCAAAAATTTAATTAAATATCGACAGTAGATCTTTAGATCTAATCAAAAGTCTTATCTAAGAAAATTCTAAATTTGAGAGAAAAAAATTTTCCGTGATAAGTTTTCGACTAATTAAAGATGATTTATTGAAAGGAAAGTTAAGCCATTACCACAATTTTGTCGTAAATTTGTTGAATATGAATAAAGTTTCTTTTTTTTTCTTTTTTGCCTAAATATGCAACTTTTTTACTTCTACACTTGTTTAGTTCTTTATATCGTAAGTTATTCCATCAACATTATAACGAAAAAGTTTGTCAATTGACATTTGCTTGATAGAAATGAAATGAAAGTTAAGATAAAATAAATTTGAAATACTTTCTTTTTTATTTTTCTTGCAGTCGTAACATAGAAAAAGAAAATTTTAGTAACAAAATAATAATGAACGAAAGTATTAAAATAAAGAAAAATAATTTTGCACTTTTATATCAGAGAAGAAAAAATGTTAAAAGGCTTAAGCTTAATAATCGAAAATAATAAAAGAAAAATCAATTTTTAGGCTTAGATTTTAAAACTAACTAAAAAAATGTAGGAGAAAATGCCTCCAAATCGATGATTGAAAGAAATTTATCAGATTTATTATCTTCTTTGCGTAATTCATAAGGAAAAGAAATCAAAAACTGAGAATCGAGGATTTGTAACTGGATATGTATTTTAGATTAAATATTAATGTCCATGTGCGTCGAAGTTAATAAGCACGATGAAAGAAATGAAAAACAAATGGTGGCCTTTACAAACATATTATAAATAATTAAAGAAAATGAAAAGCATTAAATTAATCCGAAAGACATTTTTCCCATCTTCCCCATGCTACCGAAAACTAAATGTGTAAAATATCAATTTTCTTTCCGTGAAACACATTTTTTTAATTTTAAACTTTTTATTATTATTCATATGGTTAAACAGAACAGAAAAAAGCAAATTGAAATTTCAACTTAAAGAAAAGGAATTTTCTGTTAATTATTATGTTAAAATAATTTTGATGTATTATTTTCAAATAATAAAAATTTAAAAAGAATTTGTTATCGTCGCCTTTTCATTAATGTTCCATTGCAGGTGCTTCGATGTCGTTCGTACTGCTTTCGATAAAGAAAATCTTGCTTACAATATTCACAAGTGTAAATCTTTGATGCTTCTTTGTGGACACTGAACATGTGCTCTTTGAGATTATAACTGGCTGTAAATGATTTTGAACACTGCGTGCAATGATGATTTCTCTGATTGAAATGGACACCTAAAATATGACGAGTAATTCCTGATTTGTCGCGAAACGTTTTCTCGCACCAATTACAAGAAAATTTCAAATTTTGATGCGAACGTTTGATGTGAAGTTGCAAACGATCCAATTCGAAGAACGGTCGACCACAGAAGTTGCAGCAATATCGAGGAGCAGCAAAATGAATTTTGTAATGTTTTTCATATGCAACCGCAGAAGGAATTTTGCATCTTAAACAGAGTGGACAGTCCGTTCCAGCGTAATCTTTATGCTCTATTTCAACGTGTTTCTTCTTAGCAACTCCCAAAGAAAAAGTTTCATTGCAAATGTAACATTTAAATGGTCGTTCATGAGGATCTCTGCAGTCGGTGAATATCGCAAGATGCTCATGAAGTTCCTCATAAGTGTTAAAGTCAGTTTGACAACCTTTGCATTTGTTACTTTGCGCAGGTGGAATTTTATGACGACGATGTTGATGATTTTCGAGATTTCGTTTGGATTTCAACACTTCTGGGCACAGCATGCAAGGTTTGTTTTTTCCTCTTTCATGTGCTGCAAAATGTTTTGCCATGTTTCGTTCCATTTGATCTCTGTCTTCATCCGTATTGAATTCATAGCTGCAGATTCCACACACGAGATTATTTTTGTCTCCAATTTGATGAACTTCCCATTCGTGATTTTTTAGACTTGCTTCGTAGTTGAATGAGACGTTTGGATTACAAAGCATGCAAAAGAATTTTGTTACGACGTTTTCAACGAATGTGAATTCACCTGGTTCAGAAACTTCAATGCTATAATCCTCAGTGATCACATCTTGTTCCAAATACTCAATCTCTTCATACATGTCGTTTGTGGCCTGAAAAGTTTCGTCGATAACTTCAGCGACTGTTTCTCCTGTAAATTCCTCAACTATTTGATATTCCACAGGTTCTTCATAAACTTCGTAATCAGGTTTAATATCAGCTTCATCTCCTTGAATCTCGAGTTCTTGCACTTCAAAATATTCATTTTTAACATCAGCAACTGGCAAGATTTCGCCTGTAAGTTCTTGAACTTTCTCTTTCAGTTTCGATTGAAATTTTTTTTCTAGATTTTTTAATGTTCTGTCAGTATCTAGACATTTGATTTTTAAATCATATGATGCGCATATATCATTAAAACATTTTCTACATAGTGTTTTACTAAAATTGTCACTTTTCGCTATCTGAAATTAAAAGTTTTAAAGAATTTTACGTTTTAATTACAATTTAACTTACTTTTAATCCACAGACAAATAGTAGCTTTTCCTCTATTGCAATACCTTTAATTCGTTTATATATTGAAAATTGATCAATAGTAGTTTCACCTAGACAGACTCTACATTGATTATCGTCCATCGTATAAAGCAAAACTAATAATTTAGCTGAATTCTCTTTTTTGTAAACAAACTTAACGTTACGTTACGTCAACGGTTGTAAACTCTGCATTTTCAAATAAATTTTGACCGTTAATAATTAATATCAGCATAAAATCATTTCATTCCACGTTAAGAGCTTGTGAAGATAATAAAATGACGTACACAAAGGAAAATGGAAAAAGAAAATTTACGGAAATTTATTTCCAAGCTGTCCATTCAAATTAGAAATGTTTAAATTTTATTGAAAAGATGTATAAAAGTAGCATTTGTGATGGAAATTTGGCAAAGTATAATTCAGCTGTTAATAAATTTGTGGGCATTTATTCGACACCATTTATTTTAATTAAAATAGAAGACTTAAGTAGTATTTGACAACATTCTTTTATTGTTTTTTGCTTCAACATTCACTTCGGTTCTTATGATTTCACTTATTATGTTTATGAGATATTTTTTGTAGCTTTGCGCCGGTGCGTAAATTGTGAACATTTTATGACTTTTATAATAAAAGAAATCGCTATAATTCCGCACCTTCGTGGCACCCGATTAATGCATTACATTTCGGGCATTTGTGATAAGCGTCTTTAAATGCATTTAGACCTGAATGTGAATAAAACTATAAATGCATCTCCCAAGAAACATCAAAAATGTGACTCACAGTATGGAAGAACGCAGAAACCACAACAAAATGCAAACAAGAGAACAACAAAGCCCTGCATATGTGTCCTTGAAGAAATTTTATAAGAAACTTCTGTCTCTATGGGAACCTGGCATGCTGGACATATAATCTTCACAGGATCGTGATCAAGTTCCAATTCTGAAATTTTTCCATTTCCAATCGCAGTCATTATTTTGTTGTGAACTCTTTAGACACTTGTTAACCGAACGAAGAAAAATGAAAGACTAATATTTGCCTTATAAAAGAAAATTCTATTAATACACATTTTGTTAGAGTATGTGGAATTCAAATTGGTGTATGACTCTTATATTAACGAGGTTACCAAAGTAAAATCCGAAATAATATTCAGCTTTTGAAAATTTGATTACCAAAGTCGTTCGTCCGCTCCACCTAAACATAACGCCACATGTTATTAAGGTGAAAAAAAACAACCAGCTGATTTTACTTTGAAGTATTTTAGCGCGTGAAAATTACATCCCCGGAATTATTTTTTTTTACCTTTTAGCTTTGAATTTTAAATGAAGAAATATAAAAACTGAAATAATCTACTCTTGGAAATGAATATCCCAGCTTGAAAAAAGAAATAATCCTAAAAATCAAAATAAACTCTTAGTGTTGAAAATTTTCCACGATGCTTTCAACCACATAAAAATTTGGTGAAAATAAAAAACAGCTGACTGCTCTTATGTTCTTTTGAAAGCGTAGTATCCACCTAGACACTTAATTTTTTATGTGAATTTTTTATGAAACTGAGAGAAATTGATTGCTGAAAATTTCGATCGAAATCTGAAAATATTTTTATTCTCATTTCAAATATTTATTTACTTTCGAAAAGTATTTCAATTAATATTGAGCTTTCATATATTTTTTCCATAAAATGTTTGTTTTTATTGAATCGAAAATTTTACACTTAAAATAAACGAATAAAACAAAAAGGAAGGAAATATCATTAGTTATGTTTTAAATATCTGTCAGCTATACAATTACGATCATTTTTCCTTAGATATCCATTTTAGGAGAGTTACAATAATTAAAATGACTTTCCACTTCTTTCTCGTGATTGCGCCTTCATAAATGGCAAATATTTTAAATAACGTTTTATTTTAATTGGTGTTACAAGTCATATTTTTCTCTTTTTTTCTATAAAATTTTTCCACCTCCACATTTTTATTTATTTAATTTTTTTTTTGTATTTTTTTTACTTTCTTTTAATAATTTTTTTAATTTTTAACTTACAGTTATGACTTTACATGGTATCGGAAAGCTTCTTCCTCGTTTCCATCAGTATTTTTAAAAAAATCTTCAGTTTGTAATTGCATAAAAATTCAACAAAATATGTCAATATTTTACATCAAGCTCCATGTTTTTGTTTTATTCAACTTACTGATTAAATTAACATTTTTAAGATTTTTTTTCTTTTCACAATGGAAAAGTTGGAAAATAATTATTTTTTATGTATAAGTTTGAGGGAAAACTTAGAGAACATGAAAAAGTTTTTTTTCTACTTTTTCGCTTACTGACTATCAACATCAAATTTCAAAGACATTTAACACTTCTCACAGTCCATTACCTTCTACAACAATCGCCTAAAAGTCAATTAACTTTTTTCAATCTTACAATATTTCCTGCCTAAAGTGAATTTCATCATCATAACTTATTCTCTAGAAATTCCTAATCACTTTCACTCACTTTCTAGAACATCCTTTGAACTTTTTTTCGTATTTAATTTTTTTTTTCTAGCTGAAGATGACTAAAAGTAAGGAAGAATATTTTTCATTTCTTCGTTATTTAAACTGTTTTATGTGGAAAATTGACTTAAAGTGAAAAACGAAGACTTTTTTTTTCTTACTGTTTTGCATTGAAACTTGAAACATAAACTTTTTATTTTTTATTTATTATTTCGAGTTTAAAGTTTCTTTAAAGGAAAAAATCATCAATTTCTTATGTATTTACAGTTGATTAATATTTATGTTTCTTTTTTATCAACAAAACTTTTATCTTCCTTTATTTTATTTATGTTTATTTAATGTGTATGATCTAACAAGGCAAATTGATTGATAAATTTCCTTTTTTTTGTTAATTTTTCTTTTTTTCCTTCTTCAATGATAGTCCACACTCAGAAGCTTTAACGTTATGGTATTCCTCTGACTCGTTCTGCATTCAATAAACAGTTGCACTATTTTTATTGATTTTCACGTACGTGTGGGAGTTTCTTTGAGGTTTATGTTATTTATGTTTTTATTTCAATTTCTCTGAGATTAAAGAGAAATCAAAGTGGAGAGTTTCATATTTTCAAAATCGTCAGAATATCAGAATTCTCAAGCGATATAATCGAATGCAGATAAAAAGGAAAATCTTTTCTCATGAAATATTCAATTTATTTAATTTGAAAACCAACTGCATTTTGCAGGAGCTTCTGCATTAGAGTATAAATTAAGAAGAGAAGGGCTTTCATCTTTCAAAAGTATTTTTATTATATAATATTTTTAATATGTCACAACCATGCAAGAATTATTTGTCATGAATAAGTGGAAGCAGAATATCAATCAATTTAATTTATTTTTTTCCATCTCAACAAATATATTCTCATTATCCGGCAGAAATAAATTTACCTTTTCTCTGACTTGAAACGAATGAATCAGTTGATTTCCGCTGTTGTTTAATTTATGGCAAGTTTCTGCTTCTTCTTCGTCTTCATCTTCTTCCTTTTAGGGGACTCTTCAAATCTCAAGACACGCAATTTTTCAGTCCAATTTTATGATAAAACTACTTGGGAGATATTTCCCTAGTCAATTGATCTTGGTATTTAAAAATTGCTCCCGAAAATTGAGTGTTTCGAGAATCGCTGAGTACCATAATTCGTTTATGACTTTAATTTCTCTAATAACATTGAACGTCGTCAGAAAGTTTATAATTTAAATTTCCATGCACAACCATTGAGATTGTTAATTGAGTTTTCTTTTGTCTTTAGATTTCTCTTCTCTTAATCAATTAAGTTATGTTTTATGTTAAATTTACTTTTAAATTTTTCTTTTTTTTTTCTTCACGTTTATCGTCAGCCTTTAATTTTTTTTTGTTCCATAATAATCTTAATATCGTTCATATCTAACAATGAGAGAACAATAAGTTTCACTAAATATTTCTATTTCGTGTAATGCTTGCTTGATTGATTTAATTATTATTATTTAAAAAAACAAAGTAGAACCAATCAATTATTTAATCTAAAATAAGAAAACCACTGTCATCATCTATCATGTTGCACACAAAAATTCCAAATTTTTCCTTTGCCTATGTAAAAATTTTGATTTCTTTTGTACAATTAATTCATAATTTAGTTTATGTATGTATGTTTAATAAATTGCCTTGTCTCTACACATTAGTTAGACTAATATCTTCCCTTACTCTCCTTCTCCTTCTTGTCTTGAGTGATGATGTAACGTTAATGAAGATGATGACTCAGAAATATTTTCACATTTATTTTCTTATCAACACATATTTTATTATCAATAGATTAAAAAACTTTTGAATGTTTAGTTTTTTTTTTGGTTTTCCCTTAAATTTTCAATAGCACGAAAAGTAAAACTGGACGCATTTATACTCGATAATATAAGCAGCATGACATGCTAACTTCAATTTGGGGGCTTTTTAGTGGGTGGCCTTCGTCATTGGGATTTTCTTTCTTGTATGTATGCTTTGCAGCTAAATTTGTAGACTTTCTATCTCGATAAGTGATATGTATGAATGAAAAAAATGCATATTTTCTTTTTAATTTATTTCCTTGTTTCTTTTTGCTTCATTATAATCAGTGCTTAACGAATCGCTTTTGCATATTTTCGATGTTTTCGTCCAAAACTTTATTCATTGATTTTTATATTTCTGGAAGAATTAAATGATTTTTTATCGTAGCATTTAGAATTTATTTGAATCCATCGGCTTAAGTTGTTCTAAAGCTTGAAAAACTTGCGCACGATCTTCAATGGCCTGTGAAATGAATAATTTATTTAACATTTAATGGACAGAGATCGCGACTCATTCAATGATAAGTTTTAAGAATATTTATACGAAATTATTTTTTGTTAAATAGAAGCACTTGGTTAATTATTGTAAATTCACTCGTTCTTGATCTTTATCGTTTATCAATATGAGTGGAAAAGCATTTCATCTTTAAATATTACGTCAGATAAAAAGTTGAAAGAGTAGAGAAGACTAGTTAATGAAATAAGTAAGATGTAAGAAAAACCACAACAAAGTTTAATCTCCTTCATCCTGTTCACTCGATGGTCTTGTTGTTTCTTAATCTTGTTTTTTAGGCTACGGTTGCTATTTAAAATCGTTCCTAAATTTTAAATTTTCACATAAACTTGCACCTAACATCTAAGATCGAACGAACATTATTTTAATTATTAAAACAAAGCGTCAAATGGAAGATTTCAATGTAAATTATTTTAGTTTTTCTTTGATTTCTTTTCTCGTCCGTTTTCTGTCTGTTTGTGTCAGAGTTGTGCTTTGACTTACTTACAATTTCACATTTTTCGTAAGTTTGTAAGTAAAATTTGATGAGCGTGGTTTCGACGCAACTCTGGTTTGTGTGTTTTTATTTTAAGTATTTTTCATTTGATTAGGCTGACCACATATGTATAATTTGTTGGTTGCTTGATTAGTGACTACATTTAAACAATCCCAGTTTTCTCTTTTTTTCTCACATGAAAATTCTCCTGGTCAGTTTTTTAGCATTCACATTCACATTATGATTTTAACGACTCGTTACGTTATTAGCTTTAAGAAGCGTCAGCGATTTTTATACACTTAAACTTTTATTATATCTAGCACATATTATTTTTATTACTCTGACGGCACAGGAACAACGCTATCCATGGGAACGTCGGAATCTTCGTCTAACGACAAACAATCTCGATAGTAATGTTCCATCGAACGATACACGTGTTCAGTCACGCCTCTCAGATCATGACCTTCATCAGCGTATGACTGAAACATGAAATATTTTTCATCAGTTTTCCAATTTTCTAAGAAATTTCATCTTGTGTGTGCTTGCTCACCGTATATCTAAAAATAGTGCCAGCATCAGTCAACGATCTCGCCAGTTGAATGCTATGATGATACGGAGCTGTTGCATCAGCTAAGCCGTGTATAAGGAAGAACGTGTCAGTTTCGATGTACTTTGCCTTTTGTGTCGCATCAGCTTCAACATATCCTTTGTAATTCTCCACTGGTAATCCCATTATTCGTTCCGTGAAAGCAGAATCTAAATATAATGGAATTGAATGAAATTATTCTCGTTATTCACTATTCAGAATAAGATCTAATCATCGACACGGATATATTTGGCATGTACTCATCTATGTTATATTTCTATTCATAGATATAAGAGAAAGAATACTCACTGTAATAAAGCCAATCGGTGATGGGGGAAACTGCCACTCCACACTTGAAAACTTTTTTATTCGAACCAAGAATCATTGCTGTTACATATCCACCATAACCCCAGCCCCACACACCAACTCTTGTCTCATCGAGATATTTTAAGTTGTTCAACAGGTACCTAGAATTATATTTTATTTCTTTCTTTTATTAATCTTCTTGGTAATGGATGACATCATCGCAATATGCTGCCAATTTCATTCAATTTACATTCGTTGCAAGAAGAAAAAGTGCAATTGAGTGTGAAACTTTTCTTTATTCGTTGAATAGATATTGAAATCATTGCGGTATGTGGACGAGCGATAAATTTAATTAAATAATAAAACAGTTTTTTAGCATGAAAATTATGAATATTTAATTAACTTTTGCTATTTTCTCGTGTTAGTGCATTAAGTTTAATGTACAACAAAAAAGCGATAAAACAATGATGAAAAATGTCCTAACAACATTAATGAATTTATCATGGGGTTGTCATGAAAAAAGAGAAAAATTGAAAAGTTTAAACAAAACATTGCCAATTATGAAAATTGATTAAATGAAGATTGAGATTAATTTTCTTGTGACGTTCAATTTTATTAACAAATTAAAACTGAATGCATTAAATAATAAACATCAATTCAAAATGAAATGATTATGCGGTTGAAATTTTCATTATTAACATCAAACTAACTCACTCTAAAACAGCAATTTGATCCGCAACTTCAACACCTCCCAAGTGCCGATAAAGTTTCTTCTTCCCATGACCCTTTGCACCTCTTACATCGAGCCTTATGTAAATCACATCATTATGACTTGACATGTAAGTTCCCCAATCGATACGGAACTCGTCAACTACCGCCGTCTCGCCAGGTTTTCCGTTACTGAAATTGATGGAGGTGATTTATAGGAAGGTCAAAAAAATGTTGTTTCAAATTTTCTTTTTCAATAAAAATTCTTACACTTCAACTAGCACCGGGAAAGCTGCGTCTCTCAGCTCTTTACGCCAACTCGGGGGAAAGAGAATCTGTACGTTAGCTCGTGTCCCATGCGATAGTGGAATCTCAAGAGATTGCATCGTTGGTAGAGCTAACGCTTCAAGTTTCTTCGAGAATTGCTTTCTCGTGTCATAAAGAACTCTTATAAGTCGATGAGTTTTTGCTGAATGTACACCTGTTAGTTGAAAAGGAAACGAAAAGAAAAGAGAAGTTGATGAAAGATGTTGACGTTTATCTGTTCGCAGCAACAAATACAATCAAATACACTCCCAGAAAATATTTTAATGTGAAGAGTCTTCCAACAAATGAGAGAATTTTCCAGTTGGAAAATCAAATAAGAGAAGATGAACAACACTCGTTTAGCATTCTTTTATTACTCACCAGCTAAAGGCAAACCAGGACCACGACATTCGAGAATGTAATAATCAACTCCAACGTCCGACGAAATGGAAGACTGAGGGGCAACATAAGCCCCGAAATGTGAGCAATTATCGTAATAGTAGCGACTGCTCCACAGCACTTCACCGTCACATGTTATGCATTGCGGTTCCGTTCTACAGGTTTGAAGTTAAACACAAAGAACAAAGTTAGATATTTTGTGGTTTTCTTGTGAGTGCATAAGTATTTAAACACTACATCAACACAACATTTCAAGTGTTTATAATTTGTACAGCTTCTAATTATTCATTCTACTTCTTTTTATATCAAATTAAAGCTCGTCATCCTTATGTTGAGTCACAAATGCAATCTAAATCTAAATCTATTAACAAATGAAATGAAAAATAAATTTAAGATGATCGTTAAAAAGAAATCGTTCTGACATAACATATGATTGATCCTCTCGAACTGTGACTGACTTCAAAATGCCTTTTTTTATGTATCTATTAAAATTATATGACAGCTTAACATGTTGCAGGATGCACAAGCCTTAATTTTCTGCTTTTATGCTTTCTTTTTTAATGTGACCATCGACGTATTCTGTTCAGCTGTTACCGAGTAGAAACAATTAAGAGATAAATTATCTGCGAACATTACAGCCAAAGGAAACTAACGAACTCTTATTTTTATCCTTTTAATTTTCTACGCCATCGATTCATAAAAAGATATAAAAAAATTATGAAAGAAGAAAAAAAAAGAAAGCAAATAAAAGCGACTGAAGCGCGAATAATTAATTGATTGTCAGTCAATATTAATTGATCGCTAGTTATCAAGCTGATATTTATTTATATTATAAATATTCATTGCTGGGGTGGGAAAAGAGACAAAAGAGAAGAAGAATGAAAAGAGACAACCGGAGGCCACATCTTTTGGGGTTCACGGAACACCAGGGAAAGGGATGAAAATGTCAGCAAGAAGCGAACGGTCGTTACCATTATTTGAGTTATTTACATCATTACAACACACCACACGAATTTTAAATTACACAAAAATTTTGCATAATTTCATGTTAAATGCCTCGCAAATTAAATTGTATTATGTTGTTGAGAAAACCTAAAAAGCACGAAAACACGGCTTGTAGTTGAGTCGAGATGTTTTTTCCTTCTTTCTTTTATGCTTTCGACAACATAATAAAACTGGGGCGAGAACTTAAATGAGCATTTTTTTAGACAAACAAATTTTCACTTTAACACAATACAACAGGGCAAGGCGTTTATGCATTAAACTTCAGTTAGAGAAACTTTCACAGCTAAAGGGTTAGCCAGATGTGTCGAATTAAAAGCTAAACTCACTAATAGTATTTAAATATCTTCCAAGATCTTTAAAATCAATAAATTTGAGACATAAAAATAAAGTTTAACGATCATCTGGTTACCCTTTAAATGTATTGTCGACAAAAGTTTTTCCCATAAACGTCCCCACATTTAGCTGTTTACTTAAACTTAAAAGCAATAGCAATTTTAGGGAATCTTAATCAGTTGTAGTAAGAAAGAAAAGCTTTAATTGTACATAAGAAAACAAAGTTTGAGAGAGAAATAAGGAAATATTATTTACCGGTCTATTTTGTTTAATGAACTTTTTATATTTCGTGTGAAAGGGAAAATTGAATTTGTTTTTTTTTTGTTGTTCATGATCAATGAACAGTAAAAGTGTGAGAAAAAGTTTGTTTCATGTTTCAGGCGCACACCGTGTTTGATGTTGATTTTATTTTTGTAGTTCATAAATATGAGAAGAAAAACATGAAGAAAATTAAATCGAATTTCATTTTTTTCACGTAATTCGTAATTTTTATTTTTGTAGATTCGAGACCAGAGTTGAAACATAAAAAAAAGGAGAGAAGGAGAAGAAAAGAAAATTATTATGCTGATTAATTGCTTGCTGCTTTTATTTCATTTCCTTCTTTGCTCGACAAATTTCAATGTCGAGAATGATGATTGAAGAATTTGATTAAACTTTGCTTTATTGTTTAGATCAAATTTCAAAATTTTATTCTGCTTACCTTCTCGGGTCTTCGTCGACGGGATCTTTGACAACATACAAATGTTGTTGGCCGGGTTTCTTGTCTTGCGTGCCGAGATAATACACCAAATGATTTAGTGTATCCCATGCCAATATCCTCAGAACCTAATTTGGTTTTTGTATGCGCATTTCCGAAGGCGATGAGAGATGAAAAGTAAGGCATAACCGAGAAAGAAAAAGGAAAAACGTTATAAAAAATCACCCCATATTCATGTTCATACGAAACTTATTATTCATCATTTAATTTTATGAATCAGTCTTTTATGGTGGGCCCATAAAAATCAGTTTAATTGAATAAAATGGCAAAGCAAAAGCGTGCACAAAACTCGTTCGGATTTTCCACACCGAGGTACATTCATACGTACTGATGGAAAAGAAAAGAAATTTTCGTCGTACAAAGAAAATTTATCAAACTTATTATACTTATAAATGTGTAGAATGATTCTACATAGAACATTTCCAACGAATTTAACTAGAGCATCATTTTAATGTATGTTTAACATTCATTTATTCTATTCAACACTTTAAAGTAGATTAAAATGTTGCGAAAAAGATGGGTTTACGTGACTGCATAAATCATCATTCTAATTGGATTGTTTTGTTCTTCATAAAAGAATTGGAAAATTTTCTTCATTAGCAAAATAGTTTTTTCATGTAGCTTTAGCTTTTCTGACATTCACAAATTTTCCCATGTCGTTGATAATTAAGTGTTTGGCATCGTTTTGAATGATCAGAGTAACAAAAAAAAAGAATTCACATGATGATCTCATGTAAAATTAACAGAAAACAAAGGGAAAAAAATTAAACTTTTGTTCTTGATCATTGTTTTGAAATGAAAAGCTTCTTGTCACCCCTGAAATGACTTAACAATTTTCATTTCACGTAAGCTCTGAATAAAAACAAAGCACTCAAATCGATACTAAAAATGAAAATAAAATGAGAATGTAAAGTGAAAAACACTCCAGTCATATCAATGGAGAGATAAAATGAAATCCTATCTGATGATTGTGCAAATAGATTAGTGAACGAAAAGCATGTAAAGCATGCGAAATGTTGAGCTTGCTGGAGCTTAATTAGCATTGGGATCATTAAAGTTATTCATGTATTTAATTTAAATAAAGAAATTGGGATGAATACAGCAAAATTCAATAATAATAAAAAAATAATATAAATCAATTGTCAACACGCACACACACGGCGGGAGAGTCAGAGATCCCCAAATATTACCTGATACCTCCCGTGCGTGATGACTGCAAGCTGCTGCCGAGAGTGTATATGTATTCAAACAGTTTATGGTTTGCGGCACGAGTTATTTATTCAACGCGAATATTATTGACATTATGTGATATTTTTCGAATTCATTTTTTTTTTCAATTCATGTTTTTCGTTCGTTGAAGTTTGCATAATGAAAGAAACCATCGATAAACAATTTTTTTTGTATGCGCAAAAAAGGAGACATTTTTGTGTGCAACATTTTTGGTTGAATTAAAAAAAATAATAAGAAAGAATTTCATGAACGACACGACAGAATTATGCAGGAAGTCAACGTAACATAAAAAGAAGAAGAAAGAAGAGTTTAAGTATTTATTGCCATTTTGTAAATAATTAAAGCCAAGTGGATATAAAGATGGTTGAACGATGAAAATATATAAAGAGAGAGAGAAAAGAAAATGAATTGAACTGTTTGCTTACCTCATAACGACCATGAGAAATGACCGATATCCTTTGTTGCGTAATCGTGACATGTTTTATGTGTGTAAAATGTTCTTTGTCGGATTCTTGAATACCCGCCAACAACATAAATGAATTTCCATCAGGCGAAAAAACCGGATGAGGTAAAATGTCTAGCCATTCGTCTTCTGGCGCACGTTCAGAATGTGTCTGATTGAACGAGAAAACAAAGAAATTTATTTGATGATGCAATATCAAAAATTGCATAAGAAAGAAGGGCAAAGCTCCAACTGTTCTCGTTTAAACAGCTTCACTCTAAATATCAAGTATGGAATAAAGAAATTCATTGAATCTCTCACATTATCCACATATGTTGAAAAGTTTACGAGTCTAGAGTAGAAATAATTTAGATGTAAATGGAACATAACCAGACTCACCTCAGAACATTTCCACTTTGGAGAAAAACATGTTGAAACGACAGTAAAGTTTTGTGGTCGCGCCATCCACACTATGGAGACGGCCTGAGTTGCTTGTGATGTTATAAACGACGCTGAAACTAAGTAACTGTCCCTGTGAAATAAACATAAAAATCTTTTATCTTCAAGTCACAATTTCAAGAATGCAATTCTCATTCTTTTGTTTTTCGAGAAAAACTTTTTTTTCTGCTTTTTAATAAAGAAACTTTTTGTTAAAGTTTGTCTATTAAAGCATCAACTTTGTTGTTGTGAAAAGACAAAAGAACTTAAACTTACTGTCCCTCTAATGAAACTGGTTCCCTAATCAAATATTTCTGTACATCTTTCAGATTAGATAAGTCAAGAAGCCAAAGTGTTACTTCAGGATTGAGTGTACCAGGTGTTGGATAACGAATGCTACGTGAGTCTGGAAATGATCCTTTACTCGTTAGACCACCTGTGCAGAAAAGTTTTTCAACTTTAATATTCATTTTTAGAGAGCATAAATAAATTTCCTTCTTACCAGATTGAATGAGAGGGTTTGATGAAAACCATGGATACATCATTTGTCCAACATTGGTATCGTTGAAAGTCGCATAGAGAAGCATGGAGCCATCGTTTGATCCCCACACTGCTTTTTGTGACTTGAAAATTTCCTCTGTGAAAGATTTGGGAGGTTGAAAGTTAATTTATTACGATTCCCTTCCTGTTGGATGATGAATGAGCTATGAAGCAACTTACCTTGATATAGCCAATCGGTTATTCCATTATAAATCAGGCCTGGAACGCCTGTGTGTGTTAAACGAATACCCTCTTCATCGGCTGGTGATTGTCTCAAATAAATATCATTCTCGGTTATGATAATTAGCGATGTTGAATTTCCAAGCCACTCAGCGTGCTGCATTCGGGTACGCTTTGATTTCGGCGAGTCTTTTAACCGAACAGGCATGTGATGACTAAAACAACGAAGGCGGTAAATCGACAAATTAATTCACTCAATTAATTTCGTGCATGTGCTCAATTTGCTTCGCTTTGCTTCCTTATCTTTAATCATTGGAAATTCTTATTTATTCATGACCGATCGTCATCATAAGACTTTTGACGAGACCTAATCTCATTCTGATTTCATTACAGACTTCTTCTTCAACGAATATATTTTAATAACGTAAAGTGAGATTTTTTTTCTTTTCTTTTTTGGTTGAAGAAGTTGTAGGCGGAGTGGCAGAATGAATAACAGAACAACAACAACAGCAATTCAGTTAGCTATGTGAAGCATATCGAGACAGCATCGTCATTCTATTTTAGCTTGGAAAAATTGAGAAAAATTCATAAATATGCTTTTGAAGGGGAAAGTTAGATTTTTTGATTCTTTGGCTTGGCTCCAGAAAGAAAAAAGAAACTCAGAGATCATAATTATTTATAAATACGTCATAATCAATATTCTCCCTCTTTACAAATGCGGAATTTCTTTTTCATTTCTCTTTCTTTCCTATCTACTTCGAAGCTTTCTCTGGCAAAATTTCTTTTTTATCAATTGTTATTTTTTTTTTGCTTAAAAACGGGACTAATTTTAAAGTCATGAGAAGTGAAGAATCTTTAAAAGTTTTTCTTGTAACATTATAAATGAAGAAAACCCATAACAACCAACATCGTTTCTTTTTATGCTTATGCCACTAGTCCTCCCCCTTCCGCTTAAAGGCGAAAGGAAAGTTTTTTTTATATTCTTTACATAACAACATTTTCAATCGATTTTACTCGAAAAGGCGCATACTTTTATTGTTTATGACTTAAAAGATTCTTTTTTCTTTCTCATGCGCATCAAGATTGTGCTTTTGCTGTATGCAGTAAAGTTTCGTTCTCGTTAGGTAGCGTAATTGAATATGATACAATTTAATGATCTTTTGCATGATGAAAAGATGATGTCGTTCTAGTTTATTTTATTGATTCTTCCGATCATTAATTTTAATTGAATATTCCACGAAACTCAAATATTTTTCAATTGACGATATCAGGTGCAAACTGAAATAAAAACTCTTAAGAAAGAAGAAGGAAACTTACTCATTTGTGACATCATAGACGGTAAATAACGCTGTATAAGAGTTCTTATAGATCTGAAAGAGAGAAGGAAAGAAGAAAAAAGAAATGGAAATATTTATGAAAGGAGAAAAGCGAAAGGTGACACATAAATTAGCAAACGACCACTTTAAAAAGCATTACGTGAAATGATATTAAATGTCTGATATAATTGAGTGAGAGTGTTTAATGAGGATTTAATTGAGGTGTTTATGCTCAAGCTCCATTTGTCTCTTGAGCCCTCTCCCCACCGACATTTCACTTATCTCGTACTCTTTCCCTTCACTTTCTATTCACGTCGCTTTTCAAAATTACTTCATCTATCATCTATTATGGTACTTATCAATTTGTGCAATCACATGCACACACCATTAGAATTTCTATTTCCAACATTTTCAAGCTTATTTTTAATTAACGCTTTTAGCACTGCTGTCGAATATTTTCATTTGATTAATAGAAATCAACTTTAGTTATTTATTCAGCTTATCAGACCTACTTTGATATAAAATTCACTTTCCTCCCTATCATTATGTTTATTTTTGTTGATGATGAAAGTACAATTTGTGAAAACGAAAACTGAAATGGTAATGCATGCAAATTGCTAAGCGAACGCGAAGGGAAGAAATGTGAAATGAAATGAAAGAAGGAGGCATTGTCGTTGTTGTTGCTATTGTGTTGATGTTGATGTATTGTGATGTTAAATGATGGCAGATTGCGTGGGTTGATTCTGATGTCAAATCCGTTTATCGTATATTTTTAGCACTTATTTCATTCATTTACAACTATTAATAAATTTTTATTTTAGGACTTTAATGAACTTACATATTTTACATTGTGGGTAAATAACACATATCGCAGATCGGTGGAGCACTGATAACCTACGGAATAAAAGAAAAGATGGTTAAAAGAAAGAAAGAAGAAGAGAGAAGGAAAGAAGAAACATTGTTGCTATTAAGCCATGCGATTTGTCAACTTAATGATGTGAAACTTACTTTTTACATTAATTTGTCTCTGTTTGAAGCGTGCCATGGAAAGAAATGAAGAATGAAAATTGTTAAATGAAACGTTTGACAATCAACGAAAGTTCATCTTTAACTCACCATCGTATGATTCGTGACCAATGTGGTCACGGAATCGTTGGCAGTGTCGAGTATCGCTAGACTCCCATCGTCCGATTGAAAAACAAATTTTGTTGTAGTGACCCATGATGATGGTAGACGTTTCGGTACGAGTTCGCCTTGCAGATAATCATCAAATTTCATTCGCTTTCCGGACCAATAAAGTAATTCGTCGACATATCTGCAACAAAGCAAGCAAGCGAACCAGTAAGTATAATAAATAAAAATATTCACATCGATAAAATAAAGCGTAAGATTATGAAACAACTCTTACCCTAATAAATAAATTGCTGTAACGATTCCGGCTATGACTGTGCCGATAACAAAAAGTGAGAAGATGATACTACGCCAGTTGTGTCCCTCAGATCCATAAAGATCCGCTTCCTTATCCTTTTTATCGGCGCCAACTTGAAGTGTTTCGTCTGGCGGTATTTGCCATGATTTACCTTATAATTTATTGTATTTTTCATTAATTTTTCTATGCTCGATGGGGATTTATAAAAGTTTATGATTTACCGCCTCCGCCGCCTGAACGGTCTGCTCCATGTACATTTGCGTGCATCGCACGTTACTAGTTATTAATTGAAATTCGTTTTCCAAGGATGCCCGCTGAAATAATGTAAAAGAATGGGGCTTCCTTGGAACATTTTACATTTCTTTGGGCTTCTAATGCTTAATTAACATTTGAGTGTTGATTCCACTCCATTTGAAATATGTTCTGCGTCAGGGTGTACAGCAAAAAAAAGAAACGAAAACGATGAAAATGGAAATGGAAAGAAGAAAGGAAAAAAAAAAAATTAAGATCAATGATTAATGGATCTCAACATGAAACATGTTATGCGGCATGAATTAATATTAAAGTAAAAGTTCAGTAATTCTAATTTGAAGGTTTACGAAGGTGGCCGAAATATAAAAGTCAGTCGTATGAATGGTTACGTCAAGAAAGGCTTCATAACTTGTATTTGTCAGGAAGTTCCTTGAAAGATTTAAAAAGGAAAAAGAACTTTTCCAAATTCTCTCTGAATGGCATGACTAAGTAGAAGAAGAAGTTTGACAAAGACATTGAAAGTTCTGCTTTCAATATTCCTTAAAGATTTTTTAATGAAGCTTCTCATAATTATATTCAAATTTTCCTTTGTTTATTGTTTGCAAATATGATTGGCAACCTCATTCTCAATGCAGCTGTGTCTGACAAGTGCTTGTGATGAATAAACTAAGTTAACAAGTTGAGTCATCAAAAAAAAAGTTTTTTTTTCTCTCTTTTAACGCGTTCAATTTGTCACATGAAATGTGCATACATTTAACAGGATTGGCATACTTTATTATTCTGCGGGTTTGTCTGTGGTGTGTCATGAACTCATTGTCATTATTCCCGCTAATTTGTTTACAAACCTAATATTCGTTTTTTATGCAGACACACTCGAAATATTTGACTTTAACACGGAAAGCGAGCAGAGCAAAAACTTTAAAGCTCAATAAAGTGAAACAGAGCATAAAAAGCATAAATAAACTCATCGTATCCATTATACACAGCATAACATTGCTGACAGAAATTTCACTTCCAAATTGTTCTACATCAATTTTCGTGTTTTCCATTTAACAATCAACTATCTATTAGCAAAAATGAAATAATTTTTGATGTTCTATGAAAGTGCTTTCTTTTTCCTTCTCAGCATTCTCACTCGCTTGTTCTGGTTATGAAAAGCTATGAAAATGAATTGACCTTATCATGCTTACAACGCATCCTGCATGGATTCTAACATCCATAAATTACAATTATATATCACGCTCAACTCTCTTCGAAGTCAATTTGGAGGAAAGCAGGGCTGCAATCGATGTTGCTGGGGGTCATCATTACAACCTATGTTGAACCTAAACTCTCATCAACTAAATAAGGCATCTAAGGGTGAACAGAGGGCAGATTCATTTCATCTAATTAATCTTTAAACGCTTTTTGTGTCAGCTGACACTGGGGAACATGAACAGCAAAGAAATGAATTAAAAAATAGAACTTTGGAAAAATGTTTGAAATTTATTAAGATTTTCTTTATTATTTTCCTATTCCATTAATTCCCATTCTCCTTCCTTTCTTTGTCGAGCGTTTCCTTGAAAGAAAATGGATACAATTCAAGAGCGAGAAACTTTTCACTACTTTATTTACTTTCTTCTCAAAGGAAGATTGTAACTCGGACTCTCGGTTATTTATGGGCAAGAATGAAAGGAAAGAAAAAGGGAAAAATCAGAAGAAAGGAACTTGGAACATCAGACTTTGATTTCATTTTATTGGCACCATGACTGGCTAAATCTATTTATCAATTTTGGTTCCATTTGTTTCCACTCCATGCTGTCCAACATCACACACACAACACAGCACATACATTGAGAGGGAGAATGAAGGAAAGAAAATATCTAACAGCTATGGAGCTATTTATGGGGAGAATGGCAAATGGAGAATGAAGATTTGTAACTTTTTATTTATCATCATTTTGTGGCGAAAAAAGTTGAAACAAAACAAAAAGAAATCAGTTCATAAAATAACAAGCACGTCGCATAAACCCTGAATTGTGGCGAACAAATGTGTGTGGCTATAGCGAAGGAGAAAAAGGAGAAAGGAGAAAGCAAAATAAAAAATCCTTTTCCGGAAATGAAAAGTAAAATAACGCAAGCATTTTCGAATGATTTTACTAGCATTTGTATGTGTGCTTAAGTTTTCAGTATGTCTCAATGCGCCCATTCGCCTTTTAAACGTGTAACAAATAAAGAAAATGAATAAAAACAGGGAAATAAAGCAAAAAATAATCCTTTTGAAATACTTTTAATTGCAAAATGCTTTCACAGTTGGTGTTTTTATTTGCCATTCATTTCAGTTTTATGCTTTAACTGTACGAAGGATTAAGGAATGTTAATAAATTTTGTCACAAAGAAAAGAAATTTCGATAAATGTTTATAACTTAAATAATTCATGTTAAGCTTCTTCAAAGTAACAAGCTTTCTAGCTTTCCATGTTTGAAAAAGGCAAGGAAAGTCTTATTTAAAGTTAACCTTCTTATAGATTCCAACAGCAAACTTTTAATGATGCTAAGAAACTTAACTTAAAAGCTGTTTGTGTAGAAAACGAGAGAAAATAAAAGTTTATTGAAGATTATCAAAGATAGCTTTAACAGCTTTTCATTGATCTCTTCAAGGATTTTTTTTCTTTTCTCAGAAATGACCGTGATTACCATGAAAATTTAAATTAAGTACACATTTAGAATCTAAATATTTTTTTAAATATTAAAAGCTTTTAAGTATAAAGAAAGCTTTAAAGGAAGGGACATTTTATACTAATAAATCCTCTTAAAATAGAAAAAAATCGAAGAAGAAAATAAAAACCACACACAAAGCGATTATTCGAAGATATATGGTGAAGTGTCGCTTGATGTTGAACGACTATCGGTCGAAATTGTATAGGAGAAATGGTAAAAGAAAATTTAATGATTTACTGGGTTGACTTTGCGAAAATGCTAATCTCGATTTTCCAATCTTCAGAAGAAGAAGTCTTTTTGCCCAACATTGTCATTGATTATCGTGACGACGAGTTTTAGTCACAATACAAGTCTTGGTGGGGACAAGCGCTGTAAAATTTTATTTTTTTCCGGATGAGAAGAAGTTTTGACAAAAGTCGCTTGTTAAGGACTTTTTATTCCTTGCCCGAGGCACTCGATTTCCTTTCTTTCCTCTCAGCTTCTTTTCCTTGGCAAACAATGGACGGGAAATGATGCCAATAAAAATAACCCTTGGTTTCTGTAAGTTACTCTCAGATAATTTTTTCTTTCGCCTTCACTCTAAGACGAATATAAATTTCATTGCGAGCCCAAATCCGTTCAATCGACTTTCAACGCTTCTTCTTCTTTATCATCTTCCTTATAAAATAAGGCCTGGTATGATATTAAAGAAAGCAAAAAAGGAAATGAATGCAAGACAGAAGCCATGAAAGAAGAAAAAGTTTTCATGGTGAAATATAAAACGTGCACGAATTGAGTCATTTGCATGCATAATGTTTGATTACGATGTATTAAATAAGAATTTACATGAATTCATATTCAGTGGCCTTTGAGTGTGCTATGAGCTTTACATTAACGACAACGTTGATAAGACTGCTTTTAACCAAAGAAGTGGTTCACGATAAGAGGTTGATTGCGAAAACATGACGTCATTAGAAATGTCAGTCACGAGGCGAGCAAGCACAAGAGAGAACCTTTGCCTTCGGAGGTCACGAACTGAAAATACACACTTTAAATACCTCGCAACAAATCAATCTTATTTTGACTTTCCACCCTCAACCATTTCTTCTCTTCAGCTCTCCTAACTCTATCGTCATGTCCAATAAAAACGAGAAATTTAGAAAGTGGTTTATTGGCCTATTTATATATCGCATGGGAAATCGGACAAGGGCAAACAGCCGAACAGCAAAATCGACCATCGGTGAGGAAAGCGAAGCGACCAGCAGTGCTTTATATTCGACATTCGTTGTTACATCAGAAGGAAAATTCTTTCCTAAGCCATTTGTACAGCCATGTAAGGTGAAGAATAAAAACAAAACAAAAATGAACTTTATGTGGGAGTGAAGAAGAAAGAGAAGACGTAAATGAGAGAGAGAGAGAAACAGGAAACATTAGAAAATTAATCAGATATGAGATTTTTGTGTTCCCTTTAGTACGAACACAAAGCTGAAAGCATTAGGTTTGGATTTTTAGTGTGCAAAATCACGCACAACGAAGTTAAGTGAAAGGAAGATGGAAAAATGTTTAGCAATAGCAACACAAACATAAATGTTGCCCATTTAATATACATAGAACAATAATATATGTTCAGACTTGATTTTTAATCCCTTCATGAATCCAGAAAAGCTTCTCTTTCTTGACATCAATCTGAAATGTTTGTCGTATGCAAGATTCAACAACTGCATATCAAATAATGTCAAGGAAATATTTCTGCACGATTGAGCTTACAAAATCTAGAAGAAGAAAGTTCAAGTAGAAACATAATACAAGAAAACTTTTAAACTTTTAAGAAATAATACGATGTATGAGATCTGTTTTGTGACATTTTCGACAATCACATTAAAATTTCCATATAAACATGAACATGCAGTGCATGATGAAGAAACATGCTTTAAAGTCATGATTAGCTTTAATTTTTCAATACGAAAGCAGACTTAAAAATGTAAAGTTAGAAAAGTGCCTGGCATCGTAAAATATTTATAACTACCGTAGCGATAATAAGTTAACGTAGTTAAATATTTTCAGATCACACGATGGTAGTTCGGACTAAAAATTGTTCGAAATTTTGAAAAATTTATTCAAACTAAAATATCGTCTTTTAAATTTGTTACTTCAAAGCTCTTTATAGACGAGTATAAGTATATGAAAAAGTTGACCTTCAAATTCTTGTAACGATTCTTTAGTTCGTCCCACCATTATTCAAAGCACATACAACGCTCCCTCGTCTTCCATTCTCATTTCCTTCTTTTCGGAACTGCTTCTATCCTAACAATTTCGTTTTATGCATCAACTTGAAGTCTCACGATTTAATCCCTCTTTTGCTTAGTCTACTTATGTGAAATATTTTTTATTTCAGTGAAAGAACCCTGAATGAAGATGATGATGAAAGTCTGAAAATGGAATCACACTTTCTATCCTTATACGACGATCACATTCATTCAATGTTTCTTGCACTAAGCTTCTCATTTCAATTCTACATTTTCTTCCCTTTTTCCAGTACAACTTTAATCCTCATAGGCTTAATAAAGAGAACAGTAGAATGAATGAGGAGTGGTGAAGGCAAGAGAAAGCGAAGGGAAAAGTTTCTTCAAACTAAAAAGTCTCTGATTTTATCGTCTTTTCCGCGGGGAAAAATTTTTGAACAAAAGACGAGAACATCGACTACATAAAATGTTTTACTTGAGGTTGTTAGGGAAATTAAGGGAATACTATGTAGACTACCCGTTAATAAACGTATTAATGCCAAAGCTTTACGTCGAGTATGATTATTTAACAAAAAAAGGCTTTTGAAGAATCTTCAATTGGCCGTTAAGTAAATGTATGTCGTTTAATATTTGATTCGAGCTTTGTCGGTATCATTGAAGTTAAGTTCTGAGCTTAGTATTGACAAAACCCTTCAACAAATTGCATTGCAGAAAAATGAAAACATTATACGTTAGAGAATTACTCGGCTATGTACACATGAAAATGGTTGAGTGCGTATTGAAATTTAGATCTTTAGAGATTCCTTTTAATTTGTTAACAACTTTGTACATGTACATGTTCAATAATATTTTATGTACTTAAGAGATTAACAACAATGAGCAATCTACTATTTAATAGACTCGAATCAATCACATGACTGAATTTGATTTGAAAACGACATTTTCCTTTTCCTGCCTTGTAGTTTTCTTCTCACTAACAAATCAAAGATGTATAAATTTGTGGGGTGAAGAACATAAACGAGCTTTCACATTTAGGGAGCAGCATGCTGTTGTTATTCTCGATTGGAAACAATCGAGTGAAAAGATAAAGAACGAATAGGAAGAAGAAAATTATGAAAAAAAAAAAGTTATCAAAGATTGGCGGCGATGGCAAAGAGATGAGAAAACTTTTCGTGCTGAAAGCATCAAAATATATCTTGAAAATTAGTTTCATTGGTTGAATGCGTCGAAAAGCGATCTAATCTGGGATTGATTTTTTTTTCTTTCATTCTTTCTTTTTTAAGAAATTTAATTTATTAATTTCTTGTGTGGTTTGACTTCGACCTTCATTTTCGTTAAAAGTTCAACCTTTGTTGAATCCCCAAGTGCATTAAAAAGCATGCTCAGCCCACTAAAATCCATAAAAGAAATTTTTTATTCCCCAAGCAAATTACTCATCAAACCGTGCCGAACTCATTTGGAGTATGATACCCTGCAGCTTTGAGACTCATCTCCAAGGAAAGTACATAAAACTGTTTAAATTCGTCGCTATTGAGAGACTCAAAAAGATAAATTTAACAGAAGATATCTCTTTGTTATCGTTCTATCTTTTCACCAACATTTATTAGCTTTCCAAGTAATCCTTTTTGCCATTGTAGAGAATCACAAACATACAAGCTCTTTCTAATTGAGAAATGGAAGGAATGCAAAATGCTATGTTTGAGATAATCGACCGAAAAATTTCGAAGAATGTTACCGTTGATGAGTCGACATTTTTTAAGAAGAGGAAGAAAGGTAATTATAAGCCAAGGCAAATGCCACGAAGCATTGTGCAATTATATGACGACAGCGAAAATGTCAAAAGCACTTTAAGGTCCTTTAAAGTTTTCTTACGCACTCTTGGTTTTTAAATTTTGTCTCCACCCGCTTATCTTCTTATTTTTAGACATATTTCGATTTTTTTTTGTAACTTGGTCGACTTGTTTTCTCATCCTCTCGCAATCTCAACAAATGCTACTACCGTTGTTACTACTGCTACTGCTGCTGCCTCATTTCAGCTGTATGTATGTTCACAAGAATGTTATTATTTTTTTTGTCGAGGGCATGAATATGAACGCAATGAAAATTCGAGAGAAAAGAAACTAGGGAAAAGGAGAGAGAGAGAGAGAGAGAGAGAGAAAGCGAAGGAAAATTCTTCTTCATTTTTATTTTGAAGGGAAGATAATGAACGATGGCAAAAAGGGAAATTTACTCCATAGCACGAAAGCATAAGAAATTGTGTGGAAGGATTCTGCGCGCTGAGACAGAACTTACTGAAAAGTATTGCAGAAAAATAAAAATTGAAATGTTTGTAACATTTCTGCTCGCTACTCTGGTGTCGCTGTTATTCTTTTTTCTTTTCTATTTTGTTTTCAATTGCTTTTGACTCTCTTGTGTGTCAAAAAACTGTTCCCTAGTTTCATTTTCTCGTCTCGAAAGTTTTCCTTCGTAGCTAACGAAGCAATGAAAAAGTTTTTTCCTTTGCCAAAAAAAATGCTTGCGCCTTGAGAAAAAAAAAAATCTTTTGTTGTTGATCTTGCTTCGTCCAATTTAATTAGTTCCAACTAAGCTTAATTAATCACAACCAATCACAACACTAATATTTTTTCCTACTTGTAATTTAATATGTAGTCGTCCGACAGTTGATTAACATTCATATGCGACATGCACAAGCAATCTGCCAAAAATTATGTCATGGAAATATTCTTCTGTCAATTCTTTTGTTGACATTTAACAAACAGAGAAAAAAAAACTTTCAGTCATGAACATCACAGTTGGAGTTGGTTCATCGATGCATTGTCATATAAAAAAAACTTTATCGTCATCATCGATATGGTATGAAAGAGAACAAGAGGACGACAAGCGAAACGTGAGATTTATTTGCCTTTCATTGCCTTGTGAACAGAGAAGAATTTTTGTTTTATATTTTTTGCTTTGCTTTGGCTTTTTTATTTTGTTGTTGTTCGGTCGGTCAACACATACACATAGTTGGTGATTTGGGATGACATGTTATTAATCATTTTTATGCAGAGAGTTCCTCTTGAAGTTCATAAACAAACAAACCGAGTATCCGAAAGTTGAAAACATCTTGCAAATCTACACGGTAGTGGACAATTTAAAGCGATATAAATAAATATGCAAAGAATGTCAAACATTCAAGAAGAGTCGGGAAAATTGTATGAAAATAAGAAAATACTTGTTCAATTTTGTGGGCAACGAAATGAGAAAATTTATGTTGAGTGACACACAGAAAATAAATAGTTAGTGAAAAAAGATTTTACTTGTATAAAAGAGATGAAAACACTCACACACAAATTCCGGAGCTAGATGACATCAAAACCAAAGTTTGGACGATATCCAATAAAAATATTTTCCTTTCACGAGAAGCAAGAAGAGAAGAAGAAAGAGAAAACTCTTCAATGCTTCGACGAGAGCTCCCATCGTGCTATCAATTTGAGTCATGTGTTTCCGACAATTCATTAATAGGCATTTTCTACAATCTTAAACATCGAGAGACAAACTCTTAATCTCATCTGTAAATTGATTCCCGTAAGGAGAAATTTGTCAATTATTATGGGAGGAAATGACCCTTCATGAAACGTTTAACATCGAATGTCTGCTGTATACATATATCGATGAGAAATGTTTATAGCTGGTTATAAACATAGAGATTTGTCCGACAATTAATAATCTGTTTACGAGATTTTCGTATGTTAGTCGATCTACTAAATAGTGATCAGTAAAAACAATTTTAAAGCCGCTTTAAGTAGATATTTAATTAAGAAAGAACATTAAAAGTTGTTTAAAGTAATATTTTATCATTTACAAACGTGAAACGATTATGAGCTTTAGGAAGATGAGATTTTCTAAGAAAATTACATTCAAAAATAATTGACTTCATAAACGAGCTTTAAACAAAAATTTAATTGCCAATATTTATCTCACACATTAAAAAGAGGCAAAAGATTCGCTTAATTTTCTTTTTAATCTACGAATCTTAATTTTAAGCATTAAAATATGACTTGGAATTTTTTCACGAATAGCTTTGAATGTTAAATTTGAAAAGTTTTCATCAGATCATTAGCATTGTTTGCCTTGTAGACACGAAAGGAGAACAGAATTGCCTTTCTTCTTATATTCGATATGAATTTAAAATTATGTTTCATTCATTTTCCTTTCTTACGTTCAATTAAAAAGAGAGAAAAACAAGAAGGGAAGAAAAGAAAGGTTTAGATATCTAATTTCAACTTTCATTTTCTATCTAGATTAAAATTTATGATGACATCCTTCAGAGTTACTTTATTTATTATTTGACTGATACCGAATTTTTAAGGTTTTTTGTTATCAACTTGAGTAATATAACATTGAGACTCCAAATATTTTGTCATAAAACCGTCGAAACACAAACTTTATTGCCATTCCAGCTTCTCAATAAAAACGCTTACCAGCAATCACTCATGATGAATGTATTGAGTTGATAATCCATGTATTGCCTTAATTTGTTTCATCCTAAAAAATATTTTTCCCTTTCTCCTTTCGTTGCGTATCCTTTGACATCAGAAAATAAATTTTCATTTGCTTTTTCTTTCGCTCTCTCTTTTTCACGCTCATATAATTTCTTCTTCTTCTCTTTTATATTTTACACATTTTTCTGCAATCATTTTCCTTTCTTTTCCGCCTTGTACCTTTGTCGCTATCAAGAAGCAGAAATAATCTCAAGTTCACACACTTTCTGCTTTTTCTCTCACGCCACTGCTTGGAAGGTTTTTCATGAATCTTCCTAACTTTATTTTTTCTTATTTTTTTTTGCTTCTTCGTCACTTGAATCTCTCTCGCACAGTTTTTTTTCTTGTTCTGTTTTCTCCTTCAATTTTTCTTCTATTTTTATAAATAAAATTTAAATTTGATATTTAATTTACACAATATTTGTGGTAAAAATAAATGAAAAATTTTTTACACTTCGTCAAACACTGCAGCATTAATCTTTTTGTGGTGTCCCAAGCAAGTATTTTTCTTTAAAGATTTTAAATACCAATTAACATTTTATAGTTTCATCGTTTTCATCGCCCTCGAAAGTATCATTTAGCGGTTAGTATGAGCTGCACGGGGGTTAATGGGGCCACTCAGTTAGTGAAGGAAGCCTTGGAAGGCGATGTTGCGAAAAATCAACAATTATCATGAAATATTCAAGTGTTTAAGTTTCCTTTGGGCTCGAGCTTTTACATTCTTCTAATACTTTTCGTTAAAGCCCTACTAGGCAAAATTAGTCAGAAAAAGAGAAGAAAAAAGAAAATTTAAATGCTTTAGCATGACGCAATGGATGAAAATTTATTCAAAACATTGTTCAAACAAGAAAGGAATCAGGGTCAGTCATAGAAGAACTTTGGTCCCATTTTTCTCCTTCTTTGAAAACGAACTAACGAACTTTGTGTCTAAAATCGCAATCGTTAAACGAAAACAAAACTGAACATATTACGCAAAGTTAAACGACAGCGATGATACTTAAATTGCCGCCCTATGATTTCACATTTTATAGCCACAGAGAATGAAAATGCGAATGAAGCAATCACAAAGCCAAAAGGCAAAGAGAAATATGAAAAAGCTTAAAAACGTGTGCGTGTGAAAAACCGCACGAAAAAAAAATCGATTAAAACTTACAATTTTAATAAAAACAACCGTGAAAAACTAAATTGATGAAAATTTTCTGTTCTTCTTCTTTTTTTTCCTTTATGATTTTGATTTGATTTGATTTTTCTTTTTCTTCTGAGAGCTTCGACACAATCTCACAGGGAATAATGAATGGAAATGGAGCTAATAAAATCTAGTAAAATTGGTAATAAAATAGGGCCCTTTGCGTTACCGTCTTTCATTGGCAGGGGAGATAGATAACGTAATGGACGAAGGTGGAATCGCGTTGTTGTACAGAAAACTCTGTGTAAAAGTTTTTTTTTTCGTTCTTTCTTTGTTGCTTCGATTACTGTAGCGAGGGACGAGAGAATAATGGCTGTTAAGCTTTTTGCATCACTTTCACATTCTTTTCCCTTTCACTGGAAGCATCACAAGCCCTCCCTTGTGATAAGAGAAAAAAGAAAATTTCTGGTTTTTCTTTTCTTTTTTTTATAATTTTTATATGAAGTGGCTTTGAAATCACCCGTTACAATAACGAATCACACAAATAATTTAGCAATGAATTTGATCAACTTTAGCCGCTATGAAATGAATGAAAACCGTTGCAAATTTCGCACCTTTAACTAATTGTTGATTCAAATTATAAAGGAGAAAACTAAGTATCCAAAGGAGAAAATTTTTCTTGCACAGATTATCATTCAACTCGACGATTTAAAAACGACCACTTTTGACGACGAAGTATTCCCAACTGCTCTGCGTTAGCAATTTGTTGGTAATCTTCGGAAGGAAAATAAGACGAATTTTCCAAGCGAACCAATACAAACAAAGCATGGGAAAGTTAATGTTTGTGTGTATTGAAGCACTGGAAAAGCATCATATTTGTTGCGCTCGCCCTCGATTAATGCTTTTGCCAAGATTTGCTGATGTTAACAAAACAAGTTAAATTTTTGTAAGCTGCTGAGGGTTAACGTTATGGTTTCGTGGAATCGTATAATATCAGCAGTTTTTCCGGATGATCAGAGTAAACGATAATCTTTGATATAAATGCTTCATTCATTTTGCTTACAGCGCGCGGAAGATGATTGATGAAGCTTCATTATTTTTCTTAAAGAAAACGAGAAATCAGCTTAATATGCAATCAATCGCTTAAGATCATCACTGAAAATTCTCTCATGTATGCATATTTTCCATTTCACATCTTCATCACTTGCTTCCGCTTTTCCGCGAAGAAAAAAAATCCACAAGCAACAGTTTTTCGATGTGAAAATGTTATTGGAAACAGTAGTAAAATACAAACAATGGAACGAGGTGAAACTGCATGAAAAACTCATAAAACAATTCAGGTAGCATAGATGCTGCGCAGAAAATTTTGTACCAACTGGAAAATCACTGCTAAACTTTATATTCGGGAAAATCTCTTTTTTCATTTAGCAAATTTTGAGAGTTGATTTCATTCTCTCGGAAAAGTTTTTCTCACGATATTTTGAATGAAAGAAAATCGACACGTGCTACTTAAACGGAAAATGCTGATGTTTCATTTGATAATTTGCATTAATTTAAATGAGTTAATTTTGTAGACTTTTCATTTGACTGTAATTTATTTTTCTATTCTAAATTAAATAATCAAAATTTTAAAACTTTATCATTATTAAATGATTTCATTTTCTACATTTGATGTTTAATTTCATGACAGATTAATTTATAATTTAAAACATTTCTTCCAAAATTTATCCATTGCATGATACAAATGACGTTGAACACCTCGACTTCCTGATATCGAATGCGCTTCATCAGGATAACTCAACTGATCAAACATTATATCTTTTCTTTCTAAAGCTCTTGCCAAAACCATTGAGTTTTGGTAATGAACATTGTCGTCAGCATTCCCATGAATCAAGAAGAAATCATGCTTGCCAATCATGTCAATATGGTCAGGTGTTGATGTATCACCTTCAAGATAATTGGTTGCATTTGGATCTATTCCCATGTAACGTTCTGTATAAATTGTATCGTAGAATCTTAAAAAAATAAATGCAATTAGGAAGCCATCTTACCAAATTTCAATTATAAAATTATTATTTACCTGAAAGATGTGACAGGTGCAACACTAACACCACATTTGAAAACCATTTCCGTGTCTTTCGCTAGCGCCATTGCAGTTGCATATCCGCCATAACTCCTACAATATGAAAACAATTGAATGTTGTTGCCAAGTTAAACACGTAAGAATTAATGCAAAACTTACCATCCCCATATGCCAACTCTTTCTGGATCAATGAATTTAAATCTTTCAATCAAAAGTTTTGTAACAGCGATTTGATCTTCAACATCGACAGTTCCAAGTCGATTGTTGACTGTAAACATCATATCGACTCCCTTCCGCCCTGTTCCACGTCCATCAATTTCAACATAAATAATATTTTCCTTCGTTACTTGGTAAGTTTGAAAACCTACTGCAAAAGTATTCAATATTCTAACGGAAATCGGACCAGCATAAACTCGTACAAGCATTGGATATTTCTCTGTTGTTGAATCACCATCAAAGTCAATATGAGATGGAATTTGCATTTTGACACTTGCATCAAAACCACCATCAACTGGCATTCTTAAAAATTTGATTTGTGGTAGATCGTAACTCTGCAAAAAGTCTCTCAACGATGCATTTTCTTCCCATGCCACCAATTCTTGTTTCCCTTCTGTCTTAAATATCTTGACAAACTGAACACCGGGACCAGAACAAAACATTGTGAAATGAGAAAAGTCTGTGCTGAATGAAGCTGTAGCATATTCGCAGAAATTTCCATCGGGACCTACAACGTCACATGATAAACAATCGTTGGATGAATAAATATGTAAATTCTGAGGTTCATCATCTGGTGCTGCTGTGTAGTAACTAAAGATAAATTAAAACTGATTATTTGATTCATTTTAGAATTAAACTGAATCTTACACTGCTTCGTTTGTGACTCCATAGAGTGTTACGACATTCCGATTTATGACATATTCATAAGCTTTTGTTGATGTATCAACTCTCACGATTGACGGCCAATTGTTATTATTATTAATGAAGTGACATCTACCTAAATCGTCACATCTTGGCGTATTCACATTAATCCAACCATTTGGTTCGTTGATCTCAAAAATCTACTCAATGACATTAACATTTGTTTATAAAAGTGTGAAAGTTATTAATTTCCTTTTTTAAAAGATGTTACCTCACTCATGACAGTAGTCGTTGCATCATAGGTCACTAAAACGCCACGATTTTGTCGTCGATTCATCCATATCGCACCTAAAGTTTCATCATTGATCCAAAACACCCTTCCTAAGACATATTCATTGGTGACAATTGTTGTTGGAATTGGTAAAGCTTGTCGACTTCCAATCGATAAATTAGAAAGATATAAGATGACATTTGGGTTTGTTGAGCCGACCTGAAAGAGACACGATGAGTGATTAATGAAAAGTTTATTTTCAAAAGATATTTGCAATACTTTTGGATATCTTAAATGGATTTCCTCGGGATATTGACGCCCATCATAAAGGTCATAAATTGCTTCTTTTACTTCACGATCATCAAATTGAATGAAAGCTAATCTTTCACCATTTGGTGAGAACCAACTTGCAGCATCACCTCCTAAAACTTCTTCTTCATAAACCCAATCGGGGACTCCATTATAAATAATACCAGGAACTCCATCATTGGTGATTGTTTGAGTCACTTCAAGTGCATCAGTAGTCAAATAGTAAACGTTGTTGTCTTGAATGTAAGCGATTCCATTTCCAGTTGGTGAGAAAAATGCTGTTTGAATTTCGTCGCCATTAGCAATTTTAAACTCAGGTTCAGTTGAACCTGGAACAATAACTGAAAACCTGGAAACAGTAGAATGACGGAAGATTTGCCTTTGATCATAACGAACGAGAATTCTTGCTCGATCTGGAGAGATTCGGAATGTTGGACTTCTCCATCCTTGTCCGTTTATATATTCACTTGTTAAGATAGTTTCATTGAAATTTGTTTCTATGTTAAGAGCGACTAAACCTCCACTAGTCAACGTAAATTCATTTCCTGAAATCCATGTTCCTCCAAAGCCTCGTTGTGAAAATGGATTTGAAGAACCATCAGGTGGAATAACTTGATCAAACTCAACTGCTAACAAGTTTGTTTGTCTAGAATTCAATGTTTTAGCATTGAATGATGAAACAAATACACTCGCGAAGAATAAAATCTTCCAAATCGATATCTATAAAGATTAATTAGCAATAAAGATAACAGTTTTTTATGATATTGTTGTGCTTATCAAAGTACTTATAATAACTTCTTCAGATTAGCTGCCAAACTTATTATTTGACAAAGAATGTTGAAATAAAGAATTTCATTTAATATCTCTTATTTAAATAATTCCATAATTTAATACAAACTCACCATCTTCACGATATCTGAACTTATAAACACTTGAAAACAAAAAATAAAATGAAGTTCTTTCAAAACCGTTTAAACCTTGTGACTTCACAAACAGAACTGAAAATTTCTTTGGATTAAACGTGATCCAACGAGCAACACTTTATAAAGACTAACGAGTAATCATTTGGTAACACAACACCATGAAAATTATTATCGAGACATGCTGTGAGAGAAACAAAAACTTTTTAAAACGCGAGAAAATTTTTCGAAAATAAATCGTTGAAGTGATCACGAAATAAATAAATTCCTTTTTTAACTTTTACTTTGCCGATATTTATAGTGATTTTCAAATTGTAAACATACAACAACATGTTGATAACTGTTATTTCATTTAATAGCGTGTGACATTCGATAAGTATTTTATTCTTTTGACAATTCAAATTGTCACAGCGTGAAGCATCGAAGCTTTGCTTACAAGTTTTCTTTACAAGTTTTTGAAAGCTTTCAATACAAAAAAGCTTCTCAGAGCAACAACGACTGACAGCTTAAATACCACATTTAATTTACATTTTCTTCTACATTTCCTCCAATTAAACATAATCAGCAACAGGTTAATTAAAAACAGCGGTTTACATTTTCTTAGTTTTCCAGAAACTTTAAACTTTTTATTTATTTATTTTTGGAATCGAAAGAGCATAGTTTTATTATATTTTCAGTAATTGCAGATTTTCATCAACTTGTTCATTTCAGTTTTATTTTATACAGATAACCTCACAATCTTCTAAAAGATTTCAACTTTTCGGGGGTGCTTAATATGAGAGAAGATAGTGTGAAGGACATAAAAATGTCTATTTAGTTTAAAGCAGCAAGTTTTCCACCAGATAATCGCTTGCGTCGTCCTGGTCCACCAGCAAAGTTGGCGATTTGCATTGCCATCCGATGTTTGGCTTCCTGTGCTCCAGAATAACCTCTCGATAACCCAAAGTCTACTGTACGTTTTGAACTACAGAAATAAATGAAATTTGCATTACAAAATGTTGTTAACTTATTGAAAGCAAAGATAGATAATTGAGTTTGACTACTTTGTAAAATATACAAAGGAAAGGAACACCAGGAAGTTTTGATGTTTACTGTTTTCAAAACGAAAACATCTTGCTTAAGGCTGACAATAAATTGAATTTTATTTAACGATAAGAAGCTTCAAGCTTTGACGAGTGTGAAATTTCAAGAAGTTTTTCCATATTGCTACCAAGCAATCAATTAATTGATGTCACACCACAATCTGTCCAAATACTTTTCCGACAAACGTCACATTCCTAATTTTCTCATTTGAATTCATTTAATGTGGCATTCATTTATTATTAATAAAGCTTTGCGTAGGTAATTTATTGCATTATCGTTATTTACTGATTGTTACTAAACTTTCCATGTCGAAACCACAGAAAGGTAAACAAGAATGGCAAATTCCGGAAGCACAACAAGACTTTTCAATAATGCAGAGCTGTTAAGAATTAAAAGCTTAAAGACAACCGCTGGTTTTTAGTTTTAGAATAAACACAAAACAGGATATTTGATCTGTGTTTTTATCTTACCTTAGCGAAATTTAAATAACGAGGATTTAGACATGAAACCTTTTTTTAAAGAGACAAAAGAAGGACAATTTGTCCATCCGTTTAGATTTTTTTTTATTATTCAAGGTGAAAGTTCATTGGTTTATGCACAACAAAATGAGAATAATTACGCCGACTTGCACTACACACCCACGTAATTTTAATTAAAATAAATTCGCGACATCACTTACTTCTCAAGGTCGTTTCTAGCGTTCATAATAGTTTGTCCATATCTCGATATTAAGTCAATTAGGAATTCATCAGGTTGGTCATCTACATCGTTATACATTGGTTGATAGTAGCTATAAAAAGAAGCAAAAGAAATGAGTTGCGATATAAAAAAATGTCTGGCATTTCATCTTAGAACGTTTACAGAGCCCAATATGATCGTTTAATTAAAGATTAAGATATAATCCTGTGCTATGAGATTCCATCTGTTGGCTTGAGGATATATTTTCTTAAGCATCATTTGGAGTTTGGATTACAACATATATTCTTCCTTATTTATACATCCTTTTAAGACACGCAACAATGTTTTTATTCGACATGTTGGAAGGCATGAAAATTACTAAAACATAAAAAATTCCAATTTCGTTTCTCTCAATGAGCGCGTATAATGTTTAGAAACTTGAAGGAATCTTTTTCTGCTTCTTGTTGCTTTTTGCTTTGCTATATTTAGTCAAGATAATCGAGAAAATTGTTGCTGTCTTCTTAACTTTACACCGTGTATATGCATGAATTAACATGGAAAAGACAACCGAAGCGCAATTTATGACAAAATATAAAATCAACAACGTAATTTTTCTCATAATTTTTTTATGCTTTTGAACAAACCAAAGATGTTAGATACAAAGGTTTGCCTTAATAAATGTTTGACTTTCTCTTCTTGAATCAATTTGATGAGAGACGAAAAGGAAAAATAAGAAAAATTATTCATGGAAAAGAAACGATATGGTTTTAAACCTTCCAATAAAATGTTAAATGTTAAAATCTTTAACATAGCTTGCCGTGGTGCAGTCATTCATTCAGTTATAAAAACAACCCAATATTGATTCGAAAAGCAAGAACACCCGTGTGAAAACAGAACGGTAAATCAACGAGTGCGCTGCACGATAAGCATTAACTTTGATGCGTCACATCTGCGATGTTTTATCACGGAAGGATGAAAGAGAAAATGCTGTTAAACTGAATTAAACATAAATTATTGAATCAATTTTAAAGAAGTCAAACATGATGGCTTGAAAGTTTGATTAAATCTAGAAATTAGCCTGCGAGGCATGTGGTAGAAGCATGAGCGTGGTTTATCAAGACAGCTGTACCAGAAAAGCTTCTATGCGGTTATCCTTCGGTTTGTGCTTCCTTCTGAATGTTAAATGAAGTTCAACAGCGCCGAGAACGATTTAATTTTCTTGATGTGAAAGATTCTTCAAGAAAGTCGTTTCAATCTTGTTTGGTTCGTGTTTTCTCCCTCCTCAATAATTATTTTAAATTTAAATGCATGACGTTTATTTGAATAACAACTTGTTGTTGCTTCTTGAGTTCCTTACCTGGGAGCAGAGTATGTTGTAACGAAGTGACATGACATGAGAAACACTAGTAAATATACATAATTTAGTCTTGAAGAATCCATGTTCTGTTAAGGGAGAAAAGGTAGAAAATGAAAAATTATTACATGTCATTGTTGGAGATGTGTGGTAAATACGAGTTTATTAAATAATTGGCCGCAAATTGTCATTGTTCTACGGAATTTTCCACAACATTTCTAAAGGTCGATTCATCATGCAATTTTGACGAACAATGTCAATGTTTTGAACCAACTTTATCTTCCACCCCACAATTAAGAGAAAACATAAGACATAAAATGTTTAACGAACATGTTTGTTGAAGCTCTAATCTCGATCAATCATTGAAAACCATAACAACCAGAATATGTTTCGAATCGAATAGAAAATGGCAACTCGGTTGAAATTTCAACAATAATAAAATCGACATAAATTTACAACAAGAAAGTTTGCTTACTCATTTATTGGAATTGAATTTGAAAATTTTCTTTGTGATGGAAATACCAATAATGAGTTGTTGTAGCTATACGTGACTGCTTCTTGTATTAATGATGACGTCCAAGGAAAAAGCTTTTTTGTAATCAAAGGGAAAGCTTTTTATATCGTCATGAGTTTCTTTTTTATACGAAATTTTGATAACATCAAAAATTCAAAGAGTTTTAAGTAAAAACAAAAGGTTTCCATAATTTAAAAGATAAGGAAACAGTTTATCTATTCCATGATGATTTTTATCCATAAATTTTATTTTTTCTTTCGTTATGTTTGACGATCTTCACGTTTTCTCAAGGGAATGGATGAATAAGTGAATATTTCTATGATTGCACGGTTGTCTAGTTCCCTAAAGTGACGGAACATCAAAGCTTTATGTGTTATTTTTATTGACAGTTGGGGAACTGAATTTCACGTTCATTTGCGTCGAACACGTGAAACATATTGGAAATTAATATTTCACATTTACGATCTCGCGTTTCGGTTTGCTTACTGATGATTCGTAGTAGGTAGACTTAACTTTTGATGTTGATGTGTTTGTTGAGAAATAAAAATGATTTCATCCATGTCATCACTTCCCTCTCTTTGATCAGTTAAACATTTGTGATGATTTATACGAAATAATTCATGATTTGAGGCTATAAGGTTTGTAATCAGAGTGGAAATTGTCTTAATTTAATGGGAAAATTTGTTACAGTCACTGGAAAATACAATTACAAGAGATGGAGAACAATTTTCATTCGTTCACCTCCCGAGTTGTTATTGAATAATTTATTTCTTCAAGAAATGCATTTTCACTTTAAGAAGGATTTTTATGAGAGCAACTTTTATGTTAAGTAACGAACGGTCGCTTTCTTTAAGACGTCAGATCACGTCGAAAGAAACTTGAAAGAATTTGTTATAAATTATTAAATTGCACGGGGCTTCAGAAGATTAGTCTTCGTCTTCTTCAAATCAGAACACAGAAGATCTCATGGATTGTGAATGGAATAAAAAACGCTTTTTCTTTATTTGATGATGAATAAATATTTAAGGAATCTAAGCATAGTGGTCGTCATCCATTTTTGTTTGTTGAAAGGATACTTCGAGTCAATTTATTTGCTTTCTTTCTGTGTTTTTTCCCTCTCATCTCAATTAGATCCTTTTTTGTTTGAATACTCAAACACCGTCCATATTTTTTTGTCGAAACGAAATGTAATGAAAGCTGACAAATTACTTTGAATTGTTGCATTATAATTTCGACTTGGGGTATTTGTAACCTTTGATAACAGATCTCGGCATGTCATTTGGTAGTCTGACACGAAAGTTTGTTTTTCTAGAAATTTCTAATAATTTATTATTTGAATTTAACTTTGAGTTAAAATTTTTTCATCAAGCGATGAATTCAACCTTTTTTTTGTAAGACGTAGATTACATTTACAACACAAAAGAGTAAACGACACAAAAAAATGTCGAAAACTCGATTCAATCATTTCGCAATTCTTGATGTGTAAATCTCGTTTTGCTTTCATGTAAATGACATTTTTCTGACTTAGATGTTGTCCAATTTCGAGACGTACGATGAGAATAAAATGAAACAGTAATCATATAACGATTTCCAAACTTGATCCCAACTTCTTTTACTTCGATCAAACGTCTTTTAAATTTTACATGAAAGGATATAAGAACGAACCTTCGGTATGTTTTCAACGCTTTTTACATCACTTTTTAAATGAAATTAAAAATTCAACAACTTTTTAAAACATGAAAGCTGAATCGAGCAGAGCGTGCATTAAGAAAGCGGGAATTTATTTTAGATGAGATAAGATTTTTCATTGTAAGCATTCTGCAATTACTTATATCTTAGGTGAAGGTTAAATAATGGCTAGAAAATTTGTATCAAATCCTCCTTGAAATGAATTATTACCGGCTTTAAAAATTGGACCGTTTTCTGATGAAAGCTTTCGAAAGGCAAGAATATAATTTGTAATGGAAAATTTCACATCTGAAAATAAATATTTGAAAGCGACGGAAAATATTTTCATTATTTAGAAAGTTGAAAAATTTTTGACTCTTGAGCCAAGCAACTTTTTGGATGATGCTGATTCCATTGTGGTTTCAATGTTTTAATTAGTTTTTTAATGTGTAAATAAAGTTTTGGAAAGTGACATTGATGCTGAAGATCCTTATGTGGGTGGTTGGTTGGCTTTACGAAAGATAAATCAACTTTCTAGTTCGTTGTTAAATATTTACTCAGATATGGAGCAAGTGGCATTGTTATGACTTATAACTAATGATAATAATAAAACAAATTTTTATGATCATCCCAGCTCAACAAGGCTAAGCTTTTTCAAGTCCAAGTTTTAATGTGCACAGAGAAAAAAAAGTTCAGGTGAGATATTTGAATATGTTTTCATGCGATATGATAAAAATTTTTCGCAAATTATGATCTCGAAATGACTCCAAATATAAATGAAATGTCAAGAGTGTAAGTACTAAGCTATTCAATTAGAAAAGTAGAATAAAAGTCAAATCATGGCAAATAAATTGAGATGAAAAAAGTTCTTCCCCTCTTAATAGACGTTCATCAAAGCTTATTCAAGAAAGAAGAAACCTTTTGAAAGCTCGTAATAAATATGAGTCAAAGTATCGAGTTGCTGAAGACAGTAAAAGACTCCACGGAGATCATTTATTTTTGAGCAATAATGAAACTGTTTCAACATTCTGCGAAGGTGGTGGAATGGCATAGTTTTGAAACTTTTTCTTTCATTGAAGCTACTGAAGCAAATTGAGATATTAAATTAAGAAGTTTAATCAACAAAATAATAAAATTTTCATTGAAATGTTGTTTACTTTGTTGTTTCATGACAATATCATTTTTTATCATAAAAGTTGCAACTTTGTTTAATGAGATTGCTTAGCTACTTACGTGTTGCTTATCTTTTGTCTTTGACTCTGATTTGATGTTAAAATCTCGGCTTAATGAATATTTCCCTCTTCAATTTTTAACACAAATCACTACTCTGCTTTCTTTTCGTAATTTTCCCAGAAAATGGATTTATTTAACTTTTATTTTCTTTCAGCTGCCACTTGGTTTGTAATTCCTGTGAAATATTTTTCTTATTACTTTGGTTAATAACCGAACTTCACTTGTTTTAGGTACCAACTTGGCTCCAGCACATCAGGTAGCTTTTTGAGCGAATTCAAACTGCTACTTATAGTATTTAAACCATTTTTTATCTTCGGCAAACGAAGAGATATGAATCGGCATGCGCAACAGTTTTCCGAATGCTGTGAACACCAATTTCATCGTGTGGCTTGGTTTCGGTAGAAGCAACAATTTCCTTTGCAGGCTGTTCAATTAACAACAAACCACATAATATTTTCTTACGGATGGACTTTCAGCAAACAGTTGTTAACAGAATGATTTACGCCCAACCGATTTTAATAATGATTCCTAATCAAATATTGTCGTGACTTCTCGCCCTATGCCCATGACTTCTAAACATTTCCCTTCCAATTCCAAAAGAACACTCAGAATACTCACATAAAAGCAAAAGTACGGAAGTCAAAAGGCTTTTAAAGACAACATTGAACGAGAGAACAATTGTTTGCTGAACGCTTCATCTACAGATGAATAATTAATGTTAAGGACTTCAATCAATAAATTGAAGTCAGAATAAGATGAAAACATTAGAAAACAATCTTTTTACTTTAAACAATCATGAAAAAGCACTTTAAATGCATATCGAGAGACTCTACATATTTAATCGATATGAACATCGCATTAGATGTTGCATAAACTGCAATCATGCAGTGAAAGAAACTCAATTTGACTCCGACATACCGTGCGATAGCGAGAAATTTAAAAGTTTTTTTTGTATCCTGCTGAAAAATGCTTTTATGATGGTACATCGAGGAAGGCGTTTGTGGTAACAATGTGACTTATCAGCTTATAATTCTACAATGATAAGCATGTGCCATGCAAAGTATTTGCTTGGAGGCTTCAACAACTTCTTTAAATTCCAACGATTAAATAAATTTTGTTTCCGGTTTGCTAAACTTCATCTTGATGCAATTTACACGCCATGATAAGATTGAAAATATAATGAAATGAATATCTTGAGCAACAGAATATACCACAGGAAAATCAAAAACTTTTCTGTCTCGTAAAAAAGTTTACTTCTCATTTACCCCTCTGGTCATTGAGTTTGATTGAAGAAGAAAAAAAAAGAATGGAAAAAATTACTGAAAATGATGAATTTGGCAATCACAGCGAACAAACTCTAACTGGAAAAACTTTTTGAAATCATTCACAAAACCTTACCTGAAGCTGAATAAGCGTTGTCATGAATAACAATTCGAATTTTTGTGGCAAGAGAAGCAATCGAAGTTACACACGTAAAAATAAGAAGCGAATTGAATGGTTGTGCTGATGATTGAGAAAGATGTTAAATAATGAAAGGCTTGTTGAACTTTCTTACTCAGATTGTCTAACCTGGTCGACACTATACTCAAGAAATACAAAAGTATTAAAATTGGACTCGTAATTTGTACACATAAAAGTTCTGCTAACACATATCCTGAAAAAAAAATCATCACGTTTGTACTTAGGTGAAGTTTAGCAAATCCAATTCATCCACGCTCCGATTCATTAAATCAAGTTAACAATACTTTGAGCATGTAATTACAATTCATGACAATTACATTACATTAAAGTTCAGTTAACAAATGTGATCAACAAGAAATGAGCAGGAAAGAGAAACTTTTCACACTTCAATGCTGATTTCTTTCAATTCTCCCAATTCTTGTCCAAATTTCTTATCAAAGCTCTTTGAAGTTGTAATAAGATTTAGGTTGACATTTGATAACGATCGCCAATCGATGACGTTTCTCTTTCTCAAAGATTGCAATAAGTTTATGACGTTTCAAGGTTCGAGAATATCTCGTGAGTATTGCTTTGGTTTAAAGTTTCGCTTTTTCTTCACCATATCATTAAATATTGAAAATTTAATTTAAACTTTTGAAGAAACATTCTCAACTTCTCTCTTAATTGAAGCAAATGACTATGATAATAGTTTGATAGGTGAAAAGTTTTAATTATTCAAAGAGCTTTCAAAGTTTTTAAGATCTGAGATAAAAGCTTTCGACTTAAACTAAAATATTTGAAACAAAGCTACGTTTGGGATTCATTTAAATTTGCACACATTTTGGTTTAAAAGTATTTCAGAGATTTTCACATTATAATTAATTATTTGTGAAAAGCTTTTTGATGAAATTAATTTAATAAATGGAGAAGTTAATTGCATTATATCATTGAATTTATTGTTTTTTCTGGTTCTGACTTGGTAGTCGTTTTTAAAAGTTCAAGTGCACAACTTGTGAGTTGTTTAACCGACGATGCTTACTTTAAAGTCACGTGGTAAATCTGTAAAAATATTTTATTCTACATTGATTGAAATGAGAAATACGAAGTCGAAAGACTTTCTTTTTTTGTTGTTTACGGTAGTAAAATAAACACGCGATGTTGTTAAACTAAACATTCATTTTGTTATCAGCAATAAGCGGATTAATTTGTCGTGTAATTTGCTTCCAAAGTGAAAATAGACGAAATGTTGATGGATCGTAAATTACTTCTTCGTCTGCTGATAATGTTAAATGTGAGCAACTACGAAATAGGAATGTTGGAAATAAACGAATATCAATATCAATCAAGTGATCCGGGATTAATTGAAACATTGTATACCAAATGATTCATTACTGCGTTAATCATATTGATTATCAATTCAACGAACAGTTTGAAAAATTGTTGGAGAAAAGGAATTAAAATCGTATTGAAATCTATTGGAGTATAAATAGTCATCATTTGTAAGTACAAAATTGCGTGGATATCTTTTTAGATATTTACTTTTTATTCAATTGATTATTTCGACGTAAATACACAAGCTGGTGATTGATAAATATTCAATTTATTCTCATGTATATCCCATCATCATTGTTAATGTCACGGAAGTGTTTTTTATTTGCATATCATAAAATATTCTCGTTGTACAAGTGAGCTTATATAATTAATTATATAATTATTCATATTCATGAGAGAATTTGACGTCATTGTTTATTTATTATGGTCATTTGCGAAGCACAAAAAAAATCAGAACCCTTCAAGTCGTATACATTCGTACATATGTGTCAACATCTTTCATGACCCAAATGACGATGCTATAAAATTCTACACAAAATAATATTGCAGTTCAATTGCGTGAGAATCAATTTCAATGATGCGAGAACACATAAAATCATTGTTTAGTAGAAAAAATCAGCAGATCATCTACTCAATTAAAGTTCGATTGATTGTTGTATGAGAAATGCGAGCACACATGGAGTAAAATAAAATATCAGGAAGCGTTTATGAAAAATGTCGCATACAGAGAAGGAAAATCTTTAAGTGTTGATTTTTATTAATATAGTAAATATGTCCCACAGCTGTGAAATTCTCCGTTGATTGATTACGATGAAGAAAAANTTTGAAAACTATTACAATGAAAAAACTTTAAAAATATTATGAAAGATTTACTAATTTGAATGAAAGCTTAGAAGTTTTGAAAAAAAAAGAGAGAATTATGAAATTTAAAATTGAAATTTAAAAAGATTGAAATTTAAGAAAGAAAAAAATTACAAAGTGATAAAATCAATTAATGGAGTAGAGTTGCTTCCAAAGCACCTTTTGAATCCAATGATTTTGAAGTACTTGTTGTTGTATGATGTCGGGATCGGCATCAAGTTGAAACGAACTGGAAGATACATTGCAAACTCGTCAGTATGGAGCATAGTCTGTAAAGATAAATTGATTATTTGAAAAATAAAAATAAACTTAGTGTAATTAATTTTTTTTACATACCGCTGCACCTGTTGCTGAACATGAAGAAGAAACGCGAGTTATATTTTTAATTTTATATAACTTGTGCAATTCCAGGTCCTTTGCATTTTTTAACGTTGAAAATGTATGTTCTAACTTTCCAACACCAGACCATTCGCTCCATTCAGCTTGTTCAATTGCATCAATAGCTTGTGTAAGAATTGGCTCCATTTCTGCATTCTCATCATCTTGATTTAAATTACCAAACGGCCTTTCTGGTATTGTTGATTCACTTTTATTAATATTGTTAACTTTTTTCACAATTTTAGATGAAGAAGCCATTTTTTCACTCTTAAAAAATTTGAACTTTGAAATTCATTAATCACTGAGAATTTCTTTTTGAGACTTGAACAAAACTTTCACTTTTTACGTTTGTAAACGGAATGATTTCTTTAAGCTGAGGCAAAAGAAATTTATACTTTTTTCTTGTGGTCAACACTTATCGAGTGCGTGGGGAATAAGGATCATATGTTGATGAAAAGAGAGAGATAGAACGAGAAATTTCATGTTACGAAAGGGGAAATTTTCATCATATTTACATATTTCGAAAAATTTCAAACACATGATTGGTTAATTGTGAAATGATTTTATGTGTCAAATATATAAGGATAAATATATAAAAGTATGTGAGAGTGTCAAGGTTATGAGATATTCTTATCAGTTTTTTCTCAAGACGTTTCTCACTTTTTTTATTACCCCAGAGAAAGTTACAATTTGTGTCATGTTTATTTATTTAACCACTGGAAGCAGCAGCGAAGCTGCTGCTTCCAGGGGCAACAATGGGCTTACTATTCTATAATGCATTTACTCATCTTAACCCCCCTAAAATTATATCCACACCTAATACAATTCACCTGCACAACTTAATATTAAATCCGATGACGCCAGGTGGCGCTCCTTATAGAAGCAACAGTTTTTTTTGGCATTTTCATTGTATGACTAAAATGTAAATTATGCATTTTAGAGCCATAGTGTCTTAACGAAAAATATTCATTAGGCAAAGCGCTATCCACCCACGCAAATTTTATTTCAATTCGATGACGCCACGGGGAGTTATACACATTTAAGTGTCTACAGCTGTCGGTTTACATGCTATGTGGGTGGACTTTTTTTACGAATGGGGGGGAAGAAAAATGTTTACCAATTCATCATAATTAAAAAAATCGGCGTGGGCGGCAATTATGTTAGATTTTGAAAATAAAATTTTGACTTCGATGTCAGGAATGTCGAAGGCTCGTGTGCCGTCATTTCAAAAGCTATCGAATTGAAATCTTCACGATAAGCTAGAATGGAATGAAGCTTTTTATGTCATGCCAAAAAATTTCAGAAACTTCTTTAATTAAGGGGTGAAAAAGTGGTTCTGCAGGAGGCTTAAAAAAAATTTCAATTGCTTATTGTGCCTCTTGCTTTTAACGTAGAGTGCTCAATTTTGGCAAGTAGAAGGGCCTTCGTTAGGCCTTTGATGTGAATGGGTTAAATTTTTTTTAAAATCAAAAATGGATTTTTAATTAATGAAACAATTTTTTAACATAACTTTTCAACACAAGCGCCACCTACTGGGCACTTTTTTCCCTTTTCACACTAACACAATAAAAACCAATATAAGCCAAAAACCAATATAAGCCAAAATAAATAAAACATGTGAAATATGTAAAATTGGAACTTGCTGCAAGTCAGAAGATTATATTGAACAGCTCGAAGACATTTTCATCCCATTCTCAGACCAGTATGTGGACGGTATTTTTACATTTCAGCAAGGTAGTGCTTCAATTCACGTTAGCCGACAATCAAAAGCTTGGTTTAATGATAAAAATGTCGATCTTTTGGACTAGCCAGCTATCTCTCCTGGTCTGAACATCATTAAAAACCTCTTCAGAACACTCATTCGTGCAGTATATCATAATGGCAAGCAGTATAGCACGGTTAATGAGCTTGAGGTGGCCGTAAGAAACGCTTGGAGGTAAATTCGACTATTTCGGTCAGAAAACTTTATTAATTCAATCCCAAATCGTTTGTCCCATGTTATTGAACATCGTGTTAGTAAAGACGATCATAAAAAAATATGCAACAATTGTTTAAAAAATTATTAATCATTAAAACTAGCCCGTCGTTATATAGGAATTCCGACATTTTAAACCCCTTTTTTCATAAATTAATTTTTTTAATAAGTTTTAATGAAGTAAACCAAATATTTCTTTTTGAAATCTTAAAGCTAATGAATTAAAGTAGATTATATATTTTTTTCATTAGATTTTAACAACTAGAAAAAAATTTACAACAGAAAATGTCCGTCGTTATATAGAATTTCCGACCACTGTACATTCGTACATATGTGTCAACATCTCTCATGACCCAAATGACGATGCTATAAAATTCTACACAAAATAATATTGCAGTTCAATTGCGTGAGAATCAATTTCAATGATGCGAGAACACATAAAATCATTGTTTAGTAGAAAAAATCAGCAGATCATCTACTCAATTAAAGTTCGATTGATTGTTGTATGAGAAATGCGAGCACACATGGAGTAAAATAAAATATCAGGAAGCGTTTATGAAAAATGTCGCATACAGAGAAGGAAAATCTTTAAGTGTTGATTTTTATTAATATAGTAAATATGTCCCACAGCTGTGAAATTCTCCGTTGATTGATTACGATGAAGAAAAAGAAACAAAAATAAAATCCGTGTTAATTATTTTTGTGACGGCAGTTTACGTATCGTTCAAAGTTTATTTTGATTACATTCTTCTTCCTATTTTTTTATTCAATAATTTTACAATGATTTACAATATGCGAGAAGGCAAGGAAAAGCATTTTATATAACGAGTGCATAAAATGTAAACAAATATCTTTCTAGATAATCAAAATTAGTTACAAATTAAGCTTTTGTTTGATTTCCATTGAATCATGACGATAACTTTTATGGATGAATTCATTTTTCATTTAAAAAGCAAACACCTGAGAATGGCTTTAGAGTGATGAACGTCGATCGGTTGAATGAATTTGTCTTATCAGCTCTTTTTTATTCGTTGAATAATGTGCGAGGGATTCTGGAAATCTGAAAAAATAATTTTGAACTTTGTTCTACTTCGACGTCTTATCGATTTGTCACACTTTGACACTTACAGTTTATTTTACGCCACTTCTTTATATGATGAAATAAATATTATTATTTAGTATTTACACTTATAATCATTGGGAAGATGATGACGATGGTTTACTGATCATGTTCACGAATATAAATGTCTACATTTAATAGCTGTGCTTCACCAAAAATCTTCCGTGACGAATTAGTTTCTTTACCAAAGCGTTGAATGAACTCTAAATATTTACTGATGTCTCTTGACGAAAATAATTGAATCCAGTGAGAAAAGAGAAAAAAGAACATCGCTTTGTTTTCGAAAAAATAAAGGAAAGACATAACGAGGGTGAACGAAGCTCCATTTAGCTAATTAAAATGCACATTGATGAAATAATAGCAAATGTCAATTGAGAAGCGATACACGAATGAATTGACATTAAATTTATGTCTTTCCAGAGATGCTAGACGATGGTAGATTAAATAATTAAAGATGCAATCAACGTCATTCAAGAATATTTAAGATTCTTATGTTCCTGGTATGTTGTTGAATTGATAAAATTGTGAAACTTCAATCTTTATCATTGCTACTTAATACATTTTTTTTATTATTATTGAATTAATTATTTTTGTTGTGCATTGTAAAATATTGATGCGATTTTTCGATGCAAATATTCCACCGACTTTTTAATTAAGTTTGTAAAGTTTCTATCAGTTGTAGTACTTACTAAGAAATAAGTAGAACAAGAGCGACATAACAATGTAATAAATAAAACATGACTCACTTTAAGTTGATAAATTTCTTTAGGTTTCAGGAAAATGTGAAACAATTCAAGTGCTTTATTTATAAATGCTTTCGTTGACAACAGAAAACGGATCTTAATCGAAAATCTTCTATTATTATCTTAACTCGTTAAGAAATCGAAGCTTTGCCTTTAATACCTTTTATCAATGAAAATGAAACAAAAAGGTTTCTTTAAGTAAAGGTGTTAATGTATATGTACACAGTTGAAGTAAAAGCGAACTTTACCTTCTTGATAGCGATAAAAAAATCGACTAATTAACTCATTTACCGTGTCGTAACTCGTAACGATCAAGACAGTCATTTCACAACTTGTGTTAGTGAAGACCGTTCAATTTCTTTGTTAATAAATTTATGAAGATTTTAGAATTGACTTTTTTTTTCATTTGTCAGTGTTTAAAACGCAGAGTAGTTGAGTGGAAGTCAAGGCTGAATGGTCGTTGTATTAAGTCTTTTTTTTTCCTTCTCATTCTTTAATTCACATCGAAGTTTGGAGGCAAGAAAATAATAATTGAAACTTCATCTTTGCACATAAGTTGTTCTGCTTTTGAGACGATCACATCGTTAATCGTTTACAGATCTCATAATAAATTGTGAGAGGAAATAGAATATCCGTGAAAGTGAAAGTTGTTTTAAAAATATTTATTCGTATTTTTGAAAAGACAAAGACTTCAAAATGGATATTTTATTGGAACAAGAATCGAATATGAACACACTTGCAGCATTATCAACGATAGCTGTTTCAAAGACTGATAGCAATCACACTGCAATAAACAAGCATGTTCAAACTGAAAGTGTTAAGAGAACTCCTGATGTCGATGACTTCAAAAATGCACCCGCCGGAGCGTTCAACAACTTGCCACCTTTAGAACCGGTTGAAATTTATTTTAAAGATTTATCCTATTCGGTGCAAAAAATGTTTTCAAAAAGTTAGTATGAGTGAATTCAGTGAAGCTTTAAATAATTATTGAAGGATATCTGGAAAGGCATTGAACAGATTAAATAAAAAAATGATTGAATCTCTGATAACGAAAACAAAAATGAACTTTGGATCCGTGCTTTGTTAGCTCTGACATAATATTGAATACATTCAATACGTTCATGATCGTTAAGTAAAGAATACAATGTTTCAATATAACAAAACAGAAGAAAAAGAAAAAAGCTTGAAAGTAAATTTCAAGTTCAAAAACTTTTTTATTTTTGTTCATCGCGTAGACTGCATGGTATCAGCTGATTGATAAGTGAACAGTACATAAAAATCGTTTTATTTATGCATATCGATTTGTGTTTCGAGTTTAACAAAGATTAATGGTGGATTGTAAATATGTTGGCCATAAAACACAATTCTGAATTGATGTTCGTAATGGATTTACAATGTGATTTGAATAATGCAAATTGGTAAAATTTAACAGCATTTCCTATCAATTATTTTATGATTCAATTCACTCTTTTCAAATTACTGTAATTAAACTGCGATTTGACTTCTTCCAACTTATCAGACAACAATTTTTTATCGGCTTCTGATATTTCGTTGATGTCATAGTTCAATGCGTAGTAGTTTATTCAACTCGGATCATTCATTTCAATTATGTCAAATAAAGTGAGGAAATATTGAAAATTAAGTGAATCTTACAAAGCACAAAAATCCAAATTTTTTTAATGCGTCACAAAACAAAAAGCTGTTCCCGAAGTTTATCGACGACTTCCTTATCGTCTCATTATTTATATTCTTGAATTCAATTGAACACAAACAAATCATTCTTATCGTTCAATTACTTTTATTCAACTCTTTTTACAGCCAAAAAAGAAATTCTTCACAAGGTCAGCGGAACATTTCCGAGTGGAAATTTAATTGCAATTATGGGACCGAGTGGAGCAGGCAAATCGACTTTATTGAATGCTTTATCAGGATATAAGCAAAAAGGTGTCAGTGGAGCTGTGTATGTGAATGGCAGAGTTAGGGATTTAAGTGAGTTATCTAACGAGAAATCATTTTCCATTTCGATTGAAATTTTTTTTGACAATTTCAAATATCGAGAAAAAAATTAATCCATTTGTGACAACGAACACATTTTTGCAGATGAATTCAAAAAATCAACATCATACATAACGCAAGATGACAGTCTTCAGCTTTTACTAACTGTGTATGAGAATATGAAAATTGCAGCTGATTTGAAGTTGGGAAAATTTGAAAGTGACTACAACAAGAAAGTTCGAGTGAGTAGAATCTAAAACTTGAAACTTTTTTTTGGTGATTCTGCGACAGACGTTTGAATATTTTATCTCACTTTCTTCTTGAATAAGTTTGAGAAAGTCTTGAATAATTATGATGAAGAAATGAGAAGAAATTTAAATGATCTGCAATATTCTTGTCAGTAAATATAAAAAAGAAACATTTCAATACTCATCACAAAGCAAATCGACATAAATTGAAGACGAAACTTATTTTTTTCATTCTGAAAAGTTATTTAAACTTTTGAATAATTTTAACTACCGGAGAAATTTTCTTACAGATAGTTAAAAGTATCAAGAAATATTTGAAATTTTCATTTAATTACAAAAGTTAAGTTGATAAAGTTTTTCAAGTTCAATCTTATTTGATGGAATTAATTTGAAACATTTCTGTGTTTAGGAAAGACAGCTTTCGCTTTCAGAAGCTTTCGTAAACTTAAGATGTGTTCAACATCCTTTAAATCTATGTGGATTCATGTTGTATCTTACATCCTTACTTATATATTCTTAAAATCCTTCCGAAGAATGATGAAATTAATTGCGTTTAGAGCTTTCAAAGCTATAAGCTGTTATACTCAAAATGTTTGACGTCATTTTATGTTTCTATCTCAAATACCTAAACATTTAATTGAAACTCTTGTCTTACACATTTATTCATCGTTTTACTGTTGTCTCTGTAGATACTTTCATAAATATTTCCTTCCCCTTTTCTCACGAAGAAGAGTGAAACGAAAGTTCTTAGTATCATGACTGAAATGTTTATCTTTTGACATCCATTTGTATTATTCCTCATTCATAATTAATATTTTATTTGGTTTGAAATTATTAATGAATTTTCATCCTGAATTTTGTGTTTTTCTCTCCTTTCCTTCAGATTAACAATATTCTTACTGCTTTGGGACTTTTCGATCATCAATTAACAATAACAGAAAGGTTGTCGGGAGGACAGAAGAAGCGTCTTTCCGTGGCACTTGAACTGATAAATAACCCAACAGTTCTTTGGCTTGATGAACCCACAACGTCAGTTAAGAACTGGAAATACCACAGATTGATGATATTTATATAAATTTTAATCGTTACAGTGGCTTAGACTCGTTCTCTTGTTGGCAAATGATTACATTGCTTAAGCAACTGGCGCAACAGGGTCGAACTGTTATTTGCACGATTCATCAACCATCAGCAAAACTATTTGAAAGATTTGATTTGGTTTACGTGCTCGCATATGGCCAATGCCTATATCAGGGCCATTCATCAAAACTCGTTCCATTCTTTCAATCTGTTAACTTGCCATGTCCCATGTTTCATAATCCAGCTGACTATGCAATTGAATTAGCTTCGGGTGAATATGGAATGGACAAAGTCAACACACTTTGTCATTCTATCGCTAACGGCGAGAGTCTGGCATGGTTTGAAAATCCTCATAAAATGATGAAAATGGAACAAATGCGGCATAAAAATCCTACACCCATCAAGCGTTCTGATTTTATAGAAATCAGCGAATTCTACCAGTTCAAAGTTCTGATGCAACGTGGACTGATAAAAATAAAACGTGATCAGACACTGACTCATTTACGAATAGCTGTCAATATCATTGTAGCGGCTTTACTTGGATGGCTTTTCATTGGATCTGGCAATGATGGAAGTCGAGTGTTAGCAAATTATAATCTTTTGTTTTCAATTCTCATGCACCATATGATGACACCAATGATGTTAACAATTCTGACATGTAAGTGAACTTGAAATTCATTTGACCTCATTTTATTTATTTATTTATTCCGCAGTCCCTACTGAGAAGTCAACAATTATAAAAGAAAACTTCAACAGGTGGTACACTGTGAAAACTTATTATTTATCAACAACCGTCGTCGATCTTCCAATATCAATTTTCTGCTGTTTAATTTTTTCAATCATCATCTACGTGATGACGGGATGGCCGATGGAAGTTCAAAGATTTTCAATTTTTTTCATTGTTAGTCTGTTGATTGTGTTCGTCGCTGAGACCGTGGGACTCATCATAGGATCGTGCTTTAATGTGATTGTAAGTAGCTTACCTAAGGCAAGAAGCATCTCAATCATTAGCCGACCATAAATGAACGCCTTCGAATGCTATGAAGCTACCTAAAAGTAATTTATTAAGTTAGGAAACGCGACAGGCAATGATTCCGTCCCTTTTACGAGGAAAGCAAAAAATAAAAAGTGACTGCAAGGCATTTTTGGATAAAGGCAAAAGGATCTTTGAAATATTTTCCTTTCGAATTTGGGTGCACGATGATGCGCCGTTTAGTAATTTACGGTCTGTGTACTCAAATAATGGCTCCATCATTTCAATTTTCAATATTGATTTAGGTAATATGATGAGATTTTCTGAAGATATCTGAACTGAAAAGGGCAGCAAAAGAATTCACATCCAACCCGATCCCATTTAAAGAATTTTTGTTGTAGATTCAGATCAATTAACTTGTTTATTTCATAAATTCGTGAATGGAATTTTGATTTAATTGACTTATCAGAATCGATGCTTGAATATTTAAGGAAATTAAATAACTGTTCGAATTCTTTCATTTTCTTGTTCATGCCGACGATTTTTTCTTTGTTTTATTCGCATAAAAATTCAATTTGCTTTTGAGGACGATGATTGGTTTTCCAAAAATAAATTACCTTGACCTATGTAAGCAAAGTTATTAATTTAAAAGAATTCACACTCAAATATTTGACAACGTTGACGAAAGCTCGTCCCACAGTTTTTAATGACACCCTTAAAGCTGACATTAAAAGCAATTCACTACGGACTGTTATCATTTCAATTTCAATTATAAATCTTATTTACAATTTATTCGTAAAAACGAATGTTCACGAGGTTGTTGTCGCCATTTTTCCAAAACATTGTTGACGATCTTCTGCCTTGATGCATCTTCAAGTGTCACACTTATTGTGAATAATCACTTGACGAAGATGATAAAAGCTAAAGCTTTCGATGAGAATAAGCGAATCTTACTGATGACTTTTTGAGACTCCAATACGCATTAGCATAACTTTTTCTTTACATTTTTAGAATGGAACCTTCATCGGTCCAGTATTTTCAGTACCTTGTATGATGTTCGCTGGCTTTGGAGTGACATTGAGAGACTTACCAAGTTATCTGAAGTGGGGATCTTATATAAGTTATCTAAGATATGGATTAGAGGGATATGTTGGAGCTCTCTTCTACAAACGCGAGCAGCTTGAATGTAATGTTTTATACTGTCACTACAGGTAAATATTTATGCAAATTTCTTTTTGTTATGGTAAACGTCAGTCGCTTTCATGTTTTTTTCTTTTTAATTTTCCACTAGATATCCCGACAAGTTCTTAAAAGAAATTGCAATGGAAGGGGATCAGTTTGTAACCGATATTATTGCTCTCATTATTACGCTTGTTTTTCTAAGATTTGTTTGTTTTTTCATTCTCAAATGGAGAATTGTCCTCAATCGATAGAAAAAAAAAAATGGTTTCATGCACGATTTCATCTTCACAATTAATTGAGGTTCTTTTTATTATTCTGGGACTTGTGTAAATAATTGAACTTCAATATTACCTTTGAGGCTTTCATTTGTTTTTCTTCGCTTGAGATTACATATCTAAAGTTTTTTTTTACCAAATCAACTTCTGAATAAAAGAAATTTACTAATGGATAATAAAGTTTTTGAACATGTCAAATTAAAATTCACGAATCAGAATGGTGTTAAACGACCCGTGAAAAAAAGTTTAATTTTTGATTTTAGGAAACTTTTTCCATTCAAGAATGAGGAAAAGTGATTTGAACCATTCAACAGCACTTTGAAAACCTTTCATTGAAAGCTTTTTTCTGCGTATTATGCGCGTGAAATCGAAAGCTTTCACTTCAAAATAATCTCATAGAAAGCTTTCTATTATCTCAAGAATATTATTTCGTGGTTTGAAGGAGAGAATTGTTTGACATATTTCAAACTTCGCGTACTATGATTTAACAGTATGTTGCGCGCATTATACATGGTAAGATATTCAACTTTTATGGCGACAATCATCACTTGGGGAGATATTTGAATTCATTTAACTATACTGAAAGCTCATCAACCTACTAATTTTAATATTGTTGTGTTTTTTAATTGAAACTTTATTGATTTTGTTCGCTATAAGCCGGGGAGAAAGTTACAGAGTTTCATTATTTATTTAATGTTGAACGTTTTTTTTCTTCTGTCCTTTTATAATTAACTACTTAATTAATTAACCGCTGTGCTATATTAAAAATAAAGACTGGAGATATGGCCAAATTGTATTTTGCATTCTCATTCCAGGAATTTGAACTTAGTAATAAACAGATGGGAATTCATTCATTTCCACTTATGTGTGATCAAACATCAACAACAAATATCGACAAAAATACTTTTTCCTTGCATCCGAATCTTAAGATTTAAATTCTGCTGCTGTTATGCAAACTGTTTTTAATTAAATTTTTTTATCATTAATCTTTTTTATTATTATTTATCGCATTCAATAATGCACCGCTTAACTAAGAGAATCTGCTTTAGACAACGATGTGACTAATTAGATTAGCCTATTGTTTAGTTCTCTGCATCGCTTGATGGACATTTAAAAAAAAGATAGCCATCAAGTGTTGGAAAATATAACGCTTTGATCGATTAACATTCAATAGTGTGTGGTTTGCATTCTTATTCTTATCAATTAATGCGCATGGTTTTTGCTTTGACTGATTTTTTTTTTATCTTCTTTTGTATCCTCTAAAGTACTCATTGTTACTATTAATTAATTAGCATCATTTCATCTAAATTAAGAAATTAAAAAGTGGCTTTCATTCATTATTTACTTTCAATCAATTCAATTCAATTATTTATTGCCCTCCCCCCCTGATCGAATTTAGATATCGATCCTGGCGCTCGCTACGCTTGTAAACTCGTTGTTGTTTAAATTAGTCAACCATCAATTCGAAATGAACGGAACCTCTTCGTTCTTGACGATCATGATGAATATTTCGTGCCCAAGCTTTACACTCAATGTTGATCAAAACGCCAGCTACAAATACATGAATGATTAATCACACCAAACAGTTAAAAATTTTAAACAATTATTTACTTTTTGGACGCTCAAAATGAATGGCAAGAATTGGTGGCATGTAAGCTTTATCATTGGTGAATGGATAAAAGTGAGCTGGGAATCCTTGTGCTGGAAGGTAACTTATAGGTCCCAAGTTCTCAATATCAGCAGGATTTTCTCCTTCGCACGAGATCCAAATCATTTTACGCTGAAATTTTTCATTTTTGATAAATATTTTCTTAAAATTCTTCATTTCTATTTTACCTTAACTTCATCCAAATTTTCATTTCTGATTTTATCTTGTAAGTCAGCTGGCATTAGATCTGGTAGTTGACTTGATTTGTTATAGAATAATGGCATCCAATTGAAGATCTTTAAGTAGATTTATGAAGTCAACAATTAATAATTGCATTGAAGAGTTATGTAAACAATAAACAACTTGAAGTAGATACCTTATTAAGTTTCAAGAACACGCATGGTGCTTTTTTTGAGTAACCAAAAGCATTCTCATTGACACACGGACCAAACTTTGATAAATCAACCTTACACACATTTCCGGGAGTTGGATGCTCTTTTCCTGTACAATCTTCACGTCGTGCTTTGAAGTCTTTTGCCAATTCGGGATCTTTAGGTTCTGTTGTGTAAGCTGAAAATGAATGAAAAGTCATTCAAACATGATCAATGACATCATTAAATATTCAATGGAACTTTCTTACTTGATAAAAATTCGTTTAAAGCACCAATCCAGTAAGCTGTATTATCTGGGTTATCTGACTCAAACCACACAAGGGTACTCTCTACATTCGAATCTGGTGGCATTGGTCGGAAACCTAAACCTGGATTTGATCCTATGAGACCATCTTCGAGTTGCCACTTAGGTTTGTTCTCATCCAAAGTTTGATAGAACACCAACAACATCGCGGCAAAGAATCCGGCAAGGGCAGTATAAAATATTACGTAGAAAAAAAGAATTTTTGCTGAAAGGAAAAGGGAGTGGAAATTTGATAAAAAATAAAAACGAAAAACAAGTTTTATGAGCATAAATGGATTCCATGTTGCTAAGTAAAAAATTCTTTCACGAAAGTTTCATTGAACCAATTAACGTGGTTATCTTCATGACTTCCATTGCACAATTATGTATTTCATTTTTATCATGAAAAGAATTTATCGAATGTTTGTCAAGTGATTTTCTCAATGTGATTAAAAAAAGAAAACTCGTTAATAAAGCGATTAATGCTGAATAAATAGAGAAAACATGAGAAAATTGCAATGAAAATTAAAAGCGTTATGCAATTGAAAATATTTTCTCCGTGACCTTGAAAAACATTGACAGTGGCGAAGGATTGAAAAACAGTAAAGAAATAATGAAAAAAACGTGAACAGCTTGAAAACAGAAACAGGTAGAAACAAGTATTTTAACTCAAATAAAAACTTAGTAACTGATTTCAATCTGAACGACTCAATAATTTATTCATCTCGGAATATTTGACAATTTGTTGTACGCTAATTTTTACTTTAAGTCATCTACGTCTTACACGATATTTATACATATATTTACGCAATAAATCTTCTAGTAAAAATGTTGTCAATCTATTGATCAATTCTCAAGACTCGTGACGTCATTTGCTTACCACTAAACCGTAATATAGTCACGCTCCATTAATTTTTCATCAGTTTTTTTCCACTATTTTCATTCAACACTACTGCCTATGTTAAACAAATGTTCAAATAATAAAGAGAATAAATAGTTTTTGTCGAGGGTAATTGGTAAGCAATGAAAACAAATACTGCTCAACTTATCAATTAAAATGCGTCACGAGGTTTAATTGAGTTGAATTGATAGAATATCGCATTTGATTTGGAAAATTTCAAAAAAAATAGAATAAGAATAAGAAAAAATAATGACGAGGTTTCATTTTATGGTTTTGTTACATTAGTACGCGAATCGTTTGCCACTCTTTAGTAGGTAGTTTGCAACCTTAGACAACTTAAGGTGTGTTGCTGATGACAATAAATTTCGTCACTAATTTACATTATTGTGGAATTCGCGAGTGTGCATAAATTTGCAATTTTCACGGAATCCTCAATGTTTTTTATTCGTCTTTCTAAGTATTTAATTTTATGTATTTCTTTTTTCATTGATTTTTCATTTCAGTTCTGTTCTGCCTGTTTCATAGTGTTATGCGAGAGGAACCGAAGGTTTCTTTCTTTTTTTCTTTTTTTTTGGAATCAACTTTCATGTAAAACGTTTTCTTTATCCTTGTGTTTGTCAGCGTTATACTTGTGTACAGGAAAGAGAAAAGGGGAGGGGAAGGCGAAAATGAGATTAGGCAAAAGATTCGACAAAGTAAAAAGTGATTTAGAAAGTCAATGCAGTCATTGTATCGAGTTCTAATTGGACTCTGCGATAATGACCGAGCAAGTTTCTAACTTTACAATGATTTGTAAGCTCGTGTTTTTGAAAAATCGATTTTTCATTTTCTCCCAACCACCTTAAAGTGGAGCACAATCGTCCATGTTTTTTTTCCTTCGCCTGACATTACGTAATACTTTAAAAGGACTTTTTTTTTCTCTTCAATGATATTGAGGCGAGAAGAAGATATTTTTACAATGACTGTCACTTACCCCAACTGCCTCCAGTACGACCAAGACACTCGCTAGTCTCACTATTCCACAGGAACTGTTTGAATCCTTCCCATTTGCCCAGCTTTGCGGGCCTCGTATAGAACTCTCCAAGCTTATTTTTATCGGCCATCCTTTAATCGATTTTTATAAATTTTAATATTAAGGACACAACAATAAAAATTAATTAACTGCGGTTAGAAAGATTTTCTAATTAACAAAAAAACGATTTAATCGACCGATGATGCAACTCGAAGGTCTTCAGATCCAGATGAGAATAGAACTGTCTGCTCTAAGACCCAATTGCGACAACACTCAACGACAAAATCGGTCTGATGATCACAACATACAACGACCAACTGAACTGAATGTTAGTTTTTTCGCTTCGGGTTTTTCGATGTCAGACACTTGGCAAGAAAGGAGAAATGTAGAGCATTTGGATATCCAACACTAATGTTGTTCTCCAGATAGATACACTCAGCTCTTATATTTTTTACGTAAGAGATTCTCCCGCCAGTGACGAAATAGAACAAGCTCTTCATGTAAAATGTAAATATTCGCCTCAATGCCACACTTGGTATGCCGATTACCTTCCGATTCGTTCCCATTCAAATATTGATTATATACAGTTGAAGAAAAAAAGCAAAAACACAATTTTTTGTGAAGTTATGAGTGAAGCTGTGTTTGTAAAAACATGCGCGTTGGCATTGATCCATAGTTGAACAGGCGCTGAGCTCCAAAAAAACAACTGCTTTTTCTCCACTCGTTTAGGATATTCTCTCGTACAAATAAAACGAACTTCGAATGAAGAGAGGAAAAAAAAGAATTTCATCGTCACATGGACAGAATTCCCCATCATCGACCGGCATGTCTCACTTTGCATATTCTTTATGAGTCGCAATACATTTGCAATGATCGCAAGTTTGTTTAAAAAATAGAAGAAGAAAAAAAAACTTCATCATCAAACAGGCGTTTTTAGTAACATTACTACAGTAAGCTCTCGATAACCTTCGATATCAAATAAAGAAACTTCTTCATAAAATTAAAAACCTGATCGAATGATCTTTCAATTTATTTTCTTTCTGGTTCGTTGCATTTCGTTCATCGAGACTTCACTGTACTGGTTTAAGTATCCAAAGAAAATTTTCGAAAAAAATGACTCAAAATAATTCTCTATGTAAACATGACGCACAACGTGTGTTTAATTAGCCTCTACACTGCCAATAACGATGTTAGTGAAATCATTGTTAATTACTGCAGACAACAGTCAGAGGTACTCAACAATTCTATCGAACAGAACGTAAACATGCCTGTTATAATTCTTATCTTATTGACGTATTTATCAACACCCCAAAAGGGTAATGAATGAGTTTTTCGTTCTTCCTCTCGAGAGTCAATTTTTCAACATTCTACAAATGATGAATGATAAGAAATATTTTCATACTTCAACGCCATCGACATGCCATTGGCATTTGACTAATAATTTGTTTAAACTCAACTCATACATACATCTGCACACAACATATGAACTAACAAAAACTCATTATTATTCCTATTATTATTCTTTTATTTGATTTTTTGGGAATACAAAAAAATCAGTGGTGAAGTTCTCAAATGACGCAGCTACTGCTAGTGGTGGACTTATGAAATAATAATAATAATACAAGAAGAGCACGCAAAAACGTGACGAGTTCTCATGTTTGATAATCGCGTGAATCACTCACTGTTTCTCAGAAAGCAGATGGCTCGCTTCGTTTTTCTCATCTTTCTTCAAATTATTCTTGTCATGAATCATGATCTACTTTATATTTTACTTAAAACTTAAAACGAAAATATCACTACTTTCAAATTGAACTTAAAATCACTTTTACTCTAATCGACTGCTGAAGTTGAACTGAAAAAAAAAAAATGAATCACAATGTAGAAGGAAAAAAAATATAAAGTTTTGGAGCTACTGATAAGAAACTTACATGATCGATGTTCTTTTTTTTTTACTTAGTCTATAATCGTTTTCAGACGACAGCTATCTACCTAGGCTATCGACTATCAATTTGTGGCACAACATCATCGTCATTACTTTGTGCTATTGACATCAAATAATCAAAATAAAAGTTGATTGATTTAAGGTGGTAAAATAATGTTAATAAATAGGGCAAAATAGGAGTTGGGTACACGCCAATTGAAAATCAGTTCTCTTCATTATTTTGCTATTTTCTAGCTTGAAAATTTCCACAAAGGTACTTTGAACCATTAGCAACAATTACGCTTCTGATTGTTGCTAAGTGGAGTACTTAATTACGAGAAAACCGCCCAAAACTTCTACTGTTTTCAGTTCTACCTACAACTCCTCTTTCCCCTACTTTAATACCACTTAATTTGTTATCTTATCATTGTCCACTTTTTTTTCAAGCAAATTCAAATCGAATTGCGCCAGTTTCACGTCATTTCTGAAAAAATTTCCATTGCTGTTTCTTGCTGTAAAGACGCACCCGTCTAAAGCAAGTTCTTATCTTATCAAACGATTCTCATGATATCTGCTTATGAAATGGAGTTTATTTTTCTTCATTATCTTTGGTGAAATTGGAGAGTTCGATTAAATTGAAAAAAGTTCAATGGCAGTAAAATAAAACGCCATAAAAAATTTAAAGAATTTATGAGAACATTTAATGGATTTTTAACTTCATTCTTACAAGCGCAGTTAACATTGAAAATATGTGATCATATGTTATGAAATAAAAAAGATTAAATATGATTCCCATGAGTCAAAGCGAGAAGTTTATTGAGGTTTGACTCGTCACTTGTTTCAGATGAAACCACCACCCTTTGAGCTGATTACACTTAAGTCAATTATCTTAATTGCATTCAGCGACAATTAATGAAAATTTCCGTCCCTTTTTTTCGTGTTTCCCAATAGCAACGGAAATGTTTATCATCTCTTTCTTTTCGTTTCTCTTTTTGTTGTCGATTTTGTCAGCATGACTTAGGAGAATAAATCAACAATAAACAACTTTTTAATAAGCATCACACGTTCGTGATTCGCCTCACATGTTCGAGGATATGAAGGACTTTCTATAATCAATTAAATAAATATCAATATTGAAGGTAAATAAAAGCATTTCGTTTAATATTCATACGGAAATTCCGAATAAAACAAAACTTTATTTTTTTATTTCTGTGAACTTTTCAAAATGTTTAATATTGTCCGTCATGATCAAAGTTCGAATGTTGTTACTAAACATAAATTTTATAAACAAAAAAAATAAGATCAAAAAATAAATGTTATGTGTTTCTTGATGTGAGTTTACGTTGCTAACGGAGTCTAAAAGGCCACTTGAAGATTGATTATACAAACAATTTATAATAATAAAAAATGAACAGATTAACTCGGCATGCAGAATGTTGTTTACGATGAATGTTGGATAATGTACTTCTCCAACTTCTCAGCGTTAGCTCCACTGAAGCTATCGATCTGCTGTCCCTTCTTAATAAACACGAAGGTAGGCATTGATGAGATGTTATATCTCATGGCAAGTTCTTCACAATCATCGACGTCAACCTAAAAGAAATGAAATTAAAAAGTTATTTATAAGAAAATGATTTTGCATCTGTTGTATTGAATCAATAGTTTGACTCACTCACCTTTACAATGACAATTTTGTCAGCGTAAGCGTTGGCGAATTCTTCTAATTTTGGTGCAATCATTTTACATGGACCGCACCATGTTGCATGGAAATCGACTAAGACGAGCAATTCTCCAGCAGATTCCAATTGAGAATCGAAGTCAGCCTAAGAGAGTAAGAGGAGGAAAACAGATGAGGAAGGTCAGTGACGAATATCATTGAATTACGTCATAAGTTTCATGTTTTTATACGAGCAATTTCATCTCAATAATTCATCCAATGAAATAGCGTCAAATACAAGATTTTATTGCATGGTTGATTTAAGTGTTCAAAAGGGTAATTAAAAGTGTAACGCTACTTTTTTGTCATATAATGTTAGGTATAATGTCCTAATGTACGAAACTAGTAATAGTTTTGACACGACGTATTGATTTTTAAGCATTTCATGCTTTCTAACACTTTTTTTTCTCTCAAACAAATATTTTTTAACGAGTTCATGGTCATTTCATTTGAAATAAAATGAACCTTATTTCTCACAAACCTGACAGCCGCTAAAATGATTAACTTCTTTTTTCTTGAAAGAGCAACACAGCTTCAACAACGAAGCCATAAATTCTTGATTTAGGGATGACTTTGAATTTTTAAATCTTGAGAAAACTTGATAAGAATGTTAAAATCCAAACAAAAGGCGATAATTTCTTGATTACTGTGTGGTTAAAAAAAATTAAAGTCATATTGTAGAAACACTTTTCAAAGGCTACGTCATAATTCTCTCATTTTTTTGCCGGAATAAGAGACTTTCATAATTTCACAGCAGATTCCTATTTCACAGTTCAAATTTCATATTATTTCATCACCTTGCATCATTCTATAATACTTACGGTATCTTTGACAGCATAAACCATTTTTCTTGAGTGTTTTTACCTTAACAGAACTTTCACAAATAAAAAGTATTTCAAGCGATGGATGATGCAAAATTTACTTGCTGTAGGAGAATAAAAATGTCGTACTAGCTTAATAAGACACCCTAGAACTTTCGATTCAGAAACGAAACGCTCAGCTGAGAAAAATTTTGAAAATTAAATGTTCGTTAAAATTATGGTTGACGAATAAATATCTGTACTAAAACTTGTCAGACAGTTGACATTAGGCAACCTCTTGATACTTTCACCTTCATACCATTCGATTCCTTGATACGAATTTATTCTTTTAGTTTGTGAAGCGATTGCATTCTTTTTATTTTAACAGTAATAAACAAGACTGGTAAACTATTTAATAGATTCTTACGTTCAATTCTTGCATTATTCAGGTGATTTGAAAATTAATGAAAATATGAATTGAATCTTTTATAAAACAAATTTTTCAGCGTGATGGACTTTAAAAAGTTTTTACAAAAAAATCTGCCATCAAGCACTCCGAATATTTTGGACAAATATGCGACAAAGACATCAAATTCATCAATAAACGAGTCGAATAGCAGTGAAAAAGAAAATTCTTTATACTTGTCCTTTGCAAACGACTCTTTCGACTCGGAAAATTTCGTTTGGGCAAAACCTAACCAAATTGAATCAAATAAGAGTTCTTTAACTAAAACAGCAATAAAAGAGACATATAAAGAGAAAATTTTTATTCGAAGGGAATCAATTTTAAAAATAAATGAAGAGGTTTCAAATGCAATTCCCAAATCCATCGAAACAAACATGGTTAGCAATAACGTAAATGCGAATGTTTTGAAGATGAAAACAACCCCAGATTTTAATAATAATTGCACTCCAAGTTTTAATATAACAGTCCGAAGCAGGGATTTAACCAGAAAAACTCTTTGGGAGAAAGAAAATTCACCACAAGGAGTTAAAATAAACATTGAAAATGAAGGAATTGAATTCTTTTCACCTGCAAATAATGAAGCTCGTAGTCCTTTTAAAGGACAAGCGTGTATTAACATCATCGTGAAAGATCCAAATGCTTCACCAAATGAAGGAATTGAATTCTTTTCACCTGCAAATAATGAAGCTCGTAGTATTTTTAATGGACAAGCGTGTATTAATATCACCAAAGAAAACATTCAACCAAAAAGAGTCATGAAAAATATGAAATCAAGAAGATCGTCAATACTTAAAACCAGAACACATTTATATTCTCCAATCATTCGCAACTCTTTGGAGTGTGGTTATCTCCTTAAAAAGAAATTGAAGAAATCACCAGCACAATTTCGAAATTTAGGAGAATCAAGCAAGTTGAAAAGTCAAATTCCGAGACCAATTATCAAAAGTAACCATTTGAATGTCATTTCCTCATCTGGTAATTATGAGTCTTCAGCATCCAACTTTCCAATGACTTCCCAATTAAAAACAGATTTCAAATGTAAATGGTGTTTAAAAACTTTTAAAGTTTCTCCTGCTCTACTGAAACACGAAGTTGAAAAATGTGAAAAAATTCCATTTAATGAGAAACGAAAGAAATTGGCGGAAGTTGAAAGGAAAGAAATAAGACGACGTCGTGCAATATTTTTCTCAACTACATTACCTAGAAACAGAAATCGTCGAAAGGAAGTCACTTTTGAGGATAATTAATATTTTCTATCACAATTTATCTTAAACATTTTAAAATTCTAAACATATTTTTTAAAACTTTATTTTTCATTCAAGTCGAAACTTTTTAAATAAAACATAATTTAACATTCAAAGAGAGATTATGTATCAAATTAACAACTCTTTTATTCAATCAATCATTTAACAGAACATTGCAGCTTAAAGTTAAAATGGTGTTCTTGGTTCAAGACCATCAATGTAATCTTCTAAGCTTTCTGTGTCGCAACCATGCAATTTACCGAGTATAAGGCCACATCTAATAAAAACAAAAACTGGAAGCAACTCTTTCTGAATCTCGTATTTTTCAACTAATCCTGCACTTTCTTCGTTATCAACATCAACCTGTTTGAAAGAACATTTATTGATAATTTTTTTGTTCAAATTCAATTTAAACCTTGACGATGTGCAACTTGTCGCCGTAAGCTCTTGCAAAAATATTCAATTGTGGAGTCATTGGTGTGCATGGACCGCAAGCATTTGTATAGAAATAAACTAAAACAATTGTTGGTCCAACTGATTTCAATTGCCAATCTAAATCGCCCTGTAAATATTTAAAAATAAAAAGTCTTTTCAAACAAGAAAAAAAATCTTATTGTGGTGACAGACAATAACATCAATGAATGCTTAAATTTTACTTTTGTAATAAACACGATGTGATCCATCTTCATACTCACAATGTCTTTTACAGTATAGATCATACTCATAGTAACAATATTTATAAGGTAGAACTGCAGCCAATAAGATATTGAATGGGAAATATTTTCTTTTATTGGCGTCGGTTAAATCACAAAGAATTTCAATATGGACTATTTGAACTAAGAAGTACTAGATTAAGTTCCCTAAGCATATTCAAATTTATTTAAACCGTTAAAAATTATCAACACTCTTATGAAATAAGGAAATTGTATGTCAATGAACTAATGCCTACTTAGGTTCCGTGTTTGCAATTCGAAAAAGAACTTTTCAACAACCTCCTTCCATCGAAATAAGGCTAACATGTTGTTTCGTGTTCATAAATAAGATCCATAATTTATTTATATTTTTCTCACAATTTATTTTGATTTCTCTTTATACATTCTTTTTTACTCCTTTTTCAGACCTTCCTTTTTTTCTATTTGAAAGCCATCGCGAGCTCTTACAAGTGTTATAACGATTTCTCATAAAATTTTCTATTATTTAACAAAAATATGTCATCATAATAGATAATTGCTATATCATATTTCATCTTTTTTTGTTACATTTTCTTTTTCATTTTCAAAGTCTTACGAGATAAAATCTAAGGGTCAGTTTTATCACTGTAAAATGTACTAGGTATTAAGTTTTAATTGATTACATCAAATATACTTTGCTTTTCAAACTTTAAGGGATTTCCCCTTCATTTGTTTGGTTGTACAATGAATCGATAAAACTCGAGATGAGCTACGAGAAGAAATAACTTTTACCTTTTTTTTTTGCTTTGTGTCTAGATTGCTAATGAATTGAATAATCCGATTCAAGTAAAATTATTTATTTTTTCGCATAAGTATCAACTCTTATTGTTTCATCATTATTAGATTTCTTTTTGTTTATTGAACTCATGCTTTGAGTATTCAAAAGTGAATTTTTTTTTATTGATTCCAAAAAATGTGCCTGCAAATGTTACTAGAAATTCACTGTGGTGCTTGAAAGAACGCCTTTAATTAATTCTGAGTTGAGCTTTAAAAATACTTAGCTGACAATATCTTTCATTTGCTTGTTTTTTTCTTTTCTTTAAGAGATATTGGAAGGGATGATGATATAACTAAGCATAGCTTAACAATATTCATTCAGAATTCTGACAACAACCATTTTGCTTTTGTAGGAGAAAGAAAAAAGATATTTTGAAGTCTTGAATATTACCATGCGATGGAGCAATAAAATTTGAGCAATTCAGTTATTCGTTTTTCGCCGTTCCAAATTCGATTACATAATAAAAAAAATATCAGAAAAACTTATCTTATATATCATCTAACTTTAACTTAATATGTCTAATTGAAAACATTTCTTTATCCTTTTGGCGAATTAGTATTGTGAAAAGTTTGTGTTGACAAAGTTTATTTAAGATCCAATATCGATGGGATCGTAAAATCTTTCTGTTCGCCCAACATACGGGCGTGCTCTTTGCATGTTTCTAACTTTTTGGTCTTCTTGACAAATAACTTTTTGTGAATCAAATATCGAATCTTGCATAAGCAGCAAACGAGAATGTGCACGACAACGACAAAAAAGATGCCGCCGACACAGACAACGATTGTCTTTCCGGGCTTCTGCCAATCTAACAGCGGGTATATCGCGTGATTAAGTTTACGATCGGTTCCATCTGCCAAGTAGTAAACAAGAGAGAAGATCGAATATCCTAATCCAACACCAGCCGTACAATACAAGTCCGGATCCATTCGTACCGGATGACCGACAATCACAAGATCACCAAGCATTAAAATTGCCAACAGGGCATGGACCATAAGATTCAACAGATCAAAAGAATGGATTTCTGAAATGTGAACGAAAAAGATTTAATGATTCTTGCATATATGCAAAAAGGAATTTTATTCTTTGTTTTTTGTAAAACCTTACCTGGGTCGTGGACCGCTGTCCAATAACAAAAGGTTCTAGAAGAGAAAAAAATAAAGCAAAATAAGCAAATCTTTCAGTTGAAGGAAAGTAAAAAGATTTTTTGTTTCATTAAATATTTAAGAGAATCTTTTACGTTGAAATCTCTGGAGATTTGTATTTTTAGAAAATGCCAAACGCATGACTTTGCCTTCATCACGTCATCGAGAAAATTAACTTACACAATGAAACTGTAAACGGTTGCAATCGAATAAGTGACCCAATATAATTGCTGAATGGGGCCAACTTTTGTTTGCAGCACAACCTCTGCGAACGAAAAGAAAAGCAGCCAAAATTATTTGTTATGTCATGATTTCATCATAAAAGGAAAAGAAAAGTTTGAAAGTCAAAAGAAATTTCTGGCATTTTTTTTGCTATCTCACCAAAATCACGATTATTGTCCATTAAAGCTTTCGTACAGATCAAAGCTGCCAGCCAAGCCTGAACGACGCCGCACAAAACGGTCCAATTTGTAAGATAAATCCACCATTTTTCATAGTGATATTCGAACTTCTCGCCTGATTTCTCACGTCCGATATCAATTGATGAACAGACGATAATCGCGAGACAAACAATGGCGCAAATCCATCTCCAAAGCAAGTAAAGTAGAAGAACTTTCTTATGTGTTTGCCACTGACATACATGCAGACTTGCTAAATCTTCGGTCTTTAATCCACTCGTCAAGCCTGCCCAGAGTCGAGTCAACATTTTTCTATCCATGGATAAAAATAAATCATTAAGTGGCAGTGTAATCAATTTTCTCATAATACTTTTGACACATGACACTAAACACGTGTTTCGAAATCTACTGATAAGGATCAATAATATCAACAACAAACGGAAGTAAATTAGACAATTGCTAAAAGCTTAAACTAAGCTAAGGTAGTTCTTTCTACTCAATCAAAAACTATTAAAATGAAACAGCAAAATATTACGGGATCACTAACTAGATAATCAACAAGAAATGATCGTAAAATTTAATGAGAATAATTTGCGGAAACTTTTAAAAATTAAAATTTGTAATTTCAAAACAGCAAAAAAATTTCTACTGATGTGAATGATTGAAAGAACAAACTTGAAATGAATGAAATCTTTATGTTGTAATGGTATTTTAAGCATGACCCAAAGTGAAGCAACTAACTAAAAAAGAGTAGAAAATTGCAAAACGAAGATGAATACATAAATGGTGAGAACTTGACAGAATCTTCTTCCACTTCTCTTTTCACACCCCAACAGTTTCTTTTATTCCTTTTTATTCATCATGTAGCCAACGATGTTTAATTTATTTTACTTTAAGCATTTCTTCCCTTTATAGTTAGAAAAATTTTAATATAGATTGAGTAGAGGGAATGTGACCGTAAAGTTTATGAAACTATAATTAGAAAAGTAATAATCTAGATTGAATATCTATTATTGAAATGATTGAAAAGAGCGGTTAAGTAGTAAACTAAAGTTTTCATTATTAAGTTTGAGTTCTTCTTCCTCCCTTGCCTTAATATTTGAAGAAATGAATTTGGGGCATTTTAAACAATACCGTAGAAAGTTTTCTATTGTTCCGGAAAATAACACGGAAAGAATTAAAGGTATACATAGGAATAGCATGATTACGTCTATTAAAGGTTCGTATCTTGAATCTTATCGATCAAATTACTAAATATTTTTATTCGCAAATCCTTTTGTTAGGTCACATAAGCTTTCAGCCAAACAATGAACAGGAAGTTGAATTATTTCAATATCTATTCATTATCAAATCGTTTAAGAAATGAAAGCGACAGAATGTCTCGTAAATTGATTTCAATGAACGTAAATAAAAAAACGTATCAATTGAGCAATGTCTGGGAATTACTTTATGATGTGTTGTGTCGTGCTTCAACTTCATTTAGTATGAATTCGGTATGATTGCGATAACATCGACGGTTTAGCAACTTAAAATAATCTGACTTAATTAACATTTATTACATTAGTTGAATATTCATTCATCGTGATAATTAAATTTTACACCAAATAAAAAGAACAGGAAAAAGTTAAACACGAATTATTGAAGACGATCAAATAATTCATGAATCACATGTGAAAATTCTTTTGTTGATTAGTTTCACTTCTTTTATACTTCGACTACTCGTTCGATATTGTTATCGATTAAGAATGAAAATCGGATGGTATGTCAGTCATAAAAACGATATCATCATTTATCACGGAATTGAATAAGACCCTTGAACTGATTACCCGCGATTATCATTGAGTAAAGTTAGTTTAATAATTTTTCACATCAAAACTGAAAGCATGGAAATAAAAAACAAACGCGAAAATTCGAGAGAAAATTAAGACCAGAACAGTTGGTGCTTTCAGTTCCGTCAAATGTGGAATGGGGTGAAGCGTAATAATCTCTCTTCTCCATTTTTTCCTGCCTCCATAACAGAGAAAGAAGAAAAAATCGAAGTTTTAAGGGCGTAGGTGGATTGCACATTTCCACATAAATTTTAAACATACACGAAGAATAAATTTATAAAACTTTTATGAGTGTTAAGGTATAAATGAACGAGCGGGACGAGTCTTATACGATGAACTTTTGTGGTGGAAAACGCAATGCAATTTCATATTCATGATACCTTGAAGAAACAATTATTTTTCCAACTTTTCAACAGTAAATAATGAAAACATAGAAGATTCTCTTTATGTTAACTACACTCTCGATTGGGAAAACGAGTGCGCAAAAGTTTGATGAGCACAAAAAAAAAATTCTTTTTAATTGATGTTGTGATGAAAATCCATTGGCTTTGTATGATGTGAAAGTGGATTCAACTCTAAACTAATTTAATTCTTCTCATCACTTCACTCTCATCCATAATTTTAGAACTTTAATTGCTATTGATTCAATGCAATCTCATTGCATTGAGTGACACACTAAATATGCTTACAAGGTTGAAAATAGAGAAGAAAAAAAAGAAATAAGAAAAGGTCGAGGTGTGGGCGGAATTGTTTTCTACACGGATGATTCTCTGCTATCACTACTTGAAGAAGCGTGCGATGAAATATTCGTTCTTAGGGCATATCATGGAAGAAACATAAATATTATAAATATTCGCTTCTTTTATTACAATCTCTTCACATTTTACGACTTAAGAACGAATATTATCACAACAATAAGCAAACACAAATTTCTCTCTTGTGTGATTGTGCAAAAATTTGTTTTGGGAAAAATGTTAACTTTTTTTGTTCTTCATGCTGCACTGAAGAATTATGTTCAAACATTCCGGCAATGGCGGTGTTATCAAGACCGGCTCGTCTCTCACGGTAAGAAACAGTTCTTCGACACAAACACAAATCACAAACTTAAAAACACAAAAGCTTGAAAGTTTTGAAGGATATTTAAGAAAAACTTTTTCGAGCGTAAACTTTTTGGGCAATTTTTTGCTTTTTTTTTGTTTGATCGGTTTGCGGTTTCAATTTTGAGGAAAAACTTTTTGTTTTCCTTTCAATGGATGTTTTTGATTGGTTTTTTCTTTTTTTGATTAGCCAATTTCCTTCCTGCCACCCTTAAATTTTACATACTTTTGATCTCGATTTCGATTGCATAGCTTTGTAGAGTGTACGAATGAAACTGAAAACTGATTTTCTTTAGGTCGTCAATGTGCTGTGCCAGCTCCTTTTTCCCACCCGCTTCGTTCGTTATACTCATGCGCATCAAAGAGCTTTTCTCGGTAACATTGCCGAAAGCTCCATATCATCGGCCGCATGCAGTTTCAACACAATTTCAATGTCATGAGCAGCATCAATAGTATTCGTTTCAGAATTATTCCTCTCACACGTCATCAGCAATCTCAACATGTGATGATTGTTGAAAAATTATGTTCTCATGCTCCACCACTGGGAAATTAATCCCAAGATATCAGATGATTTGCGATGTTCTTTTCTTCGTTTCTTTTTTGGGGTGGACAAAATTTTCACGTCCGCGCAGAGATTTGCGATGAAAAAATTGAATTTCGTGAATTCATTAGAAGGAACATAAACATTACGCAAGTTGAAGAGAATTGTACGTTGGAAATTAAGATAAATACAAAGAATCACTTAAAAAAGCTTCTGAAAGCTTTCATTATATAACCTTGAACATTTTTATTAAAGGAAGCTTTTAAAAAAGCTCAATAATCATTTGGAAATAGGAAAAAGACAACTTTTGATAACAAAATAAATAAACCTTATATTTTATTATTCTTAAACATTTCTTTTCTCAGAAAATCATTTGGAATAAATTAGAAATCACAATTCTTAAAGGTATTTGATGCGTTCAAAGACGAATGGCGTCACCGTCACCGCCACTTCCTGATAAATCATCTTCAAGACCACTTGATATTGTTGGTGAATGTGCTTCAATAGTTTCAGCTTGCGCTAATAGTGGAACTTGATAGGGCAATTCACTTGTCGCCCAAAGATACAAATCTAAAGTTTTCTCTGTTGCTTCAGCAACAAATCGTATGAAAGGTCTAATGTCACCTTCGTTTGCCATTTGTAGATAATTGTAGTATTGCAATCTAAAAAGATAAGAATGTCAAGGTTAATCGATTTTCTAACAACGTTTATGTCGTCAGAAATTGACACACCTTTGCTGCTTTTGAATTACAACAGGCGGAAATCCGAATCTCATCAAAATCGTATTCATGAGCAGTCTCGAAGTTCTTCCATTTCCATCAGTGAATGGATGAATATGAACAAGTTTATAATGAGCAATCGCTGCTAATTTTATCGGATGAAGTTCACTTGCTTCTTTTGAGTTCATCCACTCAACGAATGTATCCATTAAGATTTGAACTTCTTGTGGTTTCGGAGGAATATGATTTCCAACATAGACTTGAGTTCGACGAAAGATGCCGCCTTCTATCGGATCAACATGTCCCAATACTCGCTTATGAATCTCCAAAATATCCTCAAGCGTTATGTAATTGTTTCTAAAGAAATTTAATACAAAATCTTGAGAGTTTTTCTTATTATGAAATGAAATCATAAACTTACTTAACAAGTGACGCATTAACATATTTCATTGCTGAATCGAGTCCTAGAACCTCGTTATGTTCATCCACACTTCTGCCACTAACTGCCATTCTCGTCTCTAAAACACTTCGAGTTTCGGAAAGTGTCATTGAGTTGCCTTCAATTCCAACTGAATGATAAATGTGAAGAATGTAAGCTTCCTTAGTAGCTCTCTTCATCGCAGCGCTGTTAGTGTCAACTTGAGATAAAAGATCTCGTTTCTCATCTAATCTTCTCAATCGTTCTTCATCGATGCCTTGAACAACGTTTGCTGTTCTTTGTCGCTGGGTTAATGCTCTTTGATAATTTGGATCGTAAGTCAAAGCTCGGAAATAAAAACTGTCAGCTTGAATAATGTCATGTCGATATAATTCGAGGAAAATTCCATATTCTGTGAGAATTGATGGGTGATTTGGTGACAGGGCAAGCGAGTGCTGAAACACTTTAAGAGCTTTTTCATATTTCCCAGTTCGCTTTAATTCAAGAGCAGCCTTAAGATTGATTTCAGCCTCAACAATATTTTCTTCAACAGGTGCCTTCTTCGGCTTTTTATCTACGATCTTTATTCCTATTGGATCGTAATGTATCCTGATATCACTGTCGCGTGGTAGAAGGAACTTTTGTGACTTATTTCTCAAATAATTATGGATAAATAAGGAAATAAGGATGGAAATTGTACACACAGCAATTGCGATTACAATTGGTTTCTTCCTTATTGGAATTGTGTTTTCGTTCAGCGTTTCTATCATCTTCATGATTCAAACTTTTTCTATCACGAAAAATTCATAATAGAAACTTAAAAACACTTTTTCTGAAATATCAGCTGTCGTGTATGTAAGACGACGTAGGTAGACTGTTAGCATCTTTCTTTATTTTGACTGACTGTCCGTAGAAAGTTAAGGTAGAGCGTAGTACTAGATTGAAAATTTGAATTTTTCTTCAACGAAACGATATTTAACGACAATCCATATCATGCTTGAGTATTTCATGTTACATACTTTTAATGTAATAAATGTATAATTAATTTTCTTAGACAGGAATCTCAAGAAATTATAAATATTAATTTTTTTAATGAGTTTCAAGCTTTTGATACAAAACCAAATTATGAATATTTTTAAACACGAATGATTTATGAATTATGCAGATTTATACATAATTCATGTTTATTTTTGAAGGCTTGAAGTATCATTGCAAACCTAAATGAATGATTTTATTCACATTTTAATGGAAAATGAGATGTAAAAGTTTTGTCATGTCACCCTGAATATGTTAACTTCTGTAGTGACTTAACATCGTGAAACTTTCACGTGAATACATTTACGGAGTTTTCTTTGCAAACATTGTCTATAAATATGTAGATATTCTCAGGTGAATAAAATTTAAAACTTTAATTTAAAAGTCAAGAAAGTGCAGCATAAGTTAAGAGAAGTTTTAAACTTTTCAAAGTTCAGTATATGAAAATTGTGGCTTTTGGGAAAGAAATCAATTGCAATCAGCACCAGATGTAAATACTATTAGAGGAAACGTAGCAAATGAATACGAACACGACATTTTACTATTTGCACACGTTTCTTCCTTTTCCATATCCTACCTAGGAAGAAATTATTAAACATGGTGTTTAGGAAGATTGAGGTGTAGTTGGGAATAAAAAAGCAGACTTTGTTATTAAAAGGACATAAAATCCTTGTAAAAACTGAGCCACATGTTCCTGAATGACTGGTTATTAATGAATAAAGCGGAAGGGAAAGAAAAGCACCCCGCAGCCAGATTCACCATCATCGAGACAAACTTTTTTATTATTTGCGTTTCCCTTTTTTCATATTTTAGGAAAACGGAAGAAGAGTGCAAAGCTCTATGACACATCATGAAAAAAAGATTAATAGAAGAGACATCGAGAGCACAACAAGGCATTGTTATGAATTAAAGAGGGTTACTTAGTGTTGTTGAACAGTTCAAGAGCAATTTGCTCAAGGAAATTGTTAGAAGCCCTTCACAACGTTAAGTTTCATCGCATTCTTTTGTCAATGACAATCCGCCAATGCTTCAATTATAATCAGATATGGAAATATTTACATTTTCAATTGAGTGATCACGTTGAACCTCCTGTTTATGATAGCAATATTACCGAGACATTTATGAGAGTTTTTATCATCAATTGGAAGCAAGTCTGGGCTTGCGTAAAATTCTCTCTTGATTCCAGACGAAAAAATGCTTTTTTCTTCTTTTTATAACTCCTATCGGTGTGATTGCTGTGGACATTAATATCAGAAAATTGCCTTTCGGTGATACAAACAATAAGATGGTTTGAATTATGTTTTATTGTGATTTTACTGAACCCTTCTCATCCACAAAGATCAATAAGAAAGAATAGAAAGTTTATTGTCGGGAAATTCGTTCTTGGAAATATAAAAAATGTCTTTAATCTATCATCGAATCAGAAACATCAAAACTGAGCCATAAATCTTTTTAATGTTTCAATTGATAGGACATGATAACAGTTTTATGCCTTTTTGGAAGTCGAATCGAGTCAAATCTCTCACAGGTAAATTAAGGTGAAGAAATGAGAGAAAATTTTATCATCTGGAAAGAAAAGCTCTCAAAATGGAAATCAAAACTTTTTCTATCCTTCCGTTTTTTCTGTTGTCTTCTCTTTGGAAATCATTTCAAGGCTTCAGTATTAAGAAGTTTGCTGCTTGCTTCTGTTGCATTTAATTTTCTTGAACATTCTTTTTTCTTTTTTCGTTTCATTTCTTTTTGAAAACAAATTTTTTATTTATTCTTTATATTGAAAAATATTTAAATCCTAACAACAGAAAATTAACAAACAAACTCTTAAGTATGATCACAACAACTTTTAAATCCATCAAGACGAAAAGGCTTTCATAAATCAGCGTTCATATAAAACTTGTACACATAGAGTGCACTTGTAGAAGTTCAGGGGGAAACTCTTAATTTCCTGAATTGTTTCGAAAGCTTTTATGTCGAGAACAGAACTGAGCTCACAAAAGTCATTCAGTGCAGAGCTTCTCCATTGAGAGAAACCAAAGCATTAAAGTCAATTAATTTCCGGTCCATGAATCTTTAAGGTTAATTAAGCATTCCCCATACAGTACCTGCGCTGTTTTAATGATGTTGTTAATTCTTCAAGGGTCAATTTCTTTATTTATAATATCGCTTCTGTCAAGCTTCTGCTTCTACTTCCTTTCTCTTTAATTAAATTAGTCGACTTTCTTTTCCTACCTTTGCGTTGTGTCTTGTGGTTCGTGAAAAGTTACAATCAAACGCCACCTTAATCGTTACACTCTCTCAACACTCAACACCCAACGACGAGCCTTATGAGAAAAGATGAAACTTTTAATGGTTCTTTTTTATCTTCAACTAGATAATGAGACCATAAAACTTTACTTTTTGTTCTATTGTAACTTGTGATATGTAGTTTGTGGTGAAAATATCACGTTTCAGAAATTCCATCATTCACGTCAGATGTTTGCTTCATGTCATTAATAATTTTTCTTTTTTACGTTCACTTCATAGAAAGCTAAACATATTATTTTTTAAGATGCTACTAACATTCATCGTTAACTACACTTAAATTTTTCACATGTTCAAGCATTAGATGAATGTTGACGAGCACTTCACCCTTGAAATTCTTAGTCATGAACACGTTAGCATGTTGTTGTTTATGAGGAAAAAGGGTTCTTAATTCTTTTCATGGTCGCTTCTTTCTTTTATTTCCGCATTTTATTTTTTTTGGCGAATTTGAACAGAGATGGATGAAGTTTAATGGATGACATGTGAACGTAATAGATGGGAGTTATCCTTGTGTCACTTAATTTTAATTTCATGACTTCCATTTTTTTCTTTTTTGGGTCTCATCGTCGGCATCAGCGTTTCTTCATTATACTCATCAGTAGGAAAAATTACCAAATTAAAACTTACACGCTTACTTGATTTAATGGTAAAGGACGAATTTAAGAACGAAAGCATTTGACCAACGAACGTCAAATATTCACGCAGCAATACATTTCCCAAAATGCTTTTAACGTTATCGCGAACTTTTTATTTTTCACTTTTATGATTTCAATTTTTCATGTTTCCTTTTCCCGCCTGAAATGATGTTAACCATAATGACTTTTATTTTCAAATCGTTACTGTCGCAATGTTGCATGAAAAGAAAATTTAATTTGAGAGCCAGAAAGAAAAAGGAATGTTAAAATGAATCATCTGAACTCTGATAAATCTAACATGATTTACATACTTTTAAAGCTTCGTTGGCTGTTAAATTCTCATCAATTTAAATTTCATTCGAAGCAAAATATTCTATAAGAAGTTTCTACTTAGAAAGATCTTTCATTTTCTTTATCGGCAAGAGTCATAAAATAATTTAAATCATCGGAAATAATAAAACGCCTTAAAAAAACAACACGTGGTTTTACAGATATCCTGTTTTTTAAAACTATGAATTAAGTTTTATGATGGGAATTATGAGAGCATTTCCTTTCTTCGAAATTGAAAACATATGCGAAGCAAATGATCGGATTTTCCATTGTTTGAAAAGAGTTGAGGGGCAAATTGCGCTTTCATTCTTTTATGTTGACGAATATTGTAGCAAAATGAAATACAAGAAATGTTCAGAGAGAAACATTAGACTTTAGTTATAAATGCTGCTAAAAATTTGTTTATATTCACAGTTTCTTTCAACATCTCCTCGAGTTAAGTTCTTAGCTACAAAATAGTTAAATAAAAAATAATTTTTCTTCTTAAAAGACTTTGAAATTCATCTTCGATCTTAGTAGTGCAAAAGTGAAATTTTTCGATCAGTGAGACGAGTGAATGTTGATATTCCTGGATCCTCTAAAATAAAACGATGATGAAGGAAATCGCTCTTTGTTGTAATAACTCGTTAAAGTAAGGATGCTTCATGTTATCTAAACAGACAAGTGCTTATATGTCGTAGTCAAGGTTTTCTTTGCCAGGTTTATCAAGTTTTTCTTTCTGCGATAAAAATTAAAAGGAAGATATTCCCAGATGACGAAAAAAAGTTGAAAAGAATCAGAATTGAGTTGATGAATAAAACAAAAACATACATTTTTCTTAACTACCTACTATTTTACTAGTTAAAACAGATTTAACTTACTTTTAATAGCTATTTCGACAGAAAAGCTGTCATAATCAGAACATTTGGTTCAATAATATTTAAAATTGTATTAATTGAATCTAAAAAAATAGTATAATCTATGTTTTCTTTTTAATGACTTAATAGTTGTTAAAATATATTTATTCCAATAATACCTAATTCCTTATTATTACCTAACCTGAAGAGTATGTAAGCTCTTTTTTTTTTCTTGATATAAAATTTTATTTACTGAGTATAATTGGGTGATGTAAGATTTTCACTGATCTCGGGGACTCTGTAATATAATTTCACTTTCACTTGAAATAATTAATCGATTTAGAACACTGAACTTTAATCTTAATCTTTATTTATTAAACTCTTTTTATTCTTTGATTACAAGATGAAAGTATGATTATAAAAGTTGTGAGCCACTCGAGATCCTTAAGTTATGATCATCCCCACTCCAAGGGATGATCGCGTTGAGGAGTGTCGCAACACTCAAATGTTTCATGTAGAAATTCATGCGTATTAATAATTTTTAAAATGTTTGAAATAAAAGTTTTTTGAATTAATAGAAAAAGAAAATATTATGAATGAAAATTTTTCAGACTTATCTAATCCTCGATGTATCCCTGCAATGTCGCTGTTCTTGTGCGTCTATAGAGGTCATAAGACACTCTTTCCTGGTGTATTTCTGCTGCATGCTTATGCAATCTCTTAGTGAAGGTTCGATTGCAGTGTTTCCATTTACTTAGTTGAAACGATATCTTATGGGGGCTATAGTTCCTTCATCGTTCTTTTGCTCGGCTCTGTCTCTGAAATGAAATGTAATAACAACAACACAATTTTTCTCTCACTACTTTATTATATTCACTTCCTTTTAACTTCTTTACAATTTGTATGATCGAGTTTAATTTCCTAACTCAACTGTTTGAGCTTGAATCTTCTTCTTTTATAGTAAAAGATTCGAGCTTTTTTATTCTATAAATAGAATTCCTTTTAAACGGAATTCTATTGTTTTCTTGATTCTTTGACGCAATTGAGTGGAAAATCAACACCTGCAGGTGTTGATTACTCACTCGTACATTGCGTTTGCTACATAGTGATGTTTTCGCCTAGTAGTTTTTCTTGAACCCATACTTTTTCTTTCATGTTGTATTTAATGTACATATCTTCTTCTTTATATGGATGGACCCATATGTCGTATGCTTCTTTTATTACGTATTTTTCTTTCATCGGGCGATGAAAGTAATAATAATCGTCTGATGTTTTGAACTGCAATAAGTGTTTGTATTTGATGGTTGCAGATTCTTTTGTTTCCGGATTTCTCAATTCTAATTTCGAAATCCTTCTGAAAATATCCTTTTGATTCCATCTTGGGTATTGTCAGAGAATGCAACATTATTATTTTGAATCATCTGAAGTTAAGATAAATCTAACATGATGAATATTTCTTTAAAGGCTCATTTGCTGTTAAATTCTCATCAATTTTAAATTCATCCTTCCAAAAACTTGAACGATTTAATGAAACGTCTTCCTCACGTGTTCTCGAAACGATTATAACTCGTTACATGCTAATTGCAGAATATAATTGATTAAGATTATTTTTAAAATTTCTCAAGAAAAAGGGCTTTTGAGTTAAAAGAACAATAAAAGAACAATAAAATTCCTCACAACCAACGATATCATTACGAGACAAAACAATAATTTATTCAAGTCCATGAAATGACAGAAGCAATGAGAAGTTTCTTGTCATAAAAGTAACAAATAAATTCGTTTATTTTATCATCGCTAAGTATTTTTAAATGATTCTTTCGAATTGAAGTGACCGTCATTTGACGACAAAACGACAGCATAAAAATAAATGAGAAAATTTCTTCAAGAAATTCAATTATACAATTAGAGTTTCTCATAGATCTGAAGAAAAAAGAAATCACTTTAGGACGACTAAGAAACAGAAAGGAAACGTAAAATTTAGAAACAAAACTCAACACGACTTAACCGACGTCCCTCAGCCTCATCTGTTGTGCTGATACAGAGAAGCGAAATTCTCTTCTTTATCGTCGTCGAAATGAAATTCTTAGCTTTTCTTTCATAGGAACGGGAAAGAAAATGTTTTCAATGCTACCTTCTGACTTAATCTCATTTCCCACAAAAAAAGAAGCAGAGAAAAACTTGGATTTTTGGTTATAAATAAATTATGGGGCGAGCGTTAGAAAGATGGAGTTCTGAGCTTCATTCAGTGGTGCGGTTCCAAATTAAAATGAATGTTGTCAGGAAATAAAGAATAAGGTCTAATGCCAAATATGCTTTCGTCTATCAATAATGTTTGTGACATTACCATTTTTCCTTTACAAAACTGAACTGAACTCATTCGATTTTCAATAAAAATGAAAGCTTTTCACAAATGAAACATCTGGGAGTCGTTTTCATACGCGAATGACTTTGCTATTGAAGAAAGACATAAAAATTATTCATGAAAGTTCCGACGTCACCAAGTACTAAATATAATGCTTTTCTATAGACGTCACTCATGAACGATGTCTGTCGAGTCGACCGATCTTTCATCTTTTATAGATTTAAATACATTTGACGAATAAAGACTAGACAAGAAAGCAATAAAAACTTTTGCTTCCGCATGACACCGTGGGCGGACTTTTTAGCTTCTTCTTTTTATAGGGAATATTTGAAAATGTCAATCAAAAAAGCTGTCACATGAGATAGGAGGAAATTTTCAACATCTTATTCCAAATTCAAATGAGAAACAAGACAATAAAAAGCACCAAATTATCCGCTTTAATTTCCACTTCTTCCTTCGATGATTTTTTCTTAAGTCTCTCCTTGCCAGCGGTTTCTTATAACATCACTTTTATTCTGAGTTTTAATCTTATTTCCCTGGAGCTTTATACATTTCTCGTTTAAAGCAACAGCCCTTCAGGGGAAAGGGATGCTATTGATTTTCTCCGTGTCTCTTTGGAGCTTGTCGATTACTTGAAGGGAGGCATTAAATAAAAAGAAGAAACTTCATGAAGAAAAGTTTCAATGTTCAATGTCTGACCCACAATTTTTCTTTCCCCCTTCGACACACGACTCGTTTAGTTCTTTATTTGGGGCATGTGTTAACATGAAGTGCAAATTTAGAAGATATAAAATTAGTTTTTACGATCTTTCACTCTTCTTACACAATTATCGTTAGAGTCTATCAACTAGTGAAACATCCCGATGTTTAAAGCAACATTTGATACTTTAAAAGCTGAGATTTTCATCTTTACCCTTTACATGAATACTTTCTTTTTATTTATCTAAGTAAGTAAAGTATCAAGTATTTTTAGAAACTTCAGTGAACGTAGGATATTTGAATCATTGTTATGAGGTTATCCCTCATCATAATCTACTGAGAAAACGACTTTGAATCTACGTAACAAAAACAAAAAAAAGGTTGTTAAACGAAAAGATGTAAATTTAGCCAAAAAGTAAAGAAATTTATGATTACGAAATAAAGGAAAGTTGAGTTTGAAAAAAAAAAGTTAATTTGAAATCTCACTAGCCTATGTGGGTGTAGGTGGAAGGAATCAGATGTAGGATTCTATCAGCTAATGAGAGGCTTACAGAAGCTCAGTTTCTAATGTTTCGTTTTGTTTTTTGTTGTCATCTTTCAGTGTTTGCTAAACAATTTGCTTTTCCCTCCTCGATACATAATTACCTTCTTACCTTTCTTGTTAAAGTGTTGATTCTGTTATGGAATTAAATTCTTGGACATTTCCTTTGTAATATTCTTTGAAAGAGAATAAATCAAAGTTTATTACTGTAATAATTATAATTTTCAATGAGAATGGAAGCCTTCTTGCTTCTTGCTGTTATGAAAGCATTAAAACTTTTGTAATAACCGTGAAGGAAACTTCAAAAGTTAGTAATGTTTTCTTTATTGGCAATAATTAAGATATTTAGTTAGCGCCAGAAACATTTCAAGCCGTACACATTTAGACTTTTATCAACAAAAAATTCTTTGTTTTTTAACATTGTAAACGTTTTCTCGCTCTCATTAATTTCAATCAAATATTCATTAATACCTGAAGCCTTTTACATTCAAGGCGGTCTAGTTCGAGATAATTTCTCCCAATACGATCTGAAAGATAAACATTTCAGTTTATGGCGACAATTCAGCAAAGGTACACACGTGTTTTAATTAAAGAACGAAAAAGTGATAAAGATAAAACCGGAACAACAGCAACAACATCCTCAAAATACTTTTTAAACAACAATACAAAACAGTCAAAGAAAGTGAGAAAATCTACGTAAGCAGCAATTTCCGAAATGCTAACGACAAAAAGAAAGGGTTTTGCTCAATGAAAGTGTTGCATAATTTATGCGTTGGTTAATTTGACGAACGTAAGAAAGCTCGTCGTAACAAATCCGCGAAGAGGGAAATAAATATTTATGCAAAGTAATAACAGTGCGTAAAGACTTCTCTGCTGATGATGAATAAGCTTGTTACCCAATTTTCACTTCGGTTTAAACGATTAAATGTGCGGGAAGGATAAACAAGCGACGAGAAGCTCGCAATATCTAATGACAACCAGTCAGGAATGCTGTCAAGAAAAAAAGTGATAAACGTTCTGTCTCTGAGTTTGCGCTTATAAATCCTCCCTCTAGAGAATTGGCAAGAAATTTCGCACCGTGGGACACGGTACGCGTGTCTACAATCAGGTTTCTTCTAGAATGAAATTTCAAATTGATCTGTTGATTATTTGTTACCATGCCTGCCACAATTTTATGCAATGAAATAAAGCAAGACGTAGAATGAGAGAAAATGAAAAGAAAATAAAGAAGAAATGATAACAGAAAGAAAAAGAAATCTTTTGTACTAACATTATCAGTAATCCCATCGTTGAATAAGCAAGCAGTGTTATTGCTTCGTGTGTTTATCATATACAGAATCATAAACGAGCAATCAATACTTTTATAATACTAAAAATTTTTATTGAACAATACGAATCTGATATCCTCTTATCCCTAAAACGTTTGTTTTTATGTTCATTCAGCATGACTTTTTCTTCTTCAAGAGACACAAAGAGAGAGATGGAAAGAGAAAGCTTTCCAGTTGAGAGAAAGCACGTGAACAATTTTCCAAGCTTAGTGATAAGAAAATTGTTTCAGTCGTGTTCTATAGTTCACTGTTAGCAGTCGGAAAAATCTTTTCTCGTCTCTTCTTCGTAATAAGAGGAAAAAGAACCCGAAAAAAAAGGAATTCTTCACTTTTTATCACAGAAAAACTTTTTTTTCTTCCGTTCTTTTATATCTGCTTTTTCCACGCCGTGCTCTTATGATTGCGACTTGTGATGATACTGTGAAGTCAATTTCCGTAAACGGACCAAATACTTAAAAAAAAGTTTAGGATCGAAAGATAGTAAAAAACAAGAAAGAAAAAAACCTGAAAATTACTGAATAAAGTTTGAAGGGAAGTTTTGGTGTTGTTGTTGCTGCTTGAACAATTCAAAAAGTGGATAAATAAAAATACTAAGCCGAGGAGAAAAGAGAAATATATCAAACGAAAAATCTAAAAACAGTCAATCAACTTCTTCCCACGGATCCATTAAATTGAAAACAAATAACAAAACGTGCTGCGAAAAAAAAAAGTTTTCCATTTCTTTTCGGTATCCTCAGGAAACTTAAAAAAGCAAGAAAAATTATCCCAGATAGAAATTGAAAACCTTCGTCTGTTTTCTTCTTTCACATCAAAGAAGCAACGCCCGTGGCAAGGATACTTTAGTGTCGATTCAATTCAATAGCAATTTCCAATTAAATTGAATGAGTTTGAGTGGAATAAAGTTTTAATTTTGAAAAGCAAACATAGATGTATAATTAAACGTATACTGCAGTTGTCATTTCAAAATGATTGCCTTGCGGGCGTAATTTTTGCCAACCAACGTGTGTAATTGAAACATTTATGAATGTCTACAAATGTGAGCTTATTCTTCAATAAATTATAAATAAACAGTAAATTAAAATCATGTTTTCTAGTAGTGTATCAGTTCTAATAATTACATAAAGCACATTGACAACAACAGTGCGTCGAACAGAGCATAGCAGGTATTCACCACATCCCTAATCCCACCAATAATAAATATCTATGACGAACAGTTTTATGTGCGTCTGATGCGGTTACGCTATAAAGTTTATAACATTATCAAAAGTTGGTTTAGAAAATATAAAGAAATAAAGGTGCAGTCAAATGAGGTTTTATGGGATCATCAAACATTTATGGATTGAAAATATGAAGCAGAAAAAAGCTTGCAATTTCTTTTTAATGTTTTTCTTTTCATATTTTTATATGCGTGTGTGTTTGTGTATGTGTCGGGTTCAAGAAATGAAGCTGTTGAATATTAAACAGATAAATACATAAATTAAAGATCAACAAATGTTATTTGCAATTCAATCCTCGACAGAAATCTCAGTTAAAGAAAGAAAGAAGACAAAGAAATGCGACACATTCAACAAGCAGATAGAAGAGAAGAGAATTGAAAATTAAATTTTCATTCATCTTCAACTTTTCTTTTGTTCTCAAAAATGATTATTTAATTCATGACACTAATTATGTAATATATCTCCCAGTTGTGTGTGTGTGTGAATGTCGTCAACATAAATATATGAATGGACTTAATTTCAACTTATGATGACTTTTCGTTGTTAAAATGTTTGTCCTTCTCTTTAGGGCAATAATGTATCAAAAGCAAAAGGCATTAACTCAAAGCTATGAATATTTAATTTACCGTAATGATAAAATTTTCGTTAGAAGTAAAGTAAACTTTTAAAACATTAGATTTCTCTTTTTTCTTTATGTTTTTATGTTTAATATTTAACAAAGTAAATATGGAAAAAGTAAAGAGATAGGAAGTTTATCTATTACCCTTTAACATCTTTTAATATTTGCTTAACACGACATTTAACTACGTACTCAGTGTGTGGATGTGAATGCTTGAAACAGTCTTCAACTTTTATTATGCATGTGAGCCTAATATTTTTACTTTCCAACGATAATAGTTTCAAACAGCAAGCTTCACATACGTAAAGTTTAGTGTATATCGTACAGTATTCAGTAAGGTAACCTGGATACCTGTTTGACTTGTGAAAACATTAGACATGTAACCGAATAAAGTACCTTTACGAAATTAAAAGAATAATATTCAAATAGATATCCTTTACAATGGTTTCCGATTACATCAAACACAGACAAATTAAACTTTTCTATCCCTTTGTGTTAACAGTCATTGCTTTCATTTATTATTAAACAAACCATCGGAAACACTAAACACGTTTCAAAAATACTTTAAATGAATAAATTTTTCAATTCTGTCAGCAATGAAATGAAACTTTCATCGCGATGTTGGAAAGTGTTAAATTCTTTACTTTCTCCTTATTAATCGTTTTGCTAATTTAATTAATCAGCCATTGCTAGTAATTAAGAGCACTTCGTTGTCATTGAAACATAACTTATTAACATAAAGCTTCTCACTATCTATTAGGAACAGTGTTTTCTGTCATTTATAACCAACTTTCATTCGTAAACTTGAAAGTTTAATTCCTTTCATTAGAAACAAAGCCCTTGAAAGTTATTATAAGCTTAAAATTTACTGTGAAAGCATTCTATTATATCTGAGATTATTCCACATTTCTATTAAACCATCAAAAGCTTTTTTTTCTATTTTTTTTTTGCGTTTCCACAAAATTATATTCTCACAAAGGAAATCCTCCATGAATCAACTCTGATAAAGCTGCGGAATGAGAACGAGAAAGACGAGAGAAATAAAAATCCTTTTCACTATTTTAACAACTTTTTTCCCTCTTGTTTCCGTGCTCTCATGTTTTTGACCTTCATGTCACAATTAAAACGTGTCAAACGAGTAATTATTTGCAGAAGGTTTTGGAGTACTTTTCATGCTTTAATTTAAGTGTCACAAAGTATTTGGCTCATTAGTGAATGTCGAAAATTTGTACCGGAAAACATTTTTATCTTCTGTTGAATTTGTTTAAGGAGAAAGGTTTCATTTCATTCATAATTCCCGTGTAAAATCTCATTGCATTATGCAATGTGAGGTTCTCGCTCGGCTACTAAAGTAAAGTTGAAAAAGGTTTCCTAATCTTTGTTATTGTTTGGCTTGGAAAAGGCAAAAGGAAAAATGTTTTTGTCGTCCTATCAAAAGAAAAGAAGAATTCATTGTTAAAAGGACTGACAAGAAGACATACGGAAAAGTTTTGAGGGACCTTAGTCACTTCCTTACTTCCACATATATACACACACAAGCACATACTTCCTTACTTACTTTTGCCTTTGCTTTTGCAGTGATGTGTAAGCAAACTTAATATTTATAAACATAAAATCATGTTATACATTCTCCCTTTTGCTTCTTTTCCCAAAGGAGCTTAAAGTTAATTCATGAGTAATGTTAATGGCTCTTATAGCTGAAGTGCTACAAATTTATATATGTAGAAAACAAATAAAAACAATTTTCTTGACACTTATGATGAATAAAAGCCTAAAGACATCCTCAAATAATCAAAATCTTCTTAGATGGATCTCATTGAGAGAAATCACTTGATATGCCTGCGTGAGTAGAGAAAGTTAATTATCGATCTAAACGAGAGATGAAATATTGATAGCATGACTTGGTTATTGTTGTTGTTACAGCTTCGAGAACAATTTACTTGATCACTTCTACTCTGTTTAGTCTCGAGACGATGTTTTTCTAGAGGAAAAAACAGATGCCCGTAGTAAATTGAGTCACAATGATGAGAGACGTAAATTTGATATTAGATTCTAGAAGCTGTTAACGAGAACACCCATTATAAAACATATTCATTTACCGATGATTAAGAGACTAAACATTAAATGAAATTATATGAATTATTTACTTAAATCACGTTACGATTAGACCAAGTATCCGCTTGAATCCCTCTAGGATGGATGAAAAAAAAAGTTTTGTTTGCGTTTTCTTATTGTTGTTGTTCGTGTGAAAACAAGAACTTCATTAATCCAACGAGAAAAAAAAGAACCACATTGCTTACAAAAGTGTACAATCCCATCATTATTTTTAATTAATTGCATTTTTATTCGTGGTAACTTTGCGTGAAAGCGGATTAAAAATGTTGTAACTTGCTTTAATTTCGATTTATATGAATTCGTATCATAAATTTGCAGGTCATTGAAGTGAAAGTTTCAAACTCAACTTAATCAGGATAGTCAAGAAATGAAAGCTTACAGTTGGAAATTGGAAATGATGTAACACGATTAAGAGAAATCCTTAAAAAGCAATGGAACTTGATAAGCCGAATTTGTCAAATGTGAGTTAAAATGCTTTTATAAATCGCTTACACATTTTTTTCTCGTCTACTTTATTTAATATCATGACATCATACGGATGTTTATGGATAGGCACGATAAATATCATCACGAAAATCTGTCATAAATTTTATAGCAAAGTCATGGAAATTTGTCGACAAACGCTGACATAAGCAGCTGCTTTTCACTAAATGTTATCGTCATAAATAATTTCCTCCTTTATAACTGTTGCTATAAATGTTGTCTTACAAGTGACAAACAATTAAATTTAGTACCTTAATAATAAAAACAAGAATTGTTTATGGCAATAAATTACCACTTATTCGATTCAATTTATCACATGTAATAAAAGTAAATAAGCATTGTCTTTGTGTAAAATTGTCTATTTATGTAAGTAGGTTTATAGAAAGCTTTCATCATGAGAGCTTTTGAGAACAAGACACTTGCTTGAGAGAAATTCAAGTAAACAATGAAACGTGACATCATTAACAAACATCTTGTTCTAATGTTTTTTGTTACATTTCATTTCTATTTCTATCTGAAAATATCTAAAGATGTTGATCGATATAAACACCCAAGTGGCATCGTTTCGCGATATGCTGATTCACATTGGCCATGACAAACATGATTGTCCTGAATTAAGAGCACAAATAAGAAAAACGAGACGAGCGTGTGTTGAATCTTGTATCAAGGTAGCAAAGTCAATTTTACCTCAACTAAAAAGGTTTGGATGATTATTCAATGACTTTCGGATGTTCGATTAACGACTTGTTTTTCTCTCATCTTTTCCTTCCATTTTCATTCCCTTTTATACTGTTGATGATGTTATCAGTGACTCGGAAATCACAGCCACGCCAATTCTCGACAATCCACATCTGATTCTACTATTTTATCTAACACAACTCTTTCTAAGAGAATTAGTTCGTTCGTATCATCTCCTGAAGATTATACCAATGGACATGAGTGGTTACTTTGGTAAATATATAAATAAATAAAACACTTCATTCTCAATTCCACTGGTGGGTGATCAGGGAGAATACTTAGTCATTGAATAAATTGCTAATCTCTTTCAATTTCTCTCTGTCTTCTTCAATGAAAATTACGTATGCAGACAGCTCTGCGGTCGGTCCATCTAATCTTGGAAACGTTATTAGCCAACTTCTTCTGTGCAAGCAAATCAATCCTGATTTCCATTCTGAAGAGCTGTGTAGCATAACAAAAGATTCACAAGAGATAGCAAAGCTATTGGCAGAGATGCAAGAGTACATGCCGAAACAAGAAGCATACTTGGGTAAGCTCATCTACATTGCTATCAACTTCATGAAATATTTATAAGCTGTTTTTAACTTTTCTCATGCTTTCCATTGCTTTGATTTGTTTCAAACCTTCAAACCGTTGCTTCGCCTCGCTTCGCCCACAGAACGCAATGAGGTGTTAAAGGATAAAAATTCCGGCCCGTGGCCTGCAAAACGAAGACGAGCAGCGCTTTATCGTAACATGGGATTATTATGTTGTATTTCAAGACAGCATCCAAATTATCTTTAATTTGACGTTCACGTGGCCACGCGTGGCTTTAATTTCCATCATTCTGAGTAACTTTACGAAACGACCTAGAAAAATTCTTAAATAAAACGAACAAATCTCCTCGATGACGATGTTTTATGGAAAACTAGAAGTAAAAATCTTTTCGTTTTATTCTTCTTCTTTTTTATATGTTTTGTTTTTTTGTTGCGATGGGAAAGCATTAGAATAATACATCATGTACTGCTCCCACCCATACGATCATTTATTATTAGAGAGAGAAACGAGTGTCATGAGCATACATGATGGGGAAATAGAAAAAAAGAATGTACTACTCGTCGGCATACATGAGAAACCACCTTCTCTCGGCACCACAGTATTCCATATATTCATATCATTAATTAAGTTAAAAGAGCCTTTCCTTTCGTCGCTGAAATTTCTTTATGTAAAGTGACGACAACGCTAATAGCTGAACAGAAACCAAAAGACATGATTCAATGAAAGACACAAAATATTAACTTTCCAAGCCTTTGAAGGGATGATAAGTGAAAGTGATGATGATAATGATGATGATGATTCTAATGATGATAAATTCCAAGACATATTTGAATAGGATCCATTGGTGTCTGCCTGAGTTGGAAGAAATGTCAATCAAGCTATATTTTGATGATAAGGTCAAATTATGTCAACAAGTTGCTGTTGAAAGCTATTAAAATTATTTTATGTTATGTTAAACTATTAAACTGAAGGTTTCCATCCATCATATCAAGATTAAACTTCAAGTTTTTAATGAACAAGTAAATTTTTGTTAAAACAAAATCTAAGTTTTCATCTTCAAGTTAAGTCCTAATTATTTTCTACTGAATTCCTTTTCGATAGTTCTGAAACAATGGACGACTTTGAAACAGGATAGGCTTAAGAAAGAAGACAAGTGTAAGAACCTAAATGTAACACAAAGCAATTCAATTTTGAATCTAGTGAAACCCGAGAAACATCATCAATTTTGTATTATGAACGATGTGATCCCATTTTAAGGAAATATAAAAAGAAAACTTTAAGTATTTACCGTTGTCATCGTGACTGCGAAGTTTAGACATTCAAAACGCGTAAGGCTTTTAAAGTCCAACCAATGATATCATGAAAGCTTATCTAAGTTAGTGAAAATAATTTATGCACTTCACCTAGCATTGTATTTAGATTAGACGTTAAACGTAGAAATAGGGAAGGAATAAATAATAATAAAAAGAAGTTTTCATATAAGATACCATCATGCTCCTTATATATACTTATATGTATGAATTGAATCACTAATATCTAAATATTCTTGATAACATAGATCTCAAAAGACCCGAACAAATCCAAGTTCTTATCTAACATCAGACTATAAAAGTATCTAAGAATAAATATAAAATATATAACATTAACATATTTACTAAATACATAAGCATTGATGGGAAAAATGAACAACATTTGGATGTAATCCAATTTAAGTTCAATCAATTGAATCAAGCGATAAGCTCAAATTGGAAATTGAAAAGGTCAACAGATGAGTTATTGTTGTTAGTTGGATTGTACATGATATTGACATGTCTTAACAACAAAAAATGAACATTGATGCAATGTCTGTAGTGTTATAATAAATATTGAAAATGGGAACATTTTACTTTTAAAAATAAAAAAGAATCTTCATCAAAATTTCTTCTTTTTGCAAGGATTTAAAAGCTTAAAAAAATTCTTTAAGTACATATTATCATGAAAAGACCTGACCAGAAAGTAGATTTCCGCCGGACGGTAATCACCATAAATGAATTTAAAAGATTTTATTAAGACAAAGAAACATAAAAGCATAACAACATACATACATTTAATGCACGATAAGAAAACTGTAGCGAATTGAATCCAAAAAATCATCTCTTATACAGGGGAACTAGAAAATGTTACGTTAAGTAAATAAAACATAACACAAGACATTTCAAAAATAACAAGATAAAAGAGAAAATCACATTTGTTGTGTCATCTGAAATATTTATGAATAATTGTATTAAATATATTTTTCAAAGAAATCTAATGTTCTTACTTATTACTTACTAAGACTTTATGTTATTTATTTACAAACTTTCCTAATATATTCATGTACGTTCCCTTGTCATCTTATCATAAAAGCTTACAATCAACTAAAACTTTCATGATGGGGATCTTAAGAAGAAAAAAAATCTACATCAGCACATGATGATTGATACACCAAATAGTTTAATAAATTAAAGATATTAAATTTTAAAACATTTGTCAAATAAACATTTTAGCATATATTCAAGTATAAATTAACAATAATTAAAATATTTATTCATGAAACTGTCACACATAAAAAAATAAATAAATAAAGAAATAAAAGAAAGAGTTTGAAAGAAAAAATGTCGAGAAATCTGCTGTTTGGCAAAAATTCAAATTTTCAGAATGAAATTTTCCTTTACATTTTTCACTGGTTAAGGGCGGTGAAAAGAAAAGTTTGGGAAAAATTTATGAGTCGATTATATGCTATCTAGTTATGTGAGAATGAAAATTCTTTTATTCACATCTTAAACCTTTAACAAAAGAATGTTTGTTTAGATTTATGGAAAATATAAATAAAATTGCATTAAACACGTGAATCCTTGAATAATGGACCTTTATTTTAGGATCCAACGTCTGCTGTGCTTTTGTTTTCTTTTATCACAGGAAAAGCTCGTGAGAATAAATATTCTGGAAGTGTTAACTCGAGTATGACTTTTTATTTATTTTGTGTTCTTATTGCACTCGACATTCATGAATTAATAAAAAATGTCTCTCCCTCTTTCTCGTTTTCTATTAGCAACACGATTAAATGTATTTCGCTTCCACTAACAGATATTTATCTGTTAAAGGTGATTTTCAGTTTTATATTGCTCAAAGCACTTTCATAGCGTTGTAAAACGAAAGTAGAATAATGGATGAAAATTTTAAATTGCGATATAAATTCAACAAAATTGCATAACAGTTCATTCGGAGATGTTATCTTATCATGAAAATAGTTGTTAAAAATTTAATAATGTGTTGAACTTTTTTATTTACAAAAATTTTTTCCTTCCTTGTAAATCGATTTTTACTTGATTTTGTTTTCTGATGACAAACATGGACAGAATTGGATTCAATTAATATCTGAAAAACCTGTATAACATGTAGTTTTGAGCAAAAGTTTTTTAAAAAAGGAAAACGTAATGGAAGCCATGTTTTGAGATTTGTAAAATGACATAAAAAATGTAGTGAATGTTTGTTACTGACATCAACAGGAAAAGTTTTTCTTTTTTCATTTTTGGGGACAAATGTCTGGTTACACTTCAGAGCATAAATAAATAAGCTCAAATTTCACCATAAATGTTGCTAGTCCTTCTAAAAGAATCGAAAGTTAAGTTAAGCTTATTACATCCTTCCTTTATGTACACATCTATCAACAAATATGTTTCTGTGTACATTTAGATATTATAAACTTATAAACGTGGAGGGAATTTCATGCAATTAATTGTTTTCCGTATGTTTCCATAGCTAAATATATAAATATCATAAAACATTCTCATGTCATGCATAGAGCTTTCAAGCTTTCTCCAACCATCCCCACTCACCGAACTCTTCAAATAAATACAAGTATTCTGTCACGTCATGAAGCTTCATTGATCACAATATAGAAGGGAGGGGGATGAGAAATGTAAAGAAGAAGAAAATACAAAAAAAACCAAATAGCTACACGAATCAAAAGAAAAAAGAATTATTGAAACATTGAATTCAATTCTGATATCAAATTTCATTTGAATTTGATCACTCATGAAATTTATTCTTCTTTTGCCTTATCGGCATCATCTTCGTCTTCGTCGTCATCGCATTTGAATTTATATTTGCTGAAAAGATTCCCTCAATTACGTTTATTAAGGTTTACGAAGTCTACGATTGTTTAAAGATGAGATGCTGTTGTTAAAAATTCATAAAGCGATTGAGTTCAGATGATAAACATTCATAGTCGCTTCTTTAAATGAAAAAGCTCTCGAATTGGAACAAATCTGATTGAAAAATCTGAATAAATGGAAATGTTCGCCATCGTCTGCGTTTATATTCTATGTGAAGCTATTCACAACGAAAATTTTTATTTCCTGGCGGTGAATGAGTTTGAAAATGTAATTTTCACACAACGCGATGAAAAAAGCCGATGGTAAATTTGAAATACGTATTTAAGTACCTTGGTAGTTAAAAACTTTAACTTTTCGCTTCTATTAATGTATAAAAATGTTTCATAAAGTGAAAACAAAAATTCATTTTGCTTTTATTTTCTTCTCTTCTCGCTATCTATCGACGAACGAGACTTTTTGTTTTGTTTATTATTAAATTCTTTACAATTTCTGCAGTGATATAAAAAAATGTAATTTGATTAACATTCTGTTATTCATTCAATGGGGAATCGGGAAAAAAAATTTATTGAATTCTTAAAGAATAAATGAAAAAGAAAAATTGAAAATAAATTTTCGCCGATAGATTTATGAATGTTTTAAAATTCAATCGTAAATATCGATTGATGATGTTAAATTATGCATTAAAGCTGAAGTGCAGCGAATACTGGAATCATTTGGAAGTAAAATTCTCGCAAAAGAAAAAAAAATCATAAAAATCTATTAAAAATTAAGTAAACTTTTTTATCTTGTTTAAGATGAATGTTTGGTAAATGGCCAAGACAAAATAAAAAATAAGAAATAAAGAATTATTCCACAGGTTTTTATTGTTCGTTCTCATTTTCCTTGGCTCCGTGTTTGAGAATTCTTGTGAATTCAATGTAATCAAACAAATTATTCTTGATTGGCGCTTCACGATACATTTCGTCAACCTATTTGTAGGAAGAAGAGAAGAATGAAGCTGTTTGATGAAATTTTCCAACAACAAAACTTACATCTTCGTCAGTGAAACGGTCGCCCATTGTTGTGAGGAGTTCTCTGAGGCGATCCTCAGAAATGTATCCATTATTGTCTTCATCGAAACAACCGAAGGCATTCTTAATGACATCTTCTGGATCTGTTCCTTGTAAACGCTCACCGAAAAGTGTGAGGAACATCGTAAAGTTAATTGGACCTGGCGCTTGATTCATCATCTCTTCAAGATAATCATCTGTTGGATTCTTACCCAATGATGCCAACATGTCATGCAGATCTTCTTTTTCAATAAAGCCATCGCGATTTTGATCGATCATATTGAATGCTTCCTAATATTTATCATGAGAAAAATGAATTAAAGATTATAAATAAAGGTATTAGCAAAGTTATCACTCACCTTGAACTCAGCAATTTGAGCTTGATCAAACATGGCGAATACATTTGATGTCGCTCTTTGAGCTCGTTTTTTTGTGGTGGCACGACGTGTTGCTGTTTTACGTGATGACATGTTGAAAAGATTTGCTGCAAATAATTTGAGATAAAAAATATTTTAATTGAAATCAGATATATTTGTGGCATTGATAACCAACATGCAAATTTGATGTGGGTGAGTCAGTTTTTTGCAGTCATACAAGGGAATTTGCACATTCAAATGAAGTCTTGAAAGTGACTAATAAAGAAACTTTCGCAAAAAAAACTTATATTTACATTGTAAACAGGTTCAATTAAGAAAAAGACCTTACAATAAACAATAAGCCAAGTCATGTAAGAAGAAGCCGAGACTACGAGTTAGTTTATGTCCATAAAAGGAAGAAATTCATTGAATGGAGTCTGTTTGAATTGCTTTTAACTAGACCGCAATTGTCAGCGATTAACAAACGCAGATGTTGCAACAAATCTATTTTTATACGATTACTGAAAGTTAGGCAGCATCTCTTTGATTGATCTTAATATTCAGAATACAGAATTACATCTTTCCACAGTAAGAAAAATGTGAATATTAATACACAACTTGATCCAACTCTGAACTTATTAACTTGGAATTTCACGCACACATAAAAGCAGAAGAAATTGTTGATGACTCAGAAGAAAACATGAAATCATAATTAACGAGGAAAAATGCTGATAAGGCTTCTTTTTACTGCTCACCGGATACGATTGTATCATGAACTCGTTAAGCGATGTTCATTTGTGTAATAAATATCGGTATTTCGATTGAAACTACTAAAAAAAACCGAAAAATTCTAAGGTGTGAACAAATTTTTGTCTTTTGAGATATATTCCACAATTTTCACTAAATCTTTCATGTTTTCCTAATGTATGTTATGTTAACTTACAATAATTTAACACTTTAGATTTAAACAAATGGTAATTTAAAGATTTATTTAATAAAAAACTGTTTGCTTATCGTTACAAAGGTTTATAAAGAGAAATTCTGCAACTTAATGTTTTAATCACTTGGTGGCGCTGAGGTAGATTTGAATACAATTTTTCAGTTAACTTTTTTTCTCAGTTTTAATTTTGCCCCTTAATGTTATGCAATATGAAATTCCCTTTGTATCTTTGAATTCAATCAATCAAAGTTATCCTTATCAATTTTACAACCTTTCAGATATTACAAACACCATTGAGAAGAAAATAATGAAGAAAAGCTATTGTTAACACTTAATTCAGATAAGAAATTATTAGTAGCATTTTGATAACTCGCGAAGTAAATTGAAAATCTATAAAATTTGTTACCGAAAAAAGAAGATAAATTTAAAAATATGAAGAACCTTATTGTGATTTTAATTTTGTGTATCCATAATTCATGTTGCTTCAACTATAATCAAAAATTGAAAATGTTGCTTGAAGACATTGACTTTAAATCTCAACCAAAAAGCGATGCTCAATGTTTAAGACAATTTTATTATTTATCAGATGCTTTTGACAAAGGAGAGTTTTGGGCGATTGAATGGTTTAATTCTTGGGGTCAAGTACCATCTGGTGTTTTTTCGGGACATTTTGAAAGTGTCGGAAGCTTTCAACAGTGTATTAGAATGGAACATTTTGCGAATGAAATTGTTGGAAACCTTAAAGGTCAACATTGTATGTTAAATCTTCAAGCACGTTCGGAATTAGAAATCGATGATACATTTACGACTGTTGCAAATCAATTTGAATGGGGCAACATGTAAGACGTTTTTATGAAATATCGTATAATGGCTCAACTCAATTTAATCAAAAAATAATATTTTTAGTGCTTCAATAGCACAAAATTTTAGTTGGAGATTATCAACTGCAGTTTGTTTTCCAGCAACTTGTTCACCTCAACTGACCATTCAAGTCGCTCAGAATTTATTTCCAGAATATCAAGTTCTACAAAGAAGCAATCCTGAACAATTTTGCTATACTAATGAGCCAATGAATCTTGATGCTCGTGATCTCTGTGCGATGTAAGAAATTCAACTTCTTAATTAAGAGAAATATTAAATTGCTAATTTTCAAGATTATTTTTATTGTTGATTGGCTTGCTGTTGATAGTCAGCACAATTTATGATGTCACCATTCGAAAACTACAGCTCAAACCACATGCACTCTACACTTCATTTTCTCTCTTATCGAATGGTGAGAAGCTTTTTGAAATGAATTCAAGCAAATCTCCAGAGTCGATTGAATGCGTGAATGGAATCAGAGGTTTATCAATCCTATGGATTATGTTGGGTCATCGATATTTGATTCCAATATTCTTCGTTCCTGTTATCAATAGAAATTATTATAACGTCTGGCTTGATTCCATTTTTTCAACTTTTCCGAACACATCACAACTTGCTGTCGACACTTTTCTTTTGATGGGAGGTTTGCTTATCACGCGTTCATTCCTAACACAAAAGGAGAAGAAAGGAAAAGTCAACTTGTTAAGATTCTATCTCCATCGTTATTTGAGAATCACTCCCGTCTTACTAGTTCTCGTCTTTATTATGGTCTCGTTTTTCAGACATTTCGGCGACGGACCTTATCACAAAAATGCTTTGAATTTTAATTTAATTCACTGTGAAAAATATTGGTGGGCGACTTTTCTTCACATTCAAAATTATTTCAATCCACTGGAACTTGTGAGTTTCATTTAGAACTTTACAAATTTGGTTAATAAATTTGTTGACTTTTAGTGTCTTTCACATTCTTGGTACTTATCAGCTGACTTTCAGCTATGCCTTGCCAGTCCATTGTTTCTTATCATGACGGGGAAATTTGGTCGAAGATCTTTGATTGCTGGTGTTGTTCTAATCATACTTTCATGGGGATGTGCATTCTCAACATTTTACAAGTATGATTTATCACCTTTCAATCCTGCAAAGTAAGTTTTCTTGATTATGACATTTATTTGTAAAATTATGACGAAATAAATTTTAAGTGGCGTTAATAGCGGGAAATTCGTACGAACACTTTATGCAACTCATATAAGATTGGTTGGATGGGTGACTGGAATGATTCTCGGTTATTTTCTTCATTATAATAAATCTAAAACGTTTAAAGTGAATCGCAAACTGGCTGCGTTTTTGTGGATTGTTAGCTTTAGTTTGATAATTGCAGCAATTCTTGGACATCATCCATTTCAACAATTAAATGAAAATGACGTCAGTCAACTTGCGAAAGGTTTTTATAATTCTTCAGCTAGATTAGGATTTGTTTTAGCAGTTTCATGGATTATTTTCTCATGCCATCAACTGAAGTCTGGTGGGATTGTCAACTGGTTTTTGTCACTTCCACATTGGAAGCCATTAGGACGAATGGGATTGAGGTAAGCAGGTTAAACAATTCTCTCAAAATTCATTCATCAATTTAGTTTACAGTTTTTATCTTGTTCACGTCTTCATTCAACTGGGCTTCACGAGTTATCAGCAATTTCCAATGTTTTTCAGCAACTTTCATATTGTATGAATTTAAATTGATAATTTATTCTAAAATTATTTATTTGTCTTCTCTTTCAGCTTTTTGCGTTCTTCGGTGATTTTGTTTTGACGTTTTTTGCATCAACTCTGTTGTATCTATCGTTTGAAGCTCCCATTTTAATAATTGAACAATATTTGTATCAGCGTTTTAGTAAATAAAATAAAAGTCTCGCATTCACTTATGAAGAAGTCAATTTCATGATTTTTTTTATTGGAATTCACTGCGACTTATTGGATTGAATTTTAATGTCAATATTTGCAGATTCTATAAGATATTTTGGAAGATGAATCAACAGTGGAATTAACGTACTTACTTTGTAGTTCAATCATGAAGCGTCTAATGAAATCCAAGAAATTTCAATTAAATAATCGATAAATCATTCGAGTTGGATTTTTTTTTATTATCGAGTCTAAGATTAGCTTGAGATCATAAAAATTACTCTACTTCAGTTTTCAATACGATTGCTGAAAACGCTAAAGATTTCACATCAATTAACGCGTAACAATCGGTTAGAATCATTCCAATCTCCACTCTCTACGCTATAGAATCGAAAGAATTTACAGTAATGGTTTTCTTCTTCAGCTTCTTTCGTTATTATTCTCCCCAAACAAACATCATCACGTTCGAGTAGCAAAAGACCCGAAAACATTTCTCAAATGTGGAATCAGAACGGAAGATTTTTTTTTAGATTTTCCATGGTCATAAAACGGTTTCGGGATGTTGCTATGTTCAATGCTTTGTTCTTTCCAAAAAAAAATGTTTGGATATTTGACAAAAACATTTCTTTTCTCTCAATGACAAATTAAATATTTTTCAAGTGATCGTCTGAAGAGTTTAAGTGTCACTTATGTCAATTGAAATGCAAGAAAGAAATAGAAAATCAAGACATTGATTGTTAGCCTTTGATGTCGTCAATCATGCGATTACCAACAACATAACTTTGCGAATATATTTCAGTCATATAAATTTAATCCTAACTGTATAAATCATGACGACCGACGAGACATTCATGTTGATGATGAACGATCGCTGGTGACCTTATCTTACACTTCATACTTAGTTTATCGATTCGTTGAACATGTTTTTCTTCTTGTGTTGTTCTTTTGTGTCCGAAAAAAAAACTAATTTGACGCAAAACAATTTCGTAGATTCATTATTTGGGGAGAAAAAAATAATTCATTGGCTTGCTCGCATCATCGTTCACATTTTATGGAAAATCAATTAGGAACTAAAACAAAAACGATATCTGTAAACATCGAGATTGAATTGTAATGAATTGTGCCGGGTTTTGACTTCGTGGTAGAGAGAAGAATGAAAGGAGAGAATAAATGAAAAGAGATGATTGGGCTTCCACCGTGAAGTGACTCACATTTGAATTGAACCACTTGATCATCGGTCGAATCGTATGACGATCATGTGTAACCATTCACTGATGTTAAGCGCATGCACATAAACTATGAAAGTGGTAGTAGAAAGAGAAGAGACGGAAGAAAGAATAGTAAAGTCGATAATAAAAGTTAATTCTTGTTTATCTCAATTTTTCCTTTCATTCTGTTCTGCCTTCCATATGTGCTTCTTTGAATTAACTGTTAGCTGGAAAGTTGTGTTAAAATCTTCTTCATAAGCCATTAAAATTCATTAGGAAAAATTCTGCAAAAAAGTTACACGAAAACGTTCAATCAACACGAATTTTTTATTTGTTTAACATAACGAAGCTAGTGAGACTTACCTGCTGATAAAAAGAATAAATTTCCAACCTTCAATTGATAACCGCTACAATGCAAACGATATAAGCTCAACTCGCACACTACTGCAAACAAGGTTCTTCGTGTTCCATTTCTATCTATTTTTCTTTTTCTCTCACTTAGCCTCTCGCTTCGTTATTGTTCTCATGAAGCGCAACTCAAGAGACTTCACTTCAGTCGCTCGAGAAATTCCGGTTTATGAAGATCGAACCGTGCGTTGTTGTGTCCCGATCGAAAGGTTTTCGAAGGAAGGAATTCAAATTTATAAAATTCATGAACTTTGGTTCATCAATACTAAAAAAAGAGTTTTTTTCTTGAAGTAACATTAAGAAAAGATAAAAATTCCTTCATAAGATCGTTGCGATTAATTTCATCAATTGCCATATCGCCACGGGACAAAATAAAATTGTGTGGACGTGTTTTATTTTATATTTTTTTATTTTCAAGTTTAAGCAAAATTACTGCACACGCAATTGAAATGAAATTGTGAAGGAAGAAAAAGAAAGAAAAAATCTCGTCGATGAAGGAAAAAGAAGAAGAAGTTAAAGAAAACTTAAAAAATTATTGTGAAATGAAATGGTAAAAACATCATATTTGAGTGAATATCTTCAGAGGGACAAACAAAGTTCGTTTGTTTCACATGTCCATGTGTGTTAACTGATAAAATATTTGAGGATGAATGGCCATGCGGCATATCTAATGGCTTTCTGTGAAACAAAAATGACTTTCTGCTACGCCGCCAATGATAACGTGAAGTGAAGTCTGAGGATGTCATATGTGGGGATGTGAATTTGATTAGACAAAGATTTCGGAAGTGATGTTTGCAACACTCGACTCTGACATTCGAACCTTCTTTGTTGTCATAACTTTTTATTTTGTTTCTCTTATCAACAAGGCGCTTCATAAATTCTCCGAAGAGACATTATCGCGCAATGTTTTTGTGTCGCTAATGTGACTGAATGGTGACGAAAATATCATTAACGGTTCTTTTACCCAAGCAGCTGATAAGAAAAGTTGCAATAAAGTTAATCAGTATGGTGATTACCAAATTATCACGTATCAGTCTTGTTTCCTTAAACTCAATTTCTTTGTACTACATGGTGACTTTTCGATCAACAGATTAAAGTCAACAAATCGCGACACCGACAACTCAGTTCATGAGAAAAAGAAAAAAATATTCCCCAACTCTTTTTTATCGTTGATTGTATAATTTCGCGTTTCACTTGGTTCAATGCAAAAGATGAGAAAAAAAAAACGAATTTGTAGATTTAATGATATGTGAATGAATTCTCGCTGATTTGAGACACGAATGAAATAAGTATGAAGATTAAGCGAATGCCCGGCATAACATGAACAGATAAAAAGAAGTTTCTTTCTTCTTTATAAATATTGTCTTATGATGAGTTGAAATTGACAATTAAGAAGCGCCATTAAAATATTCACGAAGCTTCATTCTCATTCTTCTGGACATTATTCATCACCTCAAGCAACTCTTCAATTTATATCTATTGTGACGTGAATTTATCGCTGCCTGAAAGCTTGTGTCTAACAACATCATGTGCTTTAGAACGTCAGACATGTAATTGATGATTGGGTTGATTATCGCATGAATATCCATCGAAGTTTCTCTCTGCTTATAATTTTTTTTGCGCACAACCGCAAGCCTCAAAGTTTACACAAAAGAAAACGATTTTTTTCTCTCTTCCAATTCTATTTGCACACGAAAGACTAAAAAAAATTTAATGTTTAGTTAATTGACGTTGTGTTTTATTTTGCACAAATCGACCTGCAAAATAAAAAAAAGTTCGAGTGATCAGTGGTTAACGTTATACTTCCAGCTTCTGACCGACAATATCGCGCTGTGTTTAATTACGGAAAAGCGATAGTTAATGACGCGATGATAAAAAATTTCCGTTCCCAAAAAAAACAGCATGAAAAGTCTATTTTAAGAATCAATTAATTAACTCCAGTAAATAATTTTGCGTGCAAATCAATTGCCGACGATTCCGAGTGTAATCATAAATGTAAACTAATTTCATTTATTTATGAGAATTGATATTTAACAGGTGAAACCTTGACCTGATTGCTTGTAATGGCACGCCCATGTAATCAAATATAAAAGTGATTAACTCAGTAAATTGATACGTTTGGTAGATTCATTTGAATTGACATAATTTTCAACGATTAGTTTCATTCAATACAAAAAGAAGTGAAATAAATAAGAATTAAAAACTGCTGCTAAAGAGTGAAAAAATCTTCTTTTAAATAAACAAACCAAAATTCAAACAACAGATTTAGAAATTCTTTAATAAACCTTATTACTAGTAGCGCAAATTTACTTTACCCGTTGAGATCAGAGAAGAAACAAGTGAAGAAAATTGTGTTGTGATTAAAGGTGAAACATTGTAACGTATCATCAAAAATAATGTATGGAATTATGATTGAATTGTGAAGCAATTGAACTGAATCTAATATTTCAAAGAAAAACTTCAATCGAATGGATTTTGGTGGGGGGAAAAGTTCACAGAATGTTGCGAAATTCCAAAAATTACTTCCTTCTACTCGTCTTTTAATTACATTTCAATGAAAACATGTTATAAGTAAATGTTTGTCGAATAATCTTTCAGAGACCACTCTCTAAACATTTAATAAAGTTTGTACGCCTCGCTCGCTTCTTGAGTCAATATTGAAGAATGAATTGTGAGAGTTGTTCATTATTTACGTCATGGATGTGTGGAAATTCACGAGGAAACTGAAAAATCTCACTTGCTATTTATTCGTGCAAATACTAAAATAATTTCATTTGTTTTAAATTAAAAACATTTTAATTATGGTGACTTCATCGTGAAAATAATTAAAGAAACATTCGTCGGACACTTCTTAAGTGTCTAGACTGGCAGTAGTAAAAGAAAACATTTAAAATTGTTTATCGGAGAGTTAAAATGCGAGATTATTCTAAAGGAATGAACATGAGATGTATGATAATTATATAAAAATAAATTAGCTTGTATGACGGAAACAGAAAATAAATAAAAAATTTGTTTGAGTTCATCTTCATGTCATAAATTAACAATAAACATTCAAATCCACCCAATATTAAAGAAGCTTCTTCTTCTAACATTTCACACAACTTAAACAGAGAAAGGAAAGACCAAACGAATGCATTTCGATTTCAATATCGAGTGGTTGCATGTGCACTTGAGATATTAATGAGCCCCCGAAAAGAACTGAAGTCTAAAAGCCAAAACATATGTGCAACATGTATTCATTATAATTCATTTAAGGCTAAACGAAAAATAAAGAAAAGAGCTCGGAAATCATTCTCATAAAAAATAAAATAAAACATTTACATAAACTGAAGCGCATCATTTCATCGTCACACATCAGCATGCACAAAAGCATCAACATTTGTATTTCAAGTGAATCTAGAAAATCCTAATTTGAGAAATTGTGATGCATTTAAATTGTGTCATTGCTATGAGACTTTCAATCGTTTGAAATGATGTCAAATAATTAACATAAATTTATCTTGCTCACAGATTTCTTTAAATTATGACAAATTGTGGATGTGTAAAAGATTTGTTAGTGAAATAGATCACATGAGAATTGAATTTAGAGACGCTACTGATTAGAGTAGGAATATTAAATGAATTTTTACTCTGCAGCTATGATGCAATCAACTGTCGAGTAGTGAAGTTTGCATATTTAAGCGCAAAGAAGCCATGATAGTGCGAAAATGTCGTGCATTCCGTTAGTTCATTAGTAACATACTTACGACCTAGAAGAGAAACGCAAAAAGTGTAATTTCTTTACTTTTATAATGTCAAGTTCCTGGAAGTTTACGATCATCATCATCATACTTATCAAAGTTGATCATTTCTTGTCTACTTCCAGACTCTCAAGAACAATCTAATGCATTCTAATCAACAACGTGATCATTGGCAATAATTTCATTGTGTGAGATTATTATGGATAAAAATAGAACAATTGAAAAAAATTTCTCATAAGTCTCATGACGAGTACGAATACGAGAAAAAAAAGAAGAAGAAAGAGAAAAGGAAAAGAAGAAAAAGTGAGAGAGAAGAAAATTGTAAAAGTGAATGAAAAAATGTTTATGACAAATTTCGTCGCATGTAAACATGTAACGACTGCAAATGAGCTGAAGCCTCGAATTAAGTGGAAAAGGAAAAGTTATAAAGCATGTGCGAGAATAAGTTTTGGAGAAGACGATAAAATTAATACATAAAAAGAACAACATAAATTTCAAGGAAAAAGTGTGAAGAAGAAATAAAAAACGATAAGCAATCAAATGCATGTGCAAGTTTAGTTGAATTCGAATGCTTAAACGATGACCCAACGACTAAAGCTCTTTTATGGATTACTCGGAGCTGTTATTGGTCTGTGCATTGGAACGTTCCTGAAGAATTTTAGCACGATGGAAACACTCAGTCGATGTGATACAATTTCATTACCAACCATTCAGTCGAGATGTAAGTTTGATGAACTTTTTCTTTTCAATCACTTCTCTTAATTGATAAGACTCAACACCGGTTTGTTTTCCATTAGCGACCATGTGTGATAAACTGTCGAGTGTTGATTAATACAATGAAAATGATTTGTTGTAGAGCATCTTTTAATGTTATTTATGTTATTACTGGTTCAATCAGGTTTTTTTTGGTTTTGCGCATTGAATAATTGTTTGCAATTTTAAATGCACTTGAGGCATAAATTAAATAACACTAAAATGTTGTTATTCCAAATTACATTCAAGCTTGTAATTTCATGAAAAGAAAGATCATAAAAATAACAACAAATTATTTTTAAAGAACTGCAGTGCATGCTAAATGTCGAAATAAAAACCGTCAGATTTTTCACAAAAGCTTTTGATTGATGCTTTGATCTTGCTTACCAGCAACAAAAATTTGTTGAGACAGAATAATTTCTTGGAAAGGTCTTTTCCTTGGCGGTTTCGTTTCTGCTAAATGTTATGAAATAAATATTTATTTTTTTGTCTTGAAATTCTGTTTGTTCGTTGAGACAATGATTGTGCTTTTTAACGCACTCCCAGTTGGAAAGTTGTTATTGCATTGATTTGAATAATTACATAATAATGTATTGTTGATTTGTGCAAATATTCTCAACAATTTATTGCTTATTTCGAATCAAACACAACACAGATTCACGAGTCTTAAATTCAAGTCTATAATTATCAAACTTCCCTCTGGGCGCTTTATAATTATAACTAACATTCAGAAAAGAAACGAAAAACTGCAGCATAATTCAGAAGAATTCATTTTTATGAACATAATCCCACTGATCTCTGATCTTTTTTAATTACTCGAATGTTTCGGTTGTTAATAATTGTTGTGTTGAAATTTTGGAGTAATTTACCATCTGTCATGATGATAAACAAGAAGAGGTTACTATGTAAAAATTATCATCGTTTAACTCTCTTCCAGCACCACTAGAAATAATTAATTTAACTGCCGAAGAGACGCCATCAAACTCCCAACGAACACTTGTCTTTGTGGGCGTTATGACCTCCAAAGATTTCCTCGAGTCGCGAGCTAAAGCTGTTTACAATACATGGGGAAAACTTGTTCCTGGAAGGATTGCTTTCTTCTCATCTGAAGGTTCATCGGGTGATGGTAAATATCAAATTAAGCAAACTCATTTATCATCTTTTCATTCATAAATATCACTTGAGAGCAAGAAATAAATGATAAATTAGAGCAAATCCTCATTGGCAACTCTCTAGCATAGGAAGTGGTCATTATAAGCATGATTTACAACAGCCACTCAAATCACAAATTAAATTATTAATGCTTTTTAATTTTACACAATTCATTACTATGAATATTAAAAAATTCCAACGAAGAGTCGCATAAATTAATTAAATTCTTGTAGATCTTCCAGTCGTTGCATTGAACGGTGTCGATGATCGTTATCCTCCACAAAAGAAATCTTTTATGATGTTGCATTACATGTACGAACATTTCATTGACAAGTTTGAGTGGTTTTTAAGAGCTGACGATGACGTTTTCATCAAACCTGATAAGCTTGAAAAATTTTTACGTCGCGTTGATTCAACAAAGGCGCAGTTTATCGGTAAGTAATTTATTGAACCTTTCTTTATTCTCGATTAATGCGAATGATTTGAAACACCGTTAAAGGCCAAGCAGGTCGAGGGAATAACGAAGAATTTGGGTTGTTGTCGTTGGAGTTTGATGAAAACTTTTGTATGGGTGGACCTGGAATCATCATGAGTCGACAAACGTTAAAAAGAGGTGAGAAATCATTATTGATGAGTAAATGCTAACAATAATGAGCAATTTCTGATTACGTAGTGGCACCACATATACCAACATGTCTCAAGAATCTCTACAGTACTCATGAAGATGTTGAAATCGGTCGATGTGTACAAAAGTTTGCGGGAATTCCATGCACGTGGAATTACGAGGTAAATGTTTCATTGAAATATTTCATTAAACTAAATATTGAATTTCATTCTTGTTCATTGACAGATGCAATCAATCTTTCATCACAATTCAAGTGGAAATCGTGCATTTTCTGGTAATCTAAAGAAGAAAGAAGTGCATAGTGCCATAACACTTCATCCAATTAAACGATCGCCATTAATGCATCGTATGTACGCATATTATCTCGGTTTAACCGCACAAGAGTTGCGTCAACAATCACTTTATCTTCACCGAGACATTGCTCAAATGATTAGTTTACTACAAATTCCAAAGACACATAAAATGTTAGCACGTGGCGTGCCTTTGTTTCCAGACAATGATAGAGATAGTTTTAACTTCATAGACGATCATGATATTTTAGGTAAACAAATTTTGATGTTTAAAGTTTGCGTGTTTGCTGATGTTGAGTGATTTATAATTTTGTTTAGGAAATTTCCCCAATCTAAATCGGTATATGCCGGATGATCTCAGTGATCTAAAAGAATGGGATTTTCTTGCCAAGAGTATTTATTCAGCATCACATTTAAATCCCAAACGTAAAATGGAATCGTCATTACGAGAAGGTTTAGATGATGTGATAAGAGAAATTATGGAGAATATCAACACTTACTCTCGACAACGGGGTCGAGTGATTGAATATAGGGAACTTTTATATGGATACTCAAGAGTCAACAGCATGCATGGTCATGATTTAATTTTAGATCTTCTATTAGTTTATAAAAAATATCGAGGTAAGAAAATGACTGTGCCGGTGCGGAAGCATCTCTATGTCCAAAGATCGTTCACTGAGACGAGAATAAGGGAAATTACGAACAATGATGAATTACCTAATAAAGGCTTGGGTATGATAGAAAACATTTATTGCATGTTCAATCATAATTATAACAAAAACCTTTTAATTAATTTTTTCAGTGCAAAGCAATTTAGCATTCAACAGATTCACTGACAAAATGAAATCACTTTTTAATGATGGATTTAATGACTTTTACACTGCAGGAAAGCCAAGAGAGAGCAATTCAAATACATTCGATGACAAGATCATTTTCATCCTGCCACTTTCAGGACGATATGAAATATTCCTAAGATTTCTGAAGAACTTTGAAGATGTAAGAAGATTAGATTAAGTTTAGATTAACGTTAATCCTGAGATTATTATTTGATCTTAATCCTGTTTTTAGGTTGCACTTCGAACAAATGAAAATGCTGAGCTTTTGATTTCACTTTTCATCAATTCAACCGATCATAGAATATCGTCAGTATTCCAAATCATCGATCATTTGAACAAAAAATATCAACGTCATGCTGTGAGAACGATAAAACTTTATGGTGAATTCTCGCGTGGTGTAGCGATCGACAAAGCAATTCAATCAAGTCACATTAAGGATGAAGATATAATCTTTTTAATTGATGTTGATATTCTATTCCAAACATTAACATTAAAACGAATCCGACAGAATACGATTCGCAATCAGCAAATTTATTTGCCTATTGTATTTAGTGAATACAATCCAGAGTTAGTTAACAGTCACGTTGGGAATATTCCCTACACGACATCATCATCATCATCACTGCCATCTGAAAGTCGATCGTTCTTGTCAGATTATAATAAGATGTCAATGAATTATGAGTATTATGTAAATTCTTCGACGCTGATCAACAACGAGAGCGGATATTTTCGTGAATTTGGATATGGAATTGCTTCAATTTATAAATGTGATATAATGAATAGTAAAATAAATGGCTTCGTGACAGATATCAAAGGCTGGGGACTTGAAGATGTTAAATTCCTAGAGAAGATTCTCACAGCCAGTCATCAATTGCAGAATCAACTTTTGCTTTCAATTGCTGATGGTGTAGAAATCAATCAGAACGCATCATCAAGTAACAATTTGGATGTGTTCCGATCGCCTGATCCATCGCTCGTTCATATTTATCATCCAATCGTGTGTGATAAGAATTTAGAAAAGAATCAGTATAAAATGTGCCTTGGCACGAAGTCGAATACTTTAGGGAATTTCCGTCTGTTGAAAGAAAAATACTTTTTAAAGCGAGATTTTATGCAACTTGTTAATAAAGTTAAAGAGGTTGTGGTTAATTAAACATAAAAGCTTTGGCCAGAAAAGATCAAATCGCAAAGGAAATACTGTCGTAAGGCTAATATTTAATAAGCTTTCGGAAGCTTTCAAAAGCTCCATAAAAGAAGATTAAAAAGAAAATTAAATTTCATCCAAAATTGCCAATGTAGCTGATATATTTCTTCTAGATGTTTAAGCTTCCAACTAAAACGAGTTCGAGATGTTTTTTCCAATTTTAATAATCTAATAAACATGCCAAAAATGTTCTATATGGTATCAGAATGTTAATAAATTTTGTTATTCTTATACTTTCCTTCTTTCGAAGAATTTTCCATCATGACATCATTTGCAAAATCACCCTTTAGTAATTAGTTTTTGCCAAATCTAGTTCATGCATGTAAATTGATATAAGTATGTAAACGACATTAAGTAAATAAATTCTCATGTTTAAAGTTTAAACATAAACACGATGAAATTAGTTTGAGTTGTTATTGACATACAACGCGTAGTTACGCGTCATTATTTCTCTGATTAAGAAATGTGGATTAAAGGTGAAGCTGACATATTTATGTACAATTCAAAATGAAATTTATTTACACTTTAGGAGTGTAAATTTATTTTGAGAATGTTCTCAATACTATTAGCTTTCATAGGTTTGTATAAATATTGATCGGATTCAGAACGTGCCTTTCCAAAACAAAAGAAAACAAAAAAAATCGATTTTGGAATATCGTGAAGAATAGAAAAAAAAAGTTTTTCTCTTCAAAAGTTCATAGACTTCCCAGCTTTCAGATTAGCAAAGTTATATGTTTATTGTGTAGCATTCAGATAAATTTATTAAGAGAATAAGTCCACTCGACAGCTGACTTCTCAATGAGACTAAAAATAAATATTCTTCTTCTTCTTTTTCTGTTGTAGAATCGTAGAAAAATTCACACATTTCGCAACACTTCACAGTCAGACGTTGCTCGTATGAGTTGTCGGTTCATTATTCAAGAGAGAAAAAACGCATTGTCTTTGTTTCTACAAATGAATGTGATTAAGTAAATAAAGTCAATAGACATATAATTAAGTTAGGAGAGATGAATGTGTTGTGATAAAATGTCATGTGCTTGTGCAATTATTTACACAGTTTAAACACTTTTCTTTCTCTTATCGAGCGATAAGTTGTTAATTCTGAAAGCAATTGAATCAGTTTACATCTACTTGCGGAATTGATAAGAAGTATAAAGGTATTTCCACTTACCAACAATGATTGATTTGAGTAAAGGTGAATGTGAAGAAATCGTAAGGAAAGCCACAAACCACAAGAATGTGAAAATCATAAATTTTCATATTGAAAGCTTTGGCAGCTACGTAGGATTCCTTGGAGAATATTTCCGATTGAAAATCGATACTAATGTCGATGAGTCACATCAAGAAATAAATTTCTTCGTGAAAAGTTTGCCATTGAAGAATGTAAAGCTGAGAAAATTGCTTATTGATACGAGAATTTTCAAAAAGGAAGTTTTTCTTTATGAAAATTTATTATCAACTTTAAGTCAATTTTCTGATGTTTCGTGGTGTCCTAACGCATTTTTATTTCGTGATGATCTTCTTGTGCTCAATGACATGACCTTAGAGGGCTATAAAATGCTTCCATTTGATTTTAAGTTCACCCAAGCACATGTGGAAAGCACATTAAAGTGCCTTGCAAGTTTTCATTGCTGTAGCATCGTTTATGAACATACGGAAGGCAAATCGATTACGAAGCAGTTTGAAAGTATGTTGTTCGAAACATCTGTTGCTGATATTTCTTGGTATCATGCTGGATTAAAAGTAAATAATTTGAATTTTTATTGCTTTGAATATCCCATTCAATTTTAACCCTTCCCAGACAATTTACGACATCGCGTTGCTTGAAACAAGCTATGGAAATACCCATAGGGATATGATTTTAAACGATTTTTATGAGAAGATTTTCGGTTCCATCAGTAACATGGAAAGCGCGCCTTATGATATTTTGAAAGTCGCTTCACATCGCGATATATGGAAAAACAATTTAATGTTCAATTTCGATGATAACGACTTGCAAAAGCCTAAACATTGTGTCTTAGTGGATTTTCAAACAACTCGTTATTTGCCAATTTCGATTGATGTTTTGATGGCGATTATTTGTACAACTCGAAGAAGACATCACGACGAATATTTCAAGTATTACATTGAATTCTATTTTAGACAGCTTGAAGCAAATCTAGAAAAGTTTGATATTAATTTAAGTGATAAAATGTCGTTTGAAAGCTTTAGGAAAACTTGTCATCATCATAAATTTTTTGCACTCGTTTACAATACAGTTATTCTCATGATAACAATGATTCCTCGCGAATATTTCATAGATTTAAATGATGATGAAAACCGCGACTTTTTCGAAGGAAATAGAAGTAAATTTGTTTTGAATTTTATGAAGAAAGACGAGTATTATAAAGAAAACTTAATTGAAGCTGTTGAGAGTGTTGTAGAGTTTATCTTGAGTCATCCCGACGAAATGTAAACAATTAAATAAAGTTTATTAAGTTTTAAGATTAAAATTTTAACAGATTAACTTGAGGTGTTTGGGTTGTTGAACCTTCACTTTTATCACTTAAAAGATTATTTCGATCGCTTTTAAAAAGCTTTGTTATGAAAATCAATAAAAGTTTATGGAAAATGAAAGCTTTTGTTATTTTATTTATTAATTAAATTTTAATCTGTTGTTTTCCTTAGATTGATTAACTTTTGGTTTTCACAAATCTTTCCCAAGAATTGTTGCATTTATTTTATCGAAGGTCTCCTGAAATTTTTTCTCATTTGTATTAATGAGTTATGACGGTAGAAAGTTCATTTCTTCTTAATATTTTCCACTCGTTCAAATGGTGAGCTACTGGCATCTGTTTATGAAGCTTTTACGTCCCTAATTTGTTCTTTGAAATGTATTTTTGTTAATTGATTTTAAGTTTCCTTCTGTACAATTTTTGACATATTTACTGAACATTCTTAAAAGCTTTCATTTCGTCCCAAAGCTCGAACTTGTGGTTGGACAAATATTTTGTTCATGATGAAATCTTATCAACAATGGGAAATATTTTTGTACATGTGGATAGAAAACCTTAAGGTTGTTGTTAGTAAATGAAACTTTTTTAAGTTGCTTTTTCAAAATGCTTTACAGAGAGTTTTTCGTAATTCTCAGTTATTAATAATTTTAAGTCTTTAATATAACCACCCAACAAATTGAAAGGAAATGTTCCAGGTGAATTGTTTTTTAATGACAAACTATGAAATTTTATTAAGTCATTAAAAGCTTATAAATTCCTTGCACCTTGAAATGCATTCCCATAAAAATTTTAAAGACTGATTGCCGTAATAAAAATGGAATGCTTCAAATTCCTTCAAATGCTTTTAGTATCCAAACCATGCACAACGAAATGAGCGTCATTTTGAAGCATTTTAAAAAATGAAAAGCTACTCGAGAAATTGTCGTATTGGACTATGAAGTCAATGAATAAATCATCATTATAATTCTTTCCTTGAACATGGTTTCTTTGGGATCGCTTTCAATACTTCTTAGTAACGTAATAAATAAATAAAAATAAAATCTTTGAATTTATTTCAACGCCGCCGTTTGAAATGTTTGAAAATTATTTTTTCTAAAAATGTCTTTTAAAATCTCAACAAATTCATTTTTATTTGTATTAAACGTTCATTCTTTATTTACACTCGCTAACAGCAAAATTAGATTAATTTTTTTCAACATTGGAACTTTCATTTTTTCATTAAATAAGTAATGACATTAAGTATAGGAAATTCAAACAGCAAAGCCCAAGCGAATGCTGCGAAAAACGAGACGGAGAAATATCCGGAAAATTGAACAATAGCTCGAAAATTACTGAAGAATTGTGGTGAACGAAGTGATGCTACGTAAATTAATTGTACGGGTAAATGGATCAAATAAATGCAAAACGATAGTCGACTAACAGGAAACCACAATGGATATGACAAGAATCTTTTAACGATGTTGCCACTTGATAGATGACACGATATGATTATCCAACCGATTGATAAACAATGAAATATTCTGCTAAAAGATTTGTAGATGGCATCAGCAAACAAAGGATTGTCTTTGAAGTTCTCTTGATGCAATGGATATTGTCCAAAGATTATTATTAAAAGTGTTGTTATGCTAAAAGTCCATCCAACTATTGACATTTTGGGAGTTAATCGAATTGTTTTCTTGTCGAGTTTATAAATAAAATATCCAAATAGAATTCCCATCATCCATGAGTCAATCCGAGCATGAGTGACTATGTGGACGGATGTATCCATTATTGCATGTGTTTCAGATAAAAATGAAATCCTTAATGAATTCATCATCATAATTGCAAATACGTAAATAATAGAACTACTGGCAATGAGAAATATCAATGAGGTCATCAAAATTGTTCGTTTTTGGAATCTCCACAAAGGATACAAAATGATTGGGGATAAAAAGTAGAGCTGCATGTCAACCATCAGATACCATGAATGTCCAAAACATAATTTCCCTGGATTTACGTAATTTGCGACATATAAAAGCGAACTCCACCACCATTCTCTACAGAATCCAATTGCAGATGTTTCTGTTATTAAATTCCATAAAGGTCCATTTGAAATGTGATACAAAAATGCAACTGTGAAAAGAATTGCTGCAGCAAATGGAACTGTAATCCTGAAGAACCTTTTTGTGAATAAAACGGGGACGTTGATCTTATTCCTAAAATAAATTTCATTACATGATTTGTTTTTCATTACGTTTTGCTTCACTTACGTTCTATCAAGTTCTCTAAATACACTCAACGTCATCAACAAAGCTGATAAAAGAAAAAATGTGTCAACACCAATTCCACCTGACAAAACTATCATTGAAGATATATTTCCCAACCAGTCGATAATTGCGTGGGTGTTTATAGCTGGGAGAAGCCAGTAAGTTATCATATAAGTGTGAACGATGACAATCCACAACATAGAAATACTTCTAAGTCCATGAAGGAAAACCATTTCATTCTTCGATGAAGGTTTTAATGAAATAATAGTTTTGTAATTGGAAATGATTGAAAATGATGATAAAATTTTGACACTTTCAATCCTTTTACCAATGCACAAACTTTCATAAGTTGTACTGGCCGTCACGAGAACAAGGAACGTTGAAAAGAAAAAACTGAAAATAGCAAAGAAAAGTTTGAGAATCATTGGCATATTTGCAATGATAAGATAAAAATTCAAGTTCATGAAATAAAACTTTATCATACATTGACTTGTTTTCCATTAAGTAATATATTGACCCAGATAAACTGTTATCTAATAAAAACAAATCTTACATAGCAAACACTTGAAAGGCGTCGAACTCAAAAGGCCGGTCATTTGTTGCACAAAATAAATTTTGGTTGACATTGGGAACTAAAGCTGTACTGTAGTTTTCAAGAAACGTGTCAGCAACCACTTGAACTTCTTCCGGTGTGCAAGATGCTGGCACACATACGCCAACACCAACAAAATTTTGGGGGCTGATAATTAAAACACAATTAAAGAACTATTATTAAAAAATTAACTCCTTGCAAACCTCCTGTCTGGTGCTATCATTCTTGGATTATTATCATTGACTGGAATCGTGTTTTGAATTAATAGAGTGCAATGTTTTCCACTAATTACACCCACGACAGATGTTTTATGATTTAATTCAACACACTGATCGAAATTTCCAAAATCATATTGATTTCCAGAAAATCTCCCAGAAGGAAAATTTCCCCAAGCATCCTTCATTCGTAAAGCCCACGTGATGTTATAATTTAAATTTTTCTGAAAATAATTCAACTGTTGTTCACATTTCTGCGATATTGATGCGTTGGAGGGAATTTTAATCTCCAAATTCTCAGCATTCACAGCTGTGATAAAAATAATTAAAGTTGAGTAAATAATTGTTTTAAGAAACATTTTCAAAAACTTCTAAAACTGAACTGACGCATAAGTCATAAGTTTTCTTCAATTTATATTCGATTCAAAAATATTTCTTTCCTACTCTAGAAAAACAAATGCACATGTAGATTTAGGAATCTCGTAATTCTTTATCTTATCGATAACGAAAGGGTAATGTTCGTATTTCTCCTTGAAATGATTTATAAAATTTTTTGTAGGTGTAAGAAATTTGTATAAAAGATTTTCCCTTAATTAAAAAGTTTTTTTTCTATTTTTCCGATAATTAGGTACATTCTTTAGAATTTCTCTCTGAATTACTTTAAAACTTAAATTCAATTCTAATACAGATTACAAAAATTAAGATTAATGCTTTAGTACATTATTATTACATAAGTTCTTTTCAATTACATTCGATTCAAAAATATTTCTTTCCTACTCTAGAAAAACAAATGCACATATAGAATTGGGAATCTCGTCATTCTCTATCTTATCGATAAAGAAAAGGGTAATGTTCGTATTTCTCCTTGAAATATATTCAAAGCAAACTTTTCAGGCTTGACCTTGAGTGACACATTTATGAAAACAATGTAAGGATCTGAAATGATGATAAAATTTTGATACTTTTAATCCTTTTAGCAATGCACAAACTTTCATAAGTTGTACTGACCGTTATGTGGAATATTTGCAATTGTAAGACAACAGTTCAAGTTCATGAAATAAAATTTTATCAGACATTGACTTATTTCACCATTTGGTGATATAGTAACCCAGATACAGTTTTATTTGTTAAAAATAAATCTTACATATATGCAAACACTTGAGAATCGACGAACTCGAAATGCCGTTGATTTTTTGAATAAAATAATAAATAAATTTTCAGGACTGACCTTAAGTCCTTGGAGTGACACATCTATGAAAACAATGTAAGAATGTTCCCTATGTCAGTAACATAATTATGACGTATTTAATAAAAAGAAAAAATTCTAATAAAGATTGATTCATAATTTGTTTTGGATTATAGTTTAAGAGGTTGATTCCTATATTTCTCTAATGAATTTATGACAAGAGACTATCAAAGGCAATATTTTGTAATAAACTCTTTGACAAGCCTCCACAATTTCAACATTAAATTCAGGAATAAGAAATTCATCATAAAATTTAACGGTTCAAATTTTTTTGAAAATTTAAATGTTTGAAGCGAAAAATTTATTAGGAAAAGAAATGACGCAAAGACGTTCTTTTCCCACGCAAGTCTTTCACGTTGCTGGTTTATTCAAAATAAAGTTAGTTTTTTAATAGTAAATACAACATAAAATTGCTCAAATTTGATTTAAAATTATAGTCAAACTATTGATTGAAAGAGTTCATATTGAATGTGGAAAATTATTGCTGTAATAAGCCTCATAAAACTTTTTCTAATTTTCTTCAATCAAAACAACAAAAATTATTGGGAAAAAAATAATTTACCCATTTCTGTTGAATAGGAAGCATAATTTATATGTTTGCAAATTAATGTCGAGAGAAGTTAACACATTCTTATGAATTTCTATTACAGATGATTCCGAATAATTATTTTTCATTCGCTTTTCTTTCTAACCTTAATTATTTATTTATTTTTGTTATTCAAGCAATCATGTTTATGCCAAAAGCCCATCGCGTTGCTGTTTACGAGCATTTGTTCAAGGAAGGCGTATTAGTCGCCCAAAAAGATTTCCATGCTGAAAGTCATCCCGAGCTTGAAAGCGTTCCAAATCTTCATGTCATTAAAACTATGCAATCACTTAAATCAAGAAATTTCGTGAAGGAACAATTCGCATGGAGACATTATTATTGGTGAGTTAAACATTTATTCAAGAACGAAGCATGAATTTAATTCTTTTTTTTAATAATTTTAGGTATCTCACTAACGAGGGAATTGAATACCTCCGTCAATATCTTCACTTGCCTCCAGAGATTGTTCCATCAACATTGAAGCGTACAGCTCGCTCAGAAACTGCTCGTCCACGAGCAACAGGACCACGTTCAGATGGACCCAAAGGTGGAGAAGATCGTCAAGCGTACCGTCGTGCACCAGGACAAGGACAAGACAAAAAAGCTGATGTCGGAGCTGGTGCTGGCGACTTGGAACTTGTGAGTTTAATTCATTTTAATGAAATATCATTTGTGAATAATTTTGTTTGTTTTTCTTTCATTTTAGCGTGGTGGATTCGGTCGTGGATCTCGACCACAATAAACAATTCTTTCATTTAAGGGTATCATCGATCATTGTAAATTGATTGAAATTCCGTTTAAAATAATAAAAAGCCTAAAGCACATCATAAGGTTTAATTAAAATAGATCGTTGTTTTTTAATTGTTTCTTGTATCATTTTATCAGCTGTTTTGTTCCTTCCTTCACATCATTTATTAGCGTTTTCAATGCTCTTAAAACAAAGTTTCAATCATCAAAACATTAATGACCAGTTTTGTTCATCACTGACGTTGAATAATTTTCGTCTCGATTTTGTTTAGTTGTTGTTTACTGATTCGCAATTTATTTCGAAATATTAACAAATATTTTAAGGAATATCAAAATGGGGCAAGCTACAAGTGCTTGTAAAGATTTGCTACCAGACACAGTTGACACAGTTCAATTTCAAATTAAGAAACATTCAAAGATTTTATCAGAATTGAATAATTTGACATACGAACAGTTTCAAGAATGTCTTGCTGAATTGAATGATTTGTAAGTTTATTAATTATTAATAAATTATGACGAATAGGAAAGTTTCGATTATTTCACTAGATCAAGAAAATGTATCGATAAAGATGGAAATCAACTTGTTTTTGCTGTGAATAAAGATTCATACGTTCAATGGATATGGAAAGCAACAATCAAAATCTCTTGTGTATCAATCAATCCAGATTCAAGGAAAATATCACAAATTAAAATAATGAATTTGAAGCAATTTCTTCATGTATTCAACACAATGGTTGTGAACATAGAAGCGATAACAGCAAGTGAAGAACGACAAAAATCAGCAAGTTCAAGTCCAATCTATCCTACCACACTTCTTAACCAGCTTGACAATGATCCGAAGTTTAATTTTGATTCAGCGACAGATGACGATTGCATAATTTGCATGGAAAGGAAGCCTGAAGTTATTCTGTCATGTCTTCACACGTTCTGCACTCTTTGCATAGAGCAATGGAATGAAACTGGAAAGAAATCTTGTCCAATTTGTTCACAAGAACTTAAAGACACGAAAGATTCGTGGGTGCCTCTTGAGATACCTGAACCAGATGAAATCAATGAAGAAATTGTGAAACAACTGCAAAAGCTTACACATTAGAAAATTATTGAAACGTTCCTTTGCTTTCATTGTTTGTATAAATATTTATTCCAATTTACATTCTAATTCTAATCAAATAAAATTTATTGTTGGTAAATCCATTAAAGAAAAGAAAATTAAGTAAAGTATTAAGAAAACACAATTTTTTATAATTCAAAATGAAAATTGAAAGTAAGAAAACTTTAAATATTGTTAATTGATCATCCTGTTCATGCCCGACGTCATTCGTCATAAATAATCAAAGTTTTCGTTTCTTTTTCATTTTCATGTCTTTGCGTTTCTTCTCTTCGGCTTCCATTTTCATGTCCTCAAGATCTTCGAGTATTCCAGCTTTCTTGCTTATGTACTCTTCCCTCATCACAGTACGATAATCAGACTCCATTTGAGAATCATCAAAATCTTCATCACGATATCTGTGAAAGAAAAAAGAAGTTTTAGAAATTTAATTAAAATTCATTAAAATGTCATCATTACCTTGATTTGTCATATCCAAAGATATTTTTTATCTCAGCCGAGTAATCAATGTTAACATCAGAATCATCAATAAAATCATCCAATTCAGAATCATATTCGCTGTCTTCGTCTTCAATTCGACCTGGAAAATTTACAAATATTATGAAATAAATTTTACTATTTGTGAATTTTAATTAATTTAATTCAACTTACGTTTATTTGATATTTGTAGCTGTTTCGGTCGTTTCATTTCTCTTGGTGGAAAATCTCGACCCCTCATGAGATCTCTCGGTGGAAACTCTCGACCCCTCACGAGATCTCTCGGTGGAAACTCTCGACTTCTCATGAGATCTTTCGGTGGGAAGTCGCGTGGCTTGTCAGTCATTTTAGATGATGATGGTATTGCTTGAGCTTTCTCAATTTGTTTCACTTGAGATGATGATGGCTTTGAGGCAAGTGGAGAATTTTTTCTAACAGCTTCTTTCGTCTTCGCAACAGATGCTGGAAGTGCAGTGCGATTCTTCGAGACATTTAAATCCTTTTGGCTTGGTGAGCTTCCATTATAAGGCTTTTGTAAAGCGTCTTTTAATTTTGAATTTGAACTACTAGAACTGATTGAAGAAGGCTTGTTGTTTGGAATGGCAGCTTTGGAAACAATTGGTGATGGTTTTTGTTTCTCTTTTTGATTGTACATTGGATTAGTGATGGCTTTCGTTTGCACAGCTTTTTTATTCAACAAGTTTTCGTTGTTGTTCTTATCTTGTCTTGTACTTTCGTTTATTCTAGGAATGGCTCCTTGTTTAACCATTTTGTTTTGTTTACTTCTTGCTTTTCTTGCAGCTGTTTCTTCTAATTCAAGTTTCTCTTTATGTGTTAAGAGACGCTCAGGTTCTTTCTTTTGTGGCACTTCGATGGTAATTTCTTCATGTTGCTTCTGTTCAGCGAGTTTTAAAAGTTGTTGGAAATCTACAATTGGTGCTGGTTTAGGTTTAAATTTTGGCTTTTCTGGAATCTTTTTTTCTAACGATGAAGAATATGAAGAAGTATCACTTTTTAGCTTCGATGTTCTGTGTTGTGGTCCTTGTTTGATATGAATTTCTTCATCTTTGGAAGAAAAAGCATTCTTTACACGATCCTTTGTATTTTGAATCTCATCCTTTGACAGTGGCTTATTTTTAATTGATCCAGATGAGAATTTCTTTGTTTCAGGTTGTTGCGAATATTTCTCCATGAGTTTCTTGTGAAACTGATCAGAGACTGTTGATGTGTAGCCGTAATCGTCTTCATCAGGTTGCTGATTCTCAAGTGTTATTGCCGTATTTTCATCTAATGTTTTGTCACCAGAATAGAATTTTTTACTTGATTTGATGACTTTTAATGTTTTGTCGATTTTCCTCTGCTCTTTTGGATCACGTCGCGCAACTAATTCCAACTTTTTCCTTCGAGCTTCTTCTGCTTTTTGTTCTTCTTCACGTTTTTTCTGTTCGAGAAACTTCTGAATACCAGCTGATAATCTTTTTTCTTTCGTCACTTTTTTAGGAGGCTCAAACTTCGTAGAATAATATTTGCCCTATAAAAAAAATGTTCGATTTGACTTCGTGCTTAAAAAAATATGATGAATTTAATTTTACCTTTTCTCTCGATGACGAAAGGTTCTGCTGCGCTGTACTGATAAGGGACTGAAAGTCCATGATGAATTGTGGATAAAACTAAGATATCCAGTAATTTTTATATTAGAAATACTAATAAATAAATACTTTTTAGTTCTCTGTAAAAAGAGAAAATTTTTCACGATCAATTGTTCTTATTTACTGAAGCAAACTTTAAGATGCAAACTAAATCGATGCGAACTCGACGGAGGTTGAAATGATTGTGAGAAGTCTAAAGACTTTTTTCAAATATTTATCCGTTAAAATATTCTTCACTTTTATTGCGGAAATTCCCTTAAAAACACATGTTAGGGATTTTTAACACCTGTTGGATTTGTTTCCATTATTGCAATGTGCACCAGATGTCATTAAAAATTGAAAGCAATTAATGATTATTAGATATCAATTAACTTATAAATGTAAACAAACAAATTTTATTGCTTGGAAACTTTAACATTTTGAAGAAATTTACCTGACAATTCAGGAGTAAAATAATTTTAATACATTATAGAGTAAAAAAGTTACAGATTTCATTTAAAATATCTTCTGAGTTCTTTTCTCCATTATTTTCTAAGATTAAATCCCACTCGTCCCAATTATCAAGATCGCATTCAGATTGAATGTCATCAACTCCGGCCTCAAATTTCCATCCTCGTTTGCATCTTATTTCATCATCACATTTTATTCTAATGAGTTTGATTTTGTCTTTGAAGGTTTCGCGAAACCATTTGATGTCAGTTTTTCTTCGAATATCAGAAACGATAACGATTGGTTTTGATATTTTCTTTGAAGCTTCACAGCAAAATATTCCATAATCAATTGCGCGCTTCTCATCACTCCATTGAATCATTTGTTTCCGATATTTCTCTTTATAAGGTCCATCACTAAGAAGTTCAGTAAGATTGAGATTTTTCTCTTTTGCCCATGTTGATTTTATTGGCTCAGAAATTCGAATTATTTCAGCTTTTTCATGTCCTAATCTAAGAAAAAAAAACAGTCGAATTAACATAAGTTTTTATGTCCTAATTAATTATTTATTTACCTTGCAAATAACTTTTCAGTTAGAAAATCTTTTCCACTTTTCCTTTTTCCACTAAATAGTAAAATTTTATCAACATTCGATGACATTATTTGATGACAAATTTAAGGTGAATAATTTTAAAGATTACACTTCGTGTAGAAAGTTAAAAGAAACTTTTTTGTATGTAAACAATGATGAACAATGTTTGATGATTGCCTTCACTGATTGATGTTTGTGTTTGTGGTAGTCAAGCATGTTGTAACTTGGAACACAATTTTCTTATATAATCCCTTAGCTCATCTTGGATGTGGCTTCATCTCAAAGATTTTTGTTGTCAATAAATATGAAATTAATTAATTAAAAAACATTTCTTAATCTTTTATTGTTTTATTACAGCATTTATTCATTTCTATGCTTATCGTCAACATAATTACAATGAATATATTTTTCTGAATGCAAAATTATTTATTAAAAACATAATTTGAACATTTAAAATATCGTTAATAGCCATTTTTGTATTTTCGAGAAAAAAGCAAATCGCATAATTAAATTATTTATGTTGGAGGTATTTTTATGAGTTTCTTTAATTCAACTAAAATTAAAGATTAAGCTTGATGATTACTTAATAAGCAGCTTGCAGGATCTTCAGTTTCGTAGAGAATTAAAACGTCTCTAAATTTGTCTAGGAGTTGAAGAAGTTGTGATCTTCTTAAATTTTCATAAAACATAATTTCTTCGAGATGATGTTCGCCTTTAAAATATCCGCTTTGCCACAATCGCACCATCAAATTGAGATCTTCAAAGTTGGCTGAAGCAGGAACTTTTAAAATAGCTTCACGATCACATTCATCAAATGCATTGAGAAGTTCTCGAATCTTGTCATCGTCATCAACTGAATTTATGCTTTCATCATCAACTCCAATCATTTGAAATACTCGTTGATTTGAATTCAATTTTTGATGTCCAGAAATTCCATTTGGAACATCAAGTGGATCACTTTTAGGTGACTTCTCAGGAGAATGTGTTATTGATTGCTTCGGAGATGATGCAAAGTCAGCAAGAGATAAGCCGGAATTGTCATTCGTTGATCTTTCATAAGAAGGCATGAACTGAACGTATGTATGAAGTTGCATTAGAAGATGATGTTGCAACATCCACAAGACCATTTGAGCTAATCGACCTTGTCTTGCTGGATGTTGCAGTGGAGTTGTCAAATGTCCAATTGAAGTTGGTAAACTGAAATCACTGATAACTTCTATTAAAGACATTCCAGGAAACTTCGTTGCAAAACGTTCAACAAGTGGAGAATTCACATGAATAGGAGCATCGGGGCTGATGACATAAACATTTGTTTCACAAAGTGGATAAATTATTGTTGCCTTTGCCCAATAAACTAAATGTCCCACCATTTGATTAACTTGATCAATCGATAAATCTGAATCACTTGCCATGCTTTGTAATGACTTCAATGGATTATAACTTTCGATTAATTGAAGGAGAATTTTTGCACCCGATGGAGGAACGCAATCGAGAAGTTCTGAAGGATCCACAAGAAGAAGAAATCCATGATAAGGCTTCAATGAATCAATGCAACGGTCAATTATTTCTGGATCAATGAATTGTTGTCCATTTTTTGTTCTTCGTTCTGAAAATCGGAAATTCCACGCTTTTTGTGGTAAACAGAAGCAAAGTGTCACCGATTCATTCAACACAACATTAATGAGACCAGTTGTGCATAAATCATGATAAAGCGTTTTAAGACATTGTGCAAGTGACGACGTTTGAACGATCGTATCAAATATTTTCTCACTTTTGTGATCGTAAATCGTGTCATCGTGAATCTTCAACATGGTTTTCATTTCTTTCGTTAAATAATTTACACGACGTTCTTCATAAAGTAATCCAAGTCCCAAGCGTTTGCTTAACTCGTAATAGCATTTTACTTGAAGAAATAAACAAATATAAAAGTTGAAAAACCAGAAAATTTATCTTTCAAATAGATTTACCAATCGAATATGAACATTGAGCTTGAAGGGCGAATACAATGTTGATCAATATAAAAGAATTCTTGTTCTCCATTAAAGCTGGATGACTCACAAAGCGAATATCGTTGATTTTCAATTCGAATTTTTGATTCGCCAGATTTTGTTTACATGCGAAGAGACTCGACAAAACTTCATCTGACATGTTTCCAATACCAGAAGGTGGATTCTCAATGTTTTGATGTGTGTCTTCAATCAATGCTATTGAATATGGATTTTGCTTTTTCTTCTGCTTATTTGAGTCATCAACAGCCTTATCAGCTGTGTAAGGATATCTGAAGAAATTTCATTCTATTAATGCGACTTTGTCCAGATTTTATTATTTAATTTATTACTTACCTGAATAATAATCGATCACCTTTGGAATCTGACTTTACGAGGATGACACTCAAAGGATTTTCCATTTTTTCCTTTGTTTCTTATCTTATCGGCAGAAATTTTAAATTTTTCTAAAGTGCTTTTTTATTCACCATAGGATTTCTGAAATTTAATGATGATGATGATTGTATCATTAATGTTCATGATGATAACAAACACAAATCCAATGAAAAATTACCAAACAAAACTCGGCTTATATGTTCATTTTTATTATAAAAATTTAAAGATATAACAAACCAGCATAAATTTACTTTAGAACAATAATAAATTCCAATATGTTTCTTAATCATTTTAAATATTCTCAGCGTTCTTCACACCATTGATTTTCTTTTAAAACTGCTTCCAAGTCCTCTGGTGTCCAATCATTGATTATGTTGAACTTTAAACGTATTTCTTCTGGACTTTTACCTTTTATCATGTATGCCACTTCACGTGTTGTTAGCCATAGTAACCCAGGAATGTTCAAGTAATTCGAAGCAGCAATCTAAAAATAATCAAAATAACAAATTAAAAATCCTTGAAAGATGTTTTCATGACAAATAACTTACAAGTTCGTACAGCTCTTCTATTTTAACTTTTAGAAAATTTTTGTTCCAAGGATCAATATCCTTGCAAGGCATATTTTTAATTTCCTCGTTAGTAGGGTGCTTTATATCCTTCCAATGTTCAATCCATTCGACAATCTTATGCAGTTGAGCAGAATGTACATTCATCAGAGGAATTTCTAAAGGTTCATCCTCATTGCTATCAGTTCCAATCATTTCTAGCATGTCTTTGATTGTATGGCTCAGTTGAGCACACTCATAAGTTGTTGATACAACGACGCCGTCTTGTGATTTTAAATGAATGATTTTTGGTGGCATTTCGAATGAATTTTGTGATGTATTATGAACTTGGTTTTAAGAAATGACTTGATAATTAAACTTTGTATTTGATTGTTTTGAAATTTGAGTTTTTGAGATAAATGAAATATACTCTTGAATTGTTATTCCAGCAATTTATTGAAAACGAATGAAGAGTGGCCCGAATAACAAAAATGGTCAGGGATGGGTAGGATGCAAAGTTGTAAGAAGCGGAAAAAAGAAGCGAAATTCAAATTGTTTCCGTTATAGTTTTTCTCGCTAACGTTAATCGGGATTAAAAGGAAATCTTATTTTCTCAAAACAATCTTATAACAATTTCCATGTCCACTTTAAGAGACACATAAAATTTTCAAGTAGAAATTCGAAAAACTTTCAATTTTATAAAATTCAAACTCTTAGCCATGCTTTTAATTTAAAGACGTGTTTATTTGAATAACATTTACATATGAATTTTGTTACACGTTTTTTAATTATGTTCTTTATAATTTTAAAAAAGTTTTAGCATTCAAAGACAATGGATGTGAATTTAAGTTCCACTTCAAAAGCTAATAAGAAATGTCAGAGAATTGTTGATATATTAATGATATTTGCAGCGGTAATATTTGGAATCGGAGCATTTTTTACAGAAAATAAAACCAAAATAATATTCCTGGTTTCTGGAGTTTTCCCAGCATGCTATTTAGCATTCAGAGCGTGTATTGAAATTAAAACTGCATATCAAGAAAATGAATCAATCAATCCATTCAAGAATAAGAAAGTAATTTCATTTTGGATTTCATTAATTATCAACATTGTAGCAATTGCTTACAACTCCATTTTCATCGTAAAATTATTAAGTTAAATTATAATCAAATAAATTTGGTGATGATGCCTCGCGAGAAGAGTTTGTTTTGGAATTTCGAGGTCGATAAATGTTGAATCAAGTTTCTACAAAGTTTTCATCACTCAAACAGAAGTTTAGTAAAATGAAAATTTATATTCATAAAATTAAATTTATTCAAAATTTGTAATCTATTCTAAACGAGAGAAAATTTTATTCAAAACATTAAATTACATTTAAGAATTTTGACAATAAGTTTTTGTTGTTATATGAAACATTTCATAATATTTAAGCATGTACATAAATAGATACAATAGAATTATTGAGAAACAAATTTAATTATTTTTCAGTACATTTTACGTGTCGTAATCCACAATTTCCAGCTGTTTTGACATCATAGAAAACTAACTGATTTTCAATTCTTACAATTAAGTAATGATGATCACATTTGTATTCAATCTTTGGTGGAAGTGTCAATGACGTCATTTGTGCAGCAAAAGACGGAAGTTTGACTCGTTTAAATGGCACAAAACCTTGAATTCCTCGATAAATGTAAGCTTGAATCTCAATTCGACTTTCAAGGAACACAAGAAGTGTTTCATCGTGGAATTCAATTGATACTAAATTCGAGGGTTCTGTGCAGTGGATGTATTGATAAATCGATCCCTCAAATATGTCATTGTAAATCTTAATGGAAAAGAAAAATAATTTCAACATTAATCAATGAAAATGTTTTTAATTTACCTCAATTAAGTTGTGATTTCCTTTGATTGTTGAATCTCTTGTTCTTGTTACAGCATACAAAGGTCGTCTTTGATATCGTGGACCAACATGCATCATTATAAACTCTCCAGATCCATGTTCAGGGAAATATGAATTTTCAGCTTCGATAATTCCACTTCCACTTAAAATCTTATGTGGAACTTCTTGCTCTGCTTTAACTTCATCTGGCAATTCTTCTGTTGGTGAAGTTGAATCTGTTGTTGCAGTTTGAGAATCATCAGTTTCAATTCCATTTAAAATCTTATGTGGAACTTCCTGCTCCGCTTCAACTTTAGTTTCATCTTGCAACTTTGTTGATGAATTTGAATCTGTCGATGAATGTTCTTGACCTTCAGGCAAAATGATTCTTGGAGTGACTTCAATGCTTTCTTCATCATGATTTGAACTTTCAACTTCCGGTAGAACATCGCCACGTGATAAATCATCAGAATCTTCAATTTCATTCCCATCATCTGCCAATTCATCATTTTCTTCTGATTTTTGATTAACTTTCGTGTCAATTTCTTCTTCTAATTTTTCAGTACTTTCAGTATCTTTAGATGTTGTAACAGTTGAAGTTTCTTGAACGTTTTCCTTTGCATCCGCAGAAGTTACTGATTCTGAATTATCATTTTCCGAAAACTCTGAAGTTGATGAGTCATACGACAAAGTTGATGAAATTGTCACCTGTTCAGTTTCTTTGTTTTCTTTTTTGAGAGAACTTTCCTTACTTTTGTTCTCGGTCGATTTCTCATCTTTGTCATTAGCAAACTTAACACCAGGTGGCACTGTCAGGAAAAATTTCATCGCTTTCCCAATTTCTTTAACATCCTGAAGGAAGCCGCCAATGCCTTGCTGGTCTTTCGATTCCGTTTCTAACTCTTCATTTTCAGCTGATTTTGTGTTAGCATTTTTAACTTTAAGTTTGGGTACATTGCCGAATGTATCTCTGATACTTTTGCGAAGAGCTTCACCAACTTCTTTACATTTCGAGACAAAACTTTTGCGTGTTTCACCAACGACTGGAGTTAAAGGCTTTGATGGAATTGATGGCAAATAATTCTTCCTTCCTGTGTCAGGCACTCGAATGTTGTAACCCGTTTTATCGTTTGGACGTGACTTTCCTTTATTCATCTCGACTTTATCTTGCCACAAGAATCTTGTCGATCTTTTCTTAAACTTTGATTCAAGAACGAAAAGTTTTCGTCCATTATATAAAGTGACGTCATGTGAAACTTTCGATGGAAGGAAAGTGTAATTGAAATGTTCTTTATTGGGTAACTGCCAGAATTCTTTCTTTTCACCAAGAATATCGTAATGAGTGACAACATCCAAGTTATCGAGTGCAAAGAATCGTCCAGGAAGTTGATTTGTGACATGAATTTCATTAACATCCGCACCTTTTCTTATTGTACTCACATGAAACATTTGATTATCGTTCATCTTCCAAACATTAATTCCACCAAATTGACATGGAATGTTCGCTTCCATTCTTGAATTTGTGATGATGAAAAGTTCATCGTCGTTGTTGTTCTTCACTTTCTCCCAATTGTAGACAACACCAGTGACAACTTTCTGAACTTTCTTAAATCTTTCACTCGCTTTGTCCCATTTATAAACGTGACTCGTACAATTTGTATTCACAATCAAAATGTGATGAAGTGAAGAAGTTTCAAATGTGAAATAAGAAAAAATGTCGTCAGATTCTTTGATTTTGAAATCCATTTCGAAGTGTTTCAAGAAATGAATCGAATGTTGAGTGTCGTTTGCTTTTGCACTGAGTTTATTGCAAAGTTCCTCAAATTGTGATGTGTGATTGGTGATTGCTGCGTCGATAGAGCTCAAGCTTTGTCTTAGGTTACTTTCAACGTGATTGATCGACATGTTATTGATAAGTCCATTGCCGACAACATCATCCGAGAAACGAAGCTTTTTAACTCTCCATTCACCATGAATCGTTTGTTCTTGACGACCATTTACCCACAACACATTGTCGTACCATTTATTGAAGTTTATCCCGCTAATCAAGTCATCAGTGTAAAGTGAAGACGCTTCAAGACTTTTCAAACTCGCTGCAGATTTAATAAAAACTGACGAATTCAATAATGCAACATGTCGAAGATCTTTCGAATTAATTTTTCCCATTGTATTCATCGATTCCAAAACATTTGCACCAGCGAATGAAGTTTTGACTTTTATTTCTTGATGCTTTTCATTTCGCTAATGAAAACAAAATTTGATTACATAATTGAAAGTTAATTAAAGGAAATTCTTACCATCACAGTATTGTCACGTTCATGTCGCAAATCATATCCATTAACTTTCCCATGAACAATCAAAGGCCCAACAACATTGACAGATCCAAAAACTTTAATTTCATCATCGAATGTTTGATTAGTTGCGAGTGTAAAGAAATGACTGAATGGAATGTTGTTGATGTAATCAGCATGTGGAATATCAGAATTCAAAGCTTCAGCTTTTATTCGTAAAACACCTGAAGAAATAAAATAATTAATTAAAGTAAATTCGTGAAAGGAATCATCGAAACTCACCATTCAAAACAACATTTCTATCGATTGGAAGACTGTTACGAAGCCACTCCTTAGGATCACAATTTGATATGAAATCAGTAATCAAATCATTCTTCAAAGCAACAATTTGTGCATAAACTTCATCGTTAAACTGCAAATTTCCATTGATTTGAACCATCGCTTGATTGTTCGTCAGAATGACATGATCCAAGAACTTCAAGTTGATTCCATTGATCACCTCACTGTAGAAACCTTGCTGAGCGATAATTGGGCCATTGAAGATCTTCGGGCCTGTGATATAAACTTGACTTTCATCAAGTCTTATAAGATTCGAAAGCCATAACGAAACATTCAAATTATTGATGAATGGAGTCTTCAACGACAATGTTTGAACAGGTTGATTGAAATGAACGTCAGAATGAACGATATGAGTGTCTGTTGCTATGTCGTATGAATACAAGTCTTCTATTTCCTTCATTTTCTGTTGATTGAATGATTCAACAACGTTTAGGTCATCGACCAAGACATTTCCATCGACAATTAATTGAGGAACGTTCACAATGTCAGATGAGAAGAAAATGTTGTCAAACTTTATGTTGTTGATGGAATCAGTTTGCAAGTTTTCTTCAACGATGACATCTTTCTGGAAAGCAACATTTGAATGAAGCACAATTGATTCGTCCTTATTTGAAATCCAATTCTCAGTGAATTCTTTGAAAGATTTTCCATTGAGATTTCCTTGAATAATCATCGAACCATCGACAGTGACTTCGTCATGAAATCTTAAATGTCCATCGATGTTATTTGGACGATTCAACCAAATGACGTTGTCAACAAGATTATTAAAGTCTTCACCATTAATTTTCTTAACAAAAATATTTCCATTGACAATTAAATTGTCCAACGTCTGTTCACCAGACAGTAGCGAAGTTTTAAAGTTCTTAATCCCAAGCATGTAATTTTTGAAGACTTCAAAGTCCATTCCGTTGATTGTTTTGGCTTGGAATGTTTCACTGGTTGTCAATGATTGGATTCTAGTTGGTGCGAGAATCTTCTGCGGTAAACTTTTACTCAAATAATTCCTGGAAATGTCAGAGATGTTGAAGTTGACAAGCGATCCCGAACCAACCACGTCACCATCCACTTTCAAATTTCCAACTCTTAAGTCATCGAACGAAGTTTCGTCCATAAATGTGAGATCAATTGGTTCGTCTACATAAAGATAATCACCAACCGAAACGCCATTCAATGACTCTTTAATCTCAATTGATGAACCTTCGACTAGATTTCCTTTGCTAATAATCAAAGGCGATTCAATGAACTGATCACCAAATGTTCTTATGCTGTTGAGTTCAAGTTCAGTGACATTAACGCCATCAAATAATCCATCAACGATAAGATTTGAGATATAAACGTGACCGTTCAACTTGTTAAATGTCACAACTTGATCACGATCAGTCATTAGAATCTCGTCGAGATTTATGTCATTAATAAAGTTACTCACAATGTTAATATCTCCAACAACTTCAAGATTTCTAAATGTTTTCGAGGCATTGATAAAGACATCAGAACCGTCTGGCGATTCATACACAACGTCCTGAAGAACTTTCATTAAATTTTGACCGTCTAATGAATTTTCAATCTTCACAACTCCTTCGACAATCAACTCACGGAAACTGCAAGCAGCGTCGATCACTTTCACATCAACAAGTGTTGGATTTGGAAGAAATTCTTGAAGTTGACGTCCAGCGATGGTTCCATTGACTTCCAATTTCTTTATCACTTCAACTTCATTGAATGTTGTGTCAGCATGAATGACTTGATCTTGATCTAAAGTTATCATGTCAGATGGGACGATTCCATTGATTGTTCCATCAGTATCGACGGCTGTTGTCACTGTGAAAATAAAAATTGAGTTTAAAAATGTCACAATTTGTTAATTTTTATTTTACTTACATAATTCACCTTTAAAAGTTTTCCTTCCAGTGATGACAGTTTCTCTTGGTCCATCTTTCAACACAAATTCATCAGGGAATGGAAGTTCATTTAAATAATTTACATTCAATTGTCCACTTTCACCAATCACAACAACATCGCCATCGACTATAATCGAATCAACTGTCGAATCTTTGTGCTTTGGTACAAGTTTTGAGATGTAATCATTCCAAGCTATTCCATTGATTGTCTCAACATTTAAATTATCTTTGATCACGACACTTTCAGCTGCAAATGAAACTGGCGTGTCGGTAACGAGATCAATTTTCTCCAATGATTCGAGATCGACTGGAAGATCGTTGAGAGTTCCAACTTCAAGATTTTGCACCATAATGTCTTTGAAATGCAAGTTTCGTCTTGAGTTTAATGACTCGACAGTGATGACGTCATTACTGAAATCGATGTTGTTGACTCGTCCATCTTTAAATACATTCGCATTGTCAACTTCAACGGAATCAAGGAAGGTGATGTTGGCTTCTGGTAAGATGAGTTGACCATTTGCATCAACAAATAGAAAATCATCGACTGGCACTCCATTAATCATCTGCACTTGTAAATTCTTCACTGTTAATGACGAGACTGTCGATTCTTCAATTGGTTCGATTTGTCGTCGTGGTCTTGGTGGGCTTTGAGGAAGAACATGAACAGTTGAAGGATCAGGTTGGCCATTTGAAGGGAATGGAAGGCGAATAATTGGAGAATCTTCTTTTGAAAACTGCTCAGCTTGTCGATGAATTCGATTGACTTTATTAATCTCATCATCAATCATCTTCAATTTTATCTCATCTGCAGTTATTGTCGCTTCGATTTCATCAAGATTAACTAAGAAATCTTCGAGTGTCCATGAAACATCAAGAAACTCGATGACATCTTTGGCTAACTCAACATTCCCATCAAATTCGAGAATTTCTGCTTCCAACTCTTCAATATGATGAAGATTCTCGAAATGAAAATCATTTTTAGGATTTATGGAATCCTTTAAAACTTCATCGATCTCTTCTTTAACATCTTCTTCATAATCCAACATGTCATTGATCAATTCAATTGATTTCTTTGCATGTTCAAATTCCTTCGCTAAAGGATCTTCCGATTCAACAATTTTATAGTTCACATGATACATTCCACTATGAGCTTCATGTCTTGGAACAATTATAAACAAACCATTCTCCTTTTCATGATGAATGAAAGTTCCGCCAAGCAAACCTTCTTCCCGATCTAAATCAATCATACAAGTGAAGCCATTTGCATTGGGATCATCAGGAATTTTGCAAGGAACTGACAAAGCATTCTCAAAAGCGACTCCATTCCAAATTAAAGCGTCAACGATTGGCAATGAATGTGTTCCAAGATTGATTCGATGTTGAACTAGAAGAATTAAATCGTCGCGATAAGTTTTGACTGGAATTGGTAGAAATTCTTCAACATAACCGAAGGATTGTCCCAGGATGGTTAAAGGGAGAAAATCGTTGTCAGAATAGCGAAGAATTTGAGGTTGATCGCCACCAATAGCCAAATAGGAATTCCCACCAATACGAAAACCAGAAACTGCACTGACGTTGCTACCTTGAATTGTGTTCGTTAAAATGAACCTTCCACGTAAATGTTTCGAGAATTCGTGTTCATAGATAAGAACATTGTTGTTGACAACAAATGCAATGATAACTTCTCGACTCATTGGAAGTGTTGCGACGCTATCTGGTCGAGCATCAAGTGGAAATGCCTGAATCACCCAAAACTCGTTATCTGGCACACTAAATTCGATGAATTCAGCATGAACTTTACCAGCTTCATCAATTGTTGTCACAAGAAGAATTTCACTATCATCGTGAGTGAAATGACAAAGCGAAACAATTTCTTTCAAAAGATTCCATAGCTGAATTTCGACGAGATCATCTTCAATCAATTCGTACCATAGAAGTTGTCCTTTGAACGTGACTAAAGCCAAATATCTAACACGATTTTGGTTATCATCCCAAATCTTGAGTGTAGCAATTCTCAATGAGTCTTCTGCTACCACATCATAGTCAATTGTTTTGATTAATTCGTATGTGTCGCCATGTCCAACAATCAACACAACATTAGTCGATGATCTTCCAATTATTGCTGTTTGATTGATTTGAGATCGAATGACTTTCCATTCTTCAACACCCACACCAAATTCGAAATGTTCTTCTTCATGAATTGATGTCACTTCGAGGTGTTCGCGATACAAATTTCGAGTTTCCTTCGTTTTTTGATTCTTAATTGAGACTCGCTTAACCTCATCTAAATTCGGTTGATATCCTTTACGATGTGGCTTTGATTTGGATCTGTTTGTCTTGATAAATTCAGATATTTCACTATCAATGACATTTATCATTGGATCTTCAATTGCTTGCGCCAATTCAGAATCTTCACCCACTGGAGCTTCTTTGAGAATGTTTTCAAGTCTGCTTAAAAGTTTTGTTGGACGTTCAAAGTCATCTAAACGATCTCTCAGCGATTCGACTTCATTTAAAGCTTTGTCTGAAACATCTCGTGATACTTCAGGAAGATGTGATGACTTTTGAATCAAATCTCGAAGTGATTGTATGTCATCAGCAGCTTTAGAATTTTCATTTTGTTTAGCTTTGAAAGGAGAATTTTCAATCAAATTTTGAAATGAATCCATTATATTAATAGGCTCCAAATGTTGAGGTGAACGCTTACCATGATGTTGATTACTCTGCTTATCTGCTTTCTATTGAATAAATTATATAAAGCTTGAAAAAGTGTTTGCAAAAATTATTGCTCAAACAAACCATGTCATCACCACGTGCCATCGAAAAAGCGGTAATAATTGACAGCCATACGCATTTTCGCTTTAACCACATTTTGAAAACACTTGAGAATGCGTAAGTTAATATTTTCTTTCTTAATTATGTTTAATGACAATTTATTTAATTAGATAAATTTCTGGCGGCACTTTTTAACAACGTAAAGGGTGTCAATCTACTGCAAGTTTTCATGTAAACAATTTACATTAACGTTAATCCTACGCTGATGTTTGACATTACGTAACGATTGCGTATCACTTCTGTGCACTTAACGAATGTCTCGTAAAATATGAAAGCTCGGAAGGAAGAAATCTGAAATGTCTTAAATCATCATCAAAAGACTAATTTTTGCCAAATTGAAAGATTTTATTTTCAGAGTTTGTTCATAACTCATTGATTATCATCTAAATAATTCAATTACATTGAAAACATCAGACACCAAGGAGACGTCGTCATTCAAATGCAATGCAATTTTCTTATAAGATTTTTATCAACAAGAATTCATACAATGATTTCTTATCACAAACTTTATGGCATTTTTTGATTTTTTTTTCGATTCTTACACTGACGATTACTGATGAATGAAATTTCCTTTTTCAAAGATATGTTTTTAAAAAAATAAAATATTGGGTGCACAAGCTGCTGCTAATTTCTCTTACTTCTAATAGAAAAAAAAAAGTTTAAAAATCTGAATAAAATTCCTAATTAGAAAGAAAATATATTTTTAAGAGACATAAATTTCACTGAATAAATCCACGGGCCTGAAAGAGTTCGCGCAACAAACTTTTCAAATATTTGACTTCGCGTTGAGTGTCCTTGAATGTTGTCATAAGTTTCTTGTTTTTATCCATTAAAATTCTTTCTTCGCCAAGAATCACATGAACTTCCTCTTTCTTCTTCTGACGATAACGTGTAGCAGCGTTTTTGTTCTGCTCCTTTTTTCTTGATTTCTTCTCTTCTGGATTTCGACCATAAGGACGAGTTCGTTTCTTTGAAATGCCGCTCAGTTTGGTTGTTTTCTTTGATGCCTCAATGTCATCGAAGTAAGATGATGTTGACGATTCACTTCGTGGTGACCACGATGATGATGTTAAAATAGTACAATTATCATCATCATAATCAGATTGAGTTCGAGAATGAGCTTGAATAATTTCATCAACAACTTCGAGTTCACGTTGAATGTCAGCTGGTGATGAGATGATCGGCTCGGGATCAAAAATGATTTGATTCGAGTTAGAATCTTCACATGGTAAAATAGATTCATTGCTGTTCTCGAACATAATTGAAATCTCATTTTCCACTGACGGCACATCGTTGTTGCTGTTTTGAACATAAATAAATTGATCTTGAAGAGAATTTTGCGATTGATTTTGTGGTTGATAATCAAAAATGAATTGCGCTTGTTCAATGTTGATGTCTTGACCAAACTGATGTTGCTGCTGTTCAGATGAAAAAAGTTTCTCTTCAGGAGGTGTTTGTGGTGGTGTCAGATGATCCAACTCCACAGCATCGTAAATAGAATCAAATTCCATCAATAACTGCTCTGTTTTCGACACTTTTGGAGTGTCGCAATTTGAGGTGACATCGTTGCCAATCATAAAATCGTAAAGTGGTAAGTCGATCTTTTCGGTGATTTGCTGCAATTCTAGATATTGAACAAGAAATATAATCAATTAGAAATTTATCATCATGTCAACAGCATCATTAAGGAAGGAAAATATTGACAAAGCTCAGTAAAGGTTCATGTTCTGATTTTTTTTAATAGTCATGATGTTTACGAAAAGTTTTTTTTTTCTTCTTTATGCTTAAATTATCTCTCAGATGTCTGTCTGAGTCAATGAGTAAATGTAAGGAAACAAAGCTGTTCTGATTTTATACTTATTCAAAAATTTAAATCAATATTTTTGGAATGCTTTGAATGTGACTTACAAAGCATTGGAAAATGCATTCGATCTGATTTTACTAGTATTAAGAAATGCATTAAGCTCTCGTTATTAGAAAAAATAAATAATTATCTCGCTTGACATAATCTCTTTGCTTTAGCTGCTATTGCAATAATTTTCAAATTCAAATGATCTAACTAATAAGCCCAAGGTTTCCATAGTCATATATTTTATTTGCTGTCAAGAAGCTAAAGATTTCAAGTTTAATTTAGTTAACAATTTGTTTTAATGAAAACTAAAAACCTAATTCACTATCAGGGAAAAGTTTTAAACAGAAATTGGGTTAAATGCTAAGTGAAAATAATTTAAAATATGTTGTTTAAAACAGTTGCTAACTTAAGTTGAAATGATTAAATCTTGATCGTAGGACTTTCCTTTGAAAACTTTTTAATTATATAATCAAGAAACTTTCCCCAAATGCTATGCAAGGTGTGTTAAGCTTTGTTAATTAATAAATTCAATTCATTCAAGGAAATATTAATTCAATGATCATCATAACGACACGTGATTATCTTTAAAATGCTTGCGACTTCATTAAAAGAATCGAAAAGTGATATGAAATGCTTATGGAAAATTTCAAGTATTTTGCAATTTCTGATCATTTGTCTTTCTTAAAAGATTTTTAAAGTTATTGAGATTTGTGAAATGTTATTCAACAGCATGACGTTGCCGACGGATAATTCTCTTTAGAATTCAACCTACAATGAAGCGAAAATCTTTCTCAGCTTTCAATTTGAAATTCTATCGTCAACACAAGTTTCCCTTGCGCTAATCTGAATCAACTTATTTGATTTTTCCACATCTTGAGGCATTAAATGTTATGCGCATACGTTATAAGAAAAAATGTTTGTAGATATTGTTTTAGGAAAAGCACCGAATCGCGCAAACACAGCCTGAATCAAACACAAAACGAGTTTCGTAGCAGTAAACACTATAAAATTCAATCCAGAAAAGATATTTCTTTATTTCATTGAATTTAAATATTTAAAATGAATAACAAATGAAATCTCTGGACAGTTTCAGGGGCAAACATTTTCATTTTTAGTTTTATAATTAAGTTTTACATCACAGTGGAATCTCGATAAAGGAAATTTTAAGATATGAGTTCATTGAGATTTAGTTTTTGAGTAGATATATTACCATAATTGTTACAGTAGTATCCAAAACCTGCATTATATCCCATCGCCAACATACTTCTGTCTTCTTTACTTAATAATATTATAAATGGCGTTTAGTGAAAAATGTTTAATAAAATTGAAACACAATTATTGGTGGCAAATTTTTTTGTTTTTTCTCGTTCAATATCATAAAGTTTAATAAGATGAAATGTGCTGAGTATTTACTTCAATGTTTTTCTTTAACATATAATCACAAAATTGAAATGTTAATTAAATCTGCAATTTCTTTTTTTTCAGTTTTCTAAAATTTTTCTATTTCGTATATCTTGCAATGTCCACCAAGATTATAAACGCCTCTTTACAAGTTTTTGTGAGTTGAAGACAATGTCACGGCTCCAGGTGAAACAATATGCGCAGGGAACGTTCATGCTCACAAACGTTGTTGACACCATTCGATTTTTTCTTTCACATACATTAATTTTTAATTTTTTTAATTTCTTTCAACAAACTCTTAAGTCGATCTTCAAATAAGACAAAAACCAATCACGAATTAAGTTTAATTTGCATTTGAAATTTGGACTTGGTGATTAAAAAACACGACGATTTTTTTCGTTATTTGTGCGTTTTAAGCTAAAATAAAAAAGAATTTAACGCGCGACAGCTGAAATGCTTATCGGTCTGATATGTCGTATGAATAAAAGCAAACTGAGGAGAAACAAGTTGAGGAACTTGAGCGACAACTTCAAAGTATTGAGAAGTATTTCATTGCTCTCATATTCTCTTCATGCAAATGAAAATGTTTTTATTTGTGAAGGCTATGAGAGGTGAGTGACATTTTTAATGATCACTTATCAGAATGGGAAGCAAAGAAAATAGACTTATGGAAATCCTTGAAATTTCTTTTTCTTCTTCATTTTTTCAGCAAATTCATTGAAGTTTGTTTTCGATTTTTTTCTTCTTTTTAGCAAAGATTCCCCTTCGTAACTTCGTGTATAAAATTAGCCCTTAAAACCTGAACATTTATTTACAGAAATCGAAGGTCTTAAACGAGTTTCTTGTGCTACAAATTCCAATAACAAGAAACAAACAAGACTTGGTTCAATAATTATAGATCCATTAAACATAAATTGCGCATAAGATTGTCAGTAGCGTTCTCAACAGGTGTTAAGTTGTGAATAAATATTAATGGTCAGCAGTTAATCTTGAAGTTTTCATTTGATATAAAATTGTCAAGGTTGACAACTTCCGATTTGTAAAAAGTTATAAAACGACAGGGAAATTCAACTTACCATCGAGATACATTTTCTCGTCCTTATCAAGTTCTTCTAAGAAGTCAATGCCAGTGAATTCATCCACAGATTTCAAAAAAAGATCTACGAAAAGATTCATTCATTAAGTAATCTTCTAAAGCATGAATCATAACTTCGTTTTACCATTAGCAAAGCCGTCACCTAAGGAAATATCTTCAGTGTTGGAGCATTTGTATGGAGTTGCCTCCATCTTGCTCATAAGAATCAATTCGAATTGTTGAATAGACTCCATTGTTGTTAATGTTGTTTTCTTCAATTTCTATATGTATAGAACTTTTTGTTGTTTTCTCTGATATCGATATAAAATGGTTGTAACTGGAGTCGAGTGATAAACTTCCTTGTTTCTTTGTGAAAAGAGCCATGTTGGCTAATTTGTTTCTGTAATCATAAAATATAATGATGTTTAATTATCTAATATCTAATTAAATGTCATGACCGAAAAAAAAATCAATGAATTGAGAAAGTAAAAATAAAACTTTAAATATCAAGATTAAGATTGTGAACTACATAGTTTTACAGATGTAAACTATCGTCACCCATTTAAATTAGTATTGACAACTTGTCATTTGGAAAGGTATATAAAAATATGCCCATAAAAAAGCTACACAGGTAGTAAAAGATATGAATATTTGTGTTAAGATATGTGATCTCATTTTTGCGCTTAAATTTTTTTCTTGGCTTTCACTTTTCAGTTATTTCAATAAATATTTCGAGATATTTCTGCGTGAAAACATATGTTCGAGACCTACTAACAGTCAGAAATAGTAAATTGAATCTTTGGAGGGAAACAAGAAACAGTTAAGAATAACCACTAAGTAGTCATCAATATTTTGACGTCATGTACGAGAGCAACCAGACGAGAAATTGCGTCATCTTTTCACGTTTCTAGCAACTTGTATTGACAAACACTATGAAGAAACGTTTCTATTTCGTGAAGTGACGTAATTGGATATTTTCATTAAAATTGATTGAGTTGTTGTAGAGAAATCACTAAATTTCAACTAATTAATTTGTTGTACAACAGAAAAATAAGATAAGAAGTCACATTGGACATTTTATATCCAACTTGTTGTTGTTGCTTTCCACCCAAACTTCTTTTTCACTTTTTCTCAATGTTTTCAATAATTTTCAAACTCACTTTAATAAAATCATGATTATAAAGTTTTTCTGGCCCCAAGGGCGTGTGTTTTGCAAAGCGCAACTAGAACATTTCGATTTTTAATCAAAAAACTTTAAATTTTACACTTTTCTTTTTTACTTCATGGGGTAGAGAACTGGTTTTCGCTTCATTCCTAACATTATGAATTCACTTTTGCTTCTTTGTGTTGAAATTCAAATAAAATTCAACAGTTAAAAAAAGAAAACTTCGTAAAAATATTAAGGAGTTTTTCTAAGTCTTTTAAGTTTCCTTTAAGTTTTGATTCAACCAACGAATACCAGTACTTAATCGTAATTATTATTAATGAAGCAATATATTCATTTATGCGAATTTTGATGTTATGATAAAATCAGTGTTTTGTCTTAAGAAGTTGTTAAAAGAAGTGAAAAAATTTATTAGTAAATATTCCTTAAGAAAAGTGAATTACTTAATTATAATAATTGTTAGTTATTGTTATTGATATAATTATGAAAAAAATTAAATGTTATGATTGTTAAAAATGTTAAATAATTATTATGCTCTTCTCGTAATTGTGATATTGCCACTACTCAACTTATGTAAGTAAATTCGGAATTTTGAGTCGTCAATAACACGCTTTACTATGATGGTATTTTTCCCAGCAATCGCTGTGATAATTGCTTCAAATTTGGTAACTTCTATCCCTTCCACATAAATTGCTTGGCCACGAAGATACCACTGACGTTGATAAAATAATTTCCCATCTTCAATTCTTATTTCCTTAGTATTTTCTTTGTCATCGTCATCGTTGCCAGAAGAAGAATCATCGTTCAATAGTTTTCTTGAGGGGCTGCCATTCATTCCCATAACTTGTCCGCAGTTTTGTTTGTTGCTTGGTGTTAATGGCGCTGGTTGAGCAATTGTCTTCACATCTTCTTGGATTTCTTTCTTCGGCAACAAATGTACTATTTTACTAGTTTTTTTCGATGGAGGTTTTTTTTTAGTTTCCCTAACTGGCCTGGGGCTAGTATTTCGAAGATTGCGTGTTGGATTTCGACGTTTGCCAAGAGCATCATTGATGTTCACTTTTATTAAATGTTCAGACTTGAGATTTGCTTTTTTCTCTTCAAATTTGGCGCGAATATTTTTCTTCAACTCTGATTTTTCTTCTTCAAATTCTTTTGTCGCTGCTTCTATTTCCAAGGCATATTCCCTTTCAGCATACTCAGTCTCTCTTTCCCGATTTTGTTGTATAGCTTTAAGTATTTCATGATGATTAGTCTCTATTTCTTTGTGATTACGAATAAGTCTTGGATGTGTTCCATTTATGACTTTTTCCTGTTCTTTTTTGAGAAGTGCTATTGCATTTTTACGCAATCTAATGTGAGAAAATGAAAAGCAGTCGAAATTACATTTAAATGCAAAAGTATAAAACAAGCATACCGATTTCTTGCATGAACTACAAAACTACTTGTTCTTGGGTTTACTGCTTTGTTTGAATACCGATTGATTTTATGGACTACTCGTCTACTTGGTCCTGGGTTTGCTTCTTCGTTCGAAGAATCTTCAGTGTCTTCATTTTCTTTTGTTGCTTCTTTTTTCAAGACATTTTCCCCTTCAGCACACTCAGACTCTTTTATCCAATTTTGTTGTATAGCAATAAGTCTTTGAAGATATTTAGACATTGGATGTGTCCCATTTCTGATATTTTTCAGTTCTTTGTTGAGATACGCTTTCGAATTTTTACGCGATCTAATGTGAGAAAATGAAAAGCAGCGGAAATTAGTTTTGAATAAACAAGTTCAAAGCAAGCATACCGTTTGACTTCGCGAACTCGTTTACTTGGTCCTGGGTTTGCTTCTTCGATAGAAGAATCTCCAGTATCTGTGAAAATGAGTAAAAATGATGTTAGTATAAACTAAGCTTTTATGATAAAAGAAATGATCATTATGCACCTGTTTCAGAATCTGCACGAGGTTTATCGACTAAAATTGAAAAATTAGAAAGAAAAAAGCAAATTGAGTTGATTCAAAACTGATAAAAAACGAATTCAACAAAAGCTCTGCTGAGAATTTCGCAATGCTAACCTTTTTTATTTCCTTTTGATTGAATTTCATCATCACTCGACTCAACTGAAATATACTCGTCGTCACGGTTTCTGTTTGTAGACATATTTATGAAATTTTGCTATACAATTAATTTAACTCATGTTTTAAGAATGTCATTAAAGGAAATGAAACGATTAGGTTGTGAGCGCGAATAAAATGACGAAGCAAGATTATCAGGATAGGTAGACAAATGGACATGTCCATCCTGATAACATATCTACCCCCAATAAATTTCAAACATGAGTAAAACGTAAGTTTAACGGAAATTAGGTATAATTTAATCGTAATTAACCGATTTGAACCTTTCAATTTTATTTGTAAACAAACAATTTTTAAAAATAATTTTCAATTTAGATACTACAATAATACCACATAATAAAACATGGAAAAAAGCGAACCTTCCTTAGTGAGAACGATACAGAGTTGCTGATGCAGTGCATAAGAAAGCATGAAAAATAATCAACAATAGTAAAACAAATTGAGTAACACCGGCAATAAAGAAAAGGTAAAAGTCAACAAAAATGATTGAATGTTTCAATAATAATCATTATTTAAGGCATGGAAATCCATTGTAAAAGATTACAATTTACTACAAACTGGAGGAATGAAATCCATGGATAGTCTCAGAGCAAAATATAAAAATATGAAAGCTATGAAAAGAAGAAAAATTTTAGAAAATGGGAACAAAAATATGGAATTGAGAACCTGTAAAATTAATTCATCACTCGAGTCAACAGAAATATACTCGTCGTCAACGAGAAAGTTCGGCTCCACAGACAAGCGGATTTCGGGAATTGTTAATCCATTTGACTTTGATAACCTTGACACTAAAACTGATATCAACGAAATTCTCGAAGAGAATTCGTTAAAAGGTACTTTCAGTGCAGATACATGATGAAGCAGAAGAAGACAAAGCAAAAGTTCATCGAGATCTGATTCAAGAGAATATTTCCATCTATAAAACTATTCCAAGCGAGATTTTCTTTATTGTCTAATAATTTAGGGACTTTAAACACGGCCATTAGTAATTAAATTGTTTTTATTTTATATTTATCATTATTTTGAAACAAAAGAGTTGACTAAAGTTGAAAGGACTTTAGAAAACTTTATTTGATGAGAACAAAATGAAATAAAAAAGAAAATTACTTATTAAATCTCTTTTGCTGTCTCAGCCTATAAATATCATGAGTTGGAGGTGCAGCAGTGTTTTCATCATCAGAATCATCTCCACCACCAGGCAAAAGACGTCTTCTCTTACCACCACCATCATTAGTGTAACTGCTATCGTCAACAATCCAATGAACTGATTTGGCTAAGTCGAATAGTTTTGTCTCCATACCATTGTCAACGACAGGAACTGGAGCTGAAATAAGCAATAAAATGATTAACTTTTGAAACTTAATTCATCTAAATGGTGAACTTACGATCAATTTTAATTCGGTTGAAGACATCGATAAGTTTATCAACAGCTACAAATGGGCCTCTAAAGCATGTTGGAGGTGGAAGCATTGCACACAGTGCTGCAAGGGCCGGTGGCTGTGGAAAACTTCCACCACCCATGGGATGTTCACCAGGATAAGCATTTGATTTTGGCTTAAATGGAATCATTTGTGAGAAGTCAGGTCGTGGTAAAACTTTTTGTGATTCATCTCCATCATCTTGATTTTGTTGTGGAACTTTTGTTCCTGCTGTTAGCGCTATAATGTCATGATAACCGATCGATCGAAGTTCCGAAGTTGTGCAAGGAAATAAATCCAAAAATTTGTAGCGATCGATGAGTTGTGCAGTTTCTTTACCTTCATATTCCTTCAAGTTTTCGAGAACAGCACTGCGACGTCTTTCGACCTTTACAATTGATGACAAATCTCCAATGTTTGATTCGAACTCAAGAAATTTGTTCCAAACTTCAACGGAAAGTTGATTTGTTAGTCCACCTGATGACAAAACTCTCTCGAAGAGAACTCTTGTGTTGTTGTCTTCATTGAGATGTGACAAGTAGTCGATGTAGCACATAACATATTCGGGACTGCCACCGAAACGTTTCAATCCAAGCTCAAAAATTCGAAATGCGATATCTTTATCTTTACTACAATAATATTCCATTAAAGCAGCAGCAACAAACACATGATAGCGTGAACGAATATCTTCGCGTGCTTTTTTGAAGACGGCACGAGCTGACTTGATGCCCTCGGCACGTCTTGTGAATTTCATGTATTGAACATAAGCCTGAATATAAAGAATTTGAAATGATTTCAATGAAAGTATAAAGTTTGCTTACCAATGTCGGATCAATATCGCTAATTGACAAAAATTTATTGTACATTTGATGAACCTTTTCATACTTTAAGCGACCTTCTTCAAAGTCAGCAAATGCAAAGTAAAGCAAAGCATTTCGACTTAGTACACCAGTCGTCGCTCGTTCTAAAATGTTTGCGACTTCATCATAGAATATTTTTGCTGCATTTGTATCCTAAATTTGTGTGTATGGAAAGAATTTGTTATCAAGCAATCATTAAAATTAAATTTATAGAAAATGATTTGAGAAATAAAACGCAATTTAAAGAAGATTTTAAGGGAATATCTGACTAATTATTTTTACATTTTAAGAATCAAAATCTTTCATCAAATATTCCCAATGAATCTTCACAAAGCAAAGAAAACAACATTTTTGTTAAAATTATGCAATGATCATCGAAAAGTGATGAATTTATTGCGTTAATCTTCGATTTTTCAATATCACAAGAAGTTTCAATCACACATCGCTAAACTTGAATATTGGACGGCTATAAAATTTAATTTAATTATAGACGTTGATATGAATTAACGTCACAGGAGAAAGAAATCGAAGGAAATTGTTATACGTACGGCTTTTTCAGTGAGATGCTTTGCAGTCTGATCTAAATATTGTGCGGCCATAATCCAAACATCTGGATGATGGCTTAAAACAAGAAGACATTGTTCTGTAGCAAACATAACACGTCGTGACACTAAAGCTGTGTCTTCACTTCTTAGTGGATTTTGTTTTTCGAAATTAATGAATTTCCGCCATAATTCGACCTAAGTTTTGAGTAATTGTGAAAGTTAATTAATTAAGATTTCTTTCCTTCTAGTGGTTAACAAGACAAACCTGTTTAAACTCTTCTTTTGTCAATGTGGGTGGCACAGCTGGCAAATTACGATTCAGTCCTTTGGTGACATTTTCAAGCTCTTTAGCAACTCGACGAGCATTCATGTAATCTCTTGATCGTTCCAAACTCATCTTTTCAGATATGACAGGATTAATGTTGTGTTCAAATTGAATGTATTCTTTCCACAAGACTTCAATACCGATGATTGGTGTGAGGACAGCTTTTTGGTAGACTTTACGAATGGCAGTGATCTTTTGATTTTCTGCGAAGCTTCCTATGGGTTCGAAGCTCTTCAGAAACGAAACGTAATCGGACCAGATGGAAAACGAATGAAGATCCATGCCAATCTTTTCTAAAGCAAAATCATAAGCCTGTGCAAGCTTTTCTCTGTGAAAATGTGACAAATTATTATTAAGTAATCTTTATTTACAAATATAAATCCTACTTATGAGTGCTCAATCCAGATTTTGTCTCTTTCACATATGTCAGATACAATTTCCATAAATCTATGTTCAAAATCTTAACTAAACATCGTTGGAAAAGTTTTTCGACTCTCTCATAATTGCGTGCTTTCATTTCTTGTTCAATGTAAATCTTCCAGTAGCGTGCTGTCGTTGGGAAGACCGTGGTAAGTGATTCGTAAAGTGATCGAACTTCATTAACTCCACGACTTTGAGCTTCTCGTAGCAAAACAGACCAAGACTCAATATCATAAGGACGTAGTTCAACGGTTTGTTGTGCTCTTACTAATCGTTCATGTCCCCATTCAATGTCAATTGATATTATTGTATTGTTTGTCATGTTTGTACAATTTCACCGGAAAGATTCTTTTACGTTGAACTTAACTTAATCCACTAAAAATTCAATACTTTTAAGAAACAATTACAACTTACAACATTTATGTTCAAGTTTAAATTGGCAACTGCCTTGGAAAAGTCTTTAAAATATTTATTTTTGTTGAAAATGAGTAGATTTTCGCTTTCTTCTATCGGTTCAATGTTTGGTTTCGAGTGATTTTGAAACGGTTATTTGAACCGGCTCACAGTGGAAACTTTTCTTTTAGAGAGCGGTCCTTATTAAATATCTTTTTACATGTCCATCGAATGTCGTAGCCATGTATGAAACAAATGTTCCTAAGAAATGTACCCGTTAAAGTGCATCATTTTTAGTTCCGCCCGGCCCCTTCAGACGGCGTAATGAGGGTTTATATATTTAAAACTAATTTTTTATATAGAAGACGTGGTTTTATAAATATAATTATTATTATTATTTATTTTTGAATTCAATTTTGTACAAGTAAGAGCTGAACTCTTCTTTAGACCTAAGTCTTCTTATGTACATAAATGCCATTTTTTACCCAAAGGATTGGAATTCAGAAATTTTTAATTCAAAAATGATTCTTAAATTTAATGTATTATGATAAGAGAAGAGAAAAAGAAAAATTAAGTAAGTTCATAAAATCATTCGTTTTCAGTGAAGGATATGAAGGGGGTAAGGTTGGGGAAAGTTGATTGAGGACAAGATTGTGTTTGATTTCGCTTTTACGACTCTCTCGAGGTGAAAAATGTTAGACACTCGTGCTTGAAACTCGATTGCGCAACGTTCATTCTTATTTCTGGGCTCAATGAGTTCCACAATCTAACTCCAAGAACGAAAAAAGATCTTTGGAAATGTTGCGAGGATTTTGGTAGCGTTGGTATTGTTAGACAACAGTTTCGAGGATATCGAGGAAATTGAAGCTTTTCATAAAGATATTGTGGTGTTTTTGTTCGTAATAAATTGAAAATGAATAAACATGCTCGATATTTCATATATGATTCGAGTGAACAGCCTAAAATAATTTTTTTATCAGTTGAGATGGAATCATATTTATGTTTTCCACAAATGTAGCGAATGCAATGATTGAAACATTTGTTGATTGCACTCCAATCTTCTCGAGAACTTCCAAAAAATAATTCAGAGCAGTATGTGAATTTTGGAATAATTAATGATTTCACCAAATACAATCTCATATTTTTGGATATGTACGTTTGTGATTGTCTTAACATGGAAAGTCCGCTATTCACTGAACCGCAAGTGTTCGATATGTGACTGTTCCAGGATAGGTCATGGTTTAGGTAAACTCCGAGACATCTTAATGTGTTTACAAATTCAATTCTTTCATTGCCAATGAACAATGAATATGATGATTCGGGGGGTTTTCTTCTCATGAATATTATTGCTTTCGATTTTTTAGGGTTTAATTGAATGAGATTATGTTTTGCCCAATTAAAAACCGTGTCAAGGGATTTATTCATTTTAAAAATACATTCATTGATTTTACCCTCTGGTGCAGAGCAATATAAATGCGTGTCATCAGCATAAAGATGGATACTTGTGTCTACAATATTGACAATATCATTGATTGAGAGTGAGAAAAGAAGTGCAGATAAATTTCCACCTTGAGGTGTTCCGGAGCAAACATGAGTTAAATCAGATCTGTTTTCACCGATTCTCACTCTTTGGTAACGATCACTAAGGTAAGATTTTATAAACGATGTTGCTATTGACGAGAAGGAGAATTGATTAGCAAGCTTATATAAGAGTAAGTCGTGATTCATTAGATCGAAAGCTTTCGTGAAGTCGAGCGATACCATCACTGTGATATTATTATCAAATATTTTGCTGTTGATATCATCAGTTATTTTGAGGAGAGCTGTGAGTGTGCTATGTTTCTTCCTGAAACCTGATTGATATTCAGAGAGAAGATTATTTTCATTTAAAAAAAATTCGATTTGTGATTTCATTATTATTTCGAGAACTTTTGAAAGTGATGGTAAAATACTTATTGGGCGATACTCTGAAATTATGGATGGGTTTGATGTTTTCGGAATTGGCATTACATTTGCTATTTTCCACGCTTTTGGAAATACAGATTTTGTAATGCAACAATTAATAATATGTGAGACATATGGAATAATGAAAGGGCAAAGAGATTTTAAAAAATTTGAGGGAATTCCGTCTTCTCCTATCGCATTTGTCGATATGTTTTTAATTGCAATAAGAACTTCATGATCAGAGACATTTTCGAAATTAAATTTATTATCTTGATTGCAATATATTGACTGATAATTGTTGATAGGATGGTCGTTAGAAAAGGAAGAAGAAAAGTAGTTATTGAAATCACTAGGTGAAAATTTATCAATTTTGTCAACTTTAGAACCGATAATTCCAATGGATTTAAGATTATTCCAAAGTTTTTTCATTGGTAAATCAAAATTTAATTTCTTCTTAAAATATTTTGCAATTAGATTCCTTTTCAGCGTTGTTGATTTATTACGGTAAGAGCGATATTTTTCTCGATAGAATAGTTTTTGTTCAATATTTTTTTCGATACGGGAAATGTGGAAATAATAATTTCTTATATTAATAAGATTTTGAAGATTTTCATTTGAGAGAATGATATCATTTTGATTTATATATTTGATTTTCTTATAAGGAACATTTTCCTCGATTAGAAGCTTTAAATTTTCAATGAAAAAATTAACTTGATCATCGACATCGGCAATATCATAAATTCCATCGAAATTCAACTGTGCAGCCGCTTGTTGTATGATTTCTGTTTTAACAGATTTAAAATCATAGAAAAAAGCTTCCGGAAAGTTTTCAGCATTTGAGATTGAGTATGGGAAAGTTCCAAATAGAATGTCATGTGTGCTGAAACTTCCTGGACTTATTTGAGAAAATCTTATTAGCGATACCGATTTTTTAACAATTATCAAATCTATTAATGTGGGATTCGAAATGCTAGAGAAATTAGACGGTTCAGATTGGGGGCAATAGAGATCAAGTAAATTTAATTTCTCTTTGAACGACAAAGTTTTTGAGGATTTTGATAATTGATTGATGTTGAGATCACCTAATAAAATTATATTATTATAAGATAGGCTTAAATTTTCCAAAGCTTTAAACAGCGAGTCTAAGCGAGAGTTGTTTGGTGGATTGTAGATTACACCTATCAGAAGCTTATCATTATTGTGATTGCAAATTTCAATAAAAAGAAACTCTGTAATTCCATTTGCATGACTTCTTAAAACTGTTTTACTTTTAATAAAATTTTTAACGTAGAAAGCAACTCCCCCACCACGTAATCGAGTTTTATTTTTCCTATCATGACGAATTAAATTAAAATCATTGATACTCAATAAATTCGAGTTCTGTGAGGAATTAAACCAGGTTTCAGTAATCGCAATAATGTGTACGTTAACATCATTAATTAAAGATCGAAATTCAGTTAGATTTTTACGTAAGCTTCCTGGATTTAAATGCAAAAAGTTTAATTGATCATTTGATGGGAAAGCAGATTTAAGAGTTATGTTTTTTAAATTCAAGGAGTGATTGTTTATTCTTGAGTTAACCATATTTATAAGAGACCGATGAGCTCAAGGTTAAGGCTAACAAATTTCGTACGAGAGATGACATGAAAAGCGTTAAGGGAGTAGGGAAAGGTTTAGAGGAAATTGGTTGAAAGAATGATTTATAACTCACCATGATATTCTTCTTTAATTTTGTTTTGAGTTTTGATAGCCAATTAATTGATAAAAGCGATTCAACTAAAAGTAGAAAAGTGGCATTAATATTCATATTACACTTTAAGTAAATTTAATTAATGAAATAAAAATGATTGATTGTTGATTTCTCTTCTTAATTGGATGTATTTGGAATCAAAGCTTGCTGCAATTATGTCTTCTTGATCAAATAATCGTCGAGCTCTTTTGTTGAGTGGAAGATCTTGAAGGTATCGTTCGTCGAGGATTTTATCATTGAGTATCCATGATCAACTCTAACCTGCTTGATTTGACCTTCCTTCATCAGTTTAACTGCTTTCTTGTTTATTTCATATTGAGATTTACATAAATCAGCTGATAGAAAGCATCTTGAATCGCTTTGTTTAGAGCTAATGATGATTCTTAATGTTAACTCTTTCGGTTTTTTTAGATAGCGATTGAAAAACTCTTGCTTATGAAAGACCGTTGGAAATTTAATAATGATGGTAGAAACTTTGTCATGTTTTCCAATGCGATAGATTTGATGTTCAGGTACTCTTTCATATCCAAGAAAACCCGAAAGTCTCTTCATATAAAGCGCCAGATCATCTTTCTCTAAGATTGGAACACGCTCAAGGCGAAGGTTCTGGTTTCTTTTGTTAATCTCTATGATGTCATCAACTTTTTGGCCCACGTGACTGATTGCATTGTTAGATTCAGATAAGCTATTTTCAATGGCTTTAATCTTAGAACCAAAACTTGAGAAAAGTTCTTCTTTTAGTTTTTCCATTTCCTTCCCAATTTGAGTGTTAATATTTAGTGTAAGTGCCGATGTAAGTTGTTTAATAATATCGTTTTTGGTTTTTTCGTCCATATTGAATTTATTTTCCTTTGTTCTTCGAAGGAGAAATAAGTTTTTCAATTTTTACTGATTTTTGAAGCGAAATTGATGAATATTTTCAAGTAGATTTGTTGAAAGGCTTGTTGTCTTCAAGAATCTGATGAACTTTCGTTAGATGAGCTTTTAAATTTTAAATAAATTTGACAAAATTGAGAGCTTTAAAGAAATACGTCTATCTGTTCCACATTCCAATTCTCTCTTCTAACGTTTTATTAAAATATGTTCAAATATCAATTATGAACATATCTTTCATACATTATGAAGTTGTAAAAACTATGTATCGCGAGATATTTGATTTCTAAATTTTCCATATGAAATGCGAATATGACATTTTTCAAAGGCAACTTTTCAAAATTTCATTTTCAGTTTCATACAAAAATGGCGAAATTTTGCGAAATATGCGTTCACAAAATTTGCATTTTCTTTCACTGCCGCAAGTTACCGCAGCTGAAATAAACATTTTTGGAAAGCTGAAAGGTGCATGCACATGACCTCATACTTACTTTTTGGATTGCATTGGATTCTCGAATTGAAATTGCATTCAAAGTTGAGCAATTTTCATATAAAAAGCATCGACATAAAAACATTACTTATTATTTATTTTTAAATTAAATAAAACAAACTGTTTTTTTAAAATTACAAAGAATTTATTAATATTTNTATTAATATTTAATTCTGCTTTTACAGATTTTTTATTTAAAATAAATAATAAAATAAATTTTAAGTTTAAAAAAATAACCTCATTTTCATGTAGATTTTTCACCTCGGACATGGGTGACTTCATGACTAATTTTCAGTCACTTCCACTCATTTCCGGGATGAACAATATGAAGTCAAAAGTTGCGCCATATAGTCTTCTAGAAGTTTTAAAAAAGATGAAGACGATATGACGCAACTTGAAAACTCGACTAATGTCCTCTGAAAACCCACTGTGCGGCTCTATGATTTTCTATACGTTTTTTGTTTGTTTACCTCGTTCACATGAAATGCCAATTCTTTATGTTATTTAATTGAGGCACTTACTCAAATTTAAAAAAAAGATTTATTATTAATCAATCCACTTAGTTGTCAGTAAAACATTCAATTAATTTATGTCATAGACTTTATTTCCTCATCCAAATTAAAAAATCATACATCGCTCGAAATTAGTACAGAAAAATAAATTCATAAAAAATAAGTTTAGAAAATAGAAGATTATGAAACTTTCTAGGGTTTATATGGAACAACTAGATTTTCAGAAAACTCTTTGACTTTTGCAGTTCCACGAACTTCTTTGTCAAGCAATGGAAGTTTTATGACATGAAAATCGTCCTCGTATAAATCTGCCATTTGCTCAATATATTTCGATTGTGTCCTTAATCGCGCTTCACACATAGAACATGGTGGACCTTGTTTCTTGAAAAGCAGTTGATTGACGATTATGTTATGCGTGTCAATTCCAGTTTTCAGTAGTTCTTGAATTAATCTTTCTGTCTCATAAAGGGAAAGGAATTCTGCTATACAAACGCACACAAAAGTCGTCTGATCAGGATTCTTGAATTCGGCATTAACACGTCTTATAACTTGTAGCATATCTTCCAATTTCGAAGTAAAAGAATCAGCATTGAAATCTGACAATCCAAATATTGACCCCATCTGTGAGATGAACGGTAGAAGTTTCATCTTTAAACGCAACATTTTTCCAATCCCTTTTTCGACTACTTGTGGAAATGAAAGAAGTCTTAAAGTGTGACCTGTTGGTGCAGTATCAAACACAACAATAGAGAACTTCATTGAATTTACTAGCTTCATAACTTCAGCATAGCTAATTGCCTCGTCAATACCTGTTTACAATTAAAAAATGTTAGGCACCTCAATAATGTTTGAATGGAGAAAATTTCTTACCGGGAAGAGCTCCAATAATTTCTTGCAAAATTCCTTTTGTTAACTTTAATGAAGAATCTTCACGTTCGAAATATTCATCAGGTAGTTCATTCACTCCTACGTTAGGATCAACTTCCATCGCATATAAATTCTCAAATCCATTAACTTTGGTTGGAACTTTTGTAAACTTCTGATCAAAGGCATCTGAAATATTATGAGCTGGATCGGTTGATAGAATTAAGACTGATTCACGTGTTTTCGCAAGTTGAATAGCCAAGGAGCAACTGCATGTTGTTTTCCCAACACCACCTTTACCTAAAATTAAGAAAAAATTTTTTTGATGACTCGAGAACTTTCCGCGATTAATTTCATCATTTTACCTCCAACAAAGACCCATTTCAGAGTCTTCTGGTCAATCACATTACGTAAGGAAGGTTCGAGGTCACCATTGTCTCCACTCATAATAATTTCTTTTTTATATAAAGGGAATAAATTAACTAACAAGTTTATTTACAAAAATTTAATATTTTTCGGGAATTTTGATGTTGATTTTGATTTTAAGGAAAATTTTCCGTGTCGGACTGTCATCGTTAAATTGTAAAATTAACTGAACGAACTCACTTTCTGGTACACATGTACAAACAATTCCAACTTTGGAATTTATTTAATTCAAAAACTACTCAATAATTCATTTTTAAGTCGATATTATGAGTGATAATCGTGAGGAAATTCAAGATCAAATAAAGATTCAAGGAGAAGTTGTCAGAAAGTTGAAAGCAGCAAAAGAATCAAAAGGGAAAGTGAGTTTAACAAAAAATTTGATGTAAAGTTTGATAGATTTGTGAAAATATTTGTCAAATGATTGATTGATATTCATGTGTTCATTGGGTTCTCTTTACAATCTAGATATTAATGTTAAACATATTAAAATTCGATCTAAATTTATGAAAAATATTTCATTTTTTTATACGTATCGAGAAGAGAAACAATGAACATGAACCAAAAAAAAAGTTTTTAATTCACTTAAGCATGCAACCCAAATATGTATCTGTACAGTAAAAGAATTTGATTGTGTTTCAATTTCTCTTTTCTTTATTTCTTCTCGCTGTTATTCAGTTTTAATAATAAAAAAAATACATAAAATGATGCTGAAACAGTTAACGAAATTGCTCTATAATTCCAATCTTTTCTCTCGAACTTGTCGACTCTGCACAACATCGTCACTTCATTATCGGAACATAGAGAATAATAGTCAGAAACTTTTGCAGGTCAGATACATATTTTTATGAATTGATCTGATTTAATAAATAATTTTTTAAATGTTTCTTTCCCTCAAACAAAGATCGATGAGGAAGTCGCTAAACTTTTGGCTCTCAAAGCTAAACTCACTGAAAATGAACCATCAGCACCTCAAAAGTTTTCTCTGAAAACACCAAAAGGAACACGAGACTACAATCCACAACAAATGGCACTTCGTCAATCAGTGTTAGATAAAATCGTGAAAGTTTTCAAAAAGCACGGAGCTGAAACGATCGACACACCAGTGTTCGAATTAAAAGATGTTTTAACTGGAAAATATGGCGAAGATTCAAAGCTCATCTATGATTTGAAAGATCAAGGCGGTGAGATTCTATCAATGCGTTATGACTTGACAGTTCCACTTGCTCGATATCTCGCTATGGGTAAAGTTGCAAACATCAAACGTTACCACATCGCAAAAGTTTATCGACGTGATAATCCAGCGATGACTAAAGGACGCTATCGAGAGTTTTATCAATGTGACTTCGACATTGCTGGTACTTACGATCCAATGTTACCCGATGCTGAATGTGTCAAAGTCGTTTCGGAAATCTTGACTTCGCTTGACATCGGTGAGTTTGTGATAAAACTCAATCATCGTAAACTCCTCGATGGAATGTTTGAAGCTTGTGGTGTTCCAAACGATAAATTTCGAACAATTTGTTCAGCTGTTGATAAGCTCGATAAGAGTCCTTGGGAAGAGGTGAAAAAGGAGATGATTGACGAGAAAGGATTAGACGAGGCTACAGCTGATAGAATTGGTGAATATGTGAGACTTAATGGTGGAGTTGAACTTGTTGAGAAGCTTTTAAAAGATGAAAAGTTGAAGAAAGTTCCTTCAGCAGTTGAGGGTCTTGAAGGGATGAAACTTCTGCTGCAGTATTGCGCAATTTTCGATGTTGCTAATCATGTTGCTTTCGATTTGAGTCTCGCTCGTGGTTTGGATTATTACACGGGAGTGATATACGAAGCTGTGTTGAAAGGCGACACAAAAGAAGGTACCAAAAAGAAAAAGGAAGAAGAAACTGTTGGATCAGTTGCTGGTGGTGGTCGTTACGACAATCTTGTTGGAATGTTTGATGGGAAAGGAAAGCAAGTTCCATGTGTCGGTGTTTCAATTGGTGTTGAAAGAGTTTTTGCTATTCTTGAAGCGAAGAACGCTGTTGAGAAGACGAAGTTAAGAACAACTGAAGTTCAAGTTTATGTTGCATCAGCTCACAAAGGATTGCATGAGAAACGACTTGAGATTTTAGGGAAATTGTGGAGTGGAGACATCAAAGCTGAACATTCTTACAAACAAAATCCGAAACTTCTCGCTCAACTTCAACATTGTGAGGAATATCAAATACCTTTTGCTTTGGTGCTAGGCGATTCTGAATTAGAACGTGGAGTTGTTAAACTTAGAGATGTTGTGACAAGGCAAGAAGAAGAAGTTCCAGTCGATAACTTAGTTGAAGCTATTAAATGGCGTTTGAGTTCGAGACGATCAACTTAGAGAAATCTTCTAGCATCACATGAAACTTTTTATTCTCGAAATTGACTTAAAATTCATTGCATTAAGTGCGCAATCATTTCTTTTCATTTTTCGATAAATAATAAATAAAAGCATTTGAAGCAACTTCAAAAGAAGTAAATGAAATAAAGAAAAAACTGTCATGGTTGATTGATTTTTCAGCTGATGTTAACTCAATCGAAGTTTCATTCATTGAACTTTACAGAGAATTAAGAAACGTATTAAGTATTGCATATTTAAATAATTGACATGACATCAAGGTTAATTAATTCAATTTATTGGTAGATTGTGATGAGATTAGCGTGAGAAAATCATTTTTTGACACTACTTTAGAATTTTTCTCGATATTTTCTTCCTGAGATTCACAGCGTGATTATTCACACTTGAAAAGCTTAACAAATTTTCCACAATAAAAATTCTAACCGTCACTTCTCAGAAGATTCTATTGAACTCTTCCATCATTAACAGTTTGTTGATTTTTTTCGTAATTTTAATTTCAATTTAAGATGATGGAATTTCCTTAAAATTAATTCGCTTAACAGAAAATCATTCAAAAGCAATGTCAAGTCTATTGCAACTTCGGACAATATGTAAATGAATTAAGGAATTGCTTAACACCATCGACGACGTGATTTTCCATCGAACAACATCAATTGACAATCGTAATTCGTTTCACTTTATTGTGTTGTTCTTAAACAGTTCTTTCTGCACCATCAAGTGTCTCATTCGATGACTTGTAAAATATTTTCCACTTCTGCCATCGAATTCGTCACCAGAAAAATATCTTTAAGTAAATTAGAAAAAAGGCCGATTGCGGAAAGGAATTAAAGTGCCTAAAACAATTGTTGGATTAAAGCATGGAACCCGTCTGGTGTTTCATGCGCCCACCAAGAACCATTCAAATGGTATATAAGCAAAGAACGTTGTTTGATTTTTATTTAGTTTAATTTTGTCAGTTGGTGAAGCTTAAAGGAATGGGACAGTTGTCAGTGATAACACTTGTGTTGTGCATAGTGAATGTTTCGTTATCAAAACCTTACGCAAATGATTATCCATATCAAAAGTACGGCTACAATCACGAATCATCAGCAGGTGATAATGACGAAGCGCGATATATAAAAAGTAAATTGTATGATGAAGGTGGTCGATTGAAAGCCAATTCTGACACTGGATTAACTTATCATCTCGATTCAAATACGAACAAGCATAATCTTCATCAATTAAAACGTGGAAGCAGCACAGATAATCTTAAACATGAACAAGGTGAAAATTTCGAAACTGATAAGTCACATAAAAGGAAGCATGTTAAGTCTGGTTTTCAAAACTCGTATCACAAAGATGAGAACGGTTCGCGTTCATCATACTACGAAGATTCGGATGACACGGGTGGTAAAACTGTTTACGACAAGAAACATGGCACACGTGGTGATCAACAAGATTCTGAATACAATGAAGGGTTGAAAAATGGAGTGTCGCGTGATAAATACGATGATAGACGAACGGGATTTAAAAATCGTGATCTTGCTGATCGTCAGCAATCTTACATCGAAGATCAAGGTAAGGCATCAACTTAAGGTTCATTGAACGTGGAAATCTTGAATCTCAAGCGTTTAATTGAAACAAATTTCCGTTAATTTCACATCTCAAGGCAAACAACACGGTTACAACGACATTTACAAACATGGCGTGGATGATCGATTTCAGATAATTCGTCGACCATATTCAGATTATCGTCGTCTTCCATTGAGAGATATTGACGATGGTTATGATCGATACAATGCAAAGGATCATTGGGTAAGAAATGTAATTAATTGAATTCATGTTGATTTAATTTTAAATGAACACATTTAGGGTTACAACAATCGACTTCCACCACCTCCACCATTAAACGATCATCTTCGTGAACCAATTACATCCCCCAGCCGAGATTTCGCTAATCGTGATTATCCAATTCGTGATTCACCAATTCGTGATTTACCAATTCGTGATTTACCAGCTCGTGATTTCCCCAATCGTGACTTCCAAACCCGTCGAAGGATTACAATCTTTGAAGATCCACGTGATGAACTGATCGATCCTAAAGTTGATCGCTTACATGACAATGGAAATTTCATGACAAGAAGTGAAGTGACAAGAAGATTTGACTATGGGCCGTCGTTAGATCGCGATCGAACACCAATGAGATTACGTTATAGAGGATTATGATTTATAAATATGAAGTTAAGTAGATAATTAAGTTTGCAAATTCTCAAATAAAGAGACGAAAAATTTAATTCTTTTCTTTTCTTGGTTCAAATGAATTCTTTGTTCATCACAATTTTCTGAAACTCATGTTCATTTGAAGCTGCATAAGCATAAAATATTCTTCGCATTGCTTCAGTGTTGCACATGAAAGGTTCCAAAGTTGTCCAATAAAGTCGATTTCTTTCAATTGAATTTTGGGCAAGTTTTCTGTTGTTGTATTCGATCCATTCGTCACGCTGTTGATTAAAAATTGATTGAAAATGTTTGATTAGAAATTGTCATTTTACCTTTTTCTTCTTTTCGATAGCAAGACTGAGTGGAACTGATGAATGTTTAATACCGAAAAATTTGTAACTGGGAACATCAACTTTAGGCACGAGACCAGAAAGTTCCAACTTTCCCCTTTGATCTTTATTCTTAATCCATCTCATTTCATTTTCCTTATCATCATAACGAATTCCAAATCGTTGAAGTATCCACTCTCGTAAAATCGGCAAACGATGAACATCAGGAAATGAAGCAAGAACAAATTTGGGATTTTTTTTCATCAATGCCAAACCTTCCCGCAGCAAATCATAAATTTTCTTTTTATTTTTCCCAATTTTATCACAGTCAGCAACAACTCGTTGACTTTTCTCTTCGTTTTCCAATCGACATTTCTCATTCCATGAGTTCAATTCAGACTCCCACAAATCTTGAACACATTTACTAATTGCATTATCAATTGTCAAATGTTTGTCCACCTCCAATGCTGAATTAATCGAATTTTTGATTGGACCGCAGTCGTTTAGAAAACTTGTCGTCAATATTTTCTCGTAATCAAACTCAAACGGTTTCACTACTGTTGGACGATGAAAAAATTTGATTTCATTTTTAATTGATTCGTTTGAAGTTTCATTTGTTAGGCAACTTCCATTAATCTCTCTTACTTCGCAAGTTTCAATCGCACATTTTTCACAATTTTGACATAAATGAAGGAATTGTAGATCAGCAGCATTCTCAACAATCTTTCTTACCATAGCTTCGAACATAATTCGACTCTCACGTTCATCTTCAACTTCTCGTAACTCATTTTCCGCTTTCAATAACTCAAGTCTCACACCATAAATTATTCCACGTTCAAAATCATCTTCGTAATCGTCTAGAATGTCTTCAAGTCTTTCACTATCACTTCGACTTAATAATTTAGTGAGTAATTGATGAAATGACGAAATTTTATTCTTATGTTCCGCACACAAATTTTTCGCTTGACTTTCTTTGTCAACGTTTTCTTTGAAGACTTTCTCAATAGCTTCACATACAACACTTTTTGCAATATGTTTTGATTCAATCGATGAACAACTTTCATTAGCAAACCAGCGATTTGCTTCATTTGGAATGACATAAGATGGATCTTTATACTTTTTATATATTTCAAATTTTGCTTCAAATCGACGAGGTTGTTTGAAAATGATGCGTTGTGGTTGTAATTTCGGCTTAGGAACGGGTTCGTCATATGGTGTGTCAAATCTACGTCTGCAACATTTTTTAATTTTTTCAGTTTTAACTTTCTTATTACATGATTTTGGTAAGATTCGATCTAACTCTCGAAGTGTTGTCATCATATCCAAATGACAAATGCATGATAAAAGCAATCGTTGATTGTATGGAAAAACTTTCGACTTTCCGTCAGTGCAAATATTATAGACTGAATCATAAAGATTTCTTAGGAATGCCAAATCGTTGCCTCGACTGTAATTAATTCCTTTAAGAAGTTGGAGCTTTGATGGAAGTGGATTCAAGCCAATGATTTGTAAACTATCTCGACAACACTTTAACATCTCTTCTTTCGTGTCGCTATTCAAAGCACTTAAAAGTGTGTTGGATGCATTGATTTGACGTTGAGAAAGTTCTTGAAACCATCCAGGCCCACATTGTCGTGTCATTTTTTTAATAAATTTTTTAACTGTTGATATTCAAGCTTAATTTCTGAAAGAAATTCTGAAACAAATTTTACACACCTTTTAATGCATCTTCTAACAAAACCTTTTTAAGTAAATTTCCAGTGGGTTCATGATCAGAACTTAATTTATTTATTCTGTAAAAAAATATTTCCTCTGCCGGAGTAATATAAGATTTAAAACTCTTTGCGTACAAATGCTTATCACAAGCCATTCAGAAATGTTTTTTATTAAATCAAAAACTTCTCAACACTTTCAAATTTGAATAATTCAGGAAAAGAAAATGGATACTTTGATGATTTTCGATGTGGAATTTTCCAGCTTCTTCCTACTTCAGCAGGCGGACATCATTGGCAATCTCGCTAATTAGTGATGTGACCTAAGCGAAAAAAATATTAATAGGCCAGTTACCAAATAAAAATTCCTAATTGAGTAATCCATGGAATTAAATGCAGTTTAGAACCGCATTTCCTGTCATCACAGATTTCTGCCTATAAGATTTAGAGCCACAATGGATACACAATGACAAGACAAAGTCAATATAGGCATCACATGACTGATACTAACCAAAGAATAAAGGCACTTGAAAATCTATCAGTCGGTTTTTACCTTTTGGTTTGATGTTTTGTTTACAAAACCAAGGGAAAAGCCCGAAAAGAAGAAAATCATTTATAAAAATTGAAGTGAAAGGATGACAAGAAGTGTCACAAGACTGAAATTAAATATAAACTCAAAAAAGAATTTTTCATAAATTTCCTAAACATAAACTCCCTGTTAACCTAATGGGCAACAGAGAAAAGTGAAGTTCAGAAAGAACCTTTGAGGAATTTAATACTTGATTTCTTTGATCACATTCCACAAAAGTTCAACTACTGAGCTGTTTAATCCTTAGTTTAGTTCATTTTGTTGGAAAAGTTGTTGGCGAGCCAAAGAGTGTCATTAACAAGAATACAATATAAATCATGCGGGATTTAAGAATAAGATATCTGAATGAAAGTGATAACGCAGTGATAAACTACGATTAATGACATTGATTATTCAATTAGGAATTTAGAATTGGAATCTTGCTTATTAGTATTTCTTTCACTTACTGTTTAAGCCAATTTCTGTCGGCATCATCTTTTTAAGCAGCAAACAAATTTAGAATACTCGCCATTTGCATTCAATATCTTCATATTGTATTAAAAGAGTTTGCTTCTTTCCTTTGTTGAAGAATTCTAAAAATACAAAAAAAAACAAAAGCAATTAGCATTAAAGCACGTGGTTGTAGAATTTAACTTTGAACATGTGCTTTACTAATTTTAATGTTATCAAACTTATTGAAAATTAAAACATTCAATACAAAAACCGATAAACTTAAGTTAAACTTGCCTTAATTAATTCACTCACCGCTCATGAAGTGAATTCGTTGAATTTAATTGAAGATGAAGGATTTTTCTTTCTACCTAAAACATTCCTAATCGAACGTTGTAATCGGACTGAACGAGAATGTCATTCTCTGCACGATATTTATTAACAAGTTTATTAAGGACTATTGAGAAATATGAAGAGAATCTTCAGTTAGCAAGTTTGCCTCTCTTAATGATTCATCATGCAATATAAATTGTAATTTATTTGTCTCTTCAACTTTTGGAGACTATAAAATAACTTTTACCTATATCTTGTTTTTTTTTATTAATTATTGAACTGTTTTTAAAAGTGAGGCCTTTTCCGCTCGCTTCTTATGCAATGAATTTTTAATTGGTTTCTATTTAGCAGATATCTATCTATTTAATTATTTCAACTGGTTTTTTATAATCTTTGTAATCCCCGATCAATATTATAACAGTAATGTTAGTGCAAGGCACTAAAATTTTTGAACCTTGCTCACTTTCAGCTTCTGATTAACCCCTTGGTCGTTGTTTACAAAATTTTATACTAAAATCTGCAATAATTTATAAACTCGAAGCAAATTTAAATAAGGCATTTGAAACTATACATCAATAACAAGATAAATTTCTTAACTATCTAGATTATTTGTACATACATAATCCTGTAAACTTAACAAATAATTCCAAGTAAAGTTCAAAGTAATTAGATGGAATTTTCAACTTCTGAAAAGAAACAAAATCGGTTTGGTTGCAAGAAATGTGGAGTAAGTTGGAAAACAAATACTGATCACATTAAAATTATATTTATTACATTTTAGTTTCCTGGGCATTTGACATTTCAATGTCGAAATTATCTAACTACTGATCCAAATAGAAAACCCATAATAGCCGGTGAAGAATCATCAAGTAGTGAGGAGGAAGAAGATTTTATGACACCACTCCAAAAGTTGAATCAACAAGAGAAAGAGCAGGAATTACGAGATAAAGCTAAAAGACGTGAACTTGAAAAAGAAAGAAGAAAAAGAAAGAAATCTCGTAGTAGATCTTCCAGCAGTAGCAGCAGCAGTTCAAGATCAACAACTAGTAGTTCATCGTCGTCAAAGTAAGTCCACAATTGAAATATTGCTATTCGAATTAAAATTCTTTTTTTTTTCTTCAAAATAGTAGCTCCAGTAGCAGTTCATCAAGTTCCAGCAGGTAAAAATAGATTTTTATTCTTATTGTTCAACAGTTCCTTAACAGTTCCTTAACAATTTGATGACTTTTAGCAGTTCCTCATCCTCAGACAATAAGCGCAGTAAAAAGAAGAGAAGCAAAAGGAAATCCAGAAAACTTAAGAAAAGTACTACATCTAAGAAAAAACACAGAAAGCATAAAAAGAAATAATATTAAATATCATTCATAATTTTTTTTTCTATGAATTAATTAAAACTTTTGATTTCGCTTGACAAACAGGACAGCAGATGTACAATTTTAAAAATTCAAATTTTCTTAATAAAAAATTTTTTTCATCAAATATAAGCTCATTTACTTTTATTATTGTTTCAAACAACAATTGAACATTAGGATAAAATTATTATTGTTCAAAAATAATAAATTAGGTTTTTAACATTTTTTCTTTATATGTAACAATTTTAACGTTTTATTTTAAAATATTTTAACATTTGTATGGCAAAGGAAAGTCTTTTGTAAGGTTTTTGCTACAANGTTTATTATACTATAATGCTAGTTAAAGGATGAATTAATAATATTATAAAAATTCGCGCCATTCGAATTGAGTAAATGAAGACCCCGGATTTTAAATTTTTTCGTTTACCAGCTTATCGAGGTCAGTTTTTCATACAAATTTCGTCACCGTTTATCGGGGCATCAGTTAATCGAGGATATCTGTTAATCGGGGCAATACTTCGAACAAATTCGAGTGTGTGCCAAAAATTATCTGCTTATCAAGGATATCTGATTATCGAAGTAGCAGCTTATCGAAGTTCCACTGTATGTAACAATTTTAACGTTTTATTTTAAAATATTTTAACATTTGTATGGCAAAGGAAAGTCTTTTGTAAGGTTTTTGCTACAAAAATATTTTTCTTCTGCCGGCTAATATCAATTGTTTTGTTTTTTGCATTTCACTCCAAGTTAACTTAATCGCGTTATCAGCAACCGAATTTTATTTCTGACTTTTGGGCTTGGTTCTTACGAATTAAGTTGTGTAAAGTTCAATATATTTAATATTTTTTATTAGTTTTTGGTTTTAAAATGTTGCGATATTCAATTCGTTCAGTTTTAAACATTCAAAAGAGATTCTTAGCTCTTCCAGCTCCACAAACGAATCCTGAAGTTTTATATACTGGGGTGAGTTACGTTAAGAAAAGATGGCAACTGTATACATCTGCGTTATCTGTTCAAAAAAACATACAGACAAAACCAATATCTAAGTAAATAAACATTCGACGACCTTGGACAAAATTTTATTCATTTGATCGCGAACTTGAAACCTTAATAACAGTTATTATATTACTGTGGCTTTTTAAAGTTCAATGCTACAAACAGCTTTAATGTATCTCTTTTTCAACAGATCTTCATTAACAACGAATGGCACAAAACTGAATCTGGTAAAACTTTCAAATCAATTGACCCCACAACTGAACAAACCATTGCTGAGGTCCAAGAGTCTTCAAAAAAAGATGTCGACAAGGCGGTTGCTGCTGCTAAAACAGCTTTCAAATTGGGTTCACCTTGGAGGCGAATGGATGCCAGTGAACGTGGGAATCTATTGAATAAGTTGGCGGATCTTATGGAACGTGATCGCATTTATCTTGCTGTAAGTTAACATTTCACTATTAAATGTTAATTATTCATCTGATGAATGAATTGCATTTCTTAAGAGCCTTGAAACATTGGACAATGGAAAGCCTTATGCGATGTCATACAATGTTGATATTCCAATGGCGATAAAGAATCTTCGTTACTATGCTGGATATGCTGACAAGAATCATGGAAAAGTAATTCCAATGGACGGTGAGTTCTTTGTTTACACTCGTCATGAACCTGTTGGAGTTTGTGCTCAAATTATTCCATGGAACTTCCCTGTGTTGATGATGGCGTGGAAGTTGGGACCTGCTTTAGCTACTGGAAATGTTATCGTACTTAAGCCTGCTGAACAAACATCTTTGACAGCTCTTTACATTGCCCAACTGACAAGAGAAGCTGGTTTTCCCGATGGTGTCATTAACGTTCTTCCAGGCTTTGGTGAGACTGGAGCCCAACTTGTCCATCATCCCGATGTGGATAAAATTGCTTTCACTGGTTCAACGGAAGTTGGCAAACTTATTCAAGTTGGTTCGGCTGGTACCTTAAAGCGAACAACTCTTGAACTTGGTGGGAAGTCGCCAAACATCATTTTGTCAGATGCTGACATGGCACATGCTGTTGAAACATCTCACTTTGGTTTGTTCTTCAATATGGGTCAATGTTGTTGTGCAGGCTCACGAACGTTTGTTGAAGACAAAATTTACGATGAGTTTGTGGAACGTTCAGCAGAGCGTGCAAAGAGTCGAAGCTTTGGTAATCCTTTTGACTTAAGTACTGAACAAGGTCCACAAATTGATTCGGAACAACAGCAGAAAATTTTGGATCTTATCGAGACTGGTAAGAAACAAGGAGCTAAATTAATTGCTGGTGGAAAGCGACCTGAAGGAAAAGGATTCTTCGTTGAACCAACAGTTTTTGCAGATGTTAAAGACGATATGACAATTGCTAAAGAAGAAATTTTTGGACCAGTTCAACAAATCATTCGGTTTAAGAAATTGGATGAAGTAATTGAACGTGCTAATAACAGTGAATACGGCCTCGCTGCTGCTGTTTTCTCGAAAGATATCGATAAAGTCAATTACATTGTCCAAGGATTGAGAGCTGGCACAGTTTGGGTCAACACTTACAATGTTCTTTCAGCTCAATCGCCGTTTGGTGGTTACAAAATGTCAGGACATGGCCGTGAAAATGGTGAATATGGATTGCAAAACTACACAGAAGTTAAAAGCGTCATCACTCGCATCCCTCAGAAGAATTCATAAAATGAATTCAACGATCGACAACCAAAAAGATATTTGCCGAAGATTAAAAGAAGAAAACAAATGAATTTAGTAAAACTTTGTAAAACCAAATAATATTTTATGTCATGATTATTTCTTTCTTCCTTAAACACAAAAGTTTTCATTTTCAAAAATAAAGTAAAAAAATTATTTACATCCTACAATCACTTCGATATTTCATTAATTAAACTCTTTCTTAATCAATAGACAACGATTTTAAATTCGAATTCATTTGTTGTGTTTTAACATTCAAGGAATTGTTATTTGAATCTCGAGGTTTCCAATAAGAATCATTAATTAGATATTCTCTGGAAAAGTATAAAAAGATTAGCCTAACAATTAAAATTTATAAACATCACTCACCTTTGATCTTCAATTCTCTTCACAAAATCTCTCTTAATATCATAAATGCTTCCAGCTTTTCCACCATACTCATGAGGTAGGATCTCCTTAGGAATGTGATCGTACAATGTTGTTGTGTTTGGCAAATGTGATATTAACAATTCACTGACACTCGCTTTCATGAACGGCCTAAGAATCATCAAAACCTTGCTCAAAACTGAAGACACATTAATCAAATGAATTTGCTTTATCCGAACTGGAAATGCTTCTTGAGTGAACTTCATATAACATCTGATGGTTCCAAGTGATAGTTTTGTGATGTGACGATAACTGAAACCAGTCATGTCAAAAATCGCAACATCACCTTCATTAATGTTGAATGGGAGATCATGATCGATAATTGAAAAGCGACTGTCAGCAGCCAGGAAGAAGCATTTTATGATGTTATCAAAGTCAAACTATTAATGGGGGGAAAAGTTTTTCTAATAAAAAAAAAGTTTATGGAAAGAATTGCATTGACCTAAGTACAAACTCCATTTAATAAATAAATTTAATTGGTCATAGAAATCCTTAATTAAGTATCAAAACGCTCGATACAAATAATATTGAGTGGAATGAATTTAATTTTTATTTAACAAATATTTGATTCAAAAAAAATTATCGTCGCTAAAGTTGAGATGTGTCAATTAAAAAGTCAATATTTACTTTGCGATTTCAAATATTCGTTTACTCACTAAAACAGTAACTTTATTGAACATTGAATAGATTGAAATTTAGCAAAAGGTCTTTGTATTATTTCAGTAAGCGATTTAAATCTTATTTTACCCAGATTAGTTACATCGTTTCGAAATGCTTTTTCGATGTTGCTGTTCATTTCATATTTTCAAAGCACAACATTGTATCATGTTGCTTCGATCACTCTTTAATACGCAACCAAATCAGGCTTGTCAAGAATTTCTTTTAGCTTTTCAATTAAGATAGATTACCGAAATGCTTTGCCCAATTTTTTTGTTTTGTATTTTTTTTTTTGTGGTTGAAATATTTTCGTGACATGCATTTTTGATGTCAAGATTTAGTTTTTTTGTCTACACTTAAAGAAATATTTCAAGGTCGATATTTGATTGTAAAGTAAATTATTAATAGAAAGTAAAAGTCATTTTTTATTGGTCCAAAGTAAAATCAACAATAACTTTGCAATATTCACAAATACTTGATGAAGTTAAGACAATCAATTTAAAGTTTAAGAAACATTTAGAAATGATTTAATTTTTGCAATCTTTTTAAAAATAAAGCATACAACCGGCATTTGAATAAATCGCTTTTTAAAATAAAATCTGTGGTAGAAGCTATAAATTTATCTTGTGAAAGATTTTCAACAATCTTGAACGGTCTCAATGCCAAATTAAAATTTAGTCTGCATGCATAATTTTAAAAAGCATTTGTGTAACATATTCAAAGTGCTATGTTGCTTTTTAAAAATGTTATGTCTCGTTAGTATTACCCAACTTTACTTACTTTGATTTATCTATTTTTTAAATAGGAATTTATTTATAAATTCCTAACAATGGATTCTTCATAAATACAACAAAGAAGTGATAATTATTTTAGCAAGTACTTGAAACAAAGACTAAAGCAACTATGTTTGATTTTCAGAAAAGAAATCCGCGAATGTCAATGCAATGAACTTGAAACATGTAATTATCCATCCGCACATCTTTATGAGTAATTTCAAAATGATCTACGATGAGATCGCAAAATTATTTCAACGAGCTTGTTTGTTTCCGCTTTTCGCAATGATTTTCAGTTTTATTATTTACCTTCTCCGGATCATGATCAATAAGACGATTGAGGGTCACACGGTAATTCTTAGGTGACAAACTTGGCATGGGAACTCCCACATCACTACACAAGGTGAATAAAAAATAAATTCCAATGCGTAAGTTTTTAAATTATTCACAACGAGTAATTTCTTTAAGCAACTTACACCAATTGAAAAATCTTCCTGGCAATGGGTTCAAGAGGATCGCGGTTGAAGAAGATATGTGAATATTTAAATCGCAATGAGTAACTGTATTTGATTAGGTTCTTGGTTTTCTCAACGTCATCATAACAAGAGAATAAAAATCGTCTGAGCACGATGGGAGCTGAAATGAAAAGCTTATTAATCTTGCGGTTATATGCAATATTGTAGCAAGGCTTAATAAACATCAAGCTGAAGGTCATTGCCACAACAATTATAGCCACATAAAAGTCATGTTTTAAGACACTAATTCTAATTAATTTCAATTCATAAATTAATATTTTATAAAAACATTTTAACGATCATATTTCATGTGCCATAGTTTTGTAAATTTTAAAACTTTCGCAAAATGCAAGTAACTCAAGTTATTTTATTTATATTTTGCATCATCTTAAATCTGCTGTCTATAAATGCAGATTTGTAGTTGAACCATTAATGAAAAAGTGATACAATTTACACATAAATATCACACGAGCTACGAAATATGAAAACTAGAAATTGCGTTAGGTCAGTTTCTCACTCACCGATCTTCTCTGGCAGGCTGTCATTAGTTGAAACCCATTCATTAATGTCTTCTAACTTCTCTTCAAAAGTGTTACCACAAACCATTATGAACTTTAACGGTCTCTTCTAGCTGTTTCTTCTAAATATAAAAATAGATATGCATAATATGTTAAAATGTGTGATCGTAGTTCAACAAAACTATACTTCAACCATTTCATTTAAATAACAAATCATTGTCTTCTCTATTTCCATTCATTAGAAAACCAATATTGAATGTTTATTTAAACATTTTATGCAACCTAGTCAACATCGATACGTAAAAATATCAGATGATGATGACACAATATGCTTGGCTGTCCGAAATTGGCAAGGCCAAGGTTAAATTGAAACATTTCTACCACATTTTAGCGTTTGTTCACTTGTTTTATTGATTTAATCATCTTGTAAATTGTAAGTTAAACGCAAACTTTTATTTCATTTCCACTGAAAACCTTATGATTGAATTCTAACACTTTAATCGCTTATTATGTCATGATTTTAATTTTAGCTTTAAAGATGAACTTGTTAATTAAACATTTATTGCTTATTTATGGCACTTAAAAAATTTATTTTTAAAATAAGTTTAGAACACTTAAGTAACACCTATGAACAAAATATAATGTTAAATGTTTGATATTATTTACTTAGGACTTCAAATTCTTTTGTATTTTCTGCTTTTGATATTCACTTGCGTCACACGATTGTCTTAAAATTATTCTGCGTCAAACCACATGAGAAATTAACCACAAGACAAATAAGAACTAACAATAATTTCTTTCAAGAACAAAACAATGAAGTTTTTAAGTAAAATTTATCACATTCTTTCTAATACAAACCTGAAAGTTTTGTTCGTATCTCGTGTCTGAGGTTTTATTGTTAATAATACAAAACAAAAACTTGTTCTTTCGAAGTTTTTTTAACCCCGGCTTAAGCTTATGAATATTCACTCCGAAACCAATGACGGTTGTGCTCAGACTAAAACATTACTCGCACAAGAAAACAAAACAGAGCATATGTGACGCTGAGTTGTTATTCATTTGAAAGAGAAATAAAAGAAATATCATTGAAGCTTTTTGACGAAAGCTTGTTTGAAAAAAGCTCGATCAGTGTGAAGATAAATTTTTCGTTAAAGTTTAAAACTTGTAATCGTACAAACATTGAGATTGATGATCGCCAGAAATAAAGTTTACCAAATTCTAATGAGTTTTTGATGTTTCACTTAATATTTTTTAAACAATCATACGCGTCAACAGCTTTAGGAATATTTGTCAAAATTTTTCGAAAATCTTAATTTAAATAGTCCATTGTCACTTCAACTAGAATAAACAGTTCCGACCTTCAAACCTTGTTTTGATTTAGACATTTCGATCATTCTAAAACTGGACTTGAAAACCAAATTGAATTATATCTCAACACAAAAATGTGTCTTGACGCTGAAATTTAAAATATATTTAAATGAAAAACATATTTAAATAAATAAATCATAAACCTTGACATTGAATTTATAAATTTATTTCTAAAACCCAATCAGAAAATGTTGAACAGTTAATACAAATAGAAAATGCAAATATTATTTCTTGCAGTCATTTACGTTGTTGTTAAGGTCATCACTATTATTCACAATCCAGTTGGAATCATTCATTATGTAATCCCTGTTAATAAATAAATTGGCATTAATATAAATGAATTAAATAATTTCCGATTTTCAACCTTCTTTCATGAAATCGTTTCATCCAAACTTTTTTGATATTTGAGATCGGTCCGGCAGTTCCACCGTACTCTTCAGGTAAAACTTCCCTCGGAATGAACTTAAAAATAGTGTCCGATCCCGGTGCATGAAATTGGAACTTTGCTGCTACTTCCGGTTTCAAAAAAGGTTTAATTAAAATCATTATTCGATTTATGAGTGAAGAACAATTGTAAACGTGGACTTGTTGCACCCTTACGGGAAAAGCTTCTTGTGTGTACGTAAAGTAGAGTCTCAGGGTTGATAGACTCACTTTCAGTACATGCCAAATCGTGGTACCTTTCATATCAAATACAGGAACTTCACCTTCAGCTAAATTGTCTGGGTTCGGATCAAGCGATACCAATCGAACGTCGGCAACCATAAAAAAAAGTTTGATGAGGTCATTAAAATTAAAAAGTTCGCTTCTATAATCAATCAATCGCATAACACAGCACTTGTAGTTTTCTGGAGTTGTCTTTAACATTGGAACCATTTCACTAAAAATCAAGACAAACTTCATTCATCCTTGATCATGATTTTTTTGTATTGAATTAAATTTACCAAATATTTAAAGCATTTTCGATTTCTGGAGATAGAAAGTCACGGTTTGTGAAGATTAAAGGATTTTTCTTCCGAATTCCAAAGCTAAACTTCAATAAATTCTCTGCTCGATTCAATCTAAATGCGTAAGTCTTCAAATAACGCAACAGCAGTAAATGTTCTATAAATTAATATTTTTAATCACACTTTTAAATTGATTTACATAAATTCAAGATCAACTACCGATATTCTGTGGCAAGTCAGGTTGCGTGCTAATCCATTCACGAAATTCTTTAACTTTTTCGTCCATTTCATCTTTTGACAACTTCACATTTGAATATTTATGCGACATCTTTGATTGTAAATTCTTTTTTTTTATTGATTCTTGAAAAAAGCAACTCCTTGTTAGAACAACATCTTAACTGGTGAGAGACTTAAACAAAACTAAATCTAACGTTCTCATGTTAAAATATATCACCGCTGTTTGTATTCGAATTGAAGCTTAGAGGGGCGACATGAAAAACTTGATATTTAACTTCTATTTCCAATCTTTAGTTTCTTCTTATTTCTCTCTTTTGTTTTTATTTTGAATTTCGGTCAATTTTGTTTCAATGTCACGCAAGATGTGCTTCCAAAAATGAAACAATACATGACAAATGGTTTAAAAGAGGCGCTTTTATGTCTGCTGCGTCTTCATTTTGTCAATACACGAATTAATGTTATCTCACGTAGATCACGTAGATCAATTAAAGCTGACACGCTTTCATGACTTTAAACGACTTGTAATGTTGTTGACAGACTAGTGACAATATCGTTCAATTCAAAGTGTTAGATACAAAGTAACAAGTTGACTCGATAACAGCAGACGAACGACTGAACAGCAGAAGTGTATAACATATGTGGTAGCCTACTTGAATTGCATTGCTCCCAGTGTTATTAAAAAGTTTCCGCAAAACTAGTATTAGACGGTTCATGAAGTTTATGTTTGCAGTGTTATCGCATAGTTATGTTGTAATCCATTTAATGGTTATTATTGTGTTTGTTATGTCAATGATCAATTATTTTTGAAACAATCTAACGACTCTCATATTGCCATTTTAAACATTAAACTTAATTTAAACTAATACTTCGTCATTTCTTTTCAAGATTTCTTCTCGCCTCTCTTGATCTATGAAAAATAACTGCAGAAAACTTGTTTGTGATTTTCTTTGATTTGAATCGATTCGGATGAAGAAAACGAGAGTTGTGCATGAACTGCTATTAAGTAATAAAATTAAAAAGTTGCAAACTTATCAACTTAATATGAAAAAAATGCAAGACATCTTCCGAAATTTTTTGCTTATCATAAAAATGTTGCAACTTTTGGTTCAAAACTTCAAATAAATTATTCATGAGACCGAACCCATGGAAAGGTCAGTTTTAGATATTTCTTCTACGCACAATGCTTTCGTTATGATTATTATTTAACAATGATGCTTTCCGCAAAATCTTTGCTAAGAGAGATTTTAGGATTTTTTATTTTCACATCTAATAACATTGAATTTGAGCTAAATAAATCCTCAATTGCACTGCATTTAATGGTAAATGCTAGATGTGAAATTCAAACGTCATCAGATTCGTTGTCAATAATTTACATAAATTAATATTTTGTCGCGATTTTAAAAGATCAAATTGCTTTCATTTAAACAACTTCAACTTAAATGACAACAAATTGTGACATTGAAAATAAAAAGTTACAGATTTTGTTGAACTTGAACTGACTTGACATCACAACAAAAATATAATCTGATGTACAAGCTAATTAAGTTGATGAGTAGTTTAAATAGATTTTTAAATGTATAGGCATGCCCTCAAGTGAATTTATCGGATTTTTCAAGAACTATGAAAACAAAGTTTTGTCCAAACAATCATTCAGAATTGAATAAAACTCTTGAAACTCCTCGTTAAGACGATGAAAACTTTCAAATTATTTTTCATATCAAATAATATTGAAAACTGTGTCAAAAATTCCTCGTAATGTCGAAAATTTTTCTGTCGTTCCGACACTTATAATTTGCACACTTTAAGTTAATAAGAAACTTTTGTTATTCGCTTTAAAAAGCAATTTTTTTCACTTTGATTGCGTTATTATTATTCATTCATATATCTTCATTTCAAATAATTAACTTCAATTGAAGAGTAGAAATGGCCAAGTTAAGGTTTGTTGGTTTTCTTTTTCTTGTGAATTTTGCTTCGTGTCTTTATATAAACACAACAAGTAATGGCACTGAAACTGAAAATGCTTCTGAAGAATCAGAAGCTAATGGAGAAGAAATTGGTGGAAATTTTCAAGGTGACATGATTTTGTCGCCTTCGCAAATTTATTCTCTGTTTTCAATGTCACGAAATGGCCTAATTGATGAAAGATATCGATGGCCAAAAAATTCTGATGGGATCGTTGAAGTCGCGTATAAATTTGAAGTTGGTGATTTTAGTAAGTAAACAATTTTATTTATTTAAAATAATTAATCTTTTTATTCATTGTCTAAAGCTTTGAGTGAAAAAGAAACAATTCGCAAAGCCATGGATGAGATCGAAAGTGTGTCGTGTATCAAATTCGTCCATTCAGATGATGCTTTAATGAAAATCTATGATGGCATGGGATGTGCATCGGCTGTTGGAATGCAAACTGATCGACAATACGTTTCATTAAATTCCCAGTATTGTATAAAAAGTGGTAAAATTATTCATGAACTTCTCCATGCACTTGGATTTTATCACATGCAAAATGCTTACGATCGAGACGATTATATAAAAATTAATTTCGATAACATCGAAAAAGGATTTGAAAGCAATTTTGCCAGATATAGAAACAGCGAAGTGTCGTATTTTGATACTGGATATGATTACGGAAGTGTCATGCATTATTCACCTTATGGATTTTCTAAAAATGGATTGAAAACGATTGAACCTATCAAGGAAGCGAAAGACTCTGACAAAGCACAACAAATGGGACAAAGAGAAGGAATGAGTGATGGTGACGTTAAGAGACTTAATAACATGTACCAATGTTCTTCAAAAATAAATCAAAATGAATAAAGGAAGAGATTAAATTTTTCTTGCTTCCATAAAATATTTAATGATTTAATTAGAGAAGATTGAGACATTTTTCTAATCCCTTGATGAGACCATGTGTTTTCATTCTCATCCATAAAAGTTTCTCTTCTCTAAGATAAACGAGTTGATGACTCTTCGAAAATGTTTCAAAATTCATGACAAAGTTTTTGCACCCTTTAGTCATTAAGTTTCTTCTTCTCAAGTTCTTTCATCCATGGCAAAGACAAATAACAAGGAAATAAAAGTCATTGAAGCTTGTAATAAATCGATTAGAAACTTTCCAGAAGCCAAGCAGCCATAAGACGAAATCCTTGATGGAATGAGAGATGTTACAAACAAGAATGATAATTTAACTAACTAATTCTGAGCAAGTAAATGCCATTTATCAAAAGTCTATTCGTTTTCAAAGATTTGGAAAGAACTTTCATAAATTATGAATCAACTTGATTGAAAGTTTTTTTTCTTCCAGTCATGCATAATCAAATAACTTTTTATATTTTAACCGAAAATGAAATGAAGCCGAGATAACATTTGACTGATCTACAGAAACCACGTACAAATCTTTTATATCTAAACACGAAATATTTAATTCACATTCAAATACTCAATAGAAATGTATGTAAATAGCAAACATGTGGTGAAACAATGTTTGTAAAATTGACGAGGATTTGGTTAACATATGTTCAGTAAACGATGTTTTTGCAATTGTTATGTGCACAGAATTTTAAGTAGTTGAGAATTTAGAGTCGAACATCAAAGGGATTCTTCATTTGAAGTTTATAAAAAACAAGTTCTGTTGATAAGTAAAAAACTTCTCCGAATCAATGCAATGATTAATGACATTTTTGACAATTTAATAAAATAAATAACTCGAGGGCGAAAGATCAAATTGAGGATGAAAATCGTTTCGCTTGGAGGGATGAATGTCATTTTTGTGTCCTTTTCTGAGTCGACTAGCAAGTAAGGAAAGCGAATTGAGACAACAAAAGGAAAATTTATGACTTGTTTGGCGTGTGCGGTTGCGTTGCAAATGGAGAAAAATATTTCTTATCAGTCGTTAGGTTTTGTCCCTTTTCGCTATAAAACTGAAGTGGAAAATGAATTTTCTTTCATTTTTTCAATTTTTGGGGCCTTTTTGTCAACACATTTCTATTGTGATTTGAGCCGCTACCAAACTGTTATCATTGTCACCCAAAGTTATCAGTGTAAAGTGAGTGTAAAATCACGTCATAAAAAGGACTTACCGCAAAATGATGAGAGAAAATGACGAGAAGATTCTTTTAATTCAAATAAATTGCTGTGACGGTAAAGGAAGCTAAAATTTTAAAGGAAAAGGGTTGGAATGATAATATCAAACATTTCTATCACGAAATATTTTCTCATTTAGGGTTCTTCACATTTCTTATTTCTCGGTAATTTTCAGTCCGAAATAACTTTTGAAAATTTAAGAGTCACGGAAAGTAAATCAAGATTTAAAGAGTAAACAAATCATTTTGCTAATCATCCAACAAAATGTTGTAGAAAAAAAATATTTTGCTTGCAATTTTACGCATTATGTGGCAATAATTCCAACATGATGTTGTTTTAATTAAATGAGATTATTTTGCAAAAAAATTATAATAAATTGAGTTGAATGCAAAGCTGTGATAAAATTTGAATTTAATACGAATTTATGGTTCACAATCCTTTAATATTCTCATTCATTAAACTAATTTAAATGCTTCAAATGATTAAAACATAAAGCTTTGTTATTAATTATACATTAAGGTTCGGAATCTCAATTGATTTGCATTTCGAAATATATTCAGAGAGTTTCATTTTGATGATAATATGAAATTGTGAATGTTGCAGATTGGAAAATCTTTTTATGTCTTGGAGAATCGCATTGAAATTTTAAGAGCGATGAACTTTTAATGTCAAAAAATTTGAATTTGAATTCCCAAGGAAAATTCTAATCTTCACATTCTCTTCTAAGCAGTTGATACTTTGATACATTAACTAAACTATTCAACTCGAGTTTGTAAACGTAAATCTTAAGAAGGTAATCTGACTTAAACCTTTGAATAAAATTCTCATTTAGCAAATTTTGTTTTTGATGTTTCTCATCTATTGTGCAGGAAAATTCCACAGTGAAATGTTTCAAAGAGTTAAACAAAATCCGTCGGAATTTTCTGAAGAATTTAACATCAATTTGATGGAGGGTGAAGACGAAGTGTTTTATCATTCAAAGCATTACACAAAATTTCATATTTATGCAAATATTTATCAAAGAAGAAATATGTAAGGGGAACAGAAAGCATAGCAATTCCACCCCCACAAACAAAAAAGTTATTATAATAATTGCAAATTAAAACATCTCAAAACGCGACGATTAAAATTATCTGAAAAACTTTGTTTTCGTTTCTCATCTCCTTACCGTAATTAAAACGATGGGTTATTATTATTTCCATTTCCGAGTGGTTGTTCTTCTGTTTTCATGTGCGTGGGTGAAAAATCCAAAGGTGTTTGAGCCATTAATTTCGAGTATCTTTTCCACTTCAATCTCTCAGCTTGAAATTAAAATTTTAACAAAGCAATTGTCATTCATAAAGAGTTGAGCAGGAAAAATTTAAACAAAGAGTAATAAAAATCTCTGGAAATTGTCAGCCTCACAAGATTTGAAGAACAGAGACAACAAGAAGAAAAGAAAAACAAATTAAACAAGACAATTAAACTTTTTGTTGAATTGCGATGCGTTAAACTTAATTAGATTGATTAAAAACCTTAAAAACGGCATGGGGAGAAATTTGTGGAGAATTTTTAAGAAGGAAAAAAGTTTTTTAGGATTAAAATTGAGATTTCGAGCATATTTTCCTGTTTTAAAGAAACTTTTCTTTCAACTCCACATTCATTTGAGAAATCAAACAAAGAAATTCTTGTAACCCTTTTTGTTTCTCTTCCACATAATTTTCTTTTGTTGTATGTAAGTTGGATAAGTAGAAAATGTAAAGCGTGTGGTTTTCTTTTTTATCAGATTAAAAAAGAGTTTTACTCATTGTTACCTAAGAAGAAAACTCTTTAATAATTATTTGAACGCATGACCAGCGAAGCTTAGAACAGTAAAACGCAAAGGCAATTAATTTATTGGTCAAAGAGTAACTTACCAAATGTTAATGAAGACTCTCGAAAATCAACATTTATCTGAATTATAATTCGATGAAATGAATTTCGTGATAAGAGAAAACAAAGAAATTTTCATCCTGCGCATACAACAGAGAAATTTATTTTTTTCATCATTGAAACGTTGAAGCTCCCCATCTGCACATATTCATGAGAAGAAAAGATTATGATCCCGCCTCCCGACTCGAAGCAATGAAAAATGATGAGGGTGGAGCTTTTCTCACTGATAACACAAAAATTACCCTTTTGAATTGTCCTGAGCGTCTACTTTTAGAAGCTTTTCAAGTGATATTTTATTCATAAAGTTTTACGAAGGGAAATTCCCTTTAATTGCTTACTTAATGTTTTTGACTTGAAATGAATTTTTATTCTCTCTCCTCGTCGCTCGCTTAACTTTTCATTTGGCACCTTGATGGCAATTTTATGCAAATTTAATTTGAAATTCATAAAAGATAAGTTGAAAATGCAAATTGCTTAATGCGGAAGGCAGTTGGAAGTTTATAAATTTCTAAACTGTTTGAAACTCCCCCATGCTTAAAGATTGTGTTCAGTTGCGGTTTCTTTATATTTGAACATCATCTGAACAGAAGGTGAACATCAGACGGTAGATCTTTTCTTAGAGAAACATTAAATGATGTAAGAAAGTCAGTTGAAGAGATTTTTTAGTCAGCGACCATTTGCCGAGGGTCTTTTCTCAGTTAATGAAATGATTATTATTAGGAAGTCATGATGATCTCTTGATGGTTGTAATAACAGTTGTTTAAAGACTTCAATAAGCAAGTAATTTTAAATGTTAATTCTATAAAAAAAAGTTTGTTGAAGTATCACTGAAAACATTAAAATAATGAAGATTATGTTGAGAATTTCTAAATTCTTGTTTATTTAATTTTACCTCAATCTCTTTGGTAGCTTACGCCTTACGATTTTATGTTGATTATTACATTAATATAACAATTGTATTTGATGATTTTGTAAGAAGTTCATTTACACTTATAATACCTCTTGTAAATGTTTAATTCATTTTCTTACATTTTTCTTCATAAATTTTAGGGATTTGTTCATACTGTTGGTCAAGCGTCTTTCAATTGTGTGTTCGACACATTTGATATGACTTAATATGTGATCAAATCCACATCAAACTATTAAACTATTCGTGATGGTTCATGTTTTTAAAATGATTTTGAATAGTTTTCTTCTATTCTTCTTTTTGGCGGGATTAAACTTATGAAAAATTTTCAGGTGCTTCTTTGAGTATTTCTTCCATTTGGCACAGTTAACGAAATGATTTCTAATGTCCAAAACATAAATTGTACTATGAGAAGTAATATTACCATTTAAGCTGAAAGAAAAGTATTTTTTATAAAAAGATAACAAACATTAATCTAATAACTAATCAGGGGATGAGAATTAACGGAACAGTCAAAGACGCTTTTAGCCATTCCATTTAGGCCAGCGTGGTTGTTGATTTCAGTTGGTTGTGATGACTTGCTTCATATGTGTGGGAGTTCCGAATGGTGACGAAACTCCGTTTAATCCATTCTGATTGTTGTTCATGTCATTGTTTTGAGATCGTGGCGATGAAATGGTTTGCATCATTCCATGATGATGTCCATTCTGGGAGATTGGTGACGATACTGATGTAGGAATGCTGTTTGGTGGCGTTCCAGGTAAACTTCCACTAGCATGACGTTTCAATATGGGATGATTAGCCATTGAAGCAAACACCAAACGTTCTTCATAGTCATATTCGCATAGAATTTTATTATCACACAAATAGAATTTGTCGCCAACACAGAATCTAGAAAAATGCAGAAAAAAGAAAATTAATGTCCAATAAAACTGCGAGTTTCGGCAAGGTCAACAGTTAGCGAGAACAAATGGTTTTCCTGTTTAATTTCCAAGGTTTTCAATTATCGCCAAACAATCAAAAAGCATTTCGATGAAATAAAAATAAAAATAAATAAAAACCTGTCCACATAGAAAGTGAATGTTGTTGTAGGTCGTTGATGGGAATATTTTCAAATTAAAGCAAATTGAAATCGTAAATATCAATGAAAACATTTATTGCCGTTCAAGCATTGAGATTGAAAAATTGCAAAGGAAAAATGTTCAAAAAATTTCTTTTCTTTTATAAAGTTTTATAATTTGCCACAATTAAGTTAAGCAACGAAAATTTTTAATTTTATAATCAAATTTGCAATGTTTTTGGACGCAATCGTTTCAAATTATTCTTTTTACTGCTCATTTTCTGGAAATTTTAATTAAAACAATAATGCAAGCAATACTGCTGTCCATATTTTGAACTAATTTCACTCTAATAATCATTAAATTTCACGACAATGCATAAAAGTGAATGATGCAATGATTGAATTTCAATATTTAACTAAGCTCAACATAAATTGTAATTGTCGCATTAAATGGCGAGAATCGAGGGGACGAAATTAAACGAGATTTATTATTTTACCTCTGAATAATTTCACTGGTGTCAAACATATGAAAAATTAAATAAATTTACACTTTCGGTGTTTAGAATGAGTCAACAAACATGAGCAAATTTTTGAAAATATTGTCGAGCGCTGTTTCGTCAACACATTTATCAGAATCAACAACAAATGTGTGCCGAACATGAATCTTCTAAAATATGTTTCATTGAAGGAGCGAAGTTTACATAAAACATTTTATGACAAAAGAGTTTGGGTGGGAAGTGAGTGAAAATTGGACAAATGACACCCAAATGCATTGTTTAAAGTTCTTTTCAAATTTATTTCACGATTTTGAGGCAATTTGTGAATGTTTACAATCTCATGAAACCTTTTTTCTTGGATTCGACACAGAATTTAATATTTAATGCATAAGTTGTTGGACTACCTGGAAGAGTCTTCGATTTACATCAAATTGGCTTTTATTGCTCGAATGGGAAATCAAAAAAAGAAGAAAAAGTTTTCCCCACATATTTAAATAATTTAAAGTCGGAAGCAATTGAATTCAAAATCAATTTCCTTGCTTAAATCGAGAGCGAGAGAGATTGTCTGTCTCACCTGTGATTACACTGCTGACAAGCGAAGCATTCGAGATGATAAACGTTACTTCGTGCTCGCATCACCATTTCAAATGCTGGAATGACTTTGTTGCATGCAGCACAAAATCCAGTGTTACCAAACAGCCTCAAGTAGTCTCGCTTGCACAGCATTAAATTCCCTTTCGTGTAGAGAGTTGAGCCAACTTCACCCAAACGACAATCACAGCAGCCGCATTTTAAACAATCCTCATGCCAAAGCAAATCGAGTGCACGTAGGAGAAATCGATCCTGAATATGCTTGCCACATCCAGCGCATAATTGACTAGAATTTGTTTGCTGATGTGACGACGATTGTTGATTGCCATTATTGCCGGATGTTGGTGTAGAATGGTGATTTTGAATTTCGGTTTTTGTGTCCATTGCGATCATCTGAAAAGTATGAGAAGAGAAGAACGAGGTGATAAAGAATTTATGGGCATCTGATGTAAGGCAATTGCTTTCTGTGGAAATGTTTGTCTCAATATATTTTTATTTCTCTAAACTTTTGCAACCCTTTTCATGCTGCGCTTTTTATTTCCTTTCACCGACTTCCATCTATGCAACATGAAAAAAATCTTCACGTTAAAGCAGTCAGATAAGTCTGGGAAAATTTATGGGAAAACTTTTTTCTATCCATGCTTAAACGTAAAACATTACAACGAGAGATTGCATGAAAGACGAGATGAAAACTGTTTTAAAGTCAATGATTTTTCATCAGTCGTTGAGCGCTTAAAAGACCAAATAAATGTGATTTCGCTTTACGAATCAGAGCAAAAAAAAGTTAAAATAAAAACATCAACAAAGTTACATAAACAGAATGGGGAATTAAAGTGGTAAGAATTTGCTTTTTGTTAGGATTCGTTTGTAAAGGAAACATCTTAACATCTGAGATTTTCCTATGCGGTTTCTTCGAATTAAATGCAAGATAAAGTGTGACTTAATCTAGGAATAATTCCTTCTTCAAACAACACTGAACAAAGAATTTTTCCCTACAGTCGACAACTTTTTTATTTTTCCACATTTTTAATTGTTTTCTAAAGCGTTTCTACAACGGGAAAGAAAGGCTTCTTTTCAATTCAAAAATGAAAAAAAGTATAATCACTTTTATGGATATTTTGCTTAATTGCACAACTTTATTTCCCAACGTCAATGAAACCATTTCGCAAACAAAAATTTACAATAAATTTTCTCATTCATAATTTTTGTTTTTCTCTAGAAATTGCTATTTTTTAATGTTTTAATTATGTTAAAAAGTCCGTTGAGGGAATCAATTTCCTGAAAATTCTTGTAGCATAAGTAATGTGCAGTTTTTGGTTGAAGCAAGTGAGTCATTCTCACGCGAATCGTTGATGGTTGATGTTCATGGCCAATTAAAATCATTTTGATTAATTAATTATTTAATTGCGTTTAATTTCTATCCACATAACACTAATTAAATGCAAGAAAAAATAATTTAAAAACATGTTTCAAATACTTCGACATGAACACAGTAGCATAAAACATAATTATTGTGATTTCTTCTTTCTTTTTCAGTGTGCATGATATTTTTTGTTGTTGTCGTTGTTCTCCTGCTTCTTCAGATATTCTCAACTTCATTAACAACATCTGCTAGCCATAAACGATTTCTAACTGCTCGAAGATCACATGTGAGTAATTTTTTTATCAGAGAGTTTTTTGGAAATTTTCTACACTAAATATTTATTTAATGACAATTATCATGGTGGCAGTTTGTCGAAAAATCTTTGCTTGTGGCAAACTCATTGAGAGCCCTCAGCAAAGATCTGACTGAAAAATGACTCACTGACTCTTCTTCAATTATTATTATCTTAAATTCCAGCAAATAGATGATTGTTTACTTATATTTCTTAAAAAATAAATACTTAGAATATTGAAGCGAGAATATCAAGTTTCAAAGCACTTCGAAATTGTTTTCGCAATTAAATATCTTTGGTTTAAGTAATTTACTTTGAAGTTTATGTGTTCACATTTCATTGTTGTCAATATTTGGATATAATGAAGTCAAGGAAACCAATCAAAAAACTTTTCATCTCATAATTATAAAAGCAACAATTTTAATCAATGAACAACAACAAAAAAGTCTTTTTTAACGCATGACAATTCATCATTCTGTTCATGTAAATAAATAAGTTAACAAGAAAAAATAAAAATAAACGAAATTTGATTGTGGAAATTGAAGCTGAAAAATGATTTTGTAGTAATTGCTCAATGTATCAAAATGCAACACATGAAGTCATTAAATGCATTTCCCTGTGGAACATTTGTTTCTGTCATTAAACCTCCCTCGTCGTTTCCCATTTTTGCAACAACAATTCTCATTCATGCATCGTGTTTTTGTCATTTTTGATTGCATTGAGAGGGAGATAAATGTAAGAGAAAGGAGCGCAATCTGTTATTACAATGCTGCTGCTACTGCTGCATGTGATGGAGCTCTAATTACATAATTAATTTTGAATAATTGAAAGCAACACAAAATGACAAAAGGATTAAATTTCTTTTGTGTGTGATCTGATAAAGGTTTTGTTGTGACTGCTGCATATCAATTACGCAAAAATTAATGACACGATTTTCTTTGTTGAATGTTTGATGTTATTGGGAAGTTCACTCGACATTCACTCATTCGAATGGATCTTTTTTTTACTGTTTGAGGTCCCACAATCAGAAAGTCCAGCATATTACATAAATGCAAACTCATTAAATTGTCATCTTATCCCCCTTGTGGTTTTGTTTGTATTTCATTGAGGCTATTTAACTCGAGAATTGTGTGCCGTTTCTCTCAATGTTTATTTATGATTTTGTTGAATAAATATCAACTATGAGTTTTGAGTCAGCAGTATACACGAAAAGCCATTATGTTTGAAATCTATTTGTATGTTTGAATTTAATTTGAATAAATTTTTGGAAGCTGTTTAGTGAGTAAACGTATTTGTAGCTAATGACCTTAAGTTGCGCATATTGCAGCCAAATGTGCGCACTTTTGTTTAAACTCAAATTTGAGACTATAAGGAAGAAGGAATGATAATTGCGTACGAAAAAGCAATGAAGTTTGACATGCAATATATCATGCGATGATAATCACTACATAAATACTCGAATCTTTTGTTTTTCGTGCAATGTTAAAAAAGTTCTGTCAATATTTGTTTCACATATCAACTCGTTTGACAATGACAGAAATATCATAACTGCAAATCGATTGAATATTTCGAACTTTCCACATAGCACTGCATAAAATCAACGTGCAATGACAAATCAATTTGTTTATAATTTTTGATTTCGGCCATTCCAATTTATGCCAAAACAGGCGCAAATAATTATCGAAATTATATCAACATGTCTCATTAATTCAATGAAGCGTTGATATTAAGCGTCGATTTAATCATTCTTCATTAAACACTTGTGCGGTTGCAAACTGTAAATTATTTGAAGCAAATTTGCATTAAACTTAAATAAACGACGAATGAATGTGTAACTCAATTTGTATTAATGCTTCAGGAGATAATGATAAGATTGCGACGAAGCAATTGACTCTTTCCTGTTTGTGAAAGTAATGTGTCTTTAGAGTGGAAAGGAAGGAGAACTTGTCTTTAATTGTGCAATTTATATTGCAACATTTTAAGTGCAAAAATTTTCTTTTAATGCTGCCTTAAACTGCAGCTTCTTTTTACAATTTATTTACTTGTTTATTTAACTTTATTTTTTTTAACAAACATGTTAATTAAAGCTTTTCTGAATAAATATTTCGGAAGATATGTTAACGAGTATCTTTAGAAAATTAAATTCTCCTTTCTTGATAATGAATCTTAACATTAATCAGTCGTTTTGTGACCACAAACTTCAGCCCTTTCGACACTTTAAAGTCTTATAATTGAAACAGTATCTAATTTCACACGAAACGAACCACTTTAGCTTCAAATTTCATGGTTTCAATTTACAATAAGAATTAAGGAACAATTTATGGCATCGCTCGTAAATATTACCTACGTAATGTTTTGTTATTAAAAACTAAAAGAAACGAGTTTGAAATTAACACAGAAAAAGTGATTTTAAAATTCCAGACATTGTTGCAAAATCATAAATTTAAAACGCTCTACGCAGATCGCATAAACATAGAAACTTGTTTCACATGTTCTGTGCCTTAAATAAAAAAAAAGAATTCTTCTTCGAAACCCTTTCAGAATCCAATTATTTCAATTATTTCTCTCTTTGAATTGTGTTGTATGTGTCGGCAATCAAAGGTTTAATTAAAATTTTACAGGATTTAAAAATACTTTTTTGTTTGCTTTTCACGATATCGTTGATTTGTTGAATGAAATTTGAATTTCATGTCGTCTGCAATGTAAGGCGCATTACTTTGTTGCCATAACTAATTTATCAGCCTTTTGTATAGTTAAACATTCCATTCTCCCTTTTGTTGTGTGATCGTGAAAAGATTTGGCCGATGGAAATAATCTCATTATTAATGCTTTTCTTATGTAGTAATTCAGTGCATGTTAAGAAAAGGGTTGCGAGAATTTCTTACCCTGGGTAAGCATTTCAACAGATCTTTGTTAGTTTCGCTGAAGGGTGAACGATTTTTTTAAAAGTTAAGTCAAAGAAAGCTAGTTTAAATTTACTTATTTGAAGATAGATTTCACGCAAGAATTCTTCAAGGCACAATTTAATTAAAAAAGTCACATGAAGTCGTTTGATCATTTTATAGATTTTAAACTTAATTAACTGTTGTGAGATCGACAAATAAGGCAGTAAGGCGATGAATTAGCATATAAAATGTCTTCTTAGTTGCAAATATAATTGCAAGCACTAGTCATTAATGATATTACGGTATTTTGATTCAATTGAATGCAAGCTGAAGATTTTAATTTCAATTCAATCTCTCGTGTGAGTATGCAGCTTGAATTGTAATCAAAGCAAATAAAATGTTTTTGCAAGATCGGCAGTTTCTCTTCGATGCCGATGCATGTTACTTTTGTTTAATTAAGTTACACATTTCTACTCACTTGAGAAACTTCCACCGGATCTGAAGGTATGAATTATCCACAGAACAATTTAATTAACCAGCCAAATGCTTACAAGACTTAATTATAAACTCACTTTTCCTATTTTATGTTTCTTCTTCTTTTTTTACTTGTTTCTCTTTCTCTCCTGCGCAATCCAATTAATTTCATTCATTTAATCATTTAATTATAAACATTTAATTAATGATTTCTCACAAGCTTGATTATTTTTTTTGCTTCTTTTTTTGAACAATTGAGATTCGCGTTTATTTCGCTGCCCTTATTTTGTATTATAATCAAACGTAAATTCCTTCAATTGAAGTTTAATTTATTCACCAACGTGATTATAATTTTGATTTTTAATTTTGTCTCAGCAGCGAAAATTAAATAATTTTTAATTAGATTTGTGATTGATAATGAGTTGATGTTCGTTCGGTCTTGTTCAGCCTTGTCTTGCCTTCAGAAACTCTAATTAAATTTATTATTTCCTCCTTCTCTCTTCTTCTTTGTAATTTATATTAAAAACAAGCCTCTTATCACCGGCCGCAATTAAGCAAATACAGAAAAATGTTTGTTTATTGTTTATGAATTCACTTCACTGTCGAGGCATTTCAATAAACAAGTGTAATTAAATTAACATTCTTAATGAATTACTGATTGAAATGCAATTTGAAATGTAGATGATTAGACGTCGAAATGTCAGTATTTTCAACATGAACTTATTTTTTACTGTATTATTTATATTGTTCAACTGTTAATTTGATCCAATTGCGTCACTTGAGCTTGCTTAATTAAAACTGAGATCACAATTTTAATATTTTTTATCGTTCCACCAAAATATTTAGTTTATCAAATCAACACATGCAAGCACATGGAAAATCGCGCCGTCGAATGAAATCACGTCTGGTTCGTTAAGCGGTTGATGAGATAATAAAAATCAGAACAATAAAATATCTTTGCTCAATGTTTCATTGCTGAAAATCGTACAAAAACATTGAAACATAAACATCAAAGTCAATGTTGCGCAGAAGCGACGGAATCGGTTGAGGGTTGAGCAATCATCATCATGAATCGAAGCAAGGGTTATTTTTGATGTTACAAAGGGTTTTTATTTTATATATTAATTAAAAAATAATTAAAAGATTTTCACAGCAGTCTTATTATATATTGCGCAATGTAAATTTTTCGCTGGATTTTCGTTATAAAAAATAAGTCATCAACATTATTAAATCACCTCCAACAAAGTCATGTTTGACATTTTACTCACTTTATGTACTTAAAATAATTACGAGAACTTGATTAAATACTGAAATAATCTATTCTACAGGTTGTTTAATTTAACTTAAATTTTGTTTTCTAGGTGCGACTTTAAGTGACTTTAAGATAAAAAGTCAATTAATGCAGATCTAGTGTGGAACAAACAAGGTGTGTAGTTTCAAACTTATAAAAGCGTTGTGTCATGTTAATGTTTGACACTTGAGACAAACGCTTGAAACAGATAACAAAATTGAAATTATTTAAGTACAAAGATAAATAACTCATACAAAAGTATTTCTTATCTTACTAAAAGTTTCTTTTATAAAATACAAACAAAAAAATGCTTGCAAAGCCACATGTCACTTGGATCTCGTCATCAATAAACATTTTCATAAAAATTCACATAACATTGTTTCAGTTTTTCAGCTTCTCCTTTAGAAATGTTTCCATTCTCAACAGAAGTTATCATCAAGAAATCATTATCGATACAAGAATTTAAACGCAATGAAATAATTTCAAGCATTGGCTTGGAATGTGTTAAGAAACGACGGTCAATTGATTGAATTTGATTCTTAATTAAAAATATTTGTTGCAAATGAAAGTTATGTTCAAAAAGATCACCTTTTATCGTTTCAATTGGTGATTTATTAAATGATATGTTTATAAATTGAAGACTTCTTAAGGGATGAAATAACTCCGAATCGAGAGACTTCAAATTATTCTTCATCAAGTTCAATTCTCTTAAATTTTCTAAATTCTTAAAAATAGTTTTATCTAAACTTTCAATATTATTTTGAGATAAATCAAGCTTTACTAAGTTGCTTAGAGAATCAAACACTCTTCCTAGCGTCGTAAGTTTGTTTGATGAAAGATATAAAACGTAAAGATTTGTTAGATCATCAAACGCAGATTCATGAATAAAATTAATTTTATTAAACTGCAGATAGATTGCTTCTAATCGTTTGTTTCCATTGAAAGTATTTGCCTCTAAAACCTTAAGGTTATTTTGACCTCCCCAAAATACTAACATTTCACTTAAATGACTTAAAACACTTCCGTCAACACCTTCAAGTTCCACATTATTCAAATTAAAATATTCAACTCCCTTCAATTGATTCACAAACTCTTCTGTTAAGTTTTCGATTTTAGAATTCTCGAAATAGACATATTTAATGGATTTTAAGTCTATCTTCATCTTTGCACTCATTGCCTTTAGATTTACATTTTCCAAACGACAAGTTTTTCCATATTCTTCATTGACGGAAACTTTACAGCTTATTTTCGAGTCATAAGCCTTTGTTGAAGTCGATAAGCAGATTAAAATACTAAAAGAAAAAGATTTCAATTTTATTTAATTAATTATTTAAATATCTAAGTAACTTCAATGTCTGCTTACATAAACAAAATCATTGTAATGTGGAACAGTCTTTCGTCTTTGAGAAACAAAACTAAACTAGAGACTTGCTAGTAAGTATTGTTAAGGATAGAATAAATATGTAAAGAGCTAATGTATGGAATCTTATGTGTGAAATGCTGATAAGCTGACAAACGTCACTGATTAAGCTTCATCCATAAATTATTGATATCAAAATGCTAGTAGTGATAGCATTACACTTTATCAACGGAGTTCATAATTAAAATTCATTCAGCAAATGCACGAAGAAGGTGCACGTAAAATTTTAAGTGAATTCGTGATCGGATGAGAGAATTCGAGGTAAAATTTTGAGGGTGTAAAAATCAGGAAATTAATTTCCTTTTTTCTCACGCGTTTAGTCAATATTTAAAATTAAAATTCCGCATGAGTTTGAGTGCACATGTTGGGATGATACCTTGGGCTTCATTAAATGGTTTATATTGAATGAAAACATAATTTATTTGCTACATGTTCGGTTATGAAGTGCTCAATATCATTTTTAATCACAACCGAGAGAAATTTTCCAAAAAACTCTTTCGTTACAGTTCAGGATGTTTAATATCGTTTCATTGAGTAAACACAGGATGTTTGAAGGAAATATCCATGTCATGAATGTTTGGCAAACACAGCACGAGACGAGAAAATAAAAATCGAGACGAAAAATTTTCCAGTTGAAACAAATGACCGGAAGTGTTTCTCTCTCCAAGCATTTTTCCCAGCATGTTTGCAAACGATGAAGGGCTTGTTGCGAGAAATAAAAATGTTTAAATTTGGATAATAAATTCAGACACATCTCGAGACTTTAAGTGAAGGAAGGAGTGGGAGGTGAGTGAGAGAGATGGAGGATATGAAAAATGTTTTAAGAGGGAAAAATAAACATAAACATATCTCTATACACATGCATGAGTGTAGAGAGAAAAACGAAAGGATTATCGTGCGAAAAATTGTTGCTGTGATTATTTAAATTTTCTTTTCCACCTACGTAAATTTGTTCGTTGCTTAATCGTTGGACATTTAAATGGGAAAAAATCGCTTCAGGAGATTTTCGAAAGCCATTAATAATTTAAAAGTCGAGTTAGCCATTCTTAATTGCCTTGGAAAAAGCAATTAAAAGACTGGTGCGAGAGATTGCGATAAAAATACTATCATTGCATGTAATTCATTGCGATGATGGCTTCTGGTGTTCCAAAGAAATAATTTTGTTACATCATTTAATTACTTTACATTTATAAATCACAGAAAGGGAGAAATTTATGTCAAACACCTAATGTGGATTCATAAATTCTCTGACAATTCATTTGAGTCGAATGAAAGTTTTACGGTGTACATGAGCGAGCGAGGGTTTATTTTATGTGCTGTCGAGCTGGTAACTTGTTCCATAAATGGTAATAACTCATTTTTATTATCACACGAGACTCGACAGTGTGTTCTTTATACTTTTATTGTGTTCAATTTGTATTCCTATAAGAGAAGTCGAAAAGGTGTTTAAGGTGCAATGTTTACCATTGTTATGTAATAAGTCTTTTTAACGAGAGAATTCGCCAGTTTAAGTCATCATAAATAACACACATAAGTAAATAAACATTCATTCGAAGTTTCTTTCTCATTTTTTGCAAGGAAATGAATGTTTGAAAGTAATTTAAACAAATCGTTAAGAATATTTTGATGTGCATAAAAAGAGTTGAAAAGAAGATTCATTTTAATTACATTAAAAGAGCATTAGGCAAAAGAGAAGAACCTCAAATGGAATTAATTGAAATCGCCAACCCAACCATTAAATCTGCATTAATTTCCAAGAAATAATAAATCTTAATAAGTTCATAAATTAATGTCAGGTTGGGGATTTCACCCTCTTTCAAAGATCATTATTATTCCTTTTTTTCCACTTGTGCCAAGTCCTAATTGCGCATTATAATGAAGACGGTCAAAGGAAGTGAACATTATGCGACTGAGAATCATCAGCAACAGTTTGAAATTTAAACTTTAGGTAAGTTTAAGGAAAAGTATGCAAATTCAAAAATATAAATTAAAGTTGAATTTTCATTCTAAGTAGAATTTGTCGCTTTAATTTGAACAATGCTTCGAAATGAAGGAATTTTGATATTTATGTAATTATGCTTACCTGATTTATACTGCAATCAGAGCCAAGATCAAAGCAATGATATAAACTAAAACCGAAAGAATGAAAATTGCTGACACTTCATACATTTATAACTAAATAAATGAAATATACAGCTGACTCTTCAAAAATCCAAGTTCTCTGAAGAGAAAAGCTCCACAAATTGCGAGACACTCATATTTAAGAACAATTTACTCTCCAAAAGCAGAAAATTTCTTATCTAGCAAGCTCTCTTTTGACCATGTGCATTTGTATTGAAAATTCTCTTCACAAATGCACATGGAAGTAGAAACAAGCTGCAGCGCGGTAATAAAAATTCTTTCTGCTAAAACTTTAATTAATAACGTTACAAATAAATAAAAATGCAGCAAATTTATAAAAAAAAAAATTCTTTAAGCAATAAAGATAAGCTTACAATTATTAATTTAAAAAATTCTGGTGAAAAGCGGTCAAGATTGGCAGAACAATTTAATGTTTCACAAGGACATTTCAAAAGTCAGACGACATTGGGACGAAAGTTAAAAAAAGTCCAATGTATCTTAAAACAAAAAGATTTAAACCTCCGAAACATCAAAGGTAGGTAAGTTCTTTAAAAATTTTCAAGTAAATTGTAAATAAATTTTTAAAATCTTTTAGATTGGATGATGCTGTGTTTATGTGGTTTTGTCAGATGCGTGAAGCAAAGATCCCCATATCAGGACCAATAATTAAAAAAAAGGCTCTACAATTTGCAACATCTTTGGAAATTGAAAATTTTAAAGCATCAGATGGATGGCTTTCAAAGTTTAAACAAAGAAAATGTATTTCCTGGCGAGTAATCGCTGGTGATTCTGACTCAGTGGATCGGGAAATTACTGAGGGTTGGACTCATTTGGTACTCTCACCATTGCTTAACGAATATTCAGAAGATGACATTTTTAGCTTAGACGAGTTCGGTCTTTTTTGGAAAGCTACGCCCAATAGAACATTTAGTCTTAAGAAGGATAAATGCTGTGACGGAAAGTTCAGCAAGGAAAGATTATCTGTTCTTGCCGGAGCAAATATGAGTGGTAAGTTTGAAAATGTATTCTTCAACAAAATAATTAAAATTTGTAGAATAAAACTTTAAAGATCGTTTAATTTAGTATTTTTAATTAGTTTTTATTTAACATTCATACCAATCCACTATTAAGTTTGTAAACAGCTTTTTAAATTAAAAATTTCAAAAAGCTCTAAAAGCGGAAAAGCTCCTCACACGACCACCCCCTTCAAATTGCATTTATGAAGAGTCAACTGTATTTAGAAATGTAGATATGTTTAAAACGTAATTTGAGTAAATATAATTTATTTTATTATTCTTTTCTTTGATAAAATATTTAAAGAACATTTACATAACCTTGATGCCAGCAAAGAAACAAAAATATGTTCTTTGATGATTTTTCTTATTGACTCGAATATCCGATTCTATATTCGCACATCAAAAACTGCAATATAAATAATTGATGAGTCTAAAAAGAATTTAACAATCATGAATCTATACATAAATTAAAAAAATGTTCATCAAAGACTCTTTTAAATTTTTCTTTTTGTTTGCTCTTAAATCATGGAAGATGAACAAACGTAATTACATCTCTCAAAAATTTAGAAATGCATATGGATAGAGAAGGGTAAAAGATAGTAAAGGGATTGAAATAAGTCGAAGTCTCATCTGATGATATTTATTTATTAAATAAATATTTTCTGAATTCACTTTGTTTAAATGTTTTAATAAAAGAATTGATTGCCTTTTATGAATATTACTTCTTCATTGCATAAGGGTAGATTCCTAGTCTGTTCACTCTCATACTCCCATTTTAATGAGGAAATTAACCCTGAAGATTTTTCTCGTTGTTTTGTTTGTTGATGATCAACATCGTCCAACCCCTAAAATAAAAGATTTTTTCTACTAAAGTGCTCCAATGTTTTCCAATGTTTTATTTATGTAGAATGAAAAATTGAAACATTGAAACATTGAAACATTGCACAAAACAAAACGAACGAGCGAATGTTGAACATTTTATTTCATTTTAAAAGATTTTCTTAGCAAATATCGACTTAATCCAATTCAACGAAACTCTTTTCTTCTTACCTCACCAATCTTAAATTATTTTATGGTTTATATTAGTGTAAAGTATTTTAGTAAGAAATCTCAATACCAAACAAAAGAAATTTATTAGATTTACATAAATTTCAACAATTGGGGTTATAAAAACTACTTCTCCAAGCAATTTAGTATTTATTTAGAATAAATTAGATTACATTATCAAATTAACAATTAGGAAACTAAATTAGTTAGTTTTTATTAATTCTTTTTTGCTTTTCTTGTTTCTTCATTGTAATTCCTTC